GGGGTTGTCTGAGGACCACATGCGTAGTGAATGTAGCTGAACAACACTAATCCAGTGCCGTCAGCTGTGAGATGGGTCACGAGATGGCACACCATTGAGGTCCGATTTTAAGAATTTGATCTGTAGGTGATAGAGATGAGATTGAAACCGAATTGAAACCCCCCATTTTTCGGTTCAAGTCGCTTTTGTCCCCCAGAGATGCCCGTAGTCAAGTTATCTGTCCCGCACTCATAGAAAGCCAGAGCTGCCTCCCTACTCCCACTGCTTAACCGGCCGGCTAGCCTTCAATCTCCGATGACTCCACTGCGGTCTCAAGTCCCTCCTCAGCATTGTCCGCAGCCTCAGCCTTAAGCATCTCCGCAGCCTTAGCCTTAAGCATCTCCGCCACCTCCTCCGCTTTGCGCGCAGCCTGCCAGCGGAGTGCCATGCGGATCTCATGGGTGCCAACGGTGATACGTTTCCGATCCTCAGCAACTAAGGCAGCATCTGCACCACGAATCAGCAATGATCAGAGTCATAGCCATAGACCCCTTACGTGCGAACAAGTACTCCAAGTAGACCTCTGAGGCCTCCTGCAGCGCGCGCAATGCAGAAGTCTGCATACGGAAGTCGTCATGCTGGTGTCCAGGGAGGTCTTGAAAAATCTCTGCCACCAGATGTCGGAACTTGATGGGATCGATCGCGAGTGGCGGATTGGGATCTACAAAGAATGTCAGCAACTAACAGAGAAGAAAGCGGAAGTGAAGGTTTTGTCGAATGTACCGTGTTCGTCGAGCTCAGCTAGAGCTGTGCCGTTGATCTGATGCTCCTCGCCTTCCATGAGATTCTCGTCTTGCGACTTCTCGCCCTCTTTTGACTCAGCCATGGTGAGGTCATTGTCTGGGTTGATCTTGCTGTGATCCATGGTGACAGAGTCGAGAGGCTTCTCATCGTGCTCGAGCTCAGCCATCTCGGCGTCCATGTTTGGAGTGAAGTTGATGTGATCGGACATGGTGAGCTTGCTAAGTGCTTCAGAAACGGAAGTGAATAAATTAAGACTTGAAGTGAGGCTGAAGGAAGGTGGGATCAGAGCGTAATAGATGTAAATTGAAAGTCAGAACTGACGAAGCGAGGATCGGAATGTAGGAGGGTAGAGTGATGTAGGAGGAAGATATAACTACGAAGGAAGATAGATTTGGTCAAAGTGCACTACAGGGTGTCCAACAAACCGTCCATCCCCGTTGGAGGGTTCAAAACGGTCGGTCGGGGCCTAAACTAGACCACAAACGGTTGGACGGCGACCGGGGTCAAGAAATGCTCCGTTCGACGGTTGGACGGGGTTTATAGGAGTCTATACCTAAAGGGTAGTAAGCGTGGCACTTAGCCCTAGACGCGGGTGTCAAGAGGCAGTCATTCAGATCCTATCTTATCACCACGTGACTCTCCATGATCCCGCTCAATCTGCCGCGGAAGCAAGGGCCACCACGTTCATCATGCGCTTGATGAGATTGAAGTAAGAATCAGACACGAATCTGAACTCATCGTGAGGTTTGGCCTTGGCACAGACTACGAAGGATGTCAGCCAGGGTCGGGAACACAGGCACGCGTCTACCAACCTTCAAAAAGCCCATCTAAGAGCACTTCTGAGAAGTCGTGCATCGCAGCGAGTGCCGTCGATTCGATGCGAATATCCGGGTTGATCTTGTGGCAGAGCTCACGCACCAATTCTTCGAAATCGGCAGAATCGATAACGGGGTCACTTGGAGTGAAGTCGACGGGGAGCCCGTCCTGCACGACTGGGAATGAAGGTCAGCATCGAAGAACAAGGCAGCAGAGGTACAAGATATCGACGCGCATACCAAACGTCTCTGACTGAGCTGAGGCTTCGCCTTCCATGTGTTGCTCTCCGCCTTCCGGCGAGCTGGCTGACTGAGCTGAACCCTCGCCTTTGAGCTGATGTTGATGCTGTTCGCCTCCGGGTGACTCATCGGCCTGCGACTTCGTGTCTTCCTTCGACGAAGCCATCTTGCCGTCTTTGCCCGGAGTGTCTTTGCTGTGGTCCGCCACGAGGGATGGGTCAGTGTTGTGAGAGATGAGGTGGGGTTGGAAGAAGGTGAATGAACCCAGAGTGCGGGCGACGCGACGGTCACTGTTCGGTGAAACACGCGGAAACAAACACACGAACAACAAGATTGAACAACGGGCTGTGCGTCGGGTTGAAAGTCTTCACGTGACTGAGGAGACACTGTAAGAGAACAAGCTGGAGGAAGCCGTCGACCTTAAAAATCAATGAAAGGCCCGATTTAGCCTATCCAGCTTTCGTCCTCCACGCATGATCAAAGTCGAAGCTTCAAAGCGCTAGAAGTAACAACTAGCCGGAGCTTGCTGCCCAGAGCACCAGCCTAACCAGCCCACATCGCAAAGTCTCTTACACCTCCACCGCGGCTCCGAGTAACTCTCCTCCGCGAATGCGCATAGTGAGGAGAAAGTCCTCATAGCAGCCTCACGCTGGCTATGTTCGGCAATCATCTTAGCGGCTTCGCAACAATCAGCGAGTGATAAGCCTCACGTTTCAAGCACCTGACCCTCATAATCGGTCCTCATGAAGCGCTCTGCCGACGCCTTCATCCACTCCAGGTAACACTCCCGGACGAACCTCTCTCTGCGCAAGTTCTGGATGAGTCCTTGCAGCAGTTCGGATGCGAGGATTCTGACTGGAGGAAATGCCAGCGCCGAGGCCCGAGATAGATATCGAGTCGTGACGCGTATACCGTCCACAGTAGAGGAGCTGGGGCGAAGCCTGGCGCTGGCGCTTGACACCTCGCGGCCTCGAGTAAATTGTGTTGAGTCAAGGCTTGGACTCTGGCTTGCTGTCCTCTGCCAGCCGCGAAATCGTAGGTTGGCAGTGCGTCGTAGTTGTTCGGCGGAGCTATCGTGTGGATCGTGGTAGAATGGAAGCTGTAGCGATGCAAAGCGACAGGGTTAGGATTTACTTGTAGACTTAAAGTAGAGCGCAAAAGGAATAAAGCGAGTAATAAAGATAGTAAAACGCGCGAAGAATACTAAATAGAGCACTAGAGCCAGAACCAAGGGTCGAAAGCGAAACCACAAACCTTTAACTAAGAAGCGAATCCAAACCAAAAAAATCTGCTCAAACGGCAAAAACTCATTGAGGGAACACACGTAGGCGACTTCCCCCCATAGGGGGGAAATCCCTTTATCACCGCGCCGCCAGCAATGGCGGAGTCCTGCTAACTTCGACCGAAAGCGAGCGCAGAAGCATCGACAATGGGTGCGAACAGGAGGGTCGGCTGGTTCTATTTTTCACCTGAGAACGAACCAAGGTCTAGCCCAGACTCGAACTCGCATAATGTTGACCAGCACCGGGAACCGACACCAAGTGGTGACACATTCCCCCTGGACCATGGTGATGGCGGGCTGAAAGATATATATTGCTGAGTTTTGTCTGGGCCCGCTTTTGCCGGGTGACGTAGTGAGTGAAAGCGTTTGGCAGGACGTGTGTCTTTGGGGATTTGCTCCCATGTTTCTTCAGCGGCGCTCAAGCTCCATTGTAGGGATCGCTGTTCACCGTTCACCAAGATACTCTTCATCTGTTGAAGCTAAGTAACTGCGAAGCTAACCGTAGGCCGTAAGGATGGAGCAAAGCACATACAATTTTGTAATCGCCACCCCTTGGCATTCTCGCACTCTGAAGCTCAACCCTCCAACCTCACCATCGCAGCCGACGATTCCGACACATTGACATTGAAGACACCATCCTGCCCAACCCACGTAATTTCATCTTTGGTAACATTGCCCAGCAGCACCGGCTTCCCCTCCTGCAGCTCGTAGTTGTACGACAGCCCACTCCAGGTTACTCCCGTGACGGCATGGCTCCCGTTCGCTAGGAGGCGCTGCACTACACCTATGCCTGCACAGCTGGTTGGGACTTGGAAGGAGTACTTCTTCTCAGGTCGCACTTGGAGGCTTGCAGAGAGTGTGTAATCGTACGGCGCCATGTTGATCACCATGATGGAGTGGAGTGTGTTGTTCTTGTACATCGCGTACACCGCTTCAGCTTCATCGTCAAGAGGTAGGTGCTTGACCTGCGTCGTGCCGTTGGTCCAGTCCCTCAGCATCGCCGCGACGGCTATACTTCCGTAGTACGGCGGCTTCGTGCCTTTGGGCGTCTTGGGAGTCGAGATGGTTTGCCAGGCAGAGTAGCGGTAGTCGGTGCCTTGGTGCAGGAAGACGCGTTTGATGTCCTGGGAGGCGCAGTAAAGGAGGTAATCCTCGCCCCAGAGAGCAGCGCCGAAGGTACTGGAGACGCTGGGAGCGCCTTGGTTATAGAGCGAATTCGTTTCGCCGAGGATGAAAGGGAGGTCGGGCTTTGCGAGCTGGCGGGCTACTTCTAGCTACTTTGCTACACCAGCAACTGTCATGCTGTGGTTCAGGAGCATGCCTGCGAGGGTCACGCCTGGTTCGGTAGCGCCGGCAATGTAGCTTGAGGCATAGTTAGCAACAGAGTCGGATGAATATCTGGTATACTGACTTGTGCATCGAGATCTGTCCAACAATTCCATCTCTATTCAGACCCCCATCTCAAGCAGTGACCAGATCCAAGCCATTATCCGGTCCGGCAAACGACGGGGCAATGCAATTGAAGGCAGTGGTCGATGCCATCTTGGATAGCTCTCGTGCCTGCGAGCCATTCATTGACATAGTCTTGCTCACTCCAATCTGCGGGTCTCAGGGCGCCCTGGGCGGAGGTCTCAAAGAGGTCCGGCTCATTGCCAAACTCCTAGTAGAGAAGCTTGTCGTTGCCCAAGGCCCTGCAGACTAGGCATACCGTTGCAAGCAGGCTTGCTCGAGCAGCTGTGCCGTTCTTGCCGAGGTTGAAGCCATGGATGTACTTTGCGTTGCTAAAGCTCGAATAGGAGTCAAAGTGCGATGGCCCGATTGAGAGGATGGTAGGGTAGTCTCGCGACTTCTTCGGCACGATTGTACCTTTGGTTGGCGTGCTCAGGGAAGCATTGTAGAGTGCATAGTCTCTGATGACATGTCAGTATACCTGAAGGTGTATAGCGCTCGGGACAGCTGCTGATCGCGGGTTGCGCCCTAAGAGTTTTCACTTACTGCGTATTCCCTCCAACACGAATGTACGGCTTCGTCCCGCTCAATTCCCCAATATTGTCCAACAAATCGTTCGAAAAGACATTCGGGTGTGCCTTGCTGCCCGTAAAATCCGGGAAGAATGCGAACTCAATCGAATACGAGACAAAAGCCTCCGGTATAGGTCCGCTCGCACCAGTCGGTTTCCCGTCAACAGTGATACGGTTGGCATCCGGCTCTCGAATTAATGGCACTCCGAGGCCAGGCCCCAGTGTTGTTTGGTGGCATTGAGTGAGCGCTAGGAAGCTGGATATGGAGAGAGGTCCAAATAAGCGCATCGTGCGGCGTGTCTTGGCGCGGTGCAGGGGTCAAGGGAGGGTAAGCAGGAGTTGCGTTAGCCAGCTTTATCTATACAGGAGGTCCTTAAATGGATGTTCTATCATTGTTGGAGGCAGTCACTCAATCATGGATCTCGCTTGACCTGAGCCGGGAATTTCATAACCGAGGGCGCAGAAATTGAATATATAGCCATATCCTCGTCTGGTAGGAATGGTCTGGAATACCCATGCGAGTTCGTGCCTTACAGATGCGGCGGTAGATGTTGCGGGCCTCATGGGAAGTCGAGTCTCATGACGTCGAACCTCAGCCCATTTATCTTCAACACCTTAATTCCACTTGCTCCGCCGCGGATCACACGCATAACGAGACCAAGGCTTACCCGGAAAAATGATGGCCACGCAAAATGGCCGAAGGCACCCCACCTTACACTAACTTACCTAACATTTAAACTCAGACGTCGCGCCCAAATTCATATAGATTAATTTAAGAACCCAGCTCTATATAGGGAGAGGAGGATGGTATTAGTTCTAATATTAATAAGTCCATATGAATAGTATTGTTGAGTGTCACTAGATTAAATACAGTTTTTGCGTGGCCACGACTTTTCCGGATGAGCATTGGACGTCGGAATCAAGCAGATGGAGGTCCGAGGTGCTTGAAAAGCTACTTGCCAGCTCCGTCGCCGTACGCTCAGTGACATAGCTTGTGACTACGGCTGTCGGCATATATACAAGCGAGCATACCAAACATATTTCACGCTTATCAGTGCTTCCATTCACTGTCCAAAATGCCAGGATTCTAGAGTCTAGACCACTAACAGAACTCAGGCACTACAGCAGACCCACTTCTCAACTCACAGCTCTTCCACCCTATCTACAACTCCATACTCGTCTGCAACCACCGCCACATCTTCCCAAAATACTCCTCGTCCACGGGCCGCACTTCCTCCATAACCCCCGCCACCTTCTTTGTCTCCCCCAACTCAAACCTCGGACCCTTCACCGTATCCCCCTCCTCCTTCCCCTCCCCATACGCCTTCTTCCAATGATCCAGCAGCTTCAACGCCGCATGATCCCTCATCTTTTCCTGCATGCCCTCCAGCCTCTCCACCCACTCCCGCGGCTCCACAATCTCAAACTCCTCGCTCTTCTGCAGCCAGCGCAACATCTCCGTCCACAGCGGCGTCTGGTGCTCGTTCAGGACGTGGTAGACCTTCATCCTATCGCCTGTCTGCGACTGGGACTGCGGCTGCGCCATACTCGCCGTCGCCTCCACGAACGCCCTTGCGGCCACATCAACAGGCAACCACGCGAGCGGCTCATCCTTCAGGTCAGGAAGACAGCCCGTCAGGCGGACGGTGCTCAGCATCATCGGCCACGCCTCCTTGGTGTTCCAGACGCCGTGCTTCGTATCTCCGGACAATTGGCCGACCCGGAAGACAGCGATGCGGGGGCGTAGCCGTGTTTGCTGGTGGGCGCGGTAGCAGATATTTTCGGCGACCCACTTGGAGCGCGAGTAGCCTAGTGGAGAGGCGGCTGTGGGGTCGGTGATGATGGCTTCGGGGATGGCGGTGCCGGAGTTGGAGGCCATGACGCTTGCGACGGAGGAGCAGTAGGCGAAGCGGGGAGGGTGGGGATTGGGGGAGCGGAGAGCTAGGTCGATGAGGTTGCGTACGCCTGGGTAACGTTAGGGGGGAGGAGCGCAGGGAGAATGGGGTTGTGACTTACTGGCGATGTTGTCCTTTACGAAACTGCGGAGGCGCATGCGGAAGTTGACGGACCAGGCGACGTGCATGATGATTGTGGCTTCGTGACATAGTTTCTCATACGTACTGTCCTCCAGTCCAAGTCGCGCATCGCCGAGGTGAGCTTGCAGGACAGTTATCTTCTTGTTGGCTTCGTCGTCGCTTGACAGGTCAACAAGGCCTCTTTGGTCTAGAGCCTTGCTGATTCTTCCACGTGCGGCATGCTCGTCCGAGCCACGCACGAGACAATATATCTTCCCAGTTGCTTTGTCATGTCGGTAATGATCAAGGATATGCGCACCTAGCGCCCCGGTAGCTCCAGTAAGTACGACAACCTCACCATCAAAAGCACTTCCGTTCGACTGGCCGTTCACATGGCCGTTAGCCTGGTCCGTATCTTCAAACATCCCATACTCCTCGACAAGATCCAGCATCATCTGCGTCTCGTCATCAGTATCGGTGTGCGCCTCTCCATGGCGCTGTTTGAGGATGTAGTCGCTGAGTCGGCGAATCGTACCGCAGTCCTCTACGATGCTCAATGGTAGCTCCTCCGAGCCTTTCGGCAGCAGCTGGCGCAAACTGTATCTAAGCTGCATGCAAGCCACGGAGTCGACGCCATACGCAAATAGATCCGTTTCCTCTGTAAGTTCCGTTTCTTTAGCAACGATCGACTGCACTTGGCGTACAAGGAAGCCAGAGACCTTCTCATCGGGTACATCGGCGCCATTGACAGCGCTGAGCTTAGCATAAGCATCCTCAATGGCCTGCGCGTACCGCTCTTCCGCCTTGCTCCGAAGAATAGTGCCCTTGCTGCTCTTGTCGAGGTTGCTTTCCTGGTAAGGCATCGGCACGAGCATGTTCCGCGGTATCCGTGCGTGGTCCTGGCTCTCCGTATTCAGCCTTTCAATGGTCGGTCTCAGGGCCTCAACAAGGTCAGCGTCGGATAGTTCCGCGTAGTTCTTCGACCGGAAAAGGAGCGCGCCTGGGAACGGACAGCCGTTTCCGAAGATGAGGACATCTTCGACGTGTTCGTCTGCTGAGATGGCAGACTCGAGAGGGGCTGGGTCGAACTTCTTGCCCGTGATTAGGGTCAGCTGCGAGTCGGCTCGGGAGTGGTACTTCCAAGCGTGTGGTATCTCGGGGTGAGGGGCGAACAGGTCCGCCGTTGCGAAAGATCCATCGGGGCGGTTCTTCTTGGCCTGATGAGAGTTAGCTTGGGGGGTTTGATCATCTCGTACAATTAGTGTGCTTACCATATGCGGCCACCCCGGCATGACGATCAACTCCGAGGTACAGTCCTCCTGCCTCTCAAACCTGAGTGCATCCGATCCCTGTGAGCTCCGCAGATACTGCCATTCTTTGTCCTTGGCATAGTCACGATGCGAAGACATCAGGAAACCGCATTCAGCACTACCAAATCGCGATATCAGATGAACGCCCTTCTCCACTAATCTGTCCCCAACCTCGGCTGGCAGTGCTGCACCGCCAACTCCAACTATGTCCATGGAAGTAAGGAACTCCATGCCTCTCTTGTCCGCCTCCATCATCTGCAGCACGTAGGGAACAGATGAGAAGTACTTGACTGGCGGCACGTTTACCTCTCTTGCACATTCTCCGGCAACCTTTAAGCAGCGGATAATGTTGCCTGCTGTGATTGGCGCCTCTTTCCCTGGAAATAGCCAGATCAGAGCATCGCTTGCCCATGCTCTGAACAAGTCCGCAATGCCCCCGTGATACAATGGCGTAGTCGTAAATGTAGCTTTACTTGAACCATTCAAACACGGTAATACCCCCAGACCAGCACGGTGAGTCTGCGGAATAGGTTTCGGTAGTCCAGTGGATGTGCCAGAAGTATGATGGAGATATGCAACGGCACTCTCTTCTACCGCAGGCAGCTCTTGGTGCTCCCTTTCAGTGGGCTGACTAATGGACTCGAAGACATCCTTTCCCGACGAAGGAAGAAGAAGCGTACTGAGCTTTCCAACGCTCTCATCTTTCATCAGCTTAGCGCTGGCCCAGGCCTGCTCCTCGTACACCTCATCGTAAAACAGATGCGAGACTTCGCAGCTCTTGCAAAGATGCGCTATCGCCGAGGGCTGACACTGCGGCGCCAACAACAAAACTGCATAGCCAAGATGCATCAGCGCAAGCCAAGTAAACAGGAAGTCCGCTGAACTTGGACATAACAGAGCTACAGTGGAGCCTGGTGGGACGTCCCCTCCGAGGGATTCGGCTAGTAGCTCTGCAGTGACTTGGACCCTTTCATGGACGCCCTCAAATGACAAGACATGATAGTCCCATATCTGGGAGTCTGTGATTCTCGATTTGAAAAAGCCAACGGCGGGTTTGCCACCCACACGGCTGGCTTGATGTTGGAGGAAATGACTGATGTTGCGGAAGTCATGGTTGTTCTTCTTTAGTGCAGCTGCTTGTCCTAGGGTGCATACGAAGTAGTTTGTTTCCATTCGATCCATTCTTCCCAGTCCGGGAGGTGTGAGCTTCTCAGAGTTCTTTCTGTGACCAGCGTCCAGTTCGGTGGTATAGGCGGCTTTTGACCGGAAGAGTGATAATTAAAGATTGTCTGTAACTTCAGAGAAGCTCTCTCTGTTCGACAGTTACTGTAAAGCATCGTGGCTGCCATACTGGTCATCATATTGCCGTGCTAATCGAAAATGGTGGGTCGTGTATGACATCAACAGGGGTGCAGTTCGGAGATGTGGCGGTGCGTGTGGCTCATTTCAGGAACTCATCACGTGCGCCAAGGACAAGGCATCAGAAACTCGCGACTTTCTCAACCTCGACCAAATCTTAGCAGCGTACATACCTCCGTACAATGACCGACATCAAGGCCGCGCCGAAGTTCTCGCTCGCCCTCGGCGCGAAGAGAGCGCCTCCGTCACAGGTCAGCAAGGCGAAGCGGCCTCACTCATCGCTCCAAGACTCCGACGACGAAGATGCCGGACATGTGCAGCCGCAGGAGGTCTCGCATTTCGATCAGTTGGCGGGAGGCGCCATAGGAGCCAACGACAACAGGCAAGCAAAGGGGCCACTGGTTATACAAAGTCAGAAGAACCGTGACTTTCGGGACGAAGGCCGGCGCAAGAGGCAGAAGAACGGGCTCCCGGCCGAGGCGCAGGCAGCGCGGGCAAACGGCGTGGTCACGAAAGAACCGAATGGCGCCGGTAGTCTCCAGCCATTCGGTCTCACAGTGGTAGAGAAAGTTACCGTGGAGGATCCACAGACAGCAAACAGCGAGGGAGCAAACGGTGCATCACCAACTACCACCGCGCCGATCAAGCAAAAGACAGACGATGAGCTGGCTCTCGAAGCCCTAACAGGCAACAAACTGCAATCCAACCTCGTCCTCCCCGCCATAAGCGAAGAAGAGGCTTTCCAGCGAGACTACAAAAACGCGCCCGACATGGCGACACTAGAGCAGTACGCCGCCGTGCCAGTCGAAGAGTTTGGAGCGGCGCTGCTGCGCGGTATGGGCTGGAAAGACGGCGAGGCGATTGGCAAGCGGCGCGGACAGCAGGCCGTGCAGGCGCGCGTTCCAGAGAGGCGGCCTGCGCTCTTGGGTATTGGGGCGAAGTCGGAAGCGGCGGTGGGGATAGAGTTGGGAGCTTGGGGGAAGGCTGACAAGGGACCGAGGAGGAAGAAGGATCAGACATACACACCGGTGGTCTTGCGGAATAAGAAGACGGGCGAGCAGCTTACCGAGGAGGAGCTAAAGGCGAAGCTGGAGGAGCAGAAATTGGTGGTTGCGGAGAACGAGCGGGAGAAAAAGGCGAGGTCACGAAGTCGCGAGCCGGACCATCGCGATTCTGATAGGTCGTCACGAAGAAACAGGTACGACGACAAGGAGGAAAACTACCGCAGAGGGAAGGAGCGCCGAAGGAAGGACCGAGATCGCAGTCGGGACCGGGACCACGATCGAGGCCGAGATTACGATGACCGCCGCCATAAACCATCAGGACGAGACAGAAGCTCGTCAGTAGAGAGCAAACACAGAAGCCGTAAACAAGACGACCGTCACGATCGGAAGGACAAGGAACGGCGGCGATACGACAAGCAGGACCGCAACGAGGGAGGCTCTTCACGGCGACATCATTATGAGCGTGACTACAATCAAGACCGCAGGCGGTGATCGAGAAAATAGAAGGATGTAGCTCCTGTTAACCAGGCCAGTGCTTGCAGCCCAGATCCTACAAACCAGCAATAGTCGTTATAGCGACGATGCTTGAAGGCTGTCTCTTTCTGCCATGTCAGGTCAGCAACTCAGTGTGCTATGAGTCGTCAGATTCTATGTGAAGTATTCGTGACTAACTCCATAGTGTCTTAGTATGCGTGACTCTCACATTCGAGTCTGTATGCTTGTCGGTGTCGTTGTCGTGAGCGCACGATTTGCCGCAGCAAAAGCACGACAGCATCTCCAATCGACTCACACACAGGAAAGAGAATTGCGAAAGCCCGTGACAATTTCCCATCTTCTCCTACTCTGCCCGAGTTCCGACGTCTATATGTAGCGCTACGTCCTTAAGCCGACCTCTTCTCTAAAGCGAGCAAGCCCGAAAAACCCAGTCCGCAATCTCCGTTAGGCCCGGAATCGAAACTCCATTCCATGCTCAAACTCCCTGCAACCGAGCCGGCCATACGGCATCTATCTATAAAGGAAACGGTTTTGTCTATACCCAACAACTCCAAAGACAAGTCTAAAACTTAACCCGAAAGCGCGGACTTGTCCGTATCCGCTCCCCATAAATCCTAAATAGCGCTGGTATCGGCACCATTGCCAGCGCCACAAAGCCAAGCAGGCTGTTCCCCCATCCAAGGCCGAGCACCTCGTACATATCAAGCCCACAAAGCGGCAGCAGGGCGCCAAACAGGGAACGCAGAACCGTGTTGGCAGCCATGGCAGAAGCGGCGTGCACGGTGAAGGCGTCGACGAGGTAGGTTTGGATGCACATCTGTGTTGCGATTCGTTAGTCGAGGCGTCTCAGAAGAGGAACACAGAGCGCCGATGGGAGATACTCACGAAGATGGCCATCAAGCCCAATCCAACGAAAAGGGTCCCGAGCAGCGGTACTGCCCACTGCACCTGCTTCTCTGCCGTCCAGCCGTAGAGGAAGAGACCGAGCGCTAGGGAGAGACCCGCCGGCACAGTGAGGAAGATCGGAATGCGCAGTTCCGGCTTGTGCTGCTCGCCCTTGGCGGTGTGCTGCTTGATGATCCTGTCACTGATGGAGCCGACAACGACAAGACCGAGTATCATGCCAATGCCGGACGCGATATACGTGAGCCCTACGTTGCTGGATGAGAAGCCGTACTGCTGCTCGAAGACGAATGTGAAGGTCGTGAAGAGGAGGTAGAGGATCCCGTAAGCGATGGACATGTAGACCGACAGCAGGCTGACAATCGGGGAAAAGATTAGCATCTTGCTGGGACGGACGATGCTGCGTAGGAAGAGCTCCTTGTGGGGCAGGCCGGAGTGGAGCTTGGACTTGAGATCAGGGTTGCCGGTCTCCTTTCGTAAGCGCGCGGCCTTGCGGTCCAGGATCACCGGCGCATAAGTTTCGCGCAGGAGAAGGAAGGAGGCGGCCGTTGTGGCACCGGCGATGATGGCGATCAGCCAGAAGACCCAACGCCAGCCCTTGGCATCGACAAGGAAACCGCCGGCTACGGGCCCTGTGTTGAACAGCGTGAGCAAGAACTTTGGTCAACCCTGCTATCCAAGAAGAGCGTAGTCACTTACCTACGACAGGCCCAAGGAGCGGTCCCATAGCCCAGAAAGCCATCGCCTTTGCGCGTTGCGTCGCCGGCATGATATCTGCTATCGTGCCGGCGCCAATGGTCATCGGAGCAGAGCCAACACAGCCTGCCAGAAAGCGGAAGCCGATCAACATGTTCATGCTGTTGCTGACGGCGCATGCTATCGTGAAGACGACGAAGAGGACATTGGTGATGAGGTAGAGCGGTAACCGGCCGTACATCTCACTCATCGGCGCCACGACCAGTGGGCCAAGCGCGAAGCCCAGAATATAGACGGACACAACGAATGTCGCGAGCATGGTGTTGTCGGTGCGGAAGTCTTGCATCACCGCTGGCACGCCAGGTGCGAACATCGATGAAGCCAGAGGCGTGACGAAGGTTATGGCTGATAGGACGGCGATGTTGCCCCATTTCTTTCTCGAGCTCCAGTTCATGGGGTTCGCGGGATCCTGGTCTGCCGGCTCATCCCACCATACGATGTTAGGGTCTTTGGGCTCTGATGCCTCATCCTCCACTACCGTTGGTGCCTCGCTAGTGGCGATGCTTGGATGATCGCCCTTCTCCAAGTCCGCATCAAGCACGCCGTTCTCATGTCGTACGTCTGGCCCGGAAGTTGACCTGAGATCTGCGTCGTGGCCTTCTTCGTATGCTAGCCTGACGCCTTCCTTACTTAGGTTTCTGCTCTCGAAGGCCGGGTCTGGAAAACTCGCAGGAACGGACATGGTGGGTGACTGTTTCGATGCTGGAAGCCATTGTCAGCCGCCGACTATGAACCAGAAAGGGATCAAGTGGTTGATCTGGTAGAATACATGTTGGAGTGGATATGAAGATGATGGTATTTGTATAATCACGTGCGTACCAGAACGTTAAAAACAGGGCGCGACAAGCTATCCCGCCAAGAAAGCCAAGCTGTGAGGCAATTCGAGGATCAAAAGAACGGAAGTGTAGGTGTAAAGCGAAAAATCAGGTATCGAGGAACGGCCAAGAGTTTTTAAGGAAAGAGAACCAGGTTGACTGCACTGAAATACGAGATGGAAACGCATGGCAAGCGATCAAGAAGTTTTATTCCTCCCCCTCTCTCGTCGGCCTCGGATTCTACCTCAATTCTATGCGCACTTGTGCATGTTATGCAAAGCTTGTGCAAGCCAAAAGGAAGCTCGGCTGCTTGGCTTCCCGCCCGGATGGAACGGCACCGGCACCGGCACCCATCCGCTTGAGCCGCAACGCCAGGCATCAAGGCGCCACATCGCTGGAGGCCTTTTGCGCCCTCGAATATGAGATACATCGAACAAGGAGCCATGATGAGTTACATCATGCTCATGGCTGTTCGAAAACCATCAGCGATCACCTCGGTCTTCCTCGCCAACTAGGATATAAGCCGCAATTAGGTTTCTGCTGCAGCGCAGGACGAGTGGGAAGTGATCGTCGCCAGCAGCACTCGATTTTGATACTGTCCACTTGAGATTTCCTACACGTCCGTATCATCTATATACATGGTATCATAAACGCGTTCGTCTATAGCTTGCTCCCTCCATCATCTGCCTTCCTCCGCTGCGCCATATTCCTTTCAGCGCTCAACACTAGACTAATATGATGGCTCAATGCCACAACATCGCCCGCTTCATCCAACACGACAACTTCCAAGTCCAACCTTCCGTTCTTGATTTGCTTCGCCCTTACCCTCGCAAACAGCCACTCAACCCCCTCCTCCGGCAGCGCCTTCTTCACATCCAAATTCAGCAGCAACGTCGGATACCAAAACGGCTTGTCAATCACCGCGCGAGACTTATCCACCTTCTCATCCCGCACGTCGTACGGATCGTCGCCGTGCCGGTAGCTCTCAACCACCTGCGGCCACATATCAGCCACATAGCCCAAACTGTCATTCGTGAAGCGCGACCCGTCCCGGAAGCAGAGCCACTCGTCCGCCATGCTCTTGAGATGCTGTCCTCCCCGTGGGAAGAAAAAGCGCATGCGACTCGACGCTTTGCGGAAGGCCGCAAACGGCATGTTTGTTTGCTCCTGCCAGTGCTGATCCCTTCCCGCGGCCAGCGCAGCCAGATCCACGGCTGCGGGCGCAGGGTGCAGGGACCAGCCTGTGGCGAAGGAGACGCCCGTCTCGCGCGGGATGTTGCTGTGCGTTATGTAGCCGACGACTTCTTCGCGGTTGTCTTGGAAGAGCGTGACGTGGACGACGGTGGCTTGTCGGCCTAGCTTGACGTCTTTGACGACGAATGTTGCGGGCCCGACCTGTGTCCGTCGCAGGAACTCGAGGTGCAGCGCGAGGGTGTGCGGTTGGTTTTGGCGGGAGAGGGTCGTGTTGAAGTGGGTGGTTGCTACGCGCTGGAAGACGGAGGTGACGAAGCCGCCGTGCGGGACTGTGGAGGGTGATCAGTTTGGTGACTTGGGTTTGAAAGACAAGGAAAGACGACCACCGTACCGGAGCCTATGCACCAGTCATCGTAGAAGTATGCGGAGTAGGTATGCGAATCTACAGCTTTAACTGCGGTAGCTTCGACGAAAGAAGTCATGCTGAAGATTTCTCAAGAACGAACGGTAATGGTAATGGTACTACAGGCTTGGGGAGGAGGGTGAGCTCCTGTATGGTATCTATATCTATCAATGGGAGGACAACCAACGCTGACCGGTCAATTGAAGCTGAAGAAGCGATAACGAATGGTGGTCAAGCTGCATTTCGATGCGCTGCCTCGGCTCAGCCGGATCGACTAGGATCATTGAGAAATACCCTCTGCGGGCTTTAGCCAGGCTTCCTAGAGTGTTGCATCCGCAACTGATAATTCATCTGCCCAGACGTCCCTCGGCCTGCCTGCCCCTCGATCGTCATCGCACTTTGCCGGCCAGCAACGGCTGGTGGAGCAGTCCAGGGGATCTTCCATATTTATGCGCCAGTACCCCGGACATGGGGAATTCACTTTGTACTTGCTTTTGCTCACTCTCATTTGATTTCCTACGCAGAACCCGTTGTTCTACCGCCTAGATACCCGGACGAACCCCCCACCATGCCCACCGCATCCGCATATCCCTCCTTCGAGGTCCCCAACACGGACCTCTGGGGCCTCCTCTTCGAGCGCAAGGACCGCGCATTTCCAGACGACAAAGGTAAAGCCCGGCATCCTCCCCTTCCTCCTCCAGCTGCTCGTTCCCCTCCTCCTCAGCAGCAGCGCCGCACACGCTTCCCACCGCTAACAACATCAACCCCCCAGTAATCTACCTCGACCCCTCCACCTCCCGCTCCTACACCTACGCGCAGGTCAAACAAACCGCCCTCGACTTCGGCGCCGGCCTCCGCGCGCTGTGGGACTGGCAAAAAGGCGACGTCCTCGCGCTCTACACGCCCAACTGCATCGACACCCCCGCCATAACATGGGGCACGCACTGGGCGGGCGGGGTGCTCTCTCCCGCCAACCCGGGCTACACGGCCGAGGAGTTGGCCTTCCAGCTCAAGGATGCCGGGGCCAAGGCGCTGGTCACGCAGATGCCGTTCCTGGCGAATGCGCGGAAGGCGGCGAAGATGGTGGGGCTGGACGAGAGCAGGATTGTGGTGATGGGGGACGAGAGGGATGGGACGGGGAGGGTGAAGCATTTTTCGAGTATACGGAACACGAGTGGGGCGACGAGGTATAGGAAGAGGAAGGTTGATCCGAAGGAGGATCTGGCGTTTTTGGTGTACTCGTCTGGCACAACGGGACATCCTAAGGGGGTCATGCTCACACATAGGAATATTGTGAGTAATGTGCTTATGATCAAGGCGGGCGAGGGCGGGAAGCTGGGGTGGAACAACGGCGCCGACGGCTCAGGGGACCGCGTGTTGGCGTTTTTGCCCTTCTTCCATATTTACGGTATGTATTGTCCCTCTCCGGCCTCCTGGCTTGCTTCTCCTTCCCTAGCCCCAGGTGCAACGAGCTGACCCTGAAACAACAACAAGGCCTCACCTGCCTGATACACCAATCCCTCTACACCGGCTTCACGCTCGTCGTAATGTCCAAATTCGACATCGAGTCCTTCTGCCGCATCATCCAAGCCCACCGGATAACCTTCGCCTACGTCGTGCCCCCCGTGGTCCTACTCCTCTCCAAACACCCCATCGTCGCCAAATACGACCTCTCCTCCGTGCGCATGATGAACTCCGGCGCCGCGCCGCTGACGCGCGAGCTCGTGGAAGCGCTCCACGCACGCCTCAAGATCCCAGTGAAGCAGGGCTACGGCCTCAGCGAAACAAGTCCCACGACGCACACGCAGCCGTGGGAGACGTGGAACACGACGATCGGGTCAGTCGGGACGCTGCTGCCGAACCAGGTGGCCAAGTACATGTCTCCCGAGGAGACGGAGGTGCCCGCGGGCCAGACGGGGGAGCTGTGGATCCAGGGCCCCAACATCTTCAAGGGCTATCTGAACAACGAAGCCATGACCGCCAACGCCCTGACCGCGGACGGGTATTTCAAAACCGGGGATGTCGGCTTCCAGGATAAGGACGGCAACTTCTACATCACGGACCGCGTCAAGGAACTTATCAAGTACAAGGGCTTCCAGGTCCCGCCGGCTGAGCTCGAGGGCCTGCTGCTGAGCCACCCGTGCATAGAGGACGTGGCGGTCGTGGGCGTGTACGACAAGGCGCAGGCGACGGAGGTGCCGAGGGCGTACGTCGTCGTAGCCAAGGGCGTTGCAGAAAGCAAAAAGACCGAGGAGGAGATTGTGGGCTGGGTTAGGGGGAAGGTCGCGGGGCACAAGCGACTTAGGGGCGGCGTGAGGTTCGTGAATGAGATCCCGAAGAGCGTGAGTGGGAAGATTCTGAGGAGGGTGCTGAAAATGAGGGTTAAGGAGGAGGAGGAGAACGCTGAGGTTGCGGTGTCGGAGAAGGCGAAGTTGTAGATGGGGAGGTTCGGATAAGGGGGTGCAGGTGTTACGGGTACCGTTTCTGTGAAGCGTTGGATATACTGCTTTACCTTGTAGAGTCACGAATGCATGGCGATGCGCTGTGAACAGGCGTCGTTGACCCCTACCAAGCGAGCAGTGTCCCTGGCCCATAATACCTCTATGCTTGAGCGGGCAAAGACGTTCAGTCTGAGAGGAATTGACACTGTTGGTTATTTTTACCAGATGCGTTACTGTCTCACAGTATGAGCTGTGAGAACGCTTGTCGTATTGGTGAAGAAGCGGATTTAGAGTTGAGTCAAGCACACCACGTGACAGCGTCCGTCGAAATCCTCCTCTCATTCAACAGCAGCACCTCGTCCAGGGGGAATAAAATCCAAAAAGCCTCCAATGCATGGCGCATACCGTCAATTCACAAAAGAACCTCCCATCCAAACCCTCGCTAGTACGCCCCACACTCAAGATTCTCCAGGCTCGTCGCTGGGCGGGTATCCGTTCATTCCGTCATCGTCTCCGGCCTCAGCGGCTTACGGCCATAAACCACAGACCTGCAATCCCGGTCAGCATCTGGTCAACGTGCCTCCCCCAAAAACCCCAAACCATCCACGGGACGGGGGAAACTCACACATCCTGATAAGCATGCACCTTCCTATCCCTCAACATGCCCCTCATCTTGGCCAAATAGACATCCACCTCCTGCTTCGTCCAGCCCAGATAGTTGATCAGCAGAAACATACACCACCCCTCGATGCCCTGCTCCCAATGCAGGCGGTTGTACAGCCCGATCTCCTTCAGGGTCTTGTCTTTCGTCCAGCCGCCAATCGGCCACTTGAAGCGGTGCTCGACCACGTCTTCGAAGCCGGCTGCGACCAGCCCGTCTTTGGACTCGTCGACGCAGCGGAGCGTCTTGCCGAAGGCGTCGCCGGCTTCGAGCGATACCCGGCCCCATTGGCTGAAGATGCTGTCGGGACCCACGCTGTCGTCGTCGGATTTGGGCACGACGCTCATTTCGACCTGCTCGAAGTAGCCGCCGGGTTTGAGGTGGCTGTTCGGGGTGTCAGTTCCTGTGCAAACTGTGGTTTGGGCGGGCGTGAAAAGGGGGGGGAAGAGAGGGAAGCGTGGGACTTGACGTACAGCATGACCTGTTCGTAGAGCTTCCCCCAGTCGGCCACGCTGCCATACATGGCGCGCACATGTATGAAATCAAAGCTTTCTTTTGTGAAGACCCACTCGTCGCATGCGTCGTCCTGGCCAAGATGAGTTAGAACCGGCCTTTTTTTTTGCTGCTTACTGGACGACCGTCCTTAAATGAGGTTTACTTACGACCTCGAAATACACATTCGGCGGCACATCACTCGGCTGGATCGGGCTCAGATCCGTGCCAATAACCTGCGCGCTCGGGAACTGGTCCGCAAAGTCAATCGCCCAGATGCCCGTCCCCGTGCCTACGTCCAGCACCCTCTGCGGATTCTCTGAAATCGGGGCGAGGAACAGCTTCCCGCCGAGGGTGAGGGTGCAGATGTGGTGGAAGATGTCGAGGGTGTCGGAGGAGGCTTCGTCGTTGGGGCCCCAGTAGGCGCCTTTGCGGTAGGCGTGGTACCGCCGCCCGTTCTCGTAGTGGTAGGCGAAGACGGCGGAGCGGAGGGAGGTGGTTGCGGACTCGGTGTCGTTGTCGCCGTAGGCGGAGTCGGCGTCTTCGGAGGTGTCCTGGGTGGCCATGGTTTAGCATGCGCGGTGCTACGTGGGGGGCGCAATGAAGCTGCGTGTGTGAGGGACGTACGATGACGAGGTTCTCGTCGTGCTCCTCTGTGTCGGCCATGGCTGCTATGGGGGTGGGTCAATTGCAGTTTCTCGAGGAGCGAGTCTCGGCAAGCAGAAGGAGGTTCGCCGGGAGGAAAGAACAGCGAGGAGAGCAAGGGACACAATTGACAGCTGACAAGCGCAAGCAACGGCGTCACAGCCCAAAGCCACTCGCGACAATCTCACGACAGGACTAGCGCACGCGAAGCTTCAATTGCAGAAGAGGCATGGAAGGGAAGCAGCGACTAAAAAGCTCGCAAGGCGTGCCGAGCAGTCGATCAACCGCGCTCGGGTGCCTTGGGTCGCGAGCGGGCACTGGTGTCACCCCAGCACCAGGTCTAGTCCAGCTGTCGCTGCATCCAGCCTGGCGCATGGCGCCGTTCAGCAGGCGCAGGGACGGCGTTTTCGAGGTGCAGGGCGGCGTCGAAGCATGGTTGGCTCGTGGCACGCTTCCCCACATGGCGCACGCCGACCCTGTCAGCTTCTGGGGATGCAGCCAACCGGACGGCGGGCCGGGGTGCCATCCAAAGAGCCCCTGCGCGCTCGCCTCGGCGGGGTCTGTTGATGATGCGAGAAATGGTGCGCACGGCTGCATGGAGCGAGTGATGAGTGAATCCAAGACGGCGCTATCCCGCGCCAGCAGACGGGAATGCGGGCCCCCCGAGCAGACAGAAATGGCTTTATGAGTAACTATCGAACGATGAGGGGCGCCCCACGCTTGTAGCAAAACCCTGGCCATTGCATCCCGGCCTGGAGACAACCGTCCCCCTTCTCAAACCTTAAGCAACGCTCTCGCCAAACTTGCAGGCTATTTAGCAAGGAGCCATGTTCTCACCGCTGGACTGGAATGCGAAGCAGGCTGTGGGGGCCTTGCTGCTGGGCGCTCTCGTCGTCTGGATCGTGTACAATGTGCAGCAGGCCGTGTACAACGTCTTCTTCCATCCCCTCGCCAGGTTCCCGGGTCCCAGAGCTGCGGCCGCGACGAAGCTCTGGAAAGCGTACATTGAGTGCATCAAGCAGGAATCTTTCTGCCACAAGCTGGAGAAGGTCCACGCGCAGTATGGTATGTACTGGTGCAGTCGAGCATTGAGCGCCTGAACTTGTTTGTGAGCCTTTGCTTAAGCTGGGCTCGCGTCTTGACATTGCCAACCTCATGCAGCCGCTGCCAAAACAAGGGAAAGACCCTGGCTAACGGCGTCGTGCATCAGGTGACGTTGTACGCGTAGGGCCCGACGAGGTATGTATAGATATCAATGTCACACCCAACAGCACTGACAATCATCCTAGCTCCACTTCGCCAATCCCCAGGCCTACCACGACATCTACAACAGCAAGAACAAATGGGACAAAGAATGGTTCCTGTACCACAGCTTCAACGAAGACCGCTCCTCCTTCGGCTTCGTGACCTACGCCGAAGCCAAAGAGCGCAAAGACGTCCTCTCGCGGACCTTCTCCCCCAAAGCAATCGAGCAGTCCCAGGGCCTCGTCATCGAGAAGGTCGACGCCCTCTGCGCGGCCTTTGAGCGGCAGGCCAAAGCCAACAAGCCCAGCGACCTCTTCTACGCCTTCCGCTGCATGTCCATGGACGTCATCACGTACCTCTGCTTCGGGGCCTCCGTCGACGCGATCGAGGCGCCAGACTTCGAGGCGCCGATTATCGAGGCCATGGACGCGTCGATGCCCGTCTTCGTCCGCTTCAAGCACGCGGAGTGGTACAAGAACATGATCATGAACTGCCCGCCCAACATCTCGCGTATTGTTTCTCCGCAGACCGCCGGCCTCGTCGATCTACAGCAGATCCTGAAGAAGCAGATCGGCAACTTGACGGAGAACCCGGAGAACTTGGCGCACTTGCCGCATCAGATGACCATCTATCATCGTCTCCTGGATAAGGAGGCGTATCGCAGTAACACGGTCCCTTCGCCTGGCAGCTTGTACGAGGAGGCGCAGGCGCTGATGTTTGGCGGGGGCGATACGACGGGGAATACGCTCATGCTGGGGACGTTCCACCTCCTGAAGCAGCCGGAGACGATGGCGAAGCTGAAGGCTGAGTTGAAAGAAGCGTGGCCGAAGCTAAGTGACGCGCCGCCGGAGCTGCGTGAGCTCGAGAGACTGCCGTATCTCAACGCAGTTGCGAAAGAGGCGCTGAGAATGTCGAGCGGTGTCATCTCGGGCCTGCTGCGTGTGGTTCCGGCCGGCGGCGCGAAGATCTGCGAGACGTTCGTTCCGGAGGGTGTAAGTCCTTCATCCGTTGCCTTGAAGGATGGAAGGGCAGGTCCGGAAAGTTAGGCACCCGCTGATCGCGTGTCATAGACCATCGTATCAATCGGCAGCACCTTCGTCCACTTCAACCCAGAAATCTTCCCCAACCCGCATGAGTGGCGTCCGGAGCGCTGGCTCGAGAATCCGGACTTGGATGACTGGCTCGTCACCTTCTCGCGGGGTCCGCGCATGTGCTTGGGCATTAAGTGAGCTACCCTTCCCCGTTCGCTCTGATCTTGACACACTTTATGAACATCGGAGACCGTCGTTTGCTGATCCACTTTCCCAGTCTCGCGTGGGCAGAACTCCGCCTGTGTTTCGCGTATGTGTTCCGCAAATTCGACATGAAGCTCGAGGAGCCAGCGTACGTTGAAATTTAGCTTTGCCCTATCGAACTTCCGGATTCGACGGTTGCTGACCATGCTTTGCGCTTGTAGTCCAAAAGAGTTGCCATTCCGGGAGACGTTCTTGCCTTACTACTACGGGCAGCATGCCAAGGCTTTCATGACGCCGGTGGCTGCTTGATTGAGCCCGCTGATATTGCGCTGGAGATAGAATCTCGAGGGGACTTCCGAGAGCTATAAAGGGCTGTAGAGTGCTGTAGAGTGCTGTAGAGTGCTGTAATCTTGGGTTGCGAGGAAGATGGCTGGTGTCACTGTTTGCATGAGGGGTGGTCGCAGTATCAGCGGCGCTAGATACCATGAAGGCCACTCCTTCTGAAAGTAGCACCTATTGCCTCGCTGTGTCCGCGTCTTTAGCGACATCTTAGAATGTGACATACGACCTTACAAGCAAAGAAACGCGGCGCAGCTCTCTCCCTGTCTTATACGCCTCCGGTTATACGCTTGATCATCTGCACCACCTCTTCCAAGCTTCCAGCCCACCAAACCGTTTCTTTCTTCTGACCTGGCGTCTGAACATCGTTTAAACTACTCAGCTCCGCACACGCAATTCCGATACGGTCCAACGTCTCAGCAAGCTCCTTCTGTGCGCTGCTCGTCGGCTCGTCCCGTATGCATATCCCGATATCAGCAGCGGCGGTGCATTCGAGGTCGGTCGGACTGTCGCCCACGTAGACCACCAGTCCTTCTTCCTGACCCGGTCGTATCTGTTGCATGCAGCGCAGCTTATCGCCGCTCGTCCTGATCCCGTCCTCGTCCTTCTTGTTCAGCAACCCTGAGGAGCCGTCCGGATCGTGTAGTCCCTCGATCTCGTTCGCAATAATCCTGACCTGCTTCACTGCTTCCCGCAGCTTATCACGCTGCGCCTCATCGCACCACTCCGCCCGCGCAACAGCATGCAGCAAACACGCCCTAATAAAGGTGGCGCTCCAGTTCACGCTGATGATGCTGACATCTACCTCTCCCGCCTCTCCCTCTCCTCCATCCTTGACCTCCTCATTGCCCGCCCTTCCCCTCTCTCCCAGCAAAAACATCCCCTCCCATCCCCGCCTCAGCTCCACATCCCCATTCTCCACCACCGCCTCAGCGCCCCTCTCCACATCCCCGGCCGCAACCCCCCTAAAAACCCCCGCCTCCTCAACCCGCCTGACACTCCTCTCCTCGACTTCCCTTAAGCTGCCCAACCAAGCCGCTTCAGCAGCCAGGGTCGTGCGCGCCGCGGTGTGCGGGCGGTACGAGCGCGCGTGGGCGGCGTAGTCGGCGGCGTAGACGTCCGTGATGGGACGCCAGGGGTCCGGATCTTGAGCGGCGCGGTGGGCGGCCGGGATGTTGGCGAGGACGGCGAGGGTGTCGCGCTTGGTGAGGGTGCCGTCCCAGTCGAGGATGAGCTGGATTGCGGGTCGTGGGGAGGACATGGTGGAGAATCGACGGGGGAGAAGGTGGAGAGATATGCGGGTGGGTGATGCCCTGAACAGTAGCGGAGATGTGGAAGTGTAGGCTCGGCGCAGATGTCGCATAGGAGATTTTAGGGCGGGGCACGGGCACGGCTGGAAAGTGTCATATACAAGCGGCTTCAGGTGAAATTGCTAAATTGATCGAGTCCAAAGGACGGACAGTAAGGGATAAGACTAAAGTATAGCTTGAAACGATCTTGGGCTTTGACTGAGAGCCTACAATCTGATGGCTATAATTTGAGAAATTACATAACGTTACTAAATGGCAGTCATAGAGGAGGAATCTCGTCCGAGGATCTAGATCTCAACTCCTGGGGGTTCTCTTTCGAGCCTGGATATCGGTAGTCAAATTTCCTGTCGCGATCTAGACGACTGAATAGTAGTCGTCCAAGAGGCGTTGACGTTTCTCGCGTGTTCTGGATATCCGTAAATAAAATAAATTACCGGGCTCTCGTGCTGAGATAATCTACGAGAATCGACAGCGAATCACAAGCTGGCGATTGAATCCCGAGGTGTCAGCCGAATTCGCCGCTCCCGTGCCTCTCCAGACTTCAATATCGTCACCTCGCTGGTACTCCACGCCTCTCAAACAACAACCACAACAAGCACCTACACACACAATGGCCGCTCTCCGCTCCTCTTCACGGCTCGTGAACAGCCTCCGGGGTACATACACGCACTCAGCACAACCCTCATGCCTCACAGCGCTGACAAGAGGGGCAGTTTCACCCGTCTGGAAGCGCGGCTTCGCCTCCGTCGACCCCATCAGCAGCTTCAGCGAAGCAACCTCCAAAAGCGCGCCCGTAGTCCCCGAATCCAAGACCTCGACCATCAAAGAGCCGGCCCCCGAGAAAGACTCCAAGATCAAGACCTTCCACATCTACCGCTGGAACCCCGACGAGCCGACCCAGAAGCCGCGGATGCAGTCCTACACGCTCGACCTGAACAAGACGGGCCCCATGATGCTGGACGCGCTGATCCGGATCAAGAACGAGGTGGACCCGACGCTGACGTTCCGGCGGAGCTGCCGGGAGGGCATCTGCGGGTCGTGCGCGATGAACATCGACGGGGTCAACACACTGGCTTGTCTGTGTCGCATCCCGACGGACACGAAGACGGCGTCGAGGATCTACCCGCTGCCGCATACATATGTGGTCAAGGATCTCGTGCCGGATCTCACGCAGTTCTACAAGCAGTATCGCTCGATTAAGCCGTATCTGCAGAGAAAGACCCCGCCGGCGGATGTGAGTCTCCTTTCCCCTTCTCAAACCCTCTACATCCCGTCCAACCAGTCTCACTAACCCCACACCTCCACAGGGCCGCGAATACCGCCAATCAAAAGCCGAGCGTAAGAAGCTCGACGGTCTCTATGAATGCATCCTGTGCGCGTGCTGCAGCACCTCGTGCCCGTCCTACTGGTGGAACAGCGAAGAGTACCTCGGTCCCGCAGTGCTGCTGCAGTCGTACCGCTGGATCGCGGATTCCCGCGACGAGAAGAAGGCTGAGCGCCAGGACGCTCTCAACAACAGCATGAGTCTGTATCGCTGCCACACTATTTTGAACTGCTCGAGGACGTGTCCGAAGGGGCTGAATCCGGCGCTGGCGATTGCGGAGATCAAGAAGAGTATGGCGTTTACTTGAGAGGGGGGTGTATGTGGGGGGTTTGGCGGGAGGGAGTTTTTGTGAGAGAGCGTGAGCTAGTTCTGTTTGGCAGACTTTTGCGCTCCTGTGCTTTTATGGTTTCGTGTAGCTATGAATCATGTTACAGTTTCCACACTTTCCTCCGTGGCATCAACAGACCAGCACAAGCGCACGTGATATCCAACCCTGAGTGCCGCCCCTTCAGATGGCGGTTTCGCCGATCCCCCTGCCCCCTTCATAAACACTCTCCACTCCCATCCGGCAGAACATCTATAGAAGGGTATATAGCAAACGCCCAAAATCCCATGCCACGATTGTGAATCCTACACCTCATTCCAAATGTCCCGAGCACACCGCTCCTCAACCCGTACTAGAGTCCCTCTGCCGGCCATGCTCCCGCTCAATAGTCTCAATAATCTCAGTCATAGCCTCTTCAAAGTCGCTGTCATCATCGTCGTCATCGTCATAGTCGTCAATCACCTCCTCATCCTCTTCAGTCCAGTCCGTGACCGAGGCGTCGAGCATCGAGTCCCCGTCCCGCTCGCTGCCCGACCTGCCGCCAGCACGGGAGGTAGCGTCGGAGCTGCGATGACCGCGCGAGTGGGGGCTTGGGGGAGTGTGGCGGCTGGTTGGGGAGTTAGTGGAGGTTGCAGCTGGATTTTGCGGAGAGGGAGGGGCGGGATGGGCGGCTGAACGTCGCTTCTCAAGAGCTTTGTGCTTCGTTCTTTTGCTTGCCCAGGACTGAGAAATCATAGGGGTAGATGTAGCACGTACCTCGCTAGCTGGCTTCTATGAGGCCGAGGCCGAGGCGGTCTCGGCGTCCAGTCAGGCGCCAGGTCGTTAGGATTGGGAAGAGGCTGAACCGCGTCGTCGCGGAGGAGCTGTGCGCCGGCGGGGATGGGAGGGTTGTTCGCGGGTTGGGCTGGCTGCAAGGCGCCGTTAGCATCGCGGCGGAGCGTTTATGTGAGGTAGGATGGTAGCGACGATCCAGTGGTCGTGGGAACTCTCGCCGAGCTTGAGAAGAGCGGGGAAACGTGGTTGAGTAGGTCGGGAACTTACGTTGCTCACGTCTAGCATCTCAGTATCGGGGTTCTCACGCCCGGTTGCCTTGGTGGTGAGTGAATCCAGTCCGGCCCGCTGCAATGGCGATGGGAGGCCGACAACAGAGTCCAGCCTTATCTTCCCCGGCACAGCTGGTGCAGTCGCTGGATCCGGATGATCGGCATCAGCATACGCGACTACAGTTCCACCTCGCTCATACAGCCTGGTATTGGCCCTCTCTCCCGGCTTCGCGACGTCAATCAGCGTTGCCAGCGGGTGGATACTCCCTATCCAAACGGTCTCACCGTCTTTAGCTTGCGGGGCAGCAGCGACGCGCTGTCCAATCAGCCTTCCGTCGTGATCGAAGAACTTCTCGAAACGCGGGGCGCGCGTGATGCGCATAGTGGCTTCGAGCTTGGCGGCGACCGTGTTGAGAACCCAGCCGTCGAAGTTCGTGATGTCGAGGGCGAGATCGGGACCACCGTTGGTGAAGAGGATGTGGATTGGATGGCGGACGTTAGTTTCGTAGGACCAGGGGACCAGAGATGCATCTTGGTGGTCCGGTAGCATGGATTGGGCTGGTGATGTCTGCTCAGGTTGTCAGTGTTTGTGGAGATCAACAGAGCGGCCAGAAGTTTCAGTGTGGGGCATATTTCTAGAGCCTCCAGAGCAATGCTGCAACTTCAAGCTTGAGGCCCTCCGGACTGATGAAGCAAGCTCGTAGTTGGCTCATCTAAAGATGGAAGTGCTCGGCGGACCAACGGAAAATTCCAAGGATGTTTCCTAGACATCGCCCATGTACTGCACTTACCTCAGGGAAGATAGTCGCTATCTCGGGTGTACAAGGTTCCGTAAGGAAATCCCTCGACTGGTCTCCTCGGTCGTCCGGCAGCTTACGTGCGGAGCTTAAGTTACCGTCCAACACCTTGACCCAGGGGATGTTTAGCGGATGCTCTTGTTTAGACCGCTGAGTGGTGATGACGCGCAACATCATCAGCTTGAGCAGACGCCGCATGTGGGGTTCTGGGACGCCTGACCAACTGTTTTCAACGCTGTAGGTAGAAAGGTACTTTTCAAGTTCCATATCACAGCTGTGAAGATGGGTGCGACCCCCGTACTCCCGGCATGCCGAACTGCAATAGACAGCATCCTTGCAATACTCACAGGGCTGCAACCCGTCACGATGCGTTTCGTTGGAGGCCTTGATCGACGCAACAGGACCCGTCAAAACAGCCGCGCAGGAGTGGCAGAGAGTATGGCCGGTCATGCCATCCCCTGAAGTCACGTGAAGGTTACTCCGTTCGATGCACAGACACGTGCCAGCTGGAGTATCGGAGCCTGCTGATGCATACAGTCTTGCTTTGACAGCTTTGCCATCCTCCAGGAAAGGTTTTATCTCACATGATGACAGGAGGTCTCGGAAATGCGCGTTGAGCACTTGAATATTCCTATCGATGTTTTCCGCGGTCAGGCTGATTTGATCCCAGGGATAAAGTTCTCTCCGGATCTTAGTGTACCGCGTGCTCAACAAGCCTTTCGTCCCAGTCCGACTGCCGATCTGATCGATATCTGTCATGATGCGGTTTTCCAGCTCGGTGAATGCCCAAAAGTATCCGTCCAAGGGTGGGTATCCATCCAACGGTGCGTCGAAAAACAACTGGCCAGGTTTGGGGGCAACCTTGTTGCGTGAACCGGACGAAGGTCTCTGTTCCTCCCAAAGCCTGTAGCTCCGGCTCCGAGCATCAGCCAATACTTCTAGGGCAGTCCGCATGGCACCGCCGCCACACTTCCATAGCGAATACGCGAGGCGCCAGTAGGCCTTCATGATAACGTCGTTGGTGAAATGCCATTCCGCTTCGTTCGCAGCTATGCCTACCGGCAGCGGTTCGAGAATCAATGCCGCCAGGTCGGTTTTGAGCCAGCTCACAGCATCTCCTCCCACGAAGCGGCAAAGCGCCGTCAGGCTTGTCTTGTCGGTTGCTAATGCTTTTTCTACATGATAACCATAGGACACGATCTGGCGGGTCAAAGTCCTGAAGTCCACATGATCCTTAAGCGCCCAAAGGCCGCCGAGAAAGGCGCGATGCGCATCGTACACTGCGAGTGACGGATAGCCGAGAAGTAGATAACAAAGCGAGCGGTTAAGAAAGGCCACTGGATGGCCAGTTGACGTCTTAGCAAGGACCTCAGTGTAGATGTTGAGGGCGGCGACTGGGCGTAGCGCGGCGAGTTCGATATTGCCGCGGACTATGTCGGCGGCTCCGTAGTGGCGCAAGGTCAGGCGGATGTTGAGTCGTTTTCGGCCTGTTGCTGATGTTGATGGAGGTGCGTCGGCCATGGTGCCACTTGAAGAGTTCACTCTCCCCTCAACTTATGAATGAAAAACGCAATGCCCCCAATATCAGATGGGAGGCTCTCCGATATCGTGCCTTTCACTGATAACACTGCAGCCAGACAAGCGCGCGATATTCGAATCCAGCAAAGTTTGGAGATGACGCGACTGCGGGAGTTAGATGGCGCTCATTGCAGCTGGCTCGCGCCAGCGAAATCGTGAAGTGACAGGAGACTTTCACGTCCTATGGTGAATGGTGGGCAGACATCGCACGCGCCTTCCAAACCCAGCTGGAGGAGCTTCGCGTTGTGGGAAAGTAAGGTAGGAGACGCAGGTGCAGTGGAGGCGAAACGATGGAACAGAGTTACTCTTCGATCTTCGTGTGAATGAATGATTGATTGCAAGGAGAACTGCGTAGAATGACACCGAGTGGTGGGGAGATTGCAGTAATTTGCAGACGAGTGAAGTGGAAGGTGAACGACTGTGACATGATCTAACAGCGACTGTGGCCTTCCACTTCTTGAATACTGTAGGTTAGTATTGAATCCTAATATTTGGGCGGCATTGGGTCAGGTCCATTGACAGGAAACTTCTTAAAACTCTGCCCAGCTTCGAAAAGCTCATTAGCCGACATATCTCTTCAAAACTCAGCGCTATCTCCCTAAGAGCTTCCTGCTACTATCCCTCTACATCCCGAAGATGATTTTCCACAATAGCCTTGAACGAGAAAGCTCCCCTCGCTAGCTGTTCGTTCAATCTCGCGCTCCTCCAGTGTCTCACACAGAAACTTCGTGCTCGCATGCACATGCCCACTAGCATGCACATCGCCCACCAGCGAACACACACATTGCAGCAGCTGCAGGGAGACGAGCAAGCACTACATAGTGCAAGAAAACGCCTCCAGATGTTGCTGGATATTCCAGCCCGGTAGCTTTACAACATGGAAGCACGAGGTTTGCATGGAACGCGCGCTCCAGGAAGCCTATTCGCTCCCTCCGGCCTTCTTCATCACCTGCAAAAGGCATCAGTATTCACGAGGAACTGCGAGTAGTGCTATCGAAAATGCATCTATTACCCAGTCTTCAGGGGACGTTGTCGGGGAGATCGTCAGCCCGCAAGGGTCGTGTCCCCCAGACTTGGCGTTCAACGACGAGAAAGCTTGATTCATATCCCTGCCGGAGGGACTGAGAGGATACTTCAACACCTGGAAAGTCAAGTCATCCGTTTTGAATGGGATTTCATGCTGTTAAGTGCTCTTGTCAGCTTGCACTTCGAACGCTTTGTGCAAGACGATCACCGTCAATTTCGGGCCACTACACAACACCGCATCGCAGGTGATAAGCTCAAGCGCTATGACATAGGTCATTGACACCCTTGCAGAGCGGCAGGTTGCGAGATGCTCCCCCGCTTGTTGCGAGCCTGAGGTTGTCCGCATCCGCGAGCTTCTCAGCTTTGGATTCACCCATCATCGCGCAGCTTCGTGCTTGAAGGCAGTGTTGAACACCTCGACCAATTGTGAGTTTACGAGATCTTGCTGGAGCATCTCCAAGCTCCCACGGTTCGTTGCAAGCATGCGGTGCTCATTTTGCTTCTTCGTGGTGGACCCGCCAGCCTAACCACTGTTGCACTAGCCGATTTACCCGTTCTGCAGAGCTTAACTCTCCCGAGTCCGACGCCCAGCCTTCTTCGCCCACCACCTCACAGCTCCTCTCCACAACCTCCAGTTCCAAACAGCTTCCACAACTTCGCAAGTCTTCCTAGAAGCCTCAAAACATACTGTAAGTCGCCATTGGCATCTCTCTTCTGCGATTGAACCGTGAAGACGGCTCCGGAGCTACCTCACTGTCGAGCCGTCCGATCGCGACCCGAGACCGCGACAAGTGCCTCAGCAAGTTCGAGTCGAATTTCGCACAATGTGTGCACGCCTGTCGCTGAGCGCACCCTCGATAAGCCTCTCTTGTCTACAACCGTAAATTTGCCGCCGAAGTTGGCCCCGGCCAAGCTTCCTTTTCGTTGGGAACCACCAGCCCTCCGAGGGCCAAAGTTCGCAGGAGAGTCGCTTACACGGTCCAGTAGCCGCTTCAATATCGATATAGCCGGGCGACTACTGCTACATCAAGAGCATTTTCAGGTATGCGCTATGTGTTGTCCACCGGACCCTCTTCTTCAGCTGCGCGGCTCTTCGCCAGTAGAAGCCGAACCCTGCCCCCAACTCGCTTACTTAGAGCCTGCAAGTACTCCGCTTGATGGCAACTAAACAACTACCTCAGGATGCGCCAATACCAGGTCGACGAGAGCCAGCATTATATCCTCGGCCATTGGATATACTACACTGGAGGCCCCCGCTAACGCATTCCCATTTCGTAGGCAGCTTCGCACAATCGCAATGGCCGCTTTCGACCACTCCCTCATCGCCCGCAGCGAGGCAACCATCAGCCACCTCGCCAAGCGCAACTTCGCCCAGGAAGAGCCCGGCGTCATCCTCGTGTTCTGCATCATCGGCGTCGTCGCCATCCTCCTCCTAGCTCTCTTCATCAACAGGAAGCTCCAGGCGCGCAAGGACCGCGCACCGGCATAAGCACCACACCAGACTGAAGTGAAGCGGAAGACTGAAAGCGTTACGACTGTCTGATGTAAAGTGTGGTGTACTTGGAGCGGGTTGGCGGGAATGTGATGGTGGCCGTTTGGAGAGAATCCCAACAGCAGGAACGGCAATGTAGTGCGGTTTCCTGGGCAATCGTAGTAGATGGGCTTGTCTATATCTGTGTTTGGTATACCACGTCTGCGTTCTTTTGGCCGACAGGGCTGCTGTAAATGTCGCATCGGGGAAGAAAATGTCGGAATAATGTTTCATTCTTATGGCATGAGCTACCTAATCCGTCCTTCCGCGCTACATGATTGTCGACTGCAATCCAGTATTGAAATTTCCTACTACAGCCGCTGAACGTACTATACAACATCCGCTTCGACCAGTTCGATCACGTGTTCGGAGAAGTCGCACATCGCGGCCGATTCAGCTGATGCTTCGGCTGATGCTTCTTCGTCAACCTTCGCGCTTGTCTTGGCTGTATCGTACGTTGGAGGTCCTCACCGCCCACCAAAAGTCAAAGCAACATCAACTGACTCGTTTCGCGTATCTGTATCAGCTCCTGTAGCCGTTCAAAATTTCTCCCTACCTATCCAGCGTTTGTCCTTCCCCCCCCCCTCCATTCATGCTACTCAACTCAAGTTTGATCGGGTCGACGGTATTACCTGTCAGGTTCGGGAAAACTTTTGATGCGTTACTCTTCTGAATTCTATGCGCTTCGTCTAGGTAAATTTTGTCCCACTTTCGAAGCATGGTCGGGAAATAACGTCTGCTGGGCGTCGCTGCCATAGAATCTGAACCTTCCCGGGGTCTAGAGAAGCTTTCTTGTGCCTTTTCTTTAAACTCTAGCTAGGGGTTTCGCCAGTCCTCGTGTCCGGTCTTGGCCATCTCACACGTCGTCAGAAGGACGTGGTACTCCCCAAACCCAGCCTGGAAGTGATTCCGTGACTTGTTGTCGGTGTCTCGTCTCGCGCCTGTGTAGTCTTGTCAACCATCTCCTATAGCCGCGCGTTCTGTTCATCAATCTCCTCTTCCGCTTCCACCACCCTCAGCGGCAGCTGCTCGATAGACTCTATCGCCTAGACTCTGTCGTGTAGGCGCCGGTTGCGTTCGGTGCCCATCTCAATAGTCTTGCCTGTGTTCGCAAGCATGAGCTGTAGTCTAAAGCGCTCCTGGTTGGCGGATGCCAGTTAGGTCTCTAATGTTGGGAGGCGTTGGTTCAATTCCTCACGCGTGAACTGCCGTGTGGCTGCCTCCCTCGAACTCATCTTGAGCGACCGCTGCCAGATGCAATTGTTGATCGAGTTAATGGCATCTTCTTTTGTAGCCCCATCGGCGACCCAGCCCTTGATGATCTGGAGCTTTTGGTGCCAATAGTTGTGCCGCTGGAAGTACCTTTTCAAGCCCCACTTCTTAGTGCTATCCAAGTAGCGCTCCATGCGTGCCTTGACGTCTGCCGGGTAGTCAATCATGGAGGCCCACTTCGCTTTGAATGCGGGAGTTGCTCCCTCTGCTCCTTATCCCTCAAGTACCCCTCCGAGCATACTACCGGAGCTGTTGCTTAACCTCGCCGAGCTAGACCTAAGTTTGTGTAGCTTAAGCTTAGAGACGCGCATCCACCTTTTCTAGCGCTGCCTTCTTAACGAAGATGTCCTTTAAGGACTTCTAGAGACTAGAGATGGTGGCGTCGACTATTATCGACCTGGGAGAGATTCGCTGCTTAGCCTCGCGGAGTTGCTGATGAACTGGAGCTGTGACTCCATCAGCTCGTCAAGGGAGTTGATGTCAATAAGGAGCTTTCTCCGAAGGGCGATAGTGAGTAGGCGGTGAGGCACCGAGAGTCTAATATTGGCTTTTGAGGGCGAGGTGATGTTAACGACCAACGGACGCTCTTGCACTGGTGCGTCTAGATTACCTGGTGCTTTGATCATGATGTTATTAAAGGTGACCTTAACGCTGAACTTGCCTTTCTTATCACCTGCCATAAACTCGAGGTACCTCCATTTAATAGACTCGGTACGACCGTATTGGCCTAAGATTCCTAGCGAGCCTGGTCGAACGGCGCACACCCGGGCCAGACACCAGATGGCCTGGTGCTGCTCGGAATTCTCAATGCAACGGGTAGTGTTCATCTTATAGTCAATGAGTTCTGGTCGGCTAAGCCAACGTAGCTCTTCTTTTTCACCGCCTTCAAATTCGCACCGCCAACAACGCTGGCTTATGCGAACTGCATCGCCTCCGCCATCTTGTTGAAGAGCTTGGATCTGTTTGGTGGCTCCGCGTCACGTGTCTGATAGATGCGCTTCGTATTTAGCTAGGCGGGTGTCTTTTTACGCGACCTCATTAGTAAGGCTTATATTATAATATTAGTATCCTCGAGCATTATCTGTTCTATTAGTGCTGATCGGAGTTCATCAATCATGCTATCTGCTGTTGCCAGCCGCCCCGGCTCTTCGTTCGCCCTTCCAGCTTGGGTGTGCCGAGTGTCGAGAACGCAGACACCAACCTCTGTAAGGATATTTATTTAACGGTGGTGTTCGGTGTCGACGGCGATGAGAACCGTGTCGCCAATCAGTTCGCACGGAACGGGGTGACTAGGATCGAAGCTGTAATCCCTCTACTGCACACGCATGATAGAGAGTGCGATTATGGTCTATAATGTGCGTAGGGTATCGTTGGCGGCGTTGTGGGCTCCGGCTGGCGCTCTCTTGCCCTTCTTATTACGGTGTCCAAACCCTGCTAGCTGTAGCTGCAGAGCCACTTGCTGAAGGCCTATTCATTCATCAATGCCAGATCTATTGATAAAAGTAGGCTCGCCGCTCTCATACCTCCCTTGCCTAGCATGGAACGTGCGAACGGCTGTGTGTCAAACCTAAACTTCACGAAATTTTGACGCGTCGGGTCATAGCCAATCTCGCGGAAGGCGGCTGCTTCATTCTGAGCGGCATGGGCGATGTAGACTACGGTGCGCTGGCCGGGGGGTGTGATACGTGTACGTAGCGTCAGTGTCCGCTATGCTCAGCATCAGCACAACACCAAAAAGTCATCAGAGCTTTTACGTCCTCCATGGAAGCCCTGTAACCTTCACACATCTAGTCAGGTGTCTGTCGTCTCCCAGGCCCCCTGGTCCCATGCGTCCAGCATACGAGTACTGCGCTTTTTCACAACCGCGAGCATAGGTTCTCATGAGATAGCCGGAATGGAACACGGCGATGGTTGATCAAGGAATAGATGATGGAACTAGGCGCGGTATATTTCGAACTCTCCCCCTCTCTCGCACAGCATCGCTAGCATGAGTCTGTCCTCCATCATCTTTCCAGAATGGAAAAATGGCCGCTCGGCAGGATTTGCCGGATGAAAGGCAGCGTATTACAGTAGGCCTCGCATGGGGCCCTATCCCTGCGGATCGACGCACGATGTGCTCTTCGACAGCGAACCCTTTGAGGATATAGCGATGCGAGAAAGTGCACAAATTCTTCTGCACCGCCCTGGACCTATTAACGCGGCCGATCTGCTGCATCTCGTCGCGCTTCACCCATAACGACTCGAGCATAAGGACCCGTATTACGCGGATAAAGGTGAAACCGGCTCCTACTATCGTCTGAGTGCCAACCATAAAGTAAAGGGGTTTCTTCTTTGTAGCTTCGGGATCCTGCTTAGTATCCGTCTTGTCCAGATTGCTGAGCTCCTCAATTCCGTCGACAAGTGCCTATCAGTCACCGGGTGCGATATTAGCGTGCATAAATTCGACGCGGCCCTTGCTTATAAAGTATTTAAGCCACTATAGATCTGGTTAGCCGGTTCTCGTTATATAGCTGCGGTATAATAGCGCCGAATAGGTTAGATTACTCACTATATAGACCACGAATGCCGTAAAGGGATTGTTAGCAAAGAATAGTACCTTCTCCTCTCTGCCTAGATAGTCGTGCTTAAGCTTAAGAGTTGCTATATGTATTGTATGGAGCTTCGGTGACTTCGCGATCTTCTTAGGATGCTTGTAGACCCACGACTTCTGTCTCTCCCACCCAGTTCTTCATACACTACTCCATATACTCTCTCTTAAAGTCGCTTTCTCGAGCCTCATCTATCTCAAGCATATGGGGAAATAGATCCTAGATGCTTTAAAGGAGTTGGTAGGCCTAGCCTAATCTATTTCGGCTTTGGCTTTGGCTTCGGCGTGTGCTTATGATCTACACTACACTTGCCGTGCACCCTAAAGGTGGGCTCCTGCTGGTTAAACGCGAACGCGACGGAGTTCCTAAAAACACGCACTCGACACGTCACACTAAGGAACGTAACATACGGCAGCTCTTCCGGGTACTCCTGGGAACCTCGCTCCTCTGGCGTCTTAGCGAGCTGGAAGTGCTGCATAGCCTTGAGCTTCTTTGCCAAAACCTCCGTAGTGGTCTTCATGTGCTCCTCAAGCTTTGCTTTGAGCTTAGAGTCGGGTGGTCTTCTCCGAGAGGGACGGGAATGTTTGCGGTCCGGTGTATCTGACGGTGTGGTGGCACTGCCTGTGTTCATGTTCCTTGCTCGACGCTTACCTCTTGAGCATTGGCCGGTCCACAGGCGAGCGCCATAAGTAATCAGTCCACCTGCCTTTGAGGTCTCGCTGTACTAGTCTTTCGGATGCGTCTGTCGAGCTTAGTGAGAAATTCGAAGTTCATTATTCGTATCAGTGATGTCCAACTTTTTTTTGAAGCTTCGTAGATATATCTCAGGTTGCTGCTTGTTGTACGTATTCCTGTTGTTTGATGATTTGCAGGGTTGTGTGAGCTGCCGATTATTGATGGCTCGAGCTATAGTCGATCCACTCAGATTGATTGACTTAACTCTAAATTTAGTTAAGCTCGTGGCATCACTGTCCATATAGATGGCCTGTTGTTGGGGTGCTTTAGATATGCGCCACTCTCCTCTGTACGACCTCATCGGCCATATCGCCGTCAATCGCGCGGATGTAGTCTTCGACGTCATTGTTTCTATGGGCGAGGTAGGTGGCCGTCCACCTATCAAGGTCGTCCATCGCCGGGGAGTCCTGTCGTAGGGTCGCGGCCGTGTGGTATGACCAATTACGAAGAGTGACCGCGAACTCCTCGTTCGTCTTCGCGATATCTAGGACCATTTGCTTGCATACGGCTTCGTTCTTCTGAGCGGTTGTCAGCTCCGCTCCTAGGGTTCGCATTGTCTCGTTTTCCAGCTTGTTGGAGGCGCCCAGCGGGGGCCAGCCGTTGTACAGCATATTGTCGTCTACAGTGTTCTTGTTCATTTTGATAGTGTTGTAGAGAGGTGATCAATCAAGAACTAAGCTTCTGTCGTTCTTGGCGGAAGCGTGTAAGAGGCCGCGCGGAATGAGCTCGAGTCGGCTGGTCTGAGCGCTTGTGGTAGGGTGAACCGGAGCAGAGATAGTTTGTCGTCGATGTAAGTATGGTCACGGTATCCCCATACTTCCTTGGGCCTCCAGCCGTGATCCGGACACATGGCGTGGTATTGGGGCACGGCGAAGTTGTGTTCGTTGGTACGGCTCACTCTCCGTCCTTTGTTCTTTCTAATCTCGCACCTCCTAGTAGATGGACCACTGTGGAGCGAGCAATCAGCAAGGCTTCCTGGCGGATCGCTGCCGCGGCTCGAATATTCCCGCTTGATATGAAACTGTATCTCATCTTCCAGAGAGCAGCAAGCGCCATAAGTATCACGCTACCTTATTATCAGTCCACCCTCCTTTGAGGTCTCGCTGTACTAGTCTTTCGGATGCGTTTATCGAGGTTGGTGAGAAATTCGAAGTTCATTGTCCATATTAGCATGCGCGCTCGGACTTCCACCGGATGATCGATCATAAAGGCCCACTTCTTCTTAAAGGCGGCCGTCGCTCCTCTCCGCTCCTTCTCCTGCAAGTACCCTGCTGAGAACGGTATCACTGAGTATACCTTGTCCTTCAGGGTGTCCAGCGCCTCAGACCCTGCCTGGATGAACTCATCGAGTCTCCAAGCTACCGCGTACTGTTCGTTCGGAGGCAATAGCAGAAACTTGCTGATGAATACATCCTCCTGACCCATGACACTCGTCAGATAGCTGATATCCTGGAGTCGCTGATTAGTCAGGGCTCGTCGGCGTCGGGGGTCGATCCGGGCGGCTTCTCGAGATCGGTGGCCTTCATAACGGGCATCGGATCCCCCTTAACGTGGTACACGAAGCCTCCGATCCCATATTCCTTCGAGACGTCGCAGTCTATGTAGATTGGACGTTTCGGATCTTGGTAGACCAGGAAGGTTGGTTTGCGGAAGTGGCCTTAAATCGCCCTAAAGGCCTCGAGATGTCTTTCTGAGGGCACGAGCTTGGTTCGAGATGCATATGCCTTTCTCTGCCCGCCTCTCGACTTAGGAGCTGCGAGTAGGAGTTCCGTTTTGAGCTCCTGGAGCGGTTGCGTGAGCTGCGCGTAATAAAAAACGTATTGGCGCAGCCACTCAGTCAGTCCCGAGGTAGTTTTCGAGGGCTCCTAGCGTGGATGGGAACTGGAGGGCGCGGATCGCCTCGACTTTCTCTTCGTTGGTCCCATGTTCAGCGCATTCTAAAGCTTCATAGATATATCTCAGGTTGCTGCTCGTTGTATGTATTCCTGTTGTTCGGTGATCTGCAGGGTCGTTTGAGCTGCTGATTATCATCTGGGAATCGGAGAGACAAGTGGCCACTCCCTAAGTGACGTTGCTTCGCTTGTGCCGCATTCCTAGTTCTTGTGATATTGCATCTCTCGGAGCTGTTAACATCTTGGACGTTCTTCCTATCAGCAGATCGATTCCCGGAATACGCGCCAGAAACCTCAAGACCAGCAACATCGCTACTGCACTTGGCACTCTTGCATTATTTCCTGTATTGCAGCCTCTCTTCGAGTGTGTGATGGGCAGTAGTGTTCATGAACTTCTTCTCACTATCGATATCTTAATCGAACTCGAGCGCGGTTGTTGCTTTCTGGACCGCGGAAGAGGAACACAGGCATCTGTGAATCGGCGCGTAGACGGCTCCTGCGCTATAGTACTCGAAGCCATCGCAAAGACAAGCATCATAAAGGCGTCATATTGGTTGAGCCAGCGGGTGGTGGCAGCCGTTGCTATCGCTTTCAGTCATTCTGCTATGCCAGTAAGGTGGTTTCAGGTCCACCCGGTACTGCCGAAGGATCCTCCACGCCTCGTCAGCACAGTGCTTGCGGATTTCGCGGTCATGCCACGCTTCAACGAAAAGATTCGTATCTTTCTTGTACTGGCGCGTCGGTTTGAAGGGCTTGTCTAGTGGTTGGGAGTCCTCTTCGGAGGGTTCCTCTTCCTCGTCATCGTCCAGGAAGCCTAGCTGACGTACGAGGTTCCGGTCTGATGTGTACGGGTGCATAGACTGCGACGATCGGTGCCGCTTGGGTCGCCCTGATGATATAGGTGAGGGCGATAAAGGACGTTTCAACTGCCTAGCCGCAACAACAGAGTCTGGTGTGCGAGTCGGGAAAGGGTATATCGTCGCCTTCGACGACATGCGGAGGGGAGAACAGGCGGCAGGTCTCGTCTTCTTGCTTATATGGACCGAGCCACACGCTCGTCTCTGCAAGCACGAATCTACATTACCATCAGTTATGCTTAACAGAATGACGCGGAGGCGAAGACAGGTCTGACGGGTCTGGCGAAGGCGTATCGGTGGATACGACCACGGCTTGAGAGCGCAACTCGCCCCGAGGTGGTTGGGCTGATTGGGGAGGTGAGGTTTGCGTTCTCCGTGTGTTTTTGTCTGAACTGTGTCTGCAATGGTGTACGAAGCCGCATAGAACAGACTCTCGTGACACGCAGCCAGCTCCATGCTTCGGTATCATCGCATGGGTGATTGGAAGGTGCGATGGTACTCAAGATGCCTTGGAGTGTGCTGCGTCTCTCGATACGAGCCGCACTCGATGTCGGTACTCTGGTCAGACGCTTCGTTAGTCAACACGGTTTCATCCTTCATAGCCTTCTGGCGGTCAGTGGTGTATGGCGCCAATAATTTAGCTGACCGTAAACGCTTAGTAGCGGGAGCGTCGTCCGTAGGGACAGCGGGACGCTTCGGATATTGGTGATATGAACGGGATGAAGCGGACACCTGTAGGTATGCGCCGAATAGGTATAGTACAACACCGAGGCCGGTGGAGCCGTGATGCTCAACTTGTCTAGAATGGCGAAGTTGGATGTGAACCGGTACAGGCATGATTCCGCCGAAGCATGCCGGGTCTAGCTTTATAATCGTTCGCACACAATGGCTTTTCTCGCATGCAGCATCCCGGACTTCTCCAACGCTAACCAAGGCGGATGATCCGGTCGGCCATAGGAAGGGTCGCGAACAAGGATCACAGTGGCTGCGTTAATCTTCTTAATGAGGCCATACCTCAACACGGCTTCAACTTCAAATCTTGTATTTCTCCTGAACATCATCGCAACTGTGACCCATACCGCGCATGCTGAGGAACCAACGGCACTCTGGAGCGGCCTGTCTCCGAAGTACATCCCGTGCTTTTTGCGCATGGCTCTGAGTTCCGCGAGGGTTGAAACTACTCAATATGCTCTCTAGTATAGGGTGACAGGGCCGGTGAGCTCCCGCGTCACTGCGGATCTCCGTTCTCAGCGGCTCGATGGCCTCGTCTTGGTCCTTTCCATTGAAGATCCGATGTTGGCCCATCCGGGCTTGGTAAGGTCCAGCTGCGGTACTGTGTAGCATTGCGGGCTGATTTGAATCGAGATCCCTCTTCTTGCAGACAGTTCTTTTTTGCAGTCCCGCTGTGCACAAAGCTGTGGAGCTCATTGTTACGAGTGCTGTTCTGCAAACGGAACCTATCCGGGGTCAGACTAGGGGCTGGAAACACACCCACGGCCGATCCACTGTGTCGGCTGGTAATCAGGCCAGAGTTGTGACTGTAAGGAAGTCTTGAATAAGGCGGACGGTGGGCCACGGCAACTTCAGCCGGGAGTTTTGTGTTGGACTGGTTGCCGTACAACATCGCCAAGATCTTGTTCATATGGGCGAGGTCCATTGCCATCATCACATCCTCGTACGGATCGAGGCAGAGTACGTTGAAGATGTCCATTTGGTAGAGCGCACACGCTTATCTTGTTTCAGACCGATGCGTTGATTTGATGTGCTGTTGTGTAGGTTCCAACCAGAATGTGGACGTTGCCACATCTCTTGCTGCCCGCGTAACGACTGGATGCAGGCGAGTGCTGGATCTAGGCGGAATCTCCCTCCATAGCTGGTTGGATGTTAGTCAGTTGAGAAAGACGCAATTTGAAAGCAGGTCGAGGCCGTCATTGATGCGTTACCGTCCAGCTGTGGTATTCTGTAAGTCTGGGTGCAGGTGTATTCCTTTCTACGTAGTTATCCTCGATGAAATTGTGTTACCTAAGGCTATTTGTTGTGTGGTTATATGCTGTACTGCTATTTTGTGAGCTTTGTTTCTTCGTACTTCTTGTTACGTTGTGGTGAGTCTTTCCGCAGCTTGCGGTTATCCACCGGAACTCGCTGTTACTGGCTTGAGAGAGGAACCAAGTCTTCCTAGGGACGAGTAAGACCTTGCGTTTGCTACGGTCCGGCTACACCACTTTCGATTACCCGTCGGATGGAGTCAGAGGGAAGGGAAAGTTGGCAGCTGAGAGATGGAGATTACGAATGCGTGACAAGAGATGCGCACAAGACATCACATGATACAAGTGTGTAGAGACGCAGCAAGGCAGCAATGACTGTGTGATTAAGATTAAGTTCTAAACGGCTATTATGGACGAAAGAATGGATATACCGCAATACGCTTCACATTACCAGACGCCCAACGACATATGATCTAGTGTGAGGATATATAGATCTGAGGCACCTCTATGCGGCCGGCTTGAGCCTCTCCTCAGCCCATGTGCGGTACTCCTCCGCGAGGCTCCTCTGCACCCATTTCGTCGTAATAATGGCCCAGATGCCAGCCCACAGGAACGGAATTACCCAGCCAACCTGCGTAGATGTCAGAATCGCTTCGTTACCAGCAGACTAGAATCAAGACTTACAACATAAGCAGCATCCTTCTGAATAGTAAAGATGAGCGTCGTTGTGATCGCCGCAATGATACAAGCGCCAAACCCCCAGAACAGCGTAAGCCGGTGCAGCATCTGTCTGAACATCTTGCTGGCCTGGTAGCGGAGGTTGAGGCGTTGTCGGAATTCTGTGCCGCCTGAGCCGTCGACCGCTACGATGTCCTCGATAATCGAGTAGATACCGGGGCGTAATGGCGAGCCTCTTGGTAGGGAAGAGATTCGGACTGGCGACCGGTACCCGGCAATGCGGAGAACATCCATGACGAGCATCTCGACACCGAACGCGAACACCATGCTTGAGACTGGCATGGCAAGAAGCCGGATGGGTGGTTCATGGGGCACGGTGCCAACAATGAGCTCGATCATGACCGCTATCCATGCAACTGAGAGAGTCCAGTGAAACCAGTCCAACTATAGCCGGTAAGTAGGGGAACGTACAGTAATCAAAGTCAACTTACGTAGAACCGCCGCGCGCCAATCACTCGGCAAGTCGAGCCTTTCCTCCACAGCCTGCGGAAACGGATGAAGTACTCCACAATGGAGACCGTTCCCAGCGCACCCGTGCTGATACTGAAGACTGCATTGTGCGACAGACTTGTCCCGTACCAAAGGCCAAAGTACAGCGCTATAGGCAAACACACGCAGTCCAGCACGACCAACGTCCAAAATATCCAAATGCTCTTTATCCTCGTCCGAAGAGTGTAGTTGAGAGGCGGAGGCTTTGTGAAGTCCGGATCTGTAAACGTCACCTGTGTGGGCGCATGGCGAGCGGAAGGGGGACGGATCGAGGACGGTCGTGATGAAGGTGCGCTTGTGTTAACAGGAACGTTGAGGGCCGACGAAGGGCGGGTAGGTGGCGCGCTGGTGTTTGCGGCGAAATGGACCACCGAAGGAGGATGGCTCGACGGAGCGGTTGTGGTTTCGGTGGGCACTCCAAGCGTTGAAAGAGGTTGTGATGGAGCATTGCCGCTTGGGATAGCCAAGTGCTCGGCGTGGTCTTGCCTTTCCGTGGCCATTGTAGCGATGATTACGCGAGGAGTGTCCAAACGGGACGGAAGGGGCTCTACGGTCGAAATTTTTGCTGCAAGTTGCTGAGTGTGAGCCTACTGCGAAGGGTTCACGAATGTTGTTTTCAAAGAAGGGTGGATCACAACTGGCGAAGAACCGGAAAAATGTTGATAAAGGGTTGGTGACATGATGCTGAGCTGGGGGCTTGAGGATCGACGCGGCTGGCTTGCAGGATGCGGAAAGAGAACTCGGTCCCAGTGACGTCGCTTTCGTCGCCTTCATTAGCGATGGGACCTTGTGGCTGACAGCCCTGTCTTCAGCTGCCTTCCCGTGACCTGCATCACCATATTCATCACCACCTGCATCTACCTAGTGCATTGCCCTGCAGTGCATCTGCTATCCCCAAACACCCTACATTCTGAACATGTAGTCGGCGCCCAACTATGCGCCTCGGCCGTATCAGCACTTCATTTCTTTGTCTGCTTACTGCATCGAGCGGTCTACCGACTGCCCAGGTCCCGCTTCTCCACGATGAGGACACAGGCAACCGCTCCATCTCCGTGAAGCTCTTCGCCGGGCTGGAGGAGCTGGCGCGCATCGTCGACATCTCTTATTGCGTGGGCGCAACTGGCCTGGGCATACACAAGCCCTTCCAGTGTCTCAGCCGGTGCAGCGAGTTCGAGAACTTTGAGTTAGTCACTGTGAGCTGACCTCGCGGCTTTCTACGAACGGAACAAATACTGAGTTGGTATGCAGACTTGGAACACAGGACCGCTACTTTCCGATTCTTGCGGCTACATTGCGCTTTCGCATCCGCCGTCCGCTCCGCGCATCATCCTCGCCTTTCGTGGCACCTACTCTATCGCAAACACAATAGCCGACCTCTCCACACTACCGCAGGAGTATCTACCCTATCCTGGCGGAGACGACACCAGTCATGATCAGGCGAGTCTGCTCGACAAAGCCCTCGACAGCCTACACGTCTCGAAGCGCGGCGCGTCGCACTCTACCGCCGATAAGTGCACCAACTGCACAGTCCACAGCGGCTTCTACAGATCTTGGCTCAACACGCGCTCCAAAATACTGGCGGATCTAGCACAAGCACGTGCCGCCTATCCGTCCTACACCCTGACACTCGTCGGCCACTCTCTCGGCGGCGCAGTCGCAACGCTCGCCGCACTCGACTTTGATGCCCGAGGTTGGGAGCCGCACGTCACTACGTTCGGCGAACCGCGTGTCGGAAACGAGCACCTGATGCGGTACATCGACTCTCATCTTGTCGAGCCCCCCAACGGAACGGCAGCTGCCACGGACTCAAACCCAGCTAAGAGGCGGTTCCGCCGCGTTACCCACGCCGGCGATCCCATTCCTTTGCTGCCACTTGAGGAGTGGGGATACCACATGCACGCCGGAGAGATCTTCATCGGGAAGGCGAACTTGCCGCCCAGTGTCGCGGATCTCGAGTACTGCAATGGTGACGAGGATCCAGAATGCATCGCTGGAGGTGGAACTGGAACAGCGGTCCAGCCGGCCGCATGGCCGTGGGAGAAAGATGGCGGCTGGAGTGTGCCGGCGCGGTATAAGCTCTGGCAACTATTCTTTGCGCATAGGGATTATTTCTGGCGGCTGGGGCTTTGTGTGCCAGGCGGTGACCCTAGGGACTGGTATCGGAAGTATCCGCGCTATGATGATGGGGACGAGTTATGAGGAACAACGTGGTATTGCGCCAGCTAGTGTAGTCTGAAGGTTTTCTGTATCAATCGGCGCTGTTTCAATTCATCACCTAGTGATGATAGCGCACCATGTGATTTTGGCACAATAAATGTCACAAATCTCCTGCGCTAGTTCCTACAATTATTATGCCCCATTTAGTCAACATGCCTACTTGCAAAGATAATCCACAGATTGTTCGATGACCCCTGAGGCGGCTTTTGCGTACCTTCCAAGACTGTCTTCCGCCGAGCTCTCAGCCCTACAGGTCGAAGCTTGCGTCAACCTCAACCCACCTGCAGTCCCAACATCGGAAGTGACAAGCATGTGAACGATGTCCATTCGCCATGTCCACACAACTCCCTGAGGCCGCGCGCCCCATTATCGCGGAGCAATATTTCGCCCTTCCTCGCGCCTCTATTCCTCGAGCTCCGACATGACGATTGAGGCGCATTGACCGTCCAGAATGCCCGAAATCCATCAGTCGCAAAATCCACAAGAGTCCTTGCCAGACAGGTCGGGAAAAGTGTCGCTGCCAGAGCAAGACACGTTGCGATTCTTCACCCGCTCGCCGCACCCTTACCACCGACACCGCATTGAAAAGTCTACGGACAAGCCAGCCAGCGATGCATTATCCCGCCACAATGATACACCACCCGCCGTATCGACAACTTCACAATCGGACTCGGAGGTACCGGTAGCTGTACAAGGCAACGGCAAGAGTCGCAGGAATGGTTCCGCAACGCCAAGTGAGAGCGGAACCGAGGCGGACGACGAGGGCTATGGCTTCATCAAGGCCCTGCCCGCGCCGCCTATTAAGCCGCGAAAGGGACTTCGTGACATCAGAGGAGCAAATCTAGATGAGACGCCTAGTCCTCTCCTTACGCCGTCACAGCTAGACGACCAGGGGAGAAGTTTCTCGCAAGACCTTCTCAGGGCAATTAAGAAATCTGAGACGATTTCACTGTCTGATGATGAAGCTAGGGTAGCAAGAGCTAAATACGTCAAGCGGAGGCGCGCGGAGGTCATCAGAAGGCTCTGCGAGGTCGCGCTGTTGGGAGCGATTGGTGCTCTCATATTGAGCGATAGCATAGTCTGGCAGTCCTCCACGCGCTGGCACAGAGGTAATTGCCTTTCCCACCAAGTCAAGACGCATGTGCGATGACTGACACATAGGCAGCGTTGATCACTCATGGCATCGTCTTCTCCTTTCTGATCCTTCTATATCCTATTCGTCTGATCTTTCACTTGCGAAACAGCTTTGCTGCGCTAGTCAAAGGAGCGATCCGCCGTATTCGAGTCCCTCCCTCCTTCGATCCGGCGCCCTTGCTATATCCCGTCTTCATACCGGTCTTTGTAGCGCTCTCGTTATCTCGAAGCCTGGAACACATTCTTTTACCCAATCTGATTCTGAGCTTGTCGACTCTACCAGTCTCACTCGTCCCAGGTCCCGAGCGTGGCCTCGGGTATAACACCGTCCACTGGCTCATCGCTTGCGCTCCTCTCTTTGTGTCCGGTTGCACGGATACTGCTGCGAAATCCCCGGCTCTCGGGCCTCACGGGTCAGAATGTGTACCTTCTGGGGCTGTCCAGCGGGAGTTGCTCGTCTCACTATTCGCTTTGCATCAAGCGCTAGTACCGCCTTTACAATATCTTACCACTACTAGCCTGCTCACAGCGGAACTGCAGATGCTGTCAGTAGCTCTGATCAATCTTCTCCTTTTCGCAGACTCTCCGCAAGCAGTCATCCTAGCTACACTGAACTGGTTAGGCGGCCTGGCCCTCTTTGTTTGCTGCGGCCATGTCTTGCATTGGAGTGTGACCCTAGCACGCATACCTAAATGGAGGTTCAGGCGGGCTGGACAGCTTGTTCAGGCGCGACAGTCGTTTCTGAATGCTCTTAAAGAGGGCTTGGCATTTCGAAGGCGCAGCTCTGGGAACAATGCGATGCGCGGCGGATCTGACACTGATCCTGCTCACCATCAAACAATGGCCGAGAAGGATCCAGGGCCTCTCAAGCGGCTCAGGCTGGTCACGTCAGAATCCGCAAGATTCATTAGGACGAATCTTGACGGGGACGCGACCGAGGTCAGGTCTGCTGTGGAGCACCCCCGAAAAGACATGTTCGGAGCAGCAGAGATGGAGAACGGCTTCCCACGCTTGCTGAAGCAAAGAAGCAACACGCTACCCACCTCTATCAACAAGCCTTCTCCACCCCGCCGTTCCTCGACACTTCGCCACAAGCGAGCCAAACCATCGATAGCGCAATCCTACCTCGCAATGACGCCAAGTCAAGCCACTATCCGCAAATGGCTCTACGCCGGCTACGTCTACACCGCCATCGTCCTGATAATCCTCCTCCCCATCCGCGCCTTCATCTCCGCCTTCGCGCTCCACGGCCACGAGCCCTTCGGCTGGGCCCTCAGCTACCTCTTCGGCAACATCCCCTACCTCCGCTTCCAAACCGTCTACTGGGGCCTGGAGCACTGGATTTCGCTCCCCTCCCTCCCCTCCCCTGGCCCACTAGCTCTGTCCGCCGGCCGGGCCGACTGGCTCCGGCATGTTTTGCTGGGGGAAGCCAACACCCGCCTCCTGCTCTTCGGCTACTGGGCCGCCATCCTGGTCCTCGGCCTCGCGGTCGTGCTCTCCCTCTCCTCGGTCGTGGAAGTCGATACCCGCCGCAAAGTCTTCCACGGCATGATGGTCGCGATGCTGCTGCCGACCATCTACATCGATCCGGCCTTCGTCTCCCTCGCGCTGGAGCTCGTGCTCGCGGTCTTCTTGCTGCTCGATTTGATCCGTGCCAGCCAGCTCCCGCCCCTCTCGGGTCCCATCGCCAAGTTTCTGACGCCGTACGTCGATGGCAGGGATCTGAGGGGGCCGGTGGTCGTGAGCCATATCTTCCTGCTCGTGGGGTGCGCGATCCCGCTGTGGCTGAGCCTTGCGGGGGTCGAGCGGTCTGGCGAAAGGCCGTGGGAGGGCTGGGAGGTGCGCTCCCGCGACGTCAGTATGGTCGCTGGTGTTGTGTGCGTCGGTATGGGCGATGCGGCGGCCTCATTGGTTGGGAGGAGGTACGGGAGGCGCAAGTGGCCGTGGACGGGGGGGAAGAGTCTCGAGGGGAGTCTGGCATTTGCGGTTTCGGTTACGGTTGGGTTGGTGTTTGGCAAGGCGTGGCTGCGGCTGGGGCAGTGGGATACAGCGACGGATATCAGGGCTGAGAGCTGGGGTTCGGTCACGGTGAAGGCGGGTGTCGCGGCGTGTGGGGCTAGTTTCATGGAGGCGGTGCTTACGGGCGGGAATGATAATGTTTGTGTGCCGGTGGTGTTGTGGCTGCTTGTACGGGCTGTGGGGCTTTAGGCTTCACTGCTCGTGGGCAACTGTTTGTGTGGCACTGTCTCTGCATGTGGTACTGGAGCTAAGGAGTTGGTTGCTGGATTAGGACAGGGTGCATGAAGCGTCGGACCAAAAAGGGGTCTTTGGAAACTCTGGGGAATGGGGCAGCCAATGGCGTTATCAGAGGTAACGGTGGTAGATGGCGTTCAGGCTGTGCGGCATCCCTCTCTACAGCTCTACGCACACCTAGTCTACAGGCGGCATCAAAGTATGTTCAGCTACTGGATTAAGATCTGGGTGGCTAAGAGCGCGTCAACCGCGTCTCCGTACTGTTCTAAGCCAGCGTTGACCCATCGGACGCGCCCAGGCTCGGTGGTGTAGCCACCTGGGCAGTCGTGGAAGCAGATCGCCCAGATGGAGGTTGCACCCGCGACTGCTCCGTAGCATAACGCGGCAAGCCGAGATAGGCACGTTCCGCTGCGTTTAACCCAGATTTTGTGACCAGAATGCACTGGTACGCGTACTCCCCCAGCTGCCAGCTGCCAGCTGCCAGCTGCCAGCTGCCAGCTGCCTGAGCTGGTTTCCCCACGCCCCAGGCTTCAGGCATATGTAACCGTGATTCGTTGAGTTTTTGGCATGTGTGAATGGACATCTTGTTGTCAACCACGGATATCGCATATCGCAGCCAGGCGGCTAAGGGATGGCGGGCCGGACTCCGGAGCGCTCAACAAGAGACACGGAGCGTGGACGCGATATCAACACCGGGAGGGTTTGTCCCCCGCGATAAGTGAGGTGTCCACCACGGTACCCTTTTGCGTGCCCGCACTGTAGCCTGAACAAGAAGGCAACGCCAAGCCGTGGTCAATAGCGCTCTTCAAAGCAAGCGACGGGAGAGCTCTCATGGCGTGCTCCGTGGCCGCTGTGATGCACAATTCCCTCTGTCTTGCGCAACACAGGTACCTGTGCCTTCAGGCTCGCGCGCAGCTCTTGTCGCAGTCCCGGTAGCCGCTGAGCAAGATACGTACCTGATGCGCAGGCTAGAGCAGAGCAGCACATGATCGGATGGGATCACGCTCTGCGCAGATCACAAAGAAAGCGCGCCACGTGCGGCCTCCGTAAGGGTGGCTGACTGGGACGCACGCAGAGGAGGCTATAGATGACGCCGTTTAGCAGTGAGAGGTAGCCGCGCGTGGGAATTCCTATGAGAGACATACAGTCTGCGGTGCCTGACAGGCGCCCAATTATCGCGACTCCGGGGCAGGACGCTGGCTCCAGTCTGCGCATCATGCACGCCGAGCCTCTGCGATAAGATCAAGTCCTTGTACCTAGCTAGACGGGAGCTTGCCCGGCCTGAACCTTGAGATACCTTGCCTGCTCCACAACCTCCACAACCCTCACCTCCACCTCTGCCTCTGTCTTCGACATCTTCCAACACCTTCTGCTTCTACTCGACGCATATATTCTTTCGTATTCTTTGCAGCGCTTTGTCCCTTTCCCTGCCTTGCGCCCCCACCAAGACGAACGCCCTTCACGACAGGTGCCTGAGCTAGTCCTCCGCCGCTCGCTGACTCAACTAGCACAATCCAGCCCTGTCACGCTTCTTGACGCACTCACTACCTCTCCAGTGCTCTCTACAGCTCCTCGATGCATTAGCCCTCTGCCATCAGGGTACTACAAGCTGGACGCCTACAATAACCGCACCGGCCAACCGCCTCAACCCTCAACCCTCCGCCAGCCGATACCATCGCCGACCATCTAAAGCACGCCTTTGTTTTGCACGCAGCTCATGTCCAACGACCTGACAGCCTCGCTGTATCCTCACCTTTGCTGGTAGTGGAAGGAACTGGGCTTGCATCAACACCACCCTCCGAGCTACACGCTCCCCGACCGTATAGACAACTGCGATCATGGCTACGCCCTCAGGCACACCAAGGCGGTCGACCCGCACCCCTGCTCAGGCGGAGCCGGAGCCCGTGACAATGATAGGGCCTTTCCAGAAGTTGGAGAGCATTGGGAAGGGGAGCTTTGCGATGGTTTACAGGGGTGTTCATGTTGTATGTCGCCTTACACTCCAGTCCCCATCCCTGATGGCATCCCAGGTCTCAAGGCAAACATTCGGCCTGGTGCTTTTGTGATTGTGCCGACATATCTGAATCATGCTAATGAGGCTTGCATTGCAGAAGCAGAAATCCCTCGTAGCCATCAAGTCCGTCCAGCTTTACAAGCTCAACAGCAAGCTAAAGGACAACCTCCTGTCCGAGATCAAGATTCTCCGCAGCCTCCAGCACCCGCACATCGTCGCCATGATCGACTGCAAGGAATCCTCGGCGCATATGCATATCGTCACGGAGTTTTGCGAGCTCGGCGACCTCTCGGCATTCATCAAGAAGAGGAGCTCCTTGACAGAACACCCCGCAACAGCGGACATGATCCAGAAATACCCAAACCCTGCATACGGAGGCCTGAACGAGGTTGTTGTGCGGCATTTCCTCAAACAGATTGCAAGCGCCCTCGAGTTCCTCCGCGCTAAGAACTGCATGCACCGCGATATAAAACCGCAGAACCTTCTCATCAATCCATCGCCCCAATACTATGCCAAGTACAAGCCGGAACCGATGCCTCTCGCCGTTACTGCGAACTCCCTGGTCCCCGCAACAGGCATACCGTCTCTTCCCATGCTGAAGGTGGCTGATTTCGGATTTGCTCGCTTCCTACCCCAGACTTCGCTGGCCGAAACGCTCTGTGGCTCCCCGCTTTACATGGCCCCTGAGATCCTGCGGTACGAGAAGTACGATGCCAAGGCAGACCTGTGGTCAGTCGGTACCGTCTTGCATGAGATGATGACTGCGAAGCCTCCGTTCAGAGCGGGGAACCACGTGGAGCTGTTGCGCAAGATCGAAAAACAGGACGACGACATTCGGTTCCCTCGCGAGCTAGCTATCAGCACCGGAATGAAACACATCATACGAAGCTTGCTGAAGAAGGCACCGATTGAACGGATCAGTTTCGAAAGTTTCTTCGATCACCAAGTCATCAAAGAGGAGATTCCTGGGCTTGTAGGAGAGGATCTGCCATCAAAGCCAGAGTCGCAAGTATCCGCTCTAATCCAAGATATCCCGTCTCGCACAGCGTCTGCTCCTGAGTCATCGAGACAGGTCAGTCAGCAGCAGGAACCAATCCAGTACCCTTCATCACCGAGGCCAAAACCATTCTTGAGCGCAACACCACCTAGCAGACCAACCTCTCGACCCACTGCTACTGGATCACCGAGCACACCTCCTAGAGCCGTCACCGGCGTTCATCGGCACAGCAATGCACCTCAGCCTAGCAATGAGCCACAGCAGGCCCCACCGCGAGAGCGTCGCCCGCCGCTGATGTCACATGCCACGGCACCAGCTCGCCAGATCGCTCTTCAGGAGCGGGTACCAGTAGCCGCAGCAGTGGCAATGGAGAGACGCCACAGCCGCAATTCTCCTTCCCCGAGTTCGTCAATGTTGAAAGAGCACTTCGAGCGGGAGCGCAATCCTCGAGGTGTGGAAGACAGAGCTCTCCGAGAAGCGAGGGAGAAGGCCGCGAATGACATCGCGTTCGAACGAGATTACGTTCTGGTTGAGAAGCGAACCGTCGAAGTCAACGCGCTCGCGGATGAGCTAGCAGCAAGCCCTCAGTTGCACCGCGGCTTTTCCGAGCGGCCATCCTCTCCTCACCGTGGGGCTATGGTTCGTAGAGCCACCACCCAAGGCGCGCCCGCTTCTGCACCTGGGACGCAAGGCACGCCATCGCGGGCAATCCATATGGCTGCTGGCCGGCAGCGCCCAGAAGGTGTGCATCAAGCGAACTCCTACGAGCGGCGGTACGGGCCGAACCCTGGCTCGGCCACTTCTGTCATCTCCAAAGCCCTCAACATGGCCAACTTTCGTCTCTTCGGCGGTATAGGTATTTCTCCTCCGTTTGGCAAAGGCCCCTCCCCACCTCAAGGCTATGGAGCGTTCCCGACCTATCCTACCGCTCAGAGCGACCGCCTACTCCTCGGCACCAGCGCGAAGCCCGCAAATCCCAGAGATGAAGATGCCAAGGTGCTCATGGTCGTTGAAGAGCTAGCGCACCGTAGCAACGTGGTCTACGGCTTTGCAGAAGTCAAGTTCAAGCAGCTCCTCCCCGCTGGTCCACTAGATGATCATGGCATTGGCGGAGCAGAGAAACAGCCGGACGAGGCCGACGCTCCTGAGGAAGAGGAGCTCACCACCGACGCCATCGTAACTATTTCAGAAGAGGCTCTTGTCCTCTACGTGAAGGCTCTCGGCATCCTCTCCCGCTCTATCGACCTCGTCGCCAGCTGGTGGAACCGCAGCAACCGCGGCGGGATCGTCGGCGACAACGCCTCTCCCACCTCTCACTCGCCAAACACGACCGCGGCTGCCACCACGAGCCGCATGAACCACGTCCTCCAGTGGGCGCGTGCCCGCTTCAACGAGTGCTTTGAGAAGTCCGAATTTGCGGGCCGCAAACTCATGGACGCTCAGAAACAGCTCCCGCTCGACCACCCGGGCCACCCGAATAACCACCCATCGGCCTCTGGCTCCGCGACCAGCAGTATTGGCACCAGCGCTGAGAACATCATCCTTACCACGGGCATTACTGCGGAGAAATTGATGTACGATCGCGCGCTGGAGATGAGCAGGGCGGCGGCGGTGAACGAGCTTGTGGGTGAGGACTTGGCGGGGTGCGAAATCAACTACTGCACTGCGATTCATATGCTCGAGGCTATTCTGGATGGCGAGTATGATATCGCGTCGGGGAGGAGCAAGAAGGATAGTAAGACGGAGGCGGGGGCGATCAGTGGGCTGGAGAATGGGGATAGGGTTACGGTGCAGAAGCGTGAGTAGCTCCCCCCCCCTCCGCTCTTGGGTAATTTTGCTTCGAGGTTCGAGCAAGAACTGACATTACCGCAGTCGTGGAGAGCATGAAGGCGCGTCTCAAGGCTCTGCGGAAGAAGATCGAGATGCAAAAGGCGGCGAAGCGGGCCTCGCTGTCTGGCACGGCGTCTTCGGGACAGACGCTGCAGGGCAAGGGATCGCCATCGCCGACGCCACTTGCCGCAAACACGCCGCCTCGCTGACAGTCGACCTCGCAACCCTCCAGTCCCGGCTTCAAATGCGTAGGGCATGCAGCAGTACACCAACACCAGCTGCGAACAGATCTCAGCTCAAACTACACAGTGCCCAGTCCACGATCTCCTCGCGCTCAAGGCGCCTTCGACGAGCGCGCCGCTGCCGGCCTGGCTGCACAACCCGCTTACATAAGAGAGCTGCAGGACACGCTTTTCTCCTGCTCCCCTCAGAACTTCTGTTTGCTTTCCTGGTTCGGCATACTACAACCATTTAACCCTCTTGGCGTACAGGTTTGTTTTCAAGCATTCAGGCGCACTACCCTTTTTTTTCGGCGACAAGAGCATGATACCAGGACTTACTTACGATTATACGCGCGTACTGCTTGCATTTTGCGTTCTGCGTTTTTGGATGCGGATGTCTGGTTTTGGGACCGGGGGAATGGCGTTTGGGCTTGCTTGAGAGTTGTGCGGTTTTTCGCATACGCATGTGCATGTGTGGAAGTTTCTTACTTTGCGCGTCATGGCGGTGTGGCACGTTTGTGACTGCTTTTAGCGTCGTGGACAGGAGCGATGGGCCCAGCGCGTATAAGGCGGACTTCTTGAATAGGGGCATGGGCGAGTTGAGACGCGCTGGTGGGGGGTTCCTCTAGGCTCTAGACTGCATTGTTGTATAGGGGTTAGCAGTAGTGGTAGAAGAGAAGTATAGTATTGCTATTAAGACAGTGAAGTCACGTGCATACTTGGCCGTTATTACAAATTCTTTTCTCCCCGGGAAGGTCGTTAGTCTATGCTCCACCGATGCAATCCATTTCATCCAGTTGTTCTTTTTCCGGTGTCAATTCTGCATTGCGAAAGCCAAAATATCAGGGACAAGTACTATTACTAAGCTTACTGTTAACTGCCTCGGGGAGCACTTTTGACCCTCAGCAGGCCTATACATCAACGTCTACAAGATGGACAGAGTGAGGCAGTACAAAAGTCGCCGGTCGTCCACTTGTGCTAGTTTCCAACTCGAGCCAGAGGATACCAAGACTTCTACTCCGAAGTACATGTAGCCGATTTATAGACACATGCAGATTTCTATGCCCTAACACTGATCCTCGAACCAAGAGAGAAGCCATATAACACCGTCGCAACCATCGCAATCGCGTTCAGGTGGATAGACATGGCATGGTTGCGTGAGAACCTCCGCTTCACAAGCCTCATCTCTTCGCTTATGCCTCCAGCCTCCCTGTGGCTTCTGTCTCTCGTCTCTATTAAAACGTCAAAACTACTTCAAATGCGAAGCCAATGCAGTGTACGAGACCTTGATGGGTCCTCTCAACCATCGCCTGCGTAGTCCTCGGCCCATACACCACCCAATTCAGCACGTTCATGACGAGAGCGATCGCCAGCGGAACAACATCATAGCCATGGTGGACCAAGGAACTAAGTCCCCTGGGTGGATGCGTAAAGGCGGTCAGGCCGACCAGGATGACGGAGGCTTGGAAGTAGGCTGGGAAGATGCGTTTCTGGAGCGTCGTGAACTGGGGCAGGGGGAGGGCGCGGTAGCATATGCCGGTGTTGATGAAACTCTGATATGAGCGGTGAGTACATAAGGTGTGCTGCTTCAGTGTCTGGGAGGAGTAACCTGGTAGAGCTGCATTCCGAGCAATGTGCCGTAAGCTAGGAGATGATATGGTACTATGTTGCGTACAACGTCGGGGAAGCCAACCATGGCGGCGGCGGCAGGAACTGATCTACTCGTTCAACGGATGCTGCCTGCTGGAGAAGTAGTTACTGAGTTGGAGGCTGAATGAACCGCGATGCAAAAGCGAAATGAATAGAGTCTTCCATGGCGACTGTATATGCGAACCTGATGTATGCCCCCAAAATGGCTGCCTAGTTGAGATCGCGCGGTAAGATAAAGGTCAGGCTGATGATATTCCCCTTGCACGCAGTTCTTGGTCTGCTGGTAACTTTACTATACTGTGAGCTTGTAGAACGGCGAGCATGTGTCGTTGTAGGTCCTGTTCGTTTATCACTCGTATTGTAGCGTGATTCTTATCACTATCTGCAGACGACTCGTCAGAAAGGGGGAGGGCGCAAAACGCTTCAAACATCGGCGAGTGTGACAACGCAAGCAGCTCCATTTCTGAGGTCTGTACAGAGGGGCGAGCAGCGGGCATTTCTCTTTGTAGATATATATGTGGAGGAATGTTGCTGCAATCGAGCTCGTTGTCAGGCTGAATGTTTTTTCAGCCCAGATGAAGTATAGCACATTTTCGCAGGGGTTGGGCATCACGACAAACGTTCCATTGTGGACTACCCTGAGGGAATGAGACAGTGTTAAGATGGCATAGGAATAACACTGTTTTTGTTTCAAATTAATCACAGTAAACATCATTTAGTCACTTTCAGTTTGCATAGGATACCAGGAGGTGGTCTTAGAAGTTACTTCTTAATGATAGAGGGAAACCCCAAACGCCGTGCTTTTTTTGGTATAGAACTCGCGTTACGGAACTCCAAACGCCAGAACCAGCGCGCAGCAAATCCTGATCAGCACTAGTGTACGAACAACCAAACCGCCACCAAGTGCCGCTCATGCAGTCGTGTCCACGTTCACACACACGAGAAATGAGACTGTTGAGCGCCTGATACGCAAGGAAAGCAGAAAGCCAATCATCCCCTCATCGTTTTGTGGCTGTGGACCAAGATACAGAAACAGTGGGCCACTTCGTCTGCGATACATTCTATTAGGTCTGCGTCTGTCTCTCAGCCTGTAGCTTCTTCATCGCGTTGTTGGCTTTGCCCATGAACGCCGTATTGGTATTCCTTTCTTCCTCCTAGTTCGCCTTCACCGTTCACCAGTGAGCAGAGCTGAGGTTTATCACCCTCTCGACCTCGGGGATCATCTCGACTTCTTCCACCGGCCACTCCTCAAGCGCATCAGTCCCAAGCGCTTCCTGCGCGATCCTTTGCTCAGCAACCAGATGTCTGATCGCCAGCTTCGCCCATCGCCGCAGCCGGGTATCCTCCAGTAAATGAGGTAGCACGCCTTCGACACACCTCCAGAGCGTTGTAAACACTTTGGTACACGTCCTCTCCTGCCCGTCCAGCAAGTTGAACGCGCAGACGAGGACATGCCTGACGCGGTTGAAGATAGGCGCAATGGCGGAGAGAATACGCAGGCGCCGACCTGTACTCTGCAGAGCCGAGTGTAGCGAGTGTGCTATTGCGCCGGCTTGGACGATGATCCGCTGGCCGGGCCAGTTGACGTGGTCGGTCAAGAAGGCGCGGGTGGTCGTGTACTTATAGGCATTTGTGCGCCGTCGCCACTCGTCCATGCGGTCTGCGGCTGGATCGTGCCGGTAAAGGGCGCGGCGGCAAAAGGAGCAGAGGGTAGATGTTGTAAGGGACGATCTCAGACAGCCCAAACCGAAGACGTGATTACACTGGCGGATTCGAACGGGATCGTTGTTCGGGATGTCCGATTCGCCGGGTAGGTCGCTGACAGTCAGCAGGGCGGGTGTTCTGCCAACATCGTTCAGGAGCGGTGGTAGGTGCGAGAGCCACCACAGGTTTGTGCCTTCTTCGAGAGGATAGACTTCTGGATATTCAAGGCGGCAGATAGCACACATGCGATTGTCGTTGGGAACGTCATGTACGTGGAGGTGCTCGACGCCGGTTCGAAAGAATTCCTCGTAACGAGGGAGACCGGTCATGTTCATGGTTGATGCTTTGAGTAAACACTGGTGTTGATGGCTGCTGGTACTGATTGCGACTGTAAGGTTGGCGATGTATAGTAAACATGATGGAGCAAGTCGCACATAAGTACCCCCTTGCCAAACTGTCACAGCAGCGTTGTGAAAATGCGCCCATCCTCACAGTCCACTGTGAAGTTGTCGACTATGTAACCTTTGTCCTGGACAACGCTAACCTGTCGAAGCGCACGAGCTGATACCCGTACTGCCACTTAATACTGCCACAATCACGGTCATCTCATCTTCGGCCCAGGCAATGGTCAATGTCTTCTTCGTAGTGCCGCCGCCGCCGCCGTGCTCCGCCACGGCCTTGCCTTTGTGCTTGGAAGTCATACGTCCCTTCGCGGCCGACAAGTTCGTGGTGTTGTACGTGTCGCACTGGCCGCAGTACTCTGCTCGATAAAGTCGAGGAGGCTCACAGTGTCTTCTTACAAGAGGTTCCACGCCATCTGCCTGCGTTCCAAGATGGTTGTCCGGCGAGGATCCGCTCTGCCAGAGCCGCTCGTGCATCATCGTGATCCACGGGTTATCGTGCGATGGGCTTGTACAGAGCGTGGGGCGGAGGCCAATGCAGCAGTCCTGCATCTCCAGCTGACTAGGTCAGCTATCCAGAAGCATGGTCGCAAAATGTTGCATAGCCATAGCGGGAGGCCATATGCCGGTGCTTTGTCGACGAGACGCCATGGCCGATGGGCCGGCTGCTGCCCCTTGCCGGTTGGGATGCTTCCGATTGTTTTCCCGGTTCGCAGTTGGGGTGGGCGCGGATTCACCCCTTATGTTGCTGAGCATTACCGAGCGGGTGCCCAGGATCTAGTGGTATCAGCACGTAGTGTCCGTTAACACTGAACTGCCTGTTGACGCGCTCGTAGAGGTGAGGCAGCCCTGCGTTCCAGCACCAAGTCCCCCGTTTCCGTCGCGTTTGGGCTTATGCCGATTCCTCGGCCGCGGGGGGCTGGAGGCCTTTGTTGGGGTCGAGCCCTCTCGGGACGGAACATTCGCGCTTCCTATTTGCAGCTCTTATCTGCGGCGCTCGGCTTTGGATATGCTTGCCCCGTTCTCCGCTGCGCGCTGCTGCAGTTCCGCTGCTTTAGCATACGTCGAGGAGCGGAAGCTCATCCTTCAGGTCTTCCATCGCCTGCTCCAGTATGGCGATCTGGCTGTTGAGTAGCTGAGCGCGCCTTGAGGCATACCGACTTGGCGGCTTCGTAAGAGGGCTCCAGGTGGTTGTCAATTCGCACGAACTGAATGTCTTATACGTGGTGTTTTGCGTGTGATATATAGGAAACAAAGAAGAAACAAAAGGACGAGATCTATGTTTCTCCTCCAATGCAGAGGGTTCCAGGTAGACATATGTGTATGAGTAGAGAAGGGTTCCCGGCCGTGTGCACCGCTTCGGTGAGCGAGTATTGCCAATGACACAGGTCATTGTCGTGGACAATGAACAAAGACGGAAACCCCCGCGTGGCTCTACTGTCGGCATTCAGGCATCACCGCTAGCTAATACGGATCCTCGACGGTCTGGCGAAGACGCAGCTCAGACTCGAAGTCGACGCTAGGTATTTGGCGATTGGCGACGATACACACAAGATCGTAACTGAGGTGATCCGGGAAATTGAACAGCCGGATTGCGCATTCGTCATTCGGATGCAGACCGCGAAAACATTTCAAAATGGATTGAAGCCCCTGCAGCGAGGCGTTGATGCCCCGTGAGGTGCATAGGGAATGAATGTGGACGATCAAGCACATGAAAATCAGAAAAGCGTGCAAGAGAGTCTGGTTTTATCGTCTAGCAGCCGCAGTACCGCCCCTCCGTCGTCCAGTCAACGGCCCAAAAACCTTGTTCGGCAGCCAAGCGATCTTGTCCGATATACTGAAAAAGATATTGTGTCTCGCCCAGAACGACCGATTGCGTTTGCCAAACACATCTGCATTATCGGGTCAGTAAACTGCAGCGGAGGAGTGCATAACGGCGGACGCTGAACAAAGAAACTTACACATTGGAACTGTTAGCAAACAGATTACTAGCTGCACGCTCGCGACAGCGTTGAAGATCGGCTTGATGCCGTATGCAACAAGCCAGTCATAGCTGCTCCACGTCAGGCCAAAGCTGAAGATGTTCTTGAAGACGAGGAGGCACGTAAACGCTTCCACGGCGATGTCGCCTGTTGTTTGCACGTCAGTAGCCGAAACACAAAAGAAAGCAACCACAACGCAAAAACTCACGGTGAGCATCAACAATGTACAAAGCACTAGCCACAGCACCAAGCACCATGCCCATAACCTCAAGCGAAAAGAAGAAGTCCGGCCAAAACCAGCCGTACTTCGCCGTATTCGCGCTCGTGATGCCAAAGCCATACAGACCCGCACACCCCAAGATTAGCTGCGGGATAACCAGCACCATGCGGAACTCAGGCTCGTAGATGCCGCGGTTGCGTCGCGTCATGAGGTTGGGTATCCAGTCCGCCATGATGCCGGCGAGGATGAAGCCGAGAAAGGCGCCGATGAAAGCACCGGCGTACATGTAGCCCGTATCTACCTCATCGAAGAAGAGGGGCGGACCGAGCATAATGGCTGCGAGGACGATGCCGATCATTACGGTCCAGCCGATGAGGGTACCCTGGATCAGGCAGGCCTGTAAACTAGGTCAGCGAAACGGTTTCGCTTGCGTAGAGCTTCCGTATAGCATACCCAGAGGATGCCTGGATGGAAGAAAAGCGGAAAGGGACGAAAGAGCAATTCCCAGAAGTTCTCATCCGTCTTTCGTCCATTAAACGGCATGAGACTCTGCGCGAAACTGACTTTTGCTGGCGGAGATGCCACAGCGCCGTCCCTAAGCGGATTGATCTCGCTATCGCCATTGCCGTTCTCAAGTGAGCCATTGGTGCTGGGCAACGATCGAGGAGCTCCTGTCGTGGCCGCCTCAGCACCCCTGGGCTCACGCTCGTGACCCTGACCGTGCCTAATCTCTTGCATTTGGCTCGCACCAGCGGTGCTGCTGACAACCCTGATGTCGGTATCGGAGTTCGCCTCTCGCCTGTACGCTGTCTCCGGCACAAAGAATATGACGGCCGGCAGGAACACCGCCGAGAAGATAGCCACGAAGTAGAACGTCCAATCCCAGCCCAATGTACTCGCCATCTTGCCCACTACCACCGGTGTGCAGAACGCGCCGCCAAAGAGCGCAAGATTGGATAACGCCATGCGTTTGCCGCGCTCGTGGACGAAGTATAGGTCTCCTACACTGGCATTGACCAGCGCCTCAAACGGCGCCAGCCCTACGCCCTGGAAAATGCGCGCCCAGAGGAGGCTGTTGTAGTTCTTGCCGGTAGCGCCGCCCCAGGCACTGCTGAAGATCAGGACGACGGTGCCCAGGATGTAGAGATGTCGCTTGCCCCACACCCTTGCTTGTGGTACGAACAGCAAGCCTGCGATGCCGACACCGAGGAGATGGTATCCAGTCAGGAGCGCCATGTCGGTGAAGCTGCGCTCGAAGTGGAGAGATAGGTTCAGTGTTGTTGCGGCGAGGAGGGGGCTGAGGGTCGAGGCGATCACGGAGAGGAGGGACAGGACGACGAGGATAACGTCGCGCTTCCATAGTGGCCAGTTCTGCTACTTATTAACATCCGAGCTATTTGTTGAGGCCTGAAGTCTGCTAAGGTGGACATACGAGAGGGTCGTTCGGATCGTCGCTGGGTTGAGGGACGAGGATGATGGGATGCGGTCCGCTGCGGTCGTACTTCAGGTTTGGGTCGACGACTACGTTCTCCTCGCGCTGGCGAGCTTCATCATCTAAGACAGTTGCGGTTCCTGAGCATGTGGTTAGCGTGCTACGTATCTTCTTGAGGACGAATCGCCGGTGCGCACCTGGAACATGATCGAGCTTGCGGTCCTCCAGCACTCCGAGACCCATTGTTCAGGTTGCGCGTCGGTGCTGCGCTGAGTCGGTGTCTTGGTCTACATAACACGTATGTGTGACTCTGATTTAGAGAGCGGACAGCCGGTCCGCATGGGAGGTCCCCTTGAACTACGGCCGCAAGGGCATGCGGGATTCGGAGACGTTCGCCAGGGTCCAAGTGAAATTAGAACGGGCGATCAGCTGACCATGCAGAGCCGCGTATGCTCAGATCGGTGTGCCTTCAGTATACAGCTTTTGAACTGCTGCCACCAAGTATTTTTACAGAGCTCTACAGGTCTATCCTTGCCTATATACAAGCAATGAATGCATTTTCACTTCCAAAGCCCTCCAACTGAACCGCAGCATCACTTCAAATACCCATGCTCCTGCAACCACCCCCTCACATCCTCCCTATCCCGCTCAATCCACTTCGCCTTCGCCTTAATCGCCTCCAAACTCTGCGCAAGACTCTGATCAAACCCCTTGGTGCTCTTCTTCTTGAAGAACTCCTCAATCTCTTCCGCCTGCTCCTTGCTCGTAAACCCGCTCGTACAAATGCTCACCACGCTCCCCAGCATCGTAAGGCCAGGCGGCAGCTTCTTCTCGAGTGCGTCCCAATTCTCTTTCATCCAGGCCCAGAGCGCGTCGATGCCGTCTTTGTGCGTCCGCAGCCCGCCGAGCGGGAGGTAGATGTCTTGGCCCTTCACCTCATCGCTGAGCGGGAGCGTTAGGGTGCGTTGGATTAGCTCCAGCTGCTTGGCGCGGCCGATGGCGCGGAGGGCGGTGTTGCGCTCGTCGCTGGTAGTGGCGGTGCGGTATTCGTTTAGGATGGCGTCATACTGTCAAGCTGTCAGTTTTGCGGTTGCAAACGAAAAGGGTGTGGATTGCTTACCTCGGCCTCTCCGCCGTTCGTCAACACAATGGCGTAGATGCTGGCGCGAAGATTGGGATGGATGGCCGACCTGTCGCCCTGCTTGAACTTGTCGAACATGTTGAACGCGGCTTTCTGAACCTCGGAATCGTTCGCGAGACCGGCGCTGCCGAAGAGGAGAGACTTGAACTGCTGTTCGACGTGGCCGTCGCTGTCTCTAAACTCCCAACCAAGCTCATGCGCTTTAGGTCCGACGAGGTCGAGTTGGAACCGCTTCAGGGCATCCTTCACCTCTTCGGGCTCGAAGATCCAGGCCGCACGCAGAGATCCTATGCGGGCGGTGAGTTCGTCCCATACGACGAACTCTGGTTCGGACTTGAAGCCTTGCAGCAACGACAGGATGCCGGAAGTCTTCTGGTAGCCGGAAGCAGCAAGCGCACCGGCATCGGCGATCATGCCAGCCCGGTCCTCCACAGTGAGCAGCCCTGTCTTTGCGGCGTCGCCAAGCTTCTGCAACCGCTCAGGAGTGTATGAGGTGCGGTAGATGCCCGAATGATCCGCATTGAGCTTGAAGAAGTCGAGATCCTTGACCTTGAAGTCTGACTCTCGCTTGTCTAGCCTGAGATCCTCGTTTACACCCTCCTTGGTCCGCAGACCCAGGATCACTGGGAACAAAGTCTTGTCCTCTTCCGGTTTGACGTCTGCGGTCCGGAGAAACCGGTTCTGCTTGACGTGGATTGAGCTGGATTTCTCGTCTTCCGTGACCGTCACCACCGGATATCCGACGTTCTTCGTCCAGATGTCCATGACCTTCTCCACGTCCTTTCCGCTGGCGTCGCTCAAGGCGGCCCAAAGGTCGCTTGTTTGCGTGTTACCGTACGCGTGCTTCTTGAGGTATCGCCTGATGCCCTCCATGAAAGTCTCCTCTCCTAGATACTTGGATATCATGCGGAGCACGCATGAGCCCTTAGAGTACGAGATCGCATCGAAGATTTGGTTGATCTCATCCGCGCGCTTGACCGGGACCTCGATGGGGTGACTGCTGCGGAGCGAGTCCAGGGACAACGCGCTCTGCAAGTTGTCCGTAACGTAGCCTTGCCACACTTTCCATTCCGGGTAGAACGCATTGCAAGAATACCAGGACATCCAAGTCGCAAAGCCCTCGTTTAACCACAAGCCGTCCCAGAAGTCCATCGTCACAAGGTTGCCAAACCACTGATGCGCCAACTCGTGCTGCACAACTTCAGCTACTCTCTGCTTCGTCGATGCTCCGCTGGTCTTCTCGTCGAATAGCAGGTCAACAACGCGGTAGGTGATCAGGCCCCAGTTCTCCATCGCTCCGGCACTAAAATCCGGTATGGCAACCATGTCCATTTTGGGTAGCGGGAACTCGCTATTGAATTTCTTCTCGTAGAACTCGAGCGTCCGTGCAGCCAGGTCGAGGGAGAATCTGCCGTGTTCGATGTCTCGGTCAGGGGTCGCAAACACTCTAACCGGCACGCGGAAGTCGTTGGTCTCGATGCACTTCAGTTCACCGACGATGAAGGCCAGTAGGTAGGTTGACATCAGCGGCGTCTTGCTGAATGTGACCGCTTTCTTCTTCCCTTTACTCATCTGCGAGTCGACCTCCTTCTCGGACACGGGGTCCATGTTGCTCAGGCACGTCATCTGCTTGTCTGCGATGAGGGTAATCGTGAAGTGGGCCTTCAGCGCTGGCTCATCGAAGCAGGGGAATGCTCGTCTGGCGTCCGTGGGCTCCATCTGGGTGGTTGCTAGGTAACGGGTCGACCCATCCTCCCCTTTGTATGACGACCGATAGAAGCCTGCCATGTTGTCGTTCAGCGTGCCGGTGAACGTCTGCGTAAGCGTAGCTTTGCTCCCTGCGGGGATGGTGTCCTTGAACGATATCTTGGTGGTCTGGGTGTCTTCATTGTAGGAAATGTCCGGCTCAGAGGTAATCAGAGTCGAGCCGGAATGTACCTTCGTCGAGTTGATCTTGAGCTGGAGGGTATTCAGGGAAATTGACGTCGTGTCTTCGATCACATCTAGTCTGGAGAGATCGGCTTAGCAGTCGTCGTGTTCAAGCCTCCATCTCTGGTGGGAAGCTGCGGGAATCCCTACTCTATGGCCACTTCGCCCTGATACTCAAAGCTCTCCAGGTTCGGCTCCAGTGTCAGATTGTAATGTATCGGCTTCACGTTCTTTGGCAGCACCTCACGGCCCTTCGAGACATCCATGCCGGCGTTTACTACGTCTGCGCTGTACTGGTGTTTGCACATGTTTCTCTGATGGGAGCAGTATCTGACTTGCGAGCGAAATCGGTGCTGAAGCTGGCTACGGTGGTGCTCTCGTGTGCTGCGAGCGGCTTGTAGGGTGTTTATGCGGTGTTCGAAGGATCTCGCAGGAGAGTTACTGAAGGCTCTGTAGCTGGCGGCTGCGGATCGGCGGCTACAGAAGGCTAGGTTTCCGGTATAGATGCGAACGCTATTCGGGCGACTGCCTGTTAATGATGATGGGATTCTCGAGCCACAGCCAGACTTTGTAATGGCGCGTCCGACAGGATTCACGCACCGCATTTAAAGGCAAAGATGGTGCGCACGGGGATGGACAGATGATGCGGTCAGAGATGCTGTGCAGCAGTCTGAGGCGTCCCTGTCGATCACCTTCGAGTCACGTTGCCGGACATTCGCTTGCTACATCTTGGCTCCTCCGCCGGTTTCCCTCTCTTCTCCTAACAACGCAAGTAAGTCCTCCCGCTCAAGCCTCTATCTTCGTGCATGAGCTGGCTGTTCTGGCGAGCCATCGTCAGCACTTGCAAGAGTACGAAACCCGTGTGTTTGAGGGGTGCATTATTCACCACTTGAGTGGACCACCATAGGTTAAGCGGGACATTACATTCTGGCTACATGCGCTAGATTGTGGCCGGGAGAGGCAGCAAATCACTCTGGGAGTACTTTGGAGAGTCGGTTGAAACGGTTATGTCGTCAATAAGCATTACCTTTGATGCCTTGAACGCGTCACGCCAGTGTGCTGCTGATGTTATTCTCCTCGTTCTCACAATCTGTGTTTCGACAAAACTCGAGGTGGGCTTTCGTAGGATTACACTCTGAAGGCTATCTCCTTTCTCAGAGTCGGTGCACACGGGCAAACTGTTGGTCACGCGCGGTCCTATTCGTTCTGCCTCTCACCGCGGCCTATCCATAATGCTTGGGTATATTTGCATTATATTACAATCTCATAGTTACACTTTTGTAAGAGCTACTCCAGTACTAGGGCGCTCGGCCTGAAGAACCCCCCGAGAGCCAGTTCGCGTCCACCGGAACGGACAAATTATAGTCGGAGCCGGGAACAATTTGGGGTGAGTCGGCATGATCAAAACAGCTTCACGACTCGTCAGCATTCGCCTTGCCAGCACAACGGACCAGGCCAACTCACCATCACAACACCGCCCGCGATCGCGAGTCCCAACACCGGACTCGCCAGCTTGTTAACCGGGGCCGCACCCTCAAATGGAATCGCCGTAGGCCCGCCATAGCCCGTACCTGTGGGATAGGCACCGCCAGTGCCGGTGGGAGGACAGGTGTAGTTGTAGCTGCGGCCTACTGGTTAGCTCTATGGTGTGCTGAGTGAGTGTGCCTTGACTTACGCTGCGGCTGCGGAAGAGGCGAAGAGGGCGAGAGTAAGAGAGAGGGCGCTGAAGTGCATGATTGCTGGCGGTGGAGGAAACGATTGTGTGGAACGAGTGGCTGGAGTGAGGGACTGAGAGGAAGCGACTGAGTGGTTATACAGATGCTATATCAGAGGGTTGATTCGGTCGTGAGGGAGAGGATGCAATTGGCGCATCGTCAGCGTTAAGTATCAGTACTACTCTGCCCGCGCCACGCATCTCAAGTGCACAGGGCAACAATCTGTCAGAAAATTTCCTCTCCCAGCTGCAAGATATAGATTGGCGTTCGCGGCGTCCCGAGCACCTGCACACTGCATTCGGAGCCTGCATCGAGGCGGCGGGGGTGCCGGTGGCTGGAGATATTCGACGCAGGGTCAGCAGAACGGCCGCGCAGGCACTGTTCGATTTTTCCTGGAAGAGTTCCTTTGCGCTGATATGGTACCTGAACTGTGGCTGCGCCTCTTTCGCGCAAATTGTGACTGCGTCGTTGCCTAGTCGACAAGGTTGCGCAGATATATGTAAAGCGAGATAACTTAGACGGACTGATAGCATTGATTTAACCATACCTCTAGGACCCTGCAGTGGTCGTGCGATGGAGGCTAGCTGGATATGCGGGAAGTTGCGTACAGCTTGAGGAGGTTGGACTTAAGGTTGAATAAGCCGCAAAAAACGGACACGCGCAATTTCTGTTGCATAAGAGAACGACATGAGGAGCTTTAGAGGGGGTAAGGATAATCTCTATCAATAGTCCCCAGTACCCGCAGCTGTTCCTACCCAATCGCCATACCTACACCAACCCCACCGCGCTATTTCACCGTCCAGCACGCCTGCCCGGCCCCCCTGCCAACCTCCTCCCAATATTCCCAAAGCAAACACAGCTACAAAACAGCACGCTCAAAATCCACGTCGCAACCCCCACACTCTCATAGCTAACCATTCCCCCCAGCAGCAGTTCCTCTTTCCCCACCGTCGTCCCCGTCGCACTCGCCGTCCCGCGAGAGGCGTTGTATGTTTTGCTGCTCTCTGCCAGCGGGGCAGCGGGCGAGGGCACGATGTCCGGGTTCGTGAAGAGCAGGGCGGTTGTGCCGGCGAGACCGACGAGGGAGGAGAGCGCGAAGCCGGGGCGCGAGCGGTCGATGAGGTACCACAGGACGGGGTTTACGAGGGCGAGGGTTAGGGAGACTTGGAGGGTGGATTGCCAGGGGAGTTTGCGCTGGAAGGGCAAGGGGTCAGCGGCTTTATCGTACAGAAGAAGTTTGTGCTTGACAGCGACGGTGGAAGGCGAGGTGAGAGGGAAAGGACGTGGACAAAAAGATCCGCTCGTGACACTTACAATCGCGTATGCAATCCCCACAAAAGCTCCGATACTCCTAACCACGGGATTCCAATCCGACTCTTCAGCCCCCTTGACCATATCCATCTCTGATCCCCCATCTTCCCCATCAAGCCTGATGCCACCCTCCCCACCATCTCCCTCCCACATCCAATCCACCCACGGCAACGCACTCCCCAGGGCCACCCCTGCAACGCCCCAAAACGCCAAATAAGTCCAGCTGGTCCTCGCAATCCTCAGTTCCATCCTCACAGGCGCGATGTGCTGGTTATCATGCAAATGCGACACTATGACCCCATACGCCATGCCAATAACAAACAGCGCGAGTATCCTCGCCGCGCGGCTGAGCCAGTCTTTCCACCGTCCACGACGCGCGCCATGCTGGTGCGGCTGGTGACTCGTTATCCTTCCGAGCGACGGTCGTGCATTCCGCGCAGGCACACCACTGAGTATAGGTCTCTTCTCCGTCTCGAGGCTCTCTCGCCGCGAGGGCGTCTCGGCGCCTGTGCCCCACGGCGTTGCGGGTTCTGAGTCGCGGACGTTATCGTAGCCCGTGGGCTGGTATATGCCGAAGAGGGTCGACGAGGTGAGGTTGAGGATGGAGCGGGTGCGGGAGGGTGGGCCGCCATCTGTTGCTGCGGTGGAGGCGTGCAGACGAGCGTTGACTTGGGAGGCGAAGTCGGAAGTAGAGCGAGGTGTTGCTGGCATAGAGGTGTCGGCGGATGCGGGTGTGATTTCGAAGGCCCGGCGGGGGAGGGGCTTGAGGATTGGGGGGCCGTGGTGGTCGTCGTCGTCCATTGTCAGACTGATATTGCTGAATGGATGTGGGTGGGAGGTAGAATGGACTGTTGGAGTATTGATAGAGAGCCGTGCTGGTGAGGCTACGGAAAGCGTTGAATCGGGTAAGGTCTCAGTCTATCAGCGGGCTGAGTTTGGACCATGCGGTGAGAACGCCTTGCCAGCAGGTCGTCCGTGAGGTCTCGGGTTGATATAGATGTGTTGAGAGTTGTGCAACGTTCCTACGTCGAGGATGAGGGGAAGCTGAGGTTTCGTTGTTCTGGTCAACTGACATGTGAAAGACGATCTGCACTCATCTGCAACGGCAAGTGGGCACGCTACCCGCTTGTGTGCATCTGCGTCAGGGAAGTCGATGCTGGGGAGCCAGCCATGTCAATCACATGAAGTATTTGCTAAATAATTATGATGACATAGTAGGGACAGACATCACAATCCCTACGCCAATTTGTTTACGAGTTCTATAGCGCTCCATCTGCGGATTTTCCCTTCCCACGCTTGACTATGCTTCTCTAACGGTCAATGTACGTTGCAGTTCGAAGGAAACCCAAGGATAAACCGCTATGCTGTTCTGAACCTCATCACCATACCTGACCGTGACACAGTCATCCGTTTCGCTCGCAGTCACTAGGTCCCGTCCCAAATCCTCTAGGAGACTTTATCCGTGCTCATTCGCTGGGTGTGAGCGTGTTGCCAGCAACTATGTTCGCCCTAAGGTACTGTCAGTATTGTTTTAGGGAAAACATGGTCCGTAGACTTACCATCCGATGAGACGCCAATGCTTCTCAATCCTCCTACTCAGGGCAACCTTCTCACCAATCTCGGTACACGCCGGCGATGTGAGGGAGAGTCGTGCCGCATCTGCTTTGACAGCAAGCACCTTCGCGCCAGTCGCCGTGCTGCCAATGTTGACCATGAGCACTTCGTTCTTCGCTAGCTTGGCGACCTTGGCTTGCTTGCCGTCCGCGGTCTTGACACCCAGAAGCCTCCTGAGAAGGAAGTAGTTGACCTCCAGCTCGGTATAGATGGCGGGAAGATGGCCTCTCAAACCCAAAACAAATCCTACTAGACGATCCGCCCGGCACAGTGTCGGGTCAACACGAGTACCTACACCGATCAGGCCTCCCGGCACGGCAAACTTGAGGTCATTGTGCTCCGCGAACAGGCTGACGACCCTGCTGAAGATTGGCTGGCACTGAATCTTGCCCTGCTCATCCTTGGAGACAATTCCTGGTCTGATTTCAATCTCGTCGCCTAACTTCAGCACGCCGGTCAAAATACTGCCACCAGCGACGCCGCCTTTGAGTTCTTCGATTTCCGCGCCGGGCTTGTTGACGTCGAAGGACCTGATGACAATCATGTGCGGCTTGGCCTGGAAGTCGCGTACTGGGACCGGGATCTTAGTCACCAGAGCTTCGTTGATGGCATCAATATTGAATTTCAGCTGCGCTGATATAGGTATGATCGGAGAGCCATCGGCCACGGTTCCGCGGATAAACTTCAATATCGACTGATAGTGCTGTTCTGCACCCTCTTCTCGCATGAGGTCGACTTTGTTCTGTAGAATGATGATGTGGTTGAGTTTCATGATCTCGATGGCCGCCAAGTGCTCGCTTGTCTGGGGTTGGGGACATGTTTCGTTGCCTGCAATAAGCAGCAGTGCGGCGTCCATGACCGCAGCGCCCGACAGCATGGTACTCATGAGAATGTCGTGGCCTGGGCAGTCGACGAACGAGACGTGTCGTAGCAGCCTGTAGGTTCCAGTGCACCTAGGCTACGTCAGTATTTTACGGGGAGCAAGCGTCTCCACGACGTACCCATCTCGCTCGCATGGCGGATCCACCTCCTTCTCGCTCTTGTAGCTCCTGTAGCATGTCGGCCTCGGGCATGCCGTATTATCGCACTTGTAGATTTTCGCATTCGCGTAACCCAGCTTGATGGTGATATTCCGCTCCAGCTCGTTTTTGAATCTGACAGTCTGGACTCCACTGATCGCCTTGACCACCGTGCTCTTCCCGTGAGCGACATGTCCGATGGTGCCAATATTGACGGTTGCCTGCCGCGAGATGATCTCAGGTGATAGAGGCGTCAATTTTGATACATCAAGGTCCTTTGGATCGGGCTGTTCCGGTAGCGGTGGCCGTGCGGCTTGCGGGGCGACGGGTTGAGATGGCTTCTTTAACGCCGACTTGGGCTTCACTGGCTCCACTTCCTCTTGCTCCTCCTCTACCTCGTCCACCTCGGACTCTTGTAGAGTCTCGTCGTGTACTTCGGAATCAGAATCCATGATTGCGTGCGGTCGCGGTTTACTTGGGAACGGCGGTGATACGGTCTCGAACTGGTAGCTAGACGGGTCCTGAAGAGTCCTTAAGGGTATGTTGCGGTGTGTGTTATGAGCAGAACGATGTCGATGCCCACCTCGAAAATCACTCCCCGCCAAAGAAAATCAGCGGCGGTTGACTCAGCCGCCGCGGGACGTCAAGCGGAGCGGATCAACCCTGGCTCCGAGGTGTCTCTTTGAACTCGAAAAGTTCTGCTCCCTGACCTCTTTTCCTCCCCATGAAAAAGAACAACGCATTATGAACCCTCACGTAAAAGCAGTTGCGTCTTGAGATGCCCGCCGCCCTCGTGGCGGTGTGAGGCTCCATGAAAACGGAACCCGTCTGTTGAGTGGAGAGAAACTCTAATAGCCGATCTTGGGTGCGGTCTCTCCCTGCCCTTTGGGCAGTGGGGGAGAGCGCAATGATCGGCCGTACATACGTCCTAAGGACCCTACGAAGAACGGGATGTTTACTGAAGAAGCGGCCGCTTGACGGCGCGCGACCATAAAGCTCTTCAACACAATTCTTAAGTCCTTACGGAGGTGGACTGGCACATTCTATATATCGTCAGTGAATAGAAGGTGCAGATTAAACTTATATAAACTGGTTATTAGTATTTGTTGATGGTATTGGGGGTGGTCAAGCGGCCGCCGCTTTCTTAGTAAATACCTCCTCCTTCGTATACTGATCCAGTGGCATTAGGCTGTCCTGGGGCTTTTCAAGAACTTGGGCCCATACCACCGCTTGGGAGGCACCTAGGTGACAGAAATTGCCGGACTCAGAAAAACAGATAGGTCTTCAGTCAGCTTAGGGAGGCCATAAATAGGCGTAATCCTTTATAGTATGCTGCCATATAAACATACGCAAGCTATACCTAGAGGTAGAATAGCTAGAGTAAAGATCTTTAGAAAGGCGGTGAATCAAATGCCTAGACTCGCCAATCACCGGACTTCTAATTCATTCCTAAATCCTCCAAATCTATTAGACTCACCACGTTCCTAAAGACCTTTGCCCTAGCCATTCCACCTCTAGTTGTAGCTTGAACACACTTGTAAGGTAGTATACTATAAGGAGTCGCTTCTAGTCGTGACCTTTCTTTAGCTGACTGAAGACCTATCTGTGTTGGAGTCCGGCGATTTCTGTCACTCGCGTGGGAGGTTGGATGGTGCCGCTTCAACGTTGATTGCAAGCGAGAGGAGACGGAACATAGGATCATGATCAATACTTGAATCAGATGACAATTACTTTTACTAAACGATCTGTCATTTCGACCGTTCCATGACTGTCCCAATATACCTCAAAGATCTATAGTTCATCCCTTCGTTCATCCCATGCTATACATTGGCCCAAAAGATCATCAGAATCCCCGAAAATGCGCTGGTCTAACAGAAAAATTTGTATATCCTCTTCCACTTCGGCCATGCGGCTTGCTCGGCCCTCTCCTCCGCAATTAGCTCCGCCAGGTTCAACTCCCGAATCCCTGTATGCAGATCCATGTTGTGGCTCCTCACAAACGGAGTCTTGTACCAGATCTTATACACCAGGTAGCACGCAATAACGATCGGGGCGGCCAAGTAAACCGCGAACCAGTTTTCGGTCCTCTCGCCTGAAGTCATCTCGCCGTAGCCGATAGGCGCCAAGCCAGTCCAGAACTGTGCGACGAGCACGAGGCAGTTGAAGATAAAACCGATCCAAGAGCCGATAACGCCTGGCTGACTGCGAAAGGCGAGCTCGTCGAGCTTGCGACCTTGCACTTTCCAGCCCTTGCGGAAGCGGATGTGCGCCAGGCAGATGGACCCCCAGGTGAAGATAGAGCTGAGACCGGAGATAGCCAGCATCCAGTTGAACGCCTCTGACTGCTTGTCTGAGCCAGCGAGGAACGCGAGGAAGCCTAGGACGGAGGCGACAGCGATGCCGGCCATAGGTCTGCCTTTGCGGTCGATGTAGGCGAGGAACTTGGGCGCCTGGCCCTGCTCAGCGAGCGCGGCCAGTGTGCGCGAAGAGCCGTAGATGGAGCTGTTGCCGACGGAGAGGACGGCGATCATGATGACGACGTTCATGACGGAGGGGAGGACATCGATGCCGGCGTTCTCGATGGCGATAACGAAAGGTGAGGCGGACGCGTCGGCGCCCGAGCTGCCGTTCAGGAGCCGGTCGTTGTTGTATGGTACGAGCAGGCCGATGAGGATCAGCGAAACGATGTAGAAGAGAGTGATGCGCCAGAAGACCTGCTTCACAGCTGTGGGTAGCGACTTCCGTGGGTTGGCGGTTTCGGCAGCAGCGAGACCGACAAGCTCAGTCCCGGCGAAGGCGAACGCTGCAGTGACAAAAACGGAGCATAAGCCCTTGAAGCCGTGGTTGAATGGACCCGGGTCATTCCAGTAGCGTCCGCCGAGGTATTCACCGTTCGGGCCGCCGCCGCAGTTAAGAATGACACCAAGAATGATGAATCCTATAACGGCGATGATCTTGATGATGGAGAAGACGAATTCGGCTTCGCCATAGCCCTTGACTCCGAACATGTTGATAGAAATGATCAACACGAGGAAGACGGCGACCCAGGCATTGTTGTTGATGCGGCCGTGGTTCCAGAACTCAATGGTGAGGGACGCGGCAACGATCTCAAGAGGCAAAACGACCAGCCATTGAAGAGCGTAGCTGCTCGGGTCAGCAATTATTTCTATTGCATGAAATCGAGCAAACTTACTTCCAACCCATTGCAAAGCCCCATGCCGGGTCCAAGAATCGAGTCGAGTACGCGGAGAAAGAACCGGCAACGGGAAACAGAACAGCCATCTCGCCTAGAGCGTGAACTGTACAATACAGCATGATGCCAATCAGACTGAAGGCTATGAGCAGGGAGGCGGGGCCTCCATTTGCTAGAGCACTGCCAGAGCCGACAAACAGACCGGTACCTAATAAGACAGATAAGTCAATGTAGCGACCAGGCTCGTCTCTGGGTTGACGTACCGATTGAGCCGCCGATGGCTATCATCTGCAGATGACGACCCTTCAGCTTCCTGGCAAGAGGCGATTCTGCCGTGGCAGACGCCGCGTTCTCAACATCAAAGACTTTGCCATCTGCGCCCACTGTGCCCGAAGCCGTCGCCTTCTGATTCGGGTCTCTCTTGAAGCTATCAATCACCCTCCGTCCAACTCCGGGCTTGGTCGCGTGACTGTCGCCATAGAGCGGCGGAGTGGGCGAATCAAAGCCGCTGCCCTTCTCGAAGTCCTTCACGTCCATGCTGGTGTTCCTGATACCGAAGTCGAGGCTGCGCTCCGGAGATAACGATAGAGTGAGCGGATGTATGCGACCGAGTCAACGGGCGCTACCGGTGCAGTAAATCGAGGACGAGGCGCTGGCGAGATAAGTGCGGCCTCGAGTATTGACCGTCAAATATAGGCCAGCACATGGCAAGGGGCATACGGGGTGTTAAATGGGTTCAGCCCATGATAGAGACGATGTGTGGTGGAGCTGACCCTCGCCCCAAGGCCGAGGCTAGACAAGGGTCTGCCTGGCGCAATCCTGCAGGCATTGCCGAGCCCGTGTTTTGCAGGAGGCGGCGGCAGCATCGGCGTTGAGCGACGCCATCTTTCTCGAAGTTTAGTTGGATGAAGATAGAGGACAAATCCCACGCCGTGGTATCGAAATTCGCTAAAGGAGTTTGATCCACCAACCGTGCGGTCTCGCCCCTTGTATCAACCCGTCTTGGGAAGATATCACGTCGCACTGGCCCCTGGTTCACCGGGGCTTTATCACAATTACAGCAAAGAGCCAGCACTCAGTGGGCCCGTGAGAACCGCACTTCAGCCTCGACGGTGATGACAACGCGTTTTATGGCTCAATGTCGGAGCAGAATTTGCGTTATGTTATCTGTCCCCCTTCAGCGAAGATACACGCCTTCACTTAACGTGATCAACTTTTTGTTATCTCTTCACTCAAAGCCAGTGGGGGTTCGTTTCCAGCGGGAAGAGACGGCAGAGTAAGCTATCATGGGCCCCAACCTTTACAGCAACGGGTTGTGATAATCTTCGCCCTGATGCTTCTCACGACTAGGCGTCATCCACAATGCTTCTTCAAGACGCGCCCCTGTCCATCCTCTATATTTCATTGGCTCTCTGTGGTTACGCAGTGCTCACACCAGCCTTGCCCTGAAGTCTGCCGCATGCCGGAATGCGTCATGCTGCTGATGGCTAAACGGGCCGCTTGAGGTGGACAGCCTTATCGCTTATCCCGGGTCATTCTGCTGATATCTTGACTGACCCCTGGAGAAAGAATTTTTATTCCCGTCTCTATGGATGATCTGTATGGGATAGATGACATGGACGATCTGCATGATGTGGATGATATGGATGATAAGACACGGGCCGGTGATGGGCGCTTGAGCAGATGTGTCATCAGTCTCGACATGCCTAGTTACAGAGCAACCGTACGAATGGAATGCGCTGAGCCCCATCGCCTTGGAATAATCGCGCAACTTGCGACTTCATGGCTACGAGTAGTTGCTCATAGGCGTCCTTCGCCATGGTTACCACCGGGACATGTTCGTACAACTGAGCGGATAGGGATATATAATCTCATTTCCTCCGGTAGGGATCGAGATCCATTCGGTTTCTGTCAGCAAGTTCTCATCCGTGGCCGCTTGAGTAACAGTTATTCGGTGTTCGTAGAAGGCAAGACACCCGAGTAACGCAGCTCGGCAGAGGTACCACGGTCGCCTCCGATCTTACGGAATTCATTTAAATACTTTCAAGGATCCGAAATAATACTTTCAAGGAGACACGCCGAAACACCTGCGGGACGAACCCCTGCGGCGCGCGGGAGAAGACACCAAGAACATGTAAGGACCAATTGCATCCGAGCCTTCCGGACCCGGTGTGGCCCTCATGCCTCACTAAGAGTTTTGCGTAAGGCTTAGACCCTTGGCCATCATAAGCGCCGACAAGACGTCTTTAAAGTTCAGCTTCCCGTGCAACATTCAGATTGATCGGAGAGAACAACCGCTTCAGCAAATCCTTATTACGCCGCAGAAACGGCGGAGACTGACGAAACTCTTGAATAATGGTCTTGAGTGTACATAAGCTGGACGACAATCAGGGGGTGTGCTATCCCGAAGACATAGATGGGCCACTCGCATCAGTTCCCATGCACAAAAGCGGCACGCGGCTGCCTGTGTTTATCACCGCCTTCATACTAGATCATTACTCTAAATTACCTGCAAGGGGATCACTTGTTACTGTCATTCACTACACGTATGAACACTAAAGATGAAAGTAAACTCTCAAGGAAAGACAAACGCTCTGGCTGATCATCGCGTTGAAAAGTAAGACCACGCAATTTACGCAGTTTCCTCCTGTTTGTTCAGTCGATAAGAATGCAGTTGCCATAAGCCATCAGCATCTGACCCACGACAACCAAGCCGCCGATCGCAGGAGCCGAAAAGAGTAATGCAAACCCAACTGTTACAACCAGGTTCATAGTTGGGTCGTACTCCTTCTCATCGATATTATCCGTTACGGCAGAAACAACCAACTCGTAGAGCAGCCCAAGGAAGACGCCATAGACGAGCCAGGTCATTGTCCAGGCCCGCTGAGCCGTAGTGCTCGCACCGGGATCGAAACGTGATATCGCCCCGACGATGGCGAGCGGGATGACGGAAACTAGAATGGTCATCGAGTACTCCAACATGGAGTAGCCATATTTGCCTGACTTATTCTCTCTCCCCGTGGAGTCCACTGTATTCACAATCCACTTGCCCTTAGGTTGCCACTCCGCGTTCTTAACGAACTGCTTCGACTTTGCTGCAAGAGGCGGGCAAGATGGGACAAGGATTGCCGAAACAGCAGTCGTGAGGTCCTTCTCATTGTCTGCGTTCGGCTTCAGGACTGTAAGGGTGTGATCCGAGCCTGCATGAACGACCAGACGGTCATCTGGCCCATCCTCGAAGATCAAACTGGAGGGTAATCTCCTCCATGATCCCGGCTGGTTTTCCTGGAAAGCGACAGGGTGCTCCTGGAGTACACCAACAGTGCCGTGAACGTGGAGGCCGTGTTTTCTCGCTTCTCTCATCACCGAAGACTCTACGAGATACATAGCAGGATACTCGGGACTGCAAATGCTGCCGAGCAGGTTCAGAATTGACATTACAGCGTACGGTGCTACGGTAAGACCGAACGCTGCATAGCCGAACTGGGTCAGCTGGTTGCCCTTTGCACGATACAGTGTGGCAATGGCAAAGACCGTTTGACCAAGTGCAACGCATGCTTTTACGAGGCTGTAGTTGTTCGAAATGAGGTTGGCGTCCTCTTCTCCGTCCTGCGGCATTACCGTTGCATCACGGGGTACAACGGCGATGCCATAACCATCGGGTAGGTCTTCAGGCAGTTTGCAGGATGCGTGTATGTGACGGCCGGTTGCCGCCAAGACAGTGCCAACTGCGAACGTCCACGGCGCATCGTACACAAAGACGTTGCATTTGCCGCTCGTTGATTCGTTGTCAGACATGGCTCTCATCGGGATGCTCTCAGCAGGGAGAAGGGCGGCCTGATCATCTTCTGCAGCGGCCGGGGCCGCATCTCCACATACGGTGGACTTTTGCATCGCATCTGAAACCACATCACCGGCTTCCGGCTTCCAACTCGTCGTTCTTACAATCATGCACAATGCCCCCGCGCGCGTCGCCGTCCGGAGATCAGACTTTCCAAATATGGGCCATATGGCCATGCTCGTGATGGCTTGAACACCTCGGAGGGCCATAAATGGTGGGAAGAGCAACGACCCAACCACATCAGCGATCATCCCGGCTGTCCTTCCTCCGGGAGGGGACTTCACGGTCGCGGCATGCGCGAGGTAGTTGCCAAGGTAGAACGAGACGATATTAGTCCATGAAGTGGGCGTGCATAGTAGGTTTGGGTCTCCATGGTCCGTAGTTCCTTCTGGGACTGAGATGGTAATGTTCTTCAGCGCTGCGGCGCTGACAGATACGATGAAGAATGAATGGGACAGGAGCCTATTAGGAAGCGAACTGAAGAGAGTATACATCGTGAGGCCCGAAGACAGGTAACTTCTTAGATTTCAGGCGGCCATTTGCATATCTACGTTTTTCAAGGCAAGGGACTGGGAATTTGAAAAGCCGCTGAGGAGTCACTGTCAGATTAGGCGGAGAGTTGACGACGGATGTCAGCGCAATCCTTTCAGCTGAGGCTGAAACTCCCAGGCGCTTATACGAGCTGGTGCGGCGGACGTGCCTGGTCCCTAGCACGAGGAATGAACATTTCCCTATTGGATATTCCCGGAAAGTCTAGCATCATGAATGAAACCGTGTGTAGCTATTGAACTCCCAAAGGCAGATACGCCGCGGAAGTCATCTCAACATTATCACTCAGGGCTGCGGTCTGTGGTTACTTCACCAGTGATCCTTGTTGAATCTCGTGATGGTGTGCGGAGTAGAACTTCCAAGACCTTCGCTGATACTAGTCAGCATTGTCATTCGATGTTAGTGCTGAACGTTCGGTATGTAACAGTGCGCGCACACTACAACACATGAAGACAATATCTATCTAGGTAGCATATTGTGCTGTAAGGCTGCCGCTATTATGAGGCTACACTCAGATCTAAGTCTCTAGCCTCACGCCAAGGTCAAGTTTCCCACCAAAGGCAGGTCCCTAGAACTGCTCCCAACATAGACGTGATACTCCGCGCCCAACTCCAATCTCCACTGTTGCGCCACCACGTCCCAGACGCTGAGATCGCGTCTCCTGAGTTCAAACTCTACATGCGCAGTTTGATTAGGATGGACAAGCACTTTCTCGAACCCGCGGAGCTGCCTGACAGGCTGGCCAGCGGACGGAATGCCAACGTAAAGCTGCGCAACCTCCGCGGCAGCAACATTGCCGGTGTTCGTCACGCTGGCAGTTACGGTAGCGATCACGTCCCAGAGATCGGCGTTGCCGCCTTGAATGACGGGTCCTGTTGGGTAAGCCGACAGCGAAGCACCACTAACGACTGAGCTTGCGAGGTTGGCAAACTCAAACGTCGTGTACGTCAGGCCGAAACCGAATTCGAAGCGAGGTTCTATGCCCGCGGCGTCGAAGGCGCGGTAGTCGATGTTCACACCCTCGCGGAAGTCGTCCTGCGGGAAGTACGTATATGGAGGCACTGGTCCAACAGGATCGAGTAGAGCGCCGTAATCTGATTCGTTCCTTGCGACAGTGTACGGCAGTTTTCCGCTTGGAGAGGTGCGACCATAGAGGAGTTCTACAAGCGCACGGCCGGAGTCTTGGCCGGGTAGGTGTCCGAAGATCACGGCAGTGACGTTAGGGTTTTCAATCCACTGGTCGACGAGGCGGATGCCGGCGTTGTGGATCGTGACGATGGTATTGCTGCATTGCGCTGCGATATTGGTCACAAGCGCGTCGGAGAAGTCGTCGCGGAGAGACGGGCGGTCGACTCCTTCTGACGCTGCAGCGTTAATGAAAACAAGACATGCATCGCTTTCGGCATGAACGGAGCCGTTGGCGTTCGCGTTAACAAAGTCCCAGTACAGTTGCGTGCCGTCCTGGATTGCTTGCTCCTGTATGGCGTTGTACGGCGCGCTGATGTAGACGGGATTGTTGGCGCCGGAGCCTCCACCTACGATAAACGTGCCATTTTGAGCTATGGGTGCGAACGGGGGACAGACTCCTCGGCCAAAGAAGCCGCAGATAACAGAATTGACGTTGTGGGACTGAAGGCCGAAAGACCATGGGTTGAAGCCTGGACCGGGGGTATTGAAGTCCGGAGATTTAGCGTCGTATCCATAGAGGGAAAGCAACTTCGGACTCCTGAGTGGCAGGGTGTTGTTAGTATTCTTGACCAGGACATGGCCTTCGATTGCGCCTTGCAGGATGACGGGCCTAGCACTTGGATCTCTGGCATCGACGATACGATGGGGCAGTAGGAGATTTGGCGCAAGACCGATTCCAGGATAAGGATGATCCGGCGCGTCCTGGTTCGTGTAGTACCATGCGGCCATAATACGCGTAGCCATATCGGTCAGTCGGTCTTCAGGAACAGAGCCGTTGCGGACTGCTTGCGTCAAGTTGCCTCCCCAAAATTGTAATCCAGACGGCATAACCATGTCCAATCCCGCCAGGGCACTACCAACACCCGACTCTTGAGCTCCCCAGTCAGATACTACGAAGCCTTGATATCCTAGCTCATCTTTGAGAAGGCCATTGAGAGCCTTGCTATTCTGGCACCCATAGCTGTTGTTGATCCTTTCATAGGAGCACACTACGTTTCGTCAGATATCCAAAAGCTAGCCAAGGGGGAACACCGGCACTTACTGATACTCGCAGTGCCTGCATGAAGCGCATCAGCAAAGGGCCACATGTAGAGCTCGTGCATTGTTCTGTCGTCGATGTTCGACGACGACGCTTCTACGGTTTCGTTTTCGGCATTAATAGTGGGGATGCGGTTAAGTTCTTGCTCGTTGAGGATAAAATGCTGGCGCGAATTAGTAGACACTCCCGAACAGGCCAAAGATACTGACCTTGGTGCACGAAATGACTCCTCTCGACTGAATACCGCGGACAGACTCAGCTGCAAGAATTCCGCTGAGGTACGGATCTACACTAAAGCCTTCCCAATTACGGCCGCCGCGAGCAATCCTCCCCAATGGTCCTACCACGGGAGGACCGAGAGCGATGCTCGCGCCCTTCGCTCTGAACTCGCCGCCCATGGCATACGCTCGATCAAAGGTGAGGTTCTTGTTCCAGCTGAAATCTTGTCAGATGACACATTCCAACACCACGAAGCTAGTCATACCTTGCACCCGCATGGATTCCGCTAGCATAGGCATTGACAAAGTCCGTCGCCCTGACTCCTTGGCCAGCATCCTGCAAACACAGGCCATTGAAGCCTAATCGAGGAATTCCTCTAATATTGCCCCCGCATCCACTGGACGCATTGGCAAAACCGCCTGTGAGGTTGGTCTTCTCCTCAAGCGTCAATTGAGCCACGAATGCTTGTGCTTTGGCGTAGGCATCTCCCCAATCGCCGAGGCCTTCTATCTCTGGACTAGGGTAGACCGGTGGACTTTGTCCATAGAAGAATGTATCGTTTCTGATGACATCCTGGGCGGAGGCGTAACGAAGAAAGGACGAAGCTGCAAGAAGTGAGAAGACTTTCATTCCCGCCATTTCTGCGGGTGCACTACCAGGGCTGCTTGATTTCCTTGAGAAGGAATGGGAACCCGGTTTTTATATTCCACTTACCCTGGCCATATGCACCGAAGATCGGATTTTCTACCCAGGCGAACTGTCATAGGACTACAATGCCCTACCCTCTTCGGCAATTCTATCGAGGGCTTCCATCCAAGGTTTTCCCAATCGTGTTTTGATGCATACGATGGCGGCTTGGTGAGCTACCCGCATGCGCCAGGGCATCATACCAGTCTTGGAGCTGCAAGCCTCTTCCACTTCAGCCAACGACATGCTTTCCTTCTTCGGCTAAAGAGCGGCTTGACGTCCGCGTAGGTATCGACGTAAGGTGTCTTGAATCTTGGAGTTGGTGTCTCCGCAAGCTCCCCGCAAACAACAGCAAGCCACCAAGCTAGCTATGCAACTTGTGGTACCTGCACCGAGGATCTGCCGGGGGCGAGCATGCAGAGTATGCGGAGAACGGGAGAAGATTCCCCTGAGGCGACCAATGCATCTCGATCCCAATGGCCCAAGAGACTGGCGGCTGGCATGGCGACACAGTTGCCGACGTTCTTGCAACCGAGTGTGCGGGTGACGATGCGGCAGGCAAGCACGGCAAAATGTAGCACGAGTCTTTCGAATCCACCGAAGTGCAGCCGGGGCCGAGCCATAGGGCAAGGCTCAGTGCACTTAGACGTTGCCGCGTCTCTGCCGCATTTCAGTAGGAAAGAATCCGGCAATGGCTAAGTGCACCGAGCCTTGGGTCCTTCCGCGCAGCCTCGGAATGAAAAATACCACTGTGCCAAGTGGGAACGTTGAAGGAAGCAACGCGTTTGCGAACAATGTCACGCCCAAAGGATGGCGGTTGTCCACGCTTGCCGTTATTCTGGATGCGAGAGGCTTCGTTCAGCTTAGATATGAGTTCAGGAGCCATTGAGGTCAGACAGGAAAGAGCTTGAAGTATTGATGATGAATAGTGCCGTCGTGATAAAGAAAACATCTTCTCCGGTAGCTGGCGCTGCGACACAATCCTCAACTGCATGATTACAAGTGTTCAGCTTCTGTAGGATCTTCTGCCCGGTTGACTCTCAGCGTCAACAGCTCAATGCGGTTTACGTTCAGCAGATTCTGGATCCTTTTTGCTGTTGTGAGGAACTCAGAGACGACGTAAGCATTGATGCCGTGTATGATGATGCTCTGAAGCAACAACAGTGATGGCGAGAGCCTGCACGGACCGATGAACGAGGTTGCGGTGAATGTTTCGATGATGAATAGTTCGGTCTGTATTGAGCGACGAGAGCAACGGTATCTGTTGTCCACACCAGATTGCTTACCAGGTAACGAGTTGGTCTCATGCAGTTCACGTACGACATAGAAGACGCTGCTTGAAGGCTATCGCGTGAATAGTTAGCACCTACAGCACAACGTTATGATCACTTCGATGAATTGATACGGGATATGGGTTACTCGCAAACATAATAACTGTCATTCTGAGTTCAGTACCTGGTACCTAGTCAACTCTTGTAATGCCCTCACAACTACGCGTATACAGTACTATGTCGATCAATGCCAGAATTTGAGTGGATGGCCGCGGATCCGTTCCCAGCCAGCATCCAGAGCCTCTACAACATCCTCTGGCAGCGGACCCTGCTCAAGAGCAACCAAGTTCGGCTCTAGATGCTTCGTGCTGCTCGCCCCGACGATAACAGCGTCGCCAAGTTCCTTCTTTAGCTGTGAATGATGTGCCAGCCATCTCAATGCAACCTCCGCCTCAGTGATCCCATGCTTCTTCGCAGCCGGGCGAATGATATCCAATGCGTCGAAATATAGATCATTCCAGTAGCGCCCCCGGTGGAGCTTGCCCTGCATCCTATTGGGATCGAATCGAGCGCCCTCACCGACCTCCGCGGTATCGCGGTGGTAGCGGTCCGTAAGAAAGCCGCCAGCGAGCGGGTTAAAGCAATACAACGAGAGACCATAGTGGCGTAGACAAGGAACGAGCTCAGGTTCGACTGCACGATGCAGCGCATTGTAGAGACCTTCGTATACGGTCGGCTTGACCCACCCATTCTTGTCGCATATCTCGCAGATCTTAGCCACTTCCCACGACATGTAGTTGCTGATGCCGAAACGCTCGAAGTATCCCTCCTTGTGGAGCTTGTCGACCTCACGTAACGTGTCTTCGAAGGGTGTCTTCCGGTCCGGGCCATGAAGATACCACAAATACAGCTTGTCTGTCTTCAGCGCCTTAAGGCTAGTCATGAGACCTTCGCGTACGTCCTCTGGCGAGTGGGTCCATGCCCTTTCATTACCCATGACCATACCTCGGGCCGAAGGATAGAACTTTGTGTCCATTACCAGCCCTCGTTTCTGCCACTGGAGATCCCCGAGATATTCCTCGGACGAGCCTTCGCCGTAGACACGGGCGGTGTCAATCTCGTTGTGGCCATGCTTCTGAAAGACGTCGATAATGGCGATGGTATCTTCGAGTGTATGCACACGAGTCATCTCGATACCTAGAAATCTGGATGTTAGCCCACAGGAAAGAGATATTGAGTCATGAGAGGAGGACTGACCAGGCTTGCCAATTGTCATGGCGCCAAAGACCACCTTGACATTGGTTTTCGGTTGGCCGCTCATAGTGGGCGATGTTTGTGCAATTACTTTCTGTGAGGTACTGTACTGGCTACGTGCTATGTGCTCTTGCTTTGAGCCGAAGGGTGGAATTGGATTCGTGGAGAACGTTTAAGCAATCGAGTGCTGGGTGTAGACGGCTCCATCATGCGAGACAGCACGTTTTGTACTCTGGGATCCCGCCCCGCAATGCCCGAAAGATAGCCCATGCCGTTGTGCTTTTGCAAGCACGGCGACATGGCCAGCCAAGAGCATCCTAACGGTATGCGGGGGCGCGTTTGGTGGTGGTGGTGATGGTGGTGGTGTTAAGGTTACGGTAAGTCCGGCGCTACGGGAGGTTAAGGGATTGCCACTGGCCGACTACCAAAATGCTAGTAAATCTATCCATGGCCACATCAGCTGAGTGTTCATCTAGCTCAGGGCGGCCACGGATTGATTTATCTACCCCTGACCTTCCAAGGAGCCTTGTCTCTTTTTCATCGGCCGAAATCCTGAGAGAATCTGGGCTAAGGCAAGACTGCAGCGGCTGTGTTGATGCACCACTTACTTCACTTGGAGCGTGCCGGGAAGATTGACGGTGGAATTAGTAGGGGGATAGAAGAGAATGATACTCTCGGCGGCCTTTCAATGGCTACGGTCTGTAAGCAAAGTCGTGAGTAGTTGGGATGCTCCACCTGACATCATTTCAAACTACCTGGTGAATACCAAGAATCTGTAAGGCAGCACTGCTCTCACGCGTTAGATGAACTGCCGACCTACGCGTCATTAAGGTTGCCGCTCTTAACGCCGAAGTCCCTGGCTATCACCGACAGCAACAGCAACCGCACGTCAACAAGTGAAGTGAATAAAAGCAGCCTCCATTTCCTTCGTCCAACGTCTTCCACTCCCTTCTCAACCGCAATTCTCAGTCACTGAAATCACAATCGTCTAACTCACTGCCGTCATATCAGAAGACTCTCGTTCGCAATGTCGACTCAGTACAAGTTCCAGGGCTGGATGGGCCTTGACAAAGACGCAGTCAACGGCAACATGGTCTGGCAGGAGTATGAGCCAAAACCGTTCGAAGACACCGATGTCGACATCAAGATCACGCACTGCGGTATCTGCGGCTCGGACATCCATACTCTACGCTCCGGTTGGGTTCCGACAAGCTATCCGGTTTGTGTGGGTCATGAGATCGTCGGGCATGCCGTACGAGTTGGTGACAAGGTCAAGGATATCAAGGTTGGCGACAGGGTCGGAGTTGGCGCTCAGTCCGGAGCTTGCCTGAACCAGAAAGGTGACTGCGAGGCGTGCGCAGATGGGTACGTGTTAGGAACCAGCATCTTCAGGCGTCCAGCTAACACTGCCTCCCAGCATGGAGCAACATTGCGCGTCCGTCACCACCACCTATGACAGTAGATGGCCTGATGGCAGCAAATCATACGGTGGGTATGCCGACTATTGGCGAGGTAGCGGTGCCTTCGTCTTCAAGATTCCTGATGCTCTCCCTTCCGATATCGCCGCTCCTATGCTCTGTGGTGGCATTACCGTATTCTCGCCGCTTAAACGGTGTGGAGCTGGCCCTGGAAAGAAGGTCGGTATCGTTGGTATCGGGGGTCTGGGTCATTTCGGTATCCTTGGTGCAAAAGCGCTTGGTTGCGATGAGATTGTTGCCATCTCTCGAACGAATACAAAGAAGGAGGATTCTATGAAGATGGGCGCAACTGGTTTCATCGCCACGGACGAGGACGAGGATTGGGCGACCAAGCACGCCGGCACACTCGACATTATCATTAGCACGGTGTCCTCTCCAAAGATGCCCATCCAGGACTATCTCGCACTGCTGCGCTTGAAGGGTCAATTCGTGCAGGTGGGAGCGCCAGAAGACAACATTCCTGGCTTCAATAGTAGGTAAAAACTCCACACTCCAGTCCCTGTTACTGACAGAACACCAGTTTTTGCTCTCATTGAGAAGCGCTGCACTATTGGAGGCAGCGCGATCGGCTCGCCAGATGAGATCAAGGATATGTTGAAGCTGTACGCGGAGAAGGGTGTGAGGACATGGAACAACAACGTACCGATGAAGGATGCTAACAAGGCTGTTGTCGACATGGAGGCCGGCAAGGCTCGATATCGCTATGTGCTGGTCAACGAAAAGCATCTCGGTTGAACCATCCACTAGCAGCTCTTCAAGCCGGACTGCCGGAACAAAGCGGAGAGGATCGAGTTTGAGCGGAGGAGCAAAAGCATTGCTGTTTTTCAAGCGGCGGACTAAACAGCTTGGAATGATAGTGGCCTGGAGAACATATGGCTCTAGAGAGAGCAACAGACAAAGCGAGGTCATTCAGATAGTGATTCTCAATACAATGTTTCAATCAATGCCTCAAGTGCTCTTGAGCTTCGGGCCCCTGTTGGCCCTTCCCGCTCTTGCTGTGCCCCAATTCGAGCATTTCGTTACGACCACATAGCTGAGCTGTACCTGTTCACTATGCCAGAAGATTTGAGTGAGAGCGGCGCGGACTGAAAATGAGAAAGCTGAACACTCAGTAGAAAGGCGATAATCTTGCATCTTTGAGACGCGGCATTACGGCTGAGTACCCCTACCAGAATCGATCTCCGATAACTAATCGTCAGGTTGAGCGCGCTGCCAGCTTCAGCAGGCATCTACTGGCCTCACTGCGGTTCAGACCATGGTGGTTCTTCTGTGGTTTGTTTGAACCTAAACCTCCGCGAGGTTCGTGATATCGGAGTAAACCCGTTGGCGAAAGTCACCTGACAGAGGAGAATCAGTACCGCCGAGAGCTCCGAGCTTGGAATTCGCGTTCGCCATTCAGACCGCAGAACATCACGTCACGGAGGTCTCTCAGCACCATAAAACTAATCCAACGAGGACCCGCCATTCCAATAAGAGCTCCTCGCCGCTCAGGACAGCACTACGGGACAAACCGCGAGACAGCCTTCCCTACCAGTATATTGGTCATGAATAGTCGTTCATACTTAATGCGGAGACGTAGTGTAACCTCGTGCTGGGAATGTTACCGCAGGAAACAAAAGGTTTCCCCGACACCCCTGCTTCTCTCACTTGCGACGCTACGATATCTGACCTCACTTAGTGCAATCGTACAAAACCGTGTAATTATTGCGTTGCAAGGAATGTCCCAGAGAAATGTTCATATGGTGATCCACCAGCGTATGCCAACCCGCTTTGCAATCTCCCATGTACAGCAACGTCTGCAAGACACCAATAACACTAGATGAGATGTATTCCATTCCGCGCTCTCTCGGCTGTGCGCTACACATCATCGGCAGCATCATTACGAAGGCCGTTCAGTCCAATCTACAACTATTGTCAACTGACCCTACTTTTTAGGGTGAAGGCCAAGGAGATATCGTCTCGGGAACAAAGCACGATTTCCTTAGGCACGTACTCGGACCAAGAGCAGGAGTTTGAGCTCGGCTCCACTTCCTCGCCGTCAGATTTTCTTGATCAAGTTGGGTACTCCGCCGTGAACGACAACGCCTTCGTCAATTTGCAGAAGGTATTTCGCATCCTTGGCCAATTGAATAATCTCTGACAGGAGTAGTCGCTTCAATATGGGAACGAGGTGCCAGCCGCTACCGCCAAATCGGCCGGGTTCTTGCTTTGCGCCTCCCGAAAGGACAAGTACTGGAATCTTGCCAAACAGCTGCCACCGCATAGTGTTGCGATGGAGCTTGTCGGGTGTTTTTTCTCCGAAGTTAATTGGTATCTCACGGTGCTTGAGCAGTATTACTTCAACAAACTCCTTAATTCTTGGCACGATCTGAGTTTCGCCCTCGCGGAACAGGCCGATCCGAAAGACCTTTCGCGTGATCTCCAGTACTTTCCAGCTTTACTTTTCCAAGTCCTTGCTATGGCGCTGCAGTTTTTACCGCCCAACACCAAAAGTGCCGAAGTCCTTCAACTGGAAGACCCGACCGCATGTGACCGACTGTCTCAGAGATATAGCAATTTAGGCCTCAGAATAATGGCCCTGTTAGGACGACATGACTCCACAATCGTTGCCGTCCAGCATGATCTTATGAGAGCTGCCTGGCTGAAGTGTTTCAGCCGAGGAACGGAAGCTTGGTACAGCGTCGGCAATGCCGTCAGGTCAGTGCTGTTCCAGAGTACATGTAAGAAACAAGCTGACATCTGAACTCAGACAGGCCCAAGGGATAGGATTGCATTTGCAATCCGAGGTCCGACAGGCGGAAGGAGGCGACGTGGAAGACACGCTCGTACGACTCTGGTACGATGAGTATAAGAGACGCCTGTGGGTCACTTTGTTCGTGTGGGATAGGTTAGACTCTGCAGCGGATCCCGTTTGCCCTTGCTGACTTGTTAGCCATATGGCCCAGATAATGGGCAGAGCGCGGACAATCAACGTGGACGACTGCACAATCAAAACGCCCTTAGACTGCAATATACCCGAGAACCCTGCCAAGACGGTACCAACAGTGGCAAGTGGGCGCGATGCGCCGTCTTCATATACGCCGCAACTGTTTAATTATGGTCTCGGGCAACTGATCCATAAAACGCTGTCTTCTGGGGCCGGAAAACCTCACGTTAAAGACTACAACGTTGTCAAGACACTTCACGATCAAGTCATCTCATTGCTCGACGCTCTACCGCCGGTCATGCGTCCCGAGAACCCTGACACCTCTTGGGACTCGACATGCCCAAACTTGCCCAAACAACGTCAACAGATATTGAGTTTTGCAAACTCGTTTCTTATGGCACTGCACAGACCGCATGTCGCGGCGCACAGTGCAAGTCGCCAAGCAGCTGTACAAGCAGCGCTCGATACCCTCGAATCACAACAACGGCTCTTCGACATGATGAGCAGGCATCACTACAAGCTTTACTCTTTGTCCTGTCTGACTATCGATGCTGGTGTTTTCCTATCCGCTATGGCAATTGAGCATCCGCCAATGAACTACGACGTCTTAGGGCAAACTCAACGCGCCCTGCAACAAGCCATTGGCCGACTTTCCTTGATGCAGGAGCGGAGTGCCATGGCGAGATCAGGCGTTCAGGTATTCACGCATTGCTATCGGATGATACAGGAACGCTTCCGAATGGATTATGGCCTAGTCGACCACGAAGCTTCGGTGGCTATCCCAGCTCAGCTCGGAGAGGCAGAGCAGGTGAATTATTTATCCGAGGGTGACCATACCCACAAACCACAGTTCCCTGTTCATTACTTCCAATCAACCCCGTCCGACTCAGGCAACGCGTCTACGGCTCCAGTCTCCCAACCAACAAGCTCTGACGTGTTCCCATATCCTACTGATTTCAATGCAACAGTCTGGCTGGAGCCGTTGGCCTGCAGCGCGGACACTTCGCTGGACAATTCTCTGGATGCGTCATTCTGGATGGAGCCGCTGGGCCCGAACGTGGATGCCGATGTGGATGCACCGGCTGGTCACTCGGTATGGGATCCTCTATTGAGTTATGGTCCAGACTAAACAGGCGGTTTGCAGCCGTCCGCTGCTGGGAGACCTGTTAACACCCTTGACATTATGTCGGTGCTCGACAACTTCATTCAATTGGTGGCTTCAATCTGTGTTATGGACCGGATGACACAGGATTGAATGATGAATTAGGTCATACCTCCTGATCGAGAAGCGACAAAGGTCGCAGCGACCTGCGAAATACTTCGAAGGTCCACGGTTCCCTTGCAGACGGTCGACCAACTTCAGAACCGCCTATCCCATGATGTCATTTCGGAAGAACTTGGTTTCGCTATTTTCGGTCAAGTTTCAATTCACTGGTATTTCACAAAAGACCTGAGCGCTCCCCGGTACCCTCACCGCGACGAGTCCGATCACCAATGAAGGACCGGGATGCTTCCTGCGCGAAATTGCCAACGGATGGCACTGAAAGCATCGACAGTGGACGCGCTAAGCCGCCAGTCAGGAGGAATCTGGATCCGGCTTGTAATGTTTAGCTCATCGACCGAAGAGAGACGCTGTTCTCAGAGCATATCCTCTCCGCTATCTCATGCATCAGGAGTTCTTCTACAGCGCTTCCACCTTTGTTCAATCAGTTTCAGCAGTCAATCCACACAACTTGTCTTCGAGTCTCCAACAGTCGTCTACTCGTCCGCTCCCTTTAATGCCTTGCTGGGGCCTTTGATTTATTTTTGGTTCTTGCCATGTACTTCTTTCAGGACTCCCAAGATCTACACTTGTTGTAGCGTTGAATTTTCTGTGGCATCTCTCCCAAAAAGCTGCGTCCGCGCAAACGACGGAGAGATAGACAAGACTGGTAGTCAAGCCGCTAAGATAGGGAAGGGCGAGATTCAGAGCGAATTCACCCCATTCGGAACGGCTTGTCTGGCTGCGGGTCTTGGCTTTTAGCCCGCCGCCCGGCCGAGGCGTTAAAGGAGCCATCCTCGCTGGATGTGTTTTGCTCATTATCTTCGGCTCCGTCCCTAGTCGCTACAGCATCGCCAATAGCCTTGGCCTTCGCCCTCCGATTTTTCCAAATTAGAGGCGGATGTCAAAAGTCCTCGCTAGTTTACGTTCCGATAAAGGAGTTGAGAATCACCCGCGTAAATGAATCCGGGCATTCAGTTCTACGGCACCGAATCAAGATACCGCCTTGATAACTAAGTGCAGCGAAACATTTTGAATGGACCAGGGCCTGTCCGGGTTGGCGGCGTGGTAGGGGAGGGGGGTTCTTGCCTAGTAGCCAGTTGCGATGTTCCAGGGAAACGGACTGGCATTACCGTTTCCGGAAGTTTGCGGACGGAGGACTAGCCGTTGGCTATATAGCATTCAACTCTGATTAAGCGCGGCTGCTGGATAAAGGAGAGGCCACCAGATCTCCACGCAGGCGACGACGAGAGCAAGACACGACCGATGATGCACTGTGTCTTTCAATCTGCTCCATAAATAGATGGCTCTTAGCTGCGGCTGAAACACTGCATGCGCGCATCAGGTCCCAAACGGCGTTCTTGCTCGAGTTGCATGCTGCGTTACTCTACGAGGATTGCATGTGTGGAGACGGAAGCGCAATGCAGGTCGTATCGTTGACATCTATACCACAACTGCTACCGGTCGTACCAAGTCTCGCTTATATAGTCCTTCCTTGGCCCCTTGACTACGTATTTGATGCAAAAGGTCGGCAGCCTCGCGCCTCGAAACATGAACTCAGCCTCGCTCTCATACATGTCCTTCTCGCACAGATGATCACCTATCGCAATCCATCCCCTATCTACATTTCGGTCTCTAGCCTCGGCGCCTTGGTCACCCCGTTCAGAAGGCTCGCGCCTCGCCCGGAACCTCATCTCGTTGAACAAATAGTCCACGCTCCTCCCATCTTCCTTAACGAACCACACAGATATCTGATCCTTGTCTTCACGGTAACGATACACGTATCTCCTCGTCGCGCTCAACTGCATCCCATTCTCGAGGGTAAAGGTGCCAGACTCGACATACAGGTACTCCGCATCGAACCCCGAAGCCGTTGGCAGTCGGGAAAAGAAGTCCGCTTGGCCGTCCAGCTTGCCGGATGGGAAGCCAGCGAGTTTCGAGTCCAGTCGGCGGCGGAGGGTCCATTTCCCCTGTAAGCCGCGGAACGCGGCGGCCGCAACGAACCGCGCGTTGTGTTTGGTCGCGGAAAGAGTGGAGCGCAGGTCTTCCAGCTGCAACTGAGCGTCGCGGCGGTCGGCCCCAGCGCCATCCGTATAACGGGCGGGTATGCAAGGCCCCGCGCGGCCACTGAAGCCAGAGTCGTCTCGCGTTATAGAGAGATTGGCTGCGAGACTTTCCATAATGCCCACGTAGTCGCCCATCCAGTATTGCGGGACTGAAGTGGAACACTGGAGCACTGCCCCTCTTAGCGTGCGCAACCAGCCGAGCTCTGTGTTGCTATCTCTGCCTTCTTCAGTCGATGCTTCTCCTGAGCTTTCTGTCTTACGATTCCCGTGTACGTGAGCATCAGCGGGCTTCTCATTGCCCACTTCAGCCCACCTCGCTGCAATGGCACGCGCTTGCAGCTCCATAACCCCCCAGTACGGTCCTTCGTAGAACCCGACGAAGCCGAGGGAGGGTATCCGGTCGTGACAGGTGCACATTCCGCTGAGCAACAGAGGAAGGCGATGACAGCTGCAATCGTATTCTAGTACCTCCCGGACAACAGGCGAGAGATAGCTGATGGAGGGGTAGGGATAGAAGCCGGTGGCGTAGATGATGCCCACGACGTTGGGGATCGTAACGTTGCTCTGTTTCGTGAAGGTCGTCAATATCTCGAAATTGCGTTTTATGAGTACAATATGCTCTTGTGAAAATTTTGGTTTTGATTCGAATACGAGCTTTGAATGACAAACAACGTACATCGTTTTGCTTACTGCCACCGGCCATGTCGCTCTCAACCTCGAGCCTTAATCGGCTTTCGCCAGGCCTCTCAACATCCGCAGCGACCTCCATTTTCGTTGCGCGCCCTCTGATAGGTACAATCAATTCGCTCCGGACGAACTCAGTATAGTTGTCACTGATAGCAACGTATGCCGGCATATTTGCCTCATCTGCGGTATGATCCATTGTTGAGTATCCTTGATCCGCTGGCCCTCCGCCCAGCATTGCTCGTAAGAACTTGTGCGTCTTAGCGGCTCGCTCACTCGTCATCAGGCCGTTCATTGCCATGATCGGACCTTCTGGTCTGCGTCCCAAATCGTAGAAGCAAAGGTCCAAGGGTGCAAAAGTCGGAGCTGATCTAAGGTCCAATTCTTGCGGCAGATATCGCGGAATGGCATAGAATGGACGGGATGAAACATGATGCACTTTGAGATTGTCGAACTTGGTTGATCTTGAAGGTGAATAGCAAGCACTTGAGATCTTGAATGCAGCAGTGGCAGCAGCTTCTACGCCAGACATGCCGCCTCCAATCACAACTACGTTTCCACCGCCCTGATGGGCTTCTGGTAGCAAGTCCTCAAGCTTACGGAATTTCGAGCTGTGGATTAATTTCGATGGCAAGTTTGGCTGTGCCTCTTGATTGAGCGGAACTTCCAGCTTCAGTGGCCTTGGCTCTGAGAAGAATCCCGAGGCAATGATCAGGTGATCGAAGAGGCTCTCGTGGACGGCGAGGCCTTGAAGCGGCTGTGTAATCTGGTCCTCAGACAGGTATCCGGAGACTGGAGTGCCAGGATTCCGCGGGGTGGCCCAGACTACCTTCCACTTCTCGCCTCCTTCATGCTCAACATGTTCGGCGCTCGTGACACGTGAGTTCAAGGAGATGCAGCTGGATGGTATGAACTCCGAAGCATAGTTTTGGAGATATCGTCCAACTTGCCATGCCTTGGGAAACATAGGGATTTGCCTCGTACCCGGGTCTAGATTGCCATTCCTCGTTTCCGTCATATCGTGCGTACCCTCTGCCAGATCAACGCTATTCCAGCTTAGATCTGAGAAGGCCACGGTGAACCGACTGAGGTTTGTTGCCATGCCCGGGCTGCATTTCTCTCCAATCTCACCCTTTTGTAGCGCCCACATCCCTCCGACGCGGCTGGCCTTCTCGAGGACCGTGACACTAAATGTGCCCTTGGGAGCGGCATGAAGGAGAGTCTTGGCCGCAACTAAGCCAGACGGGCCAGCGCCGATGATGCAGACGGACTTTGTCATTGTGACAGCGCTTGACCGAGCAATGGTATGGTGTGTAGGCGATCTGCGGCTGTGAACGCTGCGGACAGTGCGGAAGGTGTGGACGAGGTCGAATACCGCCGGACGTGAGTGTCGCGCTCTACTAAGCGCAGAACGGGCGCTTCCCGTAATGGCTGATGGAATAGAACTATGCTACGGGACGGAGGGGGCGTAATAGCCAGAGGGATAACGGTGGTATTGCTCGCAGCATCTGACTTGTGAACTGCTTGAGCGGTTGGTATAGGCGCTTTTGTGATTAATACAGAAGTTATGGCTACTATTGAGTAACAAAGTACGATGCCTCCTTGTCCGGCCCGTTGCAGGAACCATAACCATTGCGGATACCCACGTCCGCAGACGGATAGAGGAACCGAAGAACCACAGTGATTGCCAGTGTCTGTTGAAGGGAGGATAGAAGCACTTACATCGAGAGGTTCACTATATACAACTGAAGCCTGATTGTAGTAGAGAACGAGGGCTGGAAACGCACGCGAGTCAGTCGACTGACTTTGTTGAACCTCGGCCTCCGAGACTCCATTTCACTGTTTCATGATGAAACATCAACTTACAAGTACATATCAACTGCCTTCAGCTCCGGTTGCCATACACATCTTCTTTGCTCTTACTTTTCTCATAACTCTTACCGCTAGCTTTATACCGCGACTTTCTTTGAGCGCTTACCTACGAAGTACTAACACGCGGCGTTAATGACAATTTAACGATTCAAGAATGATAGTCAGAACGCGCGAAGTGACATACACAAGGCAAAACGGAGATTCACTCCGGTGCATTGGATTGAGAATCGTCGTTTCGGGAAAGGTAGCGTAGGATTGCTGCTCAACATAGCAATGTAGCACAAGACGACCGATATCTACCAGAAGCTTGTCCTGACCTCCAAAATTGAAGACAGGATTTGCAAGAGCACGATCGGCACGTCAAGGGAAGGAACAGACCCGTAAGCTTTGAAGAGCACTTCCGTGATGATCTTCGAATATAGGACAAGAACCTGTTTAGAGTAGCGGATCAACCGGGGTACGCTTCAGTTTGTCTCTAAATTACGAGCAGTGAGCTTGACGGCTTCTGAACAAGTCAACCGGCCATCAGAGCCATGTCCCTTTACTGTGTCCATGAGCTGCGTCAAGGCGACAGTAGTCAGCAACCCACAGTATCTCTCGTTATATCTCCTCTTCTTGTGCTCTTCCAAACCTTCTTCATTGATTCTCTTTTCTATTCTTCCACTCCTCTCTGTCGGAGCCTCCGTTGTTACCAATAACACCCTATGTCGCCGCTCGAAAATACTGATAGCGTAAGAGATATGCTGTATCGTTTGCAGCTGAGCAAATCTTGGCGGCGTGCTACAGACTCACTTTTCCCTTCAATCGTTGGGGTGGGCTTTCTTCCATACTGAAGGTCTTCAGTTTTACAGCACTGCCAGGGGCTGCTTTGAGATCACAACCACCGGTAGACTTCCCACCGGATTTTCATCCTATCACGCTGCCTGACGCCCCGTGAGGAGTATCCCTGGCAAGAACCAGCCATCGGAATGTTCCAGGCCTCAAGGATCTCAGATTTGTTCAGCTTGCAGTCCTGGTTCTCGGGCATCTTGGTTCTGATCTGGCTACAAGAATAGTCTCCGTAATCTCCCGGCCCAAGTATCAGGGCATGATCGGCGGATCGCGCTTCCGAGTCAGTCGACTTGCATTACAGGCAACTGTCGTTCGTCTCTTTCTTCGGTGACGTGGTTTCATTTCGGAGAAGGGACCGGTCGCCTTTACTGTGCTCGTTGGCCACCGCTTCGGAATGCATCCGCTGAGACACTTACTCAACCCGCTCACACATTCCCCAAGTATTGGCATAATGGGCATCATACCAACAGCTGAACACGCGTTGCATTGCGCCGCGCTCCGCAGGATTGTGAGGAATGTTTAGTTTCTACCTTGACTTCTTTCTTTTTCGGCATATCTTGATCGTTCGAGGCCGACCCATCGAGGAAAGATCTTGATGAAGGGACATGTGCGCGATTCGCTCATGCCGGACGAGACGTTGAGGCAGTCTTCTGATCCTAGGAAGCTGTACCTCGACGTATCTGTAGACGTCATAATCTCGTCGTATTTTCGTGGCTGCGTTCTCAAAATCTCCCGGATCATCGATTATATAAGTCCTCTAGACCACCCAGGAATGTGTCTTCTGCATCGATCTTCTCGCAACTCCAATTACTTCCCAACCTCCGATTCACTAGATTGAGCCAGACGCTTGCTATTCGTGTTCTGAATGATCTGCGAGACAACCTGCCACGATGATTCATTCCCGGCTAGCGCTGCTGTGGTTTGCCGCCTATGCTCTCTGCAGCCCGATTGAGTGTCCACAGACGCAGTGCGAGACGTTGACAAACACGTGCGGAGAATCCTACGGCGGGTAAGTACAGGCGCTATCTACAGTTCTACCCGCCCCCGTCCGCAGCAAGTAATCCGTACGCTCTGCTAATCACCACTTACGCAGCTGCTATGATGCCTGCCTAAGTCCGCTGACGAGCTTCTACACGGAGCCAGCTTGCTCTGCTTCCTCCATTCTCAGCACAGTCACAGCCAGCCTTGAGCAGAATGCAACCGTAACGACTGCATCGGTCGCCGAGATGCTTACAAACAGCCCCACTGTGACCGCGTCTCCGGATGCCGCCCCCTCATCTACGCCGTCGCCTGAAGCTCCAACAATCACGACGAATGTCGCACCCCAAATCAAGGGCCCGCAGTGGGTCACCAGAACGGCTGAGGCACCGGCTAGCACAATAAGCCCCGCCGCTGTGCTGGCCGAGGCGTGCGTGCCCGGAACATTGTGTGTCGATTTGAAAAACGAGTGTGGCAAGAGATATGGCGGGTAAGTCTACAATTGTCTTGATTCCGACCACTTACTCCTAACCACTGTCTGCCATGTTCTCCAATTATTTATGTATATCGCGAAACACGGTTGTACATCATCCCTCAATTGTTAAGTTGCGCTTCCGTTCTGCTCTGCAGGGCGCCTAAATATCAAAAAGTCTTGAGAGCATCATCACGAGAAACAAATTGCTAACAACCCGCGTATTATAGGTGCTACAATACATGTCTCGGTCCCGCTACCAAATACTTTACCAAGCCTATATGCCGCGGCGCTCCTTGAACGTATCCGTGTCTATAGACTTAGTGTTGTATCCGTTGTCGTGCTTAGAAGATGTCCCTTAACTTCAATGTTCTCAAGACTTGAAGCTTGGCGTTTCGGGTCTCAAAAGTCTCCGGTCACTCAGATCGTCTCTGCATTCTGCAGATCCGAGTCGCAAACGCTGTCTCATACAAGGCCTCTTAAAAGCTCTAGAATTGCTGCAATGTTCTCTCGCGTCCTTGCTAAGCCCGGTCAGCGCGTACTTTGAGCGCTCTGGTGCTCACACTTAGTCATTCCGAAGCAGTTCAACGGTTCATTGACTAGCCGTCGTTGAGTGTTTCAAAATCTTTATTTACTTTGCCGCTACGACGAAAGTCACGAGGCTTTGCTCATAGACTGCTCCGCTCAAATCCGATAGGTATACTTTGAGTGATGCTTCTTTGATCAGTTAACGAGTCAATTCAGTCTCCAGAGCGGCAATGGACGCAAATTCTGTGACCGCTTACAGTTCTCCGCCGCTTTCCGCATTGATCAGTCACCGCCACAATGTGACAGATTGACAGAATAGGTTCGGAGATAAACACACCTCCTCTGCCCGTAAGGTATTCAGCAAGCCAATGAGTCAAAAAGTCCGTCATCTTTCCCTTCTTGTATGCCTTATGTGGAGTCATTTTACGCACACAACTGAATTAGCAGTGCGGTTGGGTATCAATAAAACACGCCACGCCTACCCTCTAGATACTTTCCCCTCACAGCTTCTCATCCTTCAGAAGGTCTGCGAGCCAGCAAACTACACATATCAACCATTCAAGCGATCCACATCAACATGGTCTACCTTACCGCCAGCCTCATTACCGCCTTGAGCATTTCTCGGACCGTTGCAGCCGCTGCTATTCTCGGGCCGTACGATAGACTTGTTGAGAAAGACTCTGTATCACTCGCAAACAACAACGCCAACACTATTAAGAGGGAACCGGACAGCTCCTTGTTTGGAAGGGCCGGCTGTGAAGGAATGTTCACCTTCGTCGAGCTGAAGAATGAGGATTATTCTGTAAGTCACTTCTACTGCCTAGCCCCGAAAGAATGTCGCAGTGTTGTCCCCAAGCTGCTGGGTAAGGTGTCGACAGTGTTCATGCCACCGGGCGACGAAGAGTCGCGGTGTACCTTTTTCGCGTAAGTCCGGCTCTTCCTTCATCTTCACCTATGCTGTGCTTGGAGAATACAGTGCTGACAAGCCGAACATATTTCAGGCAACCGGACTGCCCTAACAACGCTAAGAAAGAGGATCAAATCGGCTATTGGACTCTCGGCGATCAGTACATTTTCACGTTACCACCCTTCATGAATAAACGGGTTTCGAGCGTGAGCTGCGTAAAGTTTCCTACGCCGAAGCGCAAACTGGGAGACATCAGTGAAAGAGCAGCGAACAACGTCCCTGCGCTCAGCGTCAGATCACAGAAATGCGCCGGTGACTACACGACGGTCTTAATGATCGAAGAGACGAACATAAAGAACTACGATCTCAGCTGCTTAGCACCTAATGAATGCCATAACATCCACTCGGGCATGTTGGGCAAGGTCAAGCATGGCAGATTGTGGACGGACGAGGAAGAGTCGTGGTGCACATTCTTCCTGTTCGTCTCTCGCTGTCTGTTCCTCGTTGGAGTCAAACACTGACCCATCAATCGCGCTGTAGTGATCCTGACTGCCCCAAGGAAGGTCTGCGGACGTGGTATTCAACACTCAGCACAGACCTGGTTCGGCTGCCTGGCGTTATCCGTAGCGTCAGCTGCGAGAAGTTTCCTGGGCGGAAAACCGTCGACTCCGCGACGAACGCGGCTGGTGCTATAGGAGAGGTATCGGGTCTTCCTGCGCTGGCTGCTAGGGGGGAACGATGCGGCGGCGACCGCACCGCCTTCGGGATGATCGACAAGAACAACAGAAAGAATCACCAGGGTGTCTGCCTAGCGGAACACGAATGCCACAACGTTCGCGCTGAGCTCTTTGGCAAGGACGTCCGTGCCTGGCTGGCGACCGAAGTGGATGAATCATGGTGCAGGTTCTTCATGCAAGTGTCCTCACATCTGGCCTCGTGAATGTCCTTCATAGTAGGGGGTATGCTGACGGAGTATCCACGCCATAGCCAGCCTAACTGCCCGGCCGATGCAAGGCTCGGAGAGTACAGTTCGTCCTCGACTCTCCGCAAGACGCTGTTCGAACCGCTGAAATGGATGTCCACCCCTTTTGCCAGCGTCAAGTGCGTCAAGTTCAAAAAGCCAGAAACCGTGGGTCGGAGGGAAGTCGACATGGAGCCGCCATTGGGAGCTGCGAACAGTCCAGCGCTGAGCGCCAGACAGTGGGACTGCATGGGTAAGAACACTTACTTCCAGGTCGTTGAAGACGGCAACAGCTCCAACCATGAGAGCGTGTGTCTCGCGCCAGGGAAGTGTTACAATCTTCCCCCGAGGCTGCTCAATAAGACCGTGAAGACCAACATCACGACGGCCGAGGAAGCTCCGTGGTGCATATTCTATGCGTAAGTCGACCGTTTCCCGCTCCTTGTCACTGGCTTCCTTCTGTCGTTGGAGATCTCAAGCCGTGTAGTGTCTACCAATGAACACAACTGACGATGCCACACGCTGTAGCAATCCCAACTGCCCGCGCGAACCGTATGTGAACTGGGGGTGGTCCCTGCCCGACCCACAGGCGAATTTGGGTGGGGCTGTCAGCAGCGTCCGCTGTGAGAAGTGGAATCCTCCACCTCGTTTCGGGAGCCCGAAGAGCTAGAGCGACAGCCACTTCAAAGAGCCTGATATTGGCAATGGAATCAAGACAGTTGATGGACTATTGTCACAGAACGACTTCTCTCTCCTCCGAATGGGAAGTTTCTGGCGCTGCCAGTGGCTGCGAGTACTCTTGGCTGTCCATGAATGTCTTTCGTTTTGGCATTGCGACCCTCTGGCTAGGGTCCACACAGTGTAATATTGCTGCTGGGACATCTGAGCCTCCGATTACTTGAGTGGTTTCATCCATTAGCCGGGAGCAGTTAGGACAAACAGCTGCAATGGACTGCTCTTGCATACACTTGATTCTTTACACACAGCATGTAGACATGCCAAAGCCCGATTGCGCCCACTAAAGGGGAGGGATAGATGGACTGACTGCTCCAAGCTCCCTGACACGCCTTCCAATACTTTTAAGCGCCCCAGCAAGCCTCCCTCAAACGCCGCCATAAACCAGCACAGCTCGACCGCGCCCGTGAGCCTCGCATCGATGACCGGCTCGCAGAAAGCTGCCATCACGCCAAGCGTGTCGAGCCGTCTGTGCATGCCGCCTTAGATATTTGCTCTTCTCGATCGTGCGGATATCGTCATACTGGATGACTTGCTCGTCTTCTGCCAGCCTAATCATACCGAAAATACCGGCCAGCAGCGCTCATCCCACTCTGCCCTTCGTCGACTTCCTCTCATTAGCCCTCTGCTTCCGCTCGTTCCTCTTGACCCGCTCTTTTCTCTCCTCCCTGCCCGCCTTCCTCGCATCACCAGCCTCGCCCGTCTCCCTCTCTTTCTTGTCGTCAACTTCGACCAGCCAATCGTTCTCACCCTCCTTGTTCTTGCCTTTGTACCCCCACTTCGGAACCTGCAACCCCATTAGCTCTGTAGTCCCGCATAGGTTTGCCCGGTCCAAGCCTCGAAGAGGCAGGACTGGAGATGGCGACTCACCCATTCCCCGCTAGCTTCGTCGTAGACGAGCTTCCCCTCCTTCTTCTTATCCTTGATCCCCTTCTTTTGGGCAAACTTCTCCCACTTCGTCGGCTCCTTCGCCGCCGGGACGGCCTTCTCTCTCGGAAGCTTCGTCTCCGGCGCAGGAAGATTCAGGTGCACGCCCTCGGCCGTCGAGGTGATGGCGCAGGTCGTGAGCAGCTGGTTTATGAGCGCTTGAGCGCAGTCGCGCGCGGTGGAGGCGAGGACGGATTCGGTGGGGTTGGGGGGGAGCGGATTGGGATCAATGCAGAGGAGGTGCCCGAGGTCGAAGGTGTAGGGGGTGGGCTTTGTGACGTGGATGGAGCTGTCGGGGCAGAGTGTTAGTGTGGACACGGGGAGGAAGACGGAGGGAGGGCATGGCGTACGGTCGTTTGTCGCTCGCGTCCCCGTTCATCGAGGCTTCGGTCGACTCGGCTGGCAGTTTGACACCTCCATCGGGCGTGTCGTCCTCTTCGGCTGCGTCTACCATGTCCGCATCTTGGCCGTGTGTTTCTGGTGCCGTTTGATAGGAGGACATTGGCTGAGAGGATTTGATGTGATTGTTGGCGACAGATTTTGAGTGCGGCTCGAGGGCGTCTGGATTCGCGGTATCCGTCATGAGCGCTTCTACTGTGGTGGAGGGAGCGTCTTCGGCGGCGATGAGGGCTTCGTCGGTCATGGTGAGGTCGGGTTGCGGGGCGGTGGAGGTGTCCATGGTGTATCGTGCTGGCCAGGTAGATTCAAGCGGATCTTTCCTAATAGTTTGGCTTGTATACCACGCTTCGTGATATTTCATATCATGTCTCTCCCGCAGTCGCCGAACTTTTTCGGGTCGTGCCGGAGAAAGCCCGAAGCTCGAAACGTCCGGACATCTGCTTGGATCCCAGTCCAGCGCCGAAGCCCACAGCTTCCTGTCATTAATCGCCCATCTGCGGCCTCAGATGCCCACTATGCCGTCCTCCCGCTGTCTCCTCCGCCTCCCTCACCCCCCATCCTCCCTCCTCGCCGCCCCAATCGCGCCGCACACCTCCACAAGCCTACGACACGCCGCGCCCTTCTCCGCCAGCGCCAGCCAATGCATGCCCGCCCCGGCCAAGAAGAAAGGCGTCACCTTCGGCGGCCCCCCCGCCCGCGGTACAAAAGCGCTGCGGATCAAGAAGACCGTCCGACAGTCGACGGCACGTCCACCGGCGCCCGGCGAGCGAAGAGCTCTCCGCAAGCGTATTGTCTTATCCAACACTAATGCGCTGGAGGTTGCTGGCTTGCGGGATGCTACGCTCGACAGTCTGGTGGATGAGGCGATGGTGGGGAAGGTGGTGGGGTTGCCGGGACAGGTTGTGGATAGTTTGAGGGTTGTGGAGGCGTTCAAGGTGCATCAGGGGTGGGGGCTTTTTCGGCGGCCGGCTTGTTTGGTGAGGAAGGAGACGGTGGAGATTGGAAGGGTTGTTGCGGAGGCGGAGGAGCAGAAGACGACGAGGAGGGTGGTGCTTTGTGGGGAGAGGAATTCTGGAAAGAGCGTGCTGCTGCTGCAGGGGCTGGCGGGGGCGTTCATGAGGGGATGGGTTGTTCTCAATTTCCCAGAAGGTACGACGGCTTTTTTACTCCTCGGTCGATATCGGGCTGTTCCAGCTTGTTTTGTTCGCTCTGCTCTCAGGGTTCTTCTCGGGGATGCTAACACCCACCCCAGCCAAAGATCTCACAATCGGCCACACCGCCTACTCCCCCATCCCCAACACCACCCCAACCCAGTACGCCCAACGAACCTACACCGCGAACCTGCTCTCCCAGATCTCCAAAGCTAACGCCTCGGTCCTCTCCGCCCTCCAAATCACCCAATCCCACGACCTCCCCATGCCCCTCCAACGCAACCTGACCCTAGACCGCCTCTGCGAGCTCGGCGCTCGGGACCCCGACATCGCCTGGCCCATCTTCCAAGCCCTGTGGAAGGAGCTGACTGCACCTGGCCGCCCGCCCGTATTTATGGCTCTCGATGGCCTCGCGCACGTCATGCGGTTATCCGCGTATCTCGCGCCGGATACGAAACCCATACATGCGCACGATCTGGCGCTCGTGAACCACTTCGTGGAGTACCTGAGCGGACAGAAGCAGTTGGGTAATGGCGGCGTGGTCATGGCCGCTGTGAGCGAGAGTAACCAGCCCAGGACGCCGGCGCTGGAACATGCGTTGGCGGCTGCGGAGACGAAGCGGGCTGCTGAGACAACTCAAGCCACCGAGAGCACCCAAAGTACGGAACTCGCACCACCGGATGAAAACAGCAGACCGCGGAGAAAACAGCCAGAGAGCTTCCTTGAGCACCAGCTGCGGCAGTTGAAGCACTGGAACCCGTACGTGAAGGGCGACGAGAGGGTCATCAAGGCGCTCGATGGTGTTGAGGTTTTGAGACTCAAGGGGCTGAGTAGGGAAGAGGCGAGAGGGGTCATGGAGTACTATGCCGCAAGCGGTATGCTGAGGAATACCGTGACTGAGGGGTTTGTTAGCGAGAAGTGGTCGCTTGCTGGGCAGGGTATTGTGGGAGAGTTGGAGAGGGCGGCTGTGCGGTTGAGGGTGTAGACTCAGGGGCTCGCGTTAAGTTGGATGAGTAGCATGTAGTAGATACCTGTTAGCGTGCTGATGAGAGAGTTTTGTACCTGTAAGATTTGTACAGAGCATGGTTCGGGAAGCCCTGCACAGTGGACTTGCATAGATAGCGCAGAGGCTTTCATACAGACTGTACTACCAAACGTCAGACTCTCAACACGTTCTGATCGGAATGAGAACTTAGAAGATTCCGTGTTTGCAACGTCGCGTACACACGGTGTTTTCAAGCTTAAGGTATTGAAGGATCTTTGAATGCTGACAGTTGACGTAGATGCTCTGCAGGCTACCGACAGACCAGGAACAGCTGCCTCACCTCTCTACTATTCAATACCACTTAAAGGATGCCCGCTTTCGGCCGTTCACAGATTACTGGATTTCTTTCCCTTCAAACCCAGAACGCCGCCATGAAGTCTATAAGTTGAAGCACTTTTCCCATTACACACCGTTCGTTCTCGAATTCTCAAGCCGCGTAACTAGGATGTCCGACGCGCCCACCTCCTCAAGCTCATCCATCACCAGCGCGATGCGTTTCCGCTCCACCATTGCACTGACGGCGACCCAGCCGTCTTCCTCGAGGCTGTTGATTGTCGGGGCCCGCTTGCCGGGTGTGATGCCGCAGACGGCTTCGAGTTTGTGACGCTCGACGTTATAGGTGCAGAGGACGTATTTTTGTGCGGCTGGGGTTGTATGTCAGTGTGCGCGAGATGGAATTGAAAAGACAACGAAGTGCAAAGCTGGGGTACAGAGACAGACATTGAGAACGAGAGGAAGGGATGGAAGGCGAGCGAAGCCCAGAGTTCACTGAAATGGAAGTGTACGTACTTATAACGCCGCGTATCCTCGAGGCGATCAAGTCGACCATCTTCGGATCACTCGGGTGTTTCGACTTGATGAGGATGGCGGTGCTTTCGACAACCGTGGAGATTGCTTTGAGGCCTGCAGCGCGCATAGTTTCGCCAGATTCTGTACCGTATCACCATTATTACTCGGTCTTCAGTAAGGAGGGTGGCGAAGTGAGGCCTACCAACAAGGTCCACAATGCCATCCGCAACACCTAACGCACACGCAGCCTCGACACTACCGCCCACATACTTGATATTCGTCCTCAGCTTCCTTGTCCCCTCCTCCCTGTTCCCATTAACCTCCCCCTTCCCCTCCTCCTCCTCCAACCCCCTAAAATACGCCTCCGCCAGATTCACAAAACTCGTACACACATTCTTCCCAATCAACTGCTCAGGCCTCTGCACTTCCCCCTTTTCCGGGACCTGCACCTGCAGCTTGCACCCCCCAAACCCCAAATCCATTACCATCTCCACGCCCGTCGTGTCCGTCGGTGGCGTCACCGCTTCATGCTCGGCAACCTGGTCACGCCCCGTAATGCCCAGGTCGACGCGGCCTTCGCCGACGAATGTGGGGATGTCGGCTGCGGGCAGGAAGACGAGCGCGATGGGGAGGTTCTTGACGAGCGCGATGTCGAGGCGCGAGTGTCGGTGGAATTGGATGTCACTGCCGGAGAGGAGGTCGAGAGTTGCGGAGTGAAGACGGCCCTCTATTGCCGTCGTCAGCAGCAGTCCGTTATAAGGTCGAAGCGCCCGGATCGTTCGTAGATGACTCGAGCGTACTTTTGGGGACGGCGAAGAGCAGCCGGTCGCTGAGGCTGTGTAGAGCTGGGGTCAGCAATTGCGAACTATTCCTTATAGGCCACATAGCTTACTGATTTACCAAATCCATGATTGCGCCGGTTATCGCTCGTGGTAAATTGCTTCCTCGCGCTCAATCGCTTTCCACAGTATGCCCTCGGGTTGGAAAACCTGGTATCCCAGGCGAATAAAAGTCCGTAGAGATATTGGACGTTCTGCACCAGCGCGAGTTACGGCGTAATAGAAGAGCACGAGATATCTACGTCCGATCTGTTGAGGGTTGAAGGCCATGACACGAGAGTAGTGGGGGATTAATTTTGAAGGCTGTCAGGCACACGTGGGGCTGATCTGCGCAAGCTGCTGGTCAAGCTTTTCCGCCGTCGGAGAGTTCTCCTGATTCAGGGCAGGTTCTTAGCCTCATTTTCAACCAAAATCAATTTCTTCTGTGTACGAAGCAAAAGAACAGCCAAAACAGCCACCTAGACTTCCAAAATGAATGCAAAAAGTCTAAACTCCCCCGGGTGGGCTCGAACCACCAACCTCTCGGTGTACTGCTGGATAACAGCCGAACGCGCTAGCCAATTGCGCCACGGAGGATTTCACATCCCACGAGATCTGGTGGTTGAGGAAATTTTTGACAATGACAATCCATATTACAGATTTGTTACGTTACGTCTCCCATCAGCGGCTCCGTCCAATCACTGGATGCCCTCTCGATTCTCCTTCGTCATGAACCGCATTAGAGGCAGTACAGACGTAAAGTATCAATAGTTTCCTAGAGGCTCTTCGCTATATGACGTGAATTGCTGAGAAGATCCAGTTGACTTCCCATTGAATCACCTTGTATGCGCTTCTACTCGATCCATCATCTAATGAACAGCCGATAGCAGTAACGAGTATCCCGTTCTATCTCTAGCCCAGTGTTGGTTTCGTATTTCCAACTGTTAACTGTTTATGTCCTTCCCTTAGCAAGAATGATGCACGAAAGCCAGTATTTCGAAATAACAGGAGCAAGGACAAGGATACCATTGTCTTATTTCAAAGCCCTCAAAGACCGTACGAGCTGAGGCTTCCTAGATTGGACAAATAAAGGAACTCGCTCAGCCTGCTTACTCTGATTGACCCGGTTCCACAATCCAGCCTCTGCGATTGAAGCGATAATGAGCAGTGATTGACACAAAAGTAAAGTCCCCAAGAAATCGACTCGTGATACATCAAACATGCACCTTCTTACCATGCTCTTGTATACCCCAACAGCAGCCGCAGCGGCGCTCTCACCCTTTGCATCAGACCCGTCGACCTCAGTCCAATACGGCCCTCCCACCGCGAGCGTCGAAGCGGCTTGAGCAGCTTACTGCAACTCCCACAGCACCCACAACACCACCTACCAAAAGCGGGCCCCGAACGGCGGCGCCGCCTACATGTGCAACGCCCCCGACTGGCAGCGCAGGTGCACGTGGCGATTCTTCGGAGTCAACCAATGTTACGACCTGCCGGACGAGTGGAGCAAGCAGCTACGCTCGTTCGGGCCGGACCCGGCGCAGGGCTTCGCGTGCGAGCTGTGGGAGCACAAGGGATGTATGGGCGCGAAGAGGTATTTCATGAATCCGGGGTCGGGAAGGCTGGTGTTGGGGCGAACGAGCTCAGTGAGGTGTGGGTTCGTCAGTTTGACTTTTTGTAAGTTGATTTAGATAGTGGATGGGGGTTTAATAGATTTGGGGGAGTTTGCACTGTAGAGTTTCGATGAGCAGTTTGATATACTATGTAACCGGCCTCCTACACCCGGAATGGAGATTCATTAGCCAAAGGCCTTTTCTAGCCCACGATGTAACGCCAAGCAGTGTACAGGAAACAAAAGGGGTGGTGATGCAAGTAAGCCCAGCTCCTGCATATGATACACATCCTAGGCCATGGATCAAGCGGTCGCTCTCGATACGATACCCGTGTTATCCACGTGTTCCAATGCTCTCATTCGCTAGTAGTCCCTACTCCGCCGATGCCTTTACACTCCCTTTCCCCTCTTCAAGTTGAATGCTCTCTGATCTTTCAGCCACCGCCTGTAGTCCGTCACACTGCCGATCTTCTCGCCGTAGTAGTCTGGGACGGGGTTCTGGATGGAGGAGGATGAAGGATCGACGCGGTACTTCTTGATGCGTGCGTAGAACTCGCGCTCTTTCTGTAAAGACCCGACCGGGTTAGCATGACGAATAGTTGCGCAGCAGTCCGGGAGAGGGAGCGCTCAAGATAGTCCGCTAAAGGTGTACGGCTCCATCCTGCAGCCCTCGACATAGCGGAACGATTATCCACTCACCCAGGCAATATCCCTCCTCAACCCCCGATACCAAACATTAAACACCGCATTTCCAAAGAACGGCCCAATCAGCCACCCCACAACCGTGCACGCAATCGTGCTCATGCCCAGCACGATGATCGGATCCAGTCCCAGGATCTGACTCCCCATGGCATCAATATCCTTCGTAGACAGCACCGCTATTCCCACAAACGTGCTTCCAGCGGCGCAGATGATAGACGAAACGAGCGAGATACGCCGGCGTGTCTTGCGGAGCGCGAGGAAGCGGTTCCAGGTCAGGCTGTGTTCATTTGCTGGGGGCGCGGCTGCGGCTGCAGAGGTCGGGTCGGAGATTGTGGAGGCATGGCGGGGGGAGGTGGTGATGTTGATTGACTGGATGGCTGTTCGGGGGATTGTCCTACTGACGAGGGAAGGGCGTTGATTGAATAGAGACGGCGTTCGCGATGATGCGGTTTGGAATGGTCTAGCGACAGCAGTGTGGAACTGGCATTGTGCTGCTGTAGGTAGTGGTGCGCGTAGCAGGGGCTGCATCTGCCTGCTGAGCACCCTCGCAGTGCGGAGCGGTAGCGTTGTCTGGAACATGGTCGGTCGCGTGTTGTCTTGATGGTGATGTATGGAGATGTCGGGTGTAGCAATTCCTCGAAAGAGCTTGGCAACGAGCTCGGGCTTCACAAGAACGTCACATTCAATCCAATCTCTAAGGAGCGCGACTACATTTATAAATTGTCCAGCTAAAATCAAACGCCAAATCCCGCTTCGAAAGTGAAGCACTCTCAAGTCCTCCGTGGCGCAATTGGCTAGCGCGTTCGGCTGTTACCCAGCAGTACACCGAGAGGTTGGTGGTTCAAGCCCACCCGGGGGAGACACGTATTTCATTTTGCTTTTTAGCTCTTAGCTGGACGGAGAGACTAAGTGCACGGAGCCTTGGACGTTGGCGAGTTATTTCGTGTCTAGAAGGGTATGGATATCGCACGGGAGTCGGTCACATAGCGGGAAGGCAACTTAGTGATGAACATCCACCACTTGAAATATGTCAGACCAGGTATTGTACAATAGAGGAAAGCCAAAACGTGAATATAGCATAAGCACCCCTAGACGCCAAGCTATAAGAGAGCAAGCAAGGGTATACCCGATCATAATCGTACCTAAGGAAACATACTTTTACGCGCGAGAGCTCAGAAAAACTCCCCCTTGGGCAGCGCCACAAACCCAGCGGTAATCACAATCGTGATCAGCAGCGCCGTTATCTGCGCCTGCCACACGATTCGATCCTGCAACACCTTCAGACTCGAGTCCTGGACTCTCGTCGTCTTTTCAAAAACCCTCTTCAGCAGCGGCTTCCGCTTCTCCGCATCCACCCACGGCTCATCAAGGTAAGAGTTGGAGCTGCCAAACGAGTCAAACGACTTGGGCTTCGGACTCACCGCTCGCTCAGAGGTCGCGAACGCTGCTTCCTCGTCGTCGGGCCCTTTGGTAGAGTCGGGGCCGGTGTAGATGGACCCCCTGTCGACGTCCTCCCACGGGTTGACGGTGCGCTTGTGGCCCGTGTGCAGGATCATGCAGAGGCCCTTGTAGGCGGCGATGAGGCCGCTGATGCCAATGAAAAGCCAGACGGAGGCGAGGACGCGGTACCATCTGTTCAGGCTCGACAGCGTCAGGAAGATGGCTAGTAAGAGTCCAAGCACGATGTTGCTGGCGCAGGCGCCTCGCACGGCGATGACGCGCGGTTTGTTGCCGTTGCAGATGGTCCAGCGGATGAAGTTGGGGTGGCTCACGCCGCGCAGTGTGCCTTCGACGAGGGTGCAGGCGAGTGCGAAGGCCGATGGGTGCGTCGTGTGTTGTAATGCTTGGAGTACGGCTTCGCGGTCGCGGTGGGAAATGTTGAGTTCGCGTGGTGCGTCCGGCGCAATATAGGTTGCGATTGCCTTGGCAACTTCTGCGCGGAAGGGCTGCAGCGCGGGTGCTGTTGATAGTCAGCGGTGGAAGGGCTTATGGACGGATGTGTGAGGGGAACTGACAGTTCAGACCACCGGTGTTGTTGTCATGAGAGCGGACTTCCTGAGCGAGATCGGGGGCGGATACTTTGTGCGAGATAAATGAGGAACAGTCTGTTCCTCCGGCTGATACCGGTCTCGATCCGTGTGCGCCGGCGATCTCGGTGAGCGCGTACGAAGGGCCCTTTGCTGAGTCGTCGCTGTCGATCAAACCTAAGCTCTCCAAGTTGGCTGCAGTCTGGCTGAGTTTGATGACCTTCACTAGCTCCTCGGAGATTTCAGCGCCCCATTCGGGGGAGAGCGCCTTTTCCTCCTTTTTCAGAGCGTTGAACCGCTTCGTGTAGTCGTGGAGCCACAGATAGAACTGGAGGTTTTCCGCGTCGAAGGAAACGTAAAGAAGATAGTCCATGAAATCAATTAAGCTGCATGGCTGGGCAGGTCAGTAAGAGTGGCCGGACTTCGAGTGATTCGACATACTGGCAATGTTTTGTTGGCGACTATCCGATCGAACGACAGCGCTGGTGGGATGCTGCCCTTCTTCTTCAGTGTCCTCTCCACATACTTCTGGCATTCTGACTGGCCCAGCGGACCAGGCAGCTTGCAAACCAGATCAGGTCTCTTGTAGAATAAGACAGCAGACATTATGGGATAGTTTTATGGTCTACGATGAGTAGAGCGTGATCTGACTATGATAAAGCAAAGAGGAGACCTTAGCCTACCATGCGAACGGGAGGCCAGCCTGATATATTCAGGTCGTAGCCGTCCCCATGGGTCTACTGGACTGCTAGCCGGAGAAAGTCGCTAGTGTTAGAGGTACATACGCTGCCAGGACAGAGGCGTTTCAGAGTCGAGGAACAGGCCTAGCTGGTGCAGAGACGGTCCAGCTGGGCGGCATTTAGCCTTACTGGTAGCGGTAGTTGGAAGCTAGGACCACAGTAGACCGGCAGGTGTTCCGCCAAACCCTCGAAAGGCGTTGGATCTCGATGTCTGCCGTGCCTGGTCCTCGTCTGTGCTTCATGCGTGGAAGGCTCGAGTTGACGAATGACGTCCGCCAGCAACAGTGCTTGGAGTGGCCAAGGAGCTAATATAGGGAAGGGGCCACTAGGTCTGTCAAATCCCCAGTTTCGCGTGAAGGCTTTTCGATAGCCTGCATGTCATCAGCAGCACGCGGAGCAAAGCATGGCTGCTGGGCGCGGTAGCGAGTCTGTGTGTTCATGGATGAGTGGAAATCCACTCGTTGCTAGTGACCGAATGGGAGAAGATGGACGTATGAGAACCAGTGTAGAGCTCGAAGCACTGTCCTTCTCCAGGTTAAACTAGAAAACCAACGCCTTCTTTGCAGCAATGGTGTACCAAAGAATAACTCAACCGTCATCTGCGCCGAATTCTCCATGTTTCCCTCTGTACACAACCGTCGAAGAGCAGTCGGAATGTGCAGCTTCATCGTCCGGTCCTTCCACCCTTCGTGCAGCGACGCCCGGCCTCCAAGACGCTGGCTCAGGTGGCTTTTGAGGCTCTGATACGTTGTTCCCGCATTTGCTGCTGCCGCTCGCAATCTCGGTTTATCTCGATGTGGCGTTAGTGGGACCTGCGTGCGGGCCTGCGTCGATTACGGTCTGGACTGTGCGTGGCTTGTCCAACCAGTCGCTAGCTGCTTGCCGAACAACGCTGTAGGGAAACTACAGACGCCCATCACACGGCTTCTCCGATAGCTGGAGGGCTGATTGTGGAGTTTCTGGCGGTGAGAGACGGGATGGATGTAATGTCAATCTGGAAAGGCGGGAGGGTGTGACAGTTTCTTGAGGGTGTCGCAGCCCCTGCACGCGCGAGATGTGGATGGCCAGGCGGTACCTGGTGATCAATAGCTGCAAGGCAGAATGGCGTCCTGTCAGTGAAGTTACAAATATCAACACATGAGTTTATCATCTCCAAAAAATTGTTGAGACTCCAGATTTGTAGCAGTCGAAGCATCCCACTCGCGATTGGAGTCGTCGGTTCTAAACCATCGCCCGATCACCAAGTGTAAGGCAACGTCTGCAAGGAGGTTTACATGAGCTGAATCAGCTGAATATCAAGGCCCCCAGTTTGAGCGTTTTGCTCACATGGCTACCTAGATAACATCGCCATGATAGTAAATGCTAGCTTTCAATGGCATATAAAGTTACAATACATATGCGTGATGGTGTGGTTGTAGGGTTGATTGCATTACCTCGTGGTAGCGTAGACCTCTGAAAATGATTCATGAGTCTGTTGTCTATTCTATTAGTCAGATAGCTGCCTAGTTAATAATCTCTCTAGTAGCACCTTAGCACTGGTATAAACCCCCATCCAGCGCAGAATTCCCTAGCGGACGTTATCTGTCACCATGGTGGTTGCAGTGAAAGGGGAAGTCCACTACACCCTACGACCGAGCGTCAATCCGGAACAATCACAAGGTGAAAGCGTTGCAGTATGGACCCTGGGCGTTGCAGGCCCTGCTGCTGTCAGCTTTGGAGGACATTTGTTATTAAAACTGTTTGTTAGTCTGTCTACTTGACGACCAGAGCCGAAGGGCTAGAGTAAACTCAAATGAGTGAACGAATCCTCGATGAGTTCCTTCATGCCATCAGGCCGACCGAGGTTCGCACTTGAGAAGCTATTGACGAGGTCAAGACGACCACAAGTTTGCACATATCCAGAAGTCCGCAACCAAACCATCCATTTTTTGACAGATACCTTCTCACATCCATGCCCCTACCTCATTACATCCTTCTCGCGCGATTGAACCCTTCTCGTTTCTGAAACGTACCACACCCTGCGACGAAGGAGCCTCGGACGAGAACTATCCACACCAGCGATTCCATGGACGTCAGAAGAGATTTCGCAAACCTAAAACCCCAAGAACAAGAAAGATCAGGTCAGGCTCACACACCCCTCGCTTTGAACAGGTATAACATACGCGATCCTAAACCCGCACCAATCCTACCATCCCCATTCGGCGTCGTAGCCTTACTACTGATCGCCGTCTCCACTTTGCGCGCCGTAACCTCAGCAACCTCATCATCGTCGTCACTGCTGCTTTCAGAGCTACTGTCGCTTTCCTCCTCCTCGGACGAGCTCCTAGGGCCAGCGTTCCGCGCGGCCAGCCGCTGCGCCTCTGCATTCCTCTCCTGCGTGAGCCGTTTCTCTTCCTGGGCCTGTTCCAGCTGCCGGCGGCGGCGGATGTCCTCCTGGCGCTGCTTGATGTTTGGAAAGTTGTAGTCGTCGTCGCGCGTAAGGATTTGCGACGGGGTGGGCTGCTGCGAAGATGGTGCTGATAGATTTACCACTGGCATTGGCAGCCCCATTGGGTTTGCACCCTTTGGTGTGGGTTGAGATGCACCATTCTGGGTGGAGGGATCGCTTGTCAGCTGCTTCGAGGGCGATGGTGAGTGCCGTGCAGAGGCCATCGATGAATGGGGAGCTTTGGCTTTTTCTGCTGACTTCGCATCTATGCCGTTGGGTATGCTGTCAGGAGCGCTATCTTGGGTCGTCGAGAGCTCCGGTGGTGAAGAGCCTGGAGACGGTGAGCGGGGAGCCCCAGGTTTCGCTTGGGAGCCACCTCCGCCCTCGGCGGGAACAGCCTTCTTCGGCGTTCCTTCTTCATCATCACTTTCTTCCTCAGACAAGCCTGATACATCTGATTCTTCCTCCTCGCTGTCAGAAGAGATCACGATGGACTCGTCCTGGGACGAGGGAATAGCTTGAGGCGAACGGGCAGCTTGTGGCGAGCGAGCAGCTTGCGAGGAAGAGGCAGCCTGTGACGGTGGGGTTGCTTTGGTCGGAAGATCAGCCTCAAGAGGTCGTGAGCTACTTCTGTCACGAGTGTAGGGAAGGACGGCCTGCCGCAGTTGCGACGCCTTTGTCGCCGTGGCCGGTCCAGGTTCAGGCTTAGGCTTGGCTTCTGCAATCGGCGTGCCGGAAAGTCGTGCAAGGTCGGCGGGGCCGTAACCGGGAGGGAAAATCTGCTTGGCTGGCGGCCTCTGCTTTTCCGTCAGTTCTCTGGACTCGCAAAGCAGTGAGAATCGTTTGACCTTTGCCTGGGGTGTCGGTTTAGCCTTTGGAGCGTCAGGCGCTGAGACCGATGGTGTACGCCGGCCGGCGGATGACTTTGAAACCTCTGGAGGGATTGAGGGACTAGAAGAAGCTGGAGTGGCACTCGGGCCCTTCTTCAAGATGCTCGCAGGGCTGTCCAGATCCCCATTGTTACGACGCTGAGGCGGCTTCTTTGGCTCCGAATATTCTACTTCATTACTGAACGAAACGGACCTTCGCAAAGAAGTTTGTGCAGACGAGTTTGGTACGCTTGGTACAGTCGCCACAATAGTGGGTGGGGCACGTGGAGCGCCAGACCTTTCTCGTGAGCGTCGCTCTGCGTCGCTGGCCTCCTTCTTTGCGAAATAGTCTTTCGCAGCGGCCTCCCTTTTTAGATTCTCAACTTCTCTAGCCTTTCGCTGCACGCTTGCCTCTCGCTTTCTTTCGGACGCCTGCTGCTCAGTAAGGCGCTCAGCTTCCTTTGCCTTCCGTTGCTCCAGCTTGAGCTGACTCTCTTCGGACGTTGAGGGATTCGATTGCCGACCTGTTGGCTTTTCGGAAGCTGCTGCACTTCGCGACCGGCTCCGTTGCTGTGGCGTCGGTGTGATAACAACCGAGGGACTAGACTTTCGCTTGTTCTGCTGTGAGAATGATAATAACGCAGCATCGGCTTGAAGCGCTTGTGGTTGTTCTGGCGCCGTCGATGGTTTGCTGACTGGCTCCACAGTAGGGTCGGTTGGGTCTTTCGGGTCGTTTGGGTCTTTTTTCAGATCTGTGTTTTCGCCCCTACTTCCCCGCCTTGCCCGGATGAGCTCGAGTTGCTTTTTGGCCGATGTCGAAGGAGACCTCAGTTTACCCGTTGCCAGGCCGGCACGTTGCGGTGTATTTGCAGTGGGAGACGCCAGGCGATCGTGTGCGCGGTTCGGCTGCGCAGACGGAGGAGTACTAGATGCGATCTCTTCATGATTTACGGTGGGCCCGGAAACTTTCACTACTGACGAGTACGGGTTGGGAGGAAGCTTGGGCGGCCACTGTTTGTCTTTTTCTCGCGGGGGTGTTTGTATGGCTGCCGGCTGCACTGGCTGTTGAACCGAAGGCGCAATCCCGTTCATCTGCCGTGAATTTGCACGAGCTTTAGATGCCGGTAGAGAAGGTTTGATGAAGGCATCTTTAGGAGTAGTACTGAAGTCGCCAAGCACAGGGCTGAGACGCGACGGCACTGCCGCGGGAGGGATATCCTGAAGAGTTGGAAGCTCATGTTCCGGAGATTCGCTCTTGGGCTCATCGACGTATGGATCTGAGCTTGGAACAGCGTCAAGCTGAGAGTCTTTGATGATAATGACCGGCGGATCAGCCCCTCGGCTTTGAGCTCTTTCTTCTCCCGCAGACTGTCTAAGCTGTGCAAACACATCCTCACCGTCGTCTCGTTCGCGAGACAGAAGCGGCCTGTCCGGGTGAAGGTCCTCGACCGCGTAGTCCGGGGGTTCCTGTCCGATGCGTCGGCGCTTGAAGCCCTCGCTCTGGTACACATCGAGGAGCCGCTTCTGCGCGGTGACCGGTCTGAGACTCGACGTGGCAAGCACTGACATCTCACGGTCAATCGAGCCTTGAATCACGTGGATCACCCTCTTCTCCTGATCCGTCACGCCTTCGAACACATCAGACACAGTGTCGCCGACGTCGATATCGCCGCCGTATGCATCTTGCAGCTTCTTGACGATGAAGGTGCTGCATGGTGTGAAGTCAGTAGGATTTTCTCGGGCAGTGCGAAGATCTTCTACGAAGCTCCACAGAACACGCCAACACTCGCGGACGTTGCACGCGACTTACGCTGCTTCAGCTGGTGTGAGATAAAGCTGCTTGTAGCGACCTTCGATAAGACTCCAAACCTCGCTGAGTCTCTGTTCCGGCCGCACGTTGATGCCAAACTTCTTCGGCGGTCGTGCTGTGAGCTGTACATTGCTGTAAAGTGAGCTCGCCGGACCTTGCTGCAACGGCAGCACCTCGACATGGAGACGCATTGCGACGGCTGGTGTGCAGCTTTACATTCCTCGCAAGGATCTTAGCGTCAATGATAGCTGGACATGAGCAGTTTGAAGCAAGCTGAAGATTGAAGTTTGAAAGGTCGAGGCCGAAGCTCTTGTGAAGGTGAAAGTCGACTCCGAGTCCGCGCACTTCGCGTCAAATTCCCGCCAAGTGAACGCGTCCGGGGTAAGGCTGTTAGCTGCCGATCGTCGCCGGACTGACGCAGAGGCTTCCGATTTGCCAGTTCGAGCTCACCATCAGAGGCAGAAAATGGAACCATCAACCTACGACGGGAGAAACCAAAGCTGTGAGGTCCCTTCGGAATACCGGCGGTAGGACTCGGTGCTATGCTCTCAGAGGAAAACCCGCTATCCCTGCAGGTAGTCATGTCACGCTGCTATCGCAAACGAACCTTGTAGAACTTCCCAACAGTAAGTAGCCGATCTACGGCCTGCGAGGCTGCAAGACGAAGGAGAGAGAGGGCAAAGGAAGCCTCTGTAGGTTGGTGAATGGATCGCTATCACATGGCCCTGTTCATCATTCATGCGCAGCGGTAGGCTATCCCCACTGAGGAGAGCTGGGTCTCACGTCGTGTCTAATTCTGGTCCTGGACGTCCCAGACCTACTCGTAGTCATTCCTTATTTGTCAAGACACGCACATCATAGCCGCATTCAATCTTTTCCGTTTGTTGTCCTCGAATCACCTCCTCGCAGAGAACTAGTGCAGCTGGCACTGTCGTTCACTTCATTCCACGTTGGTGAATGCGATATCACGTGTACAAAACCGTGAAGTGCACTTCCACTCAAAATTCGCGCTCCGCTCTACCACCCCTCAGGCAACACGCTCTTCGCCTTGAAGGCCGATTAGTAGATGCTCCAAATTCCTACTGCTTGAACTAACGCATGGAAAGTAAGCACACTCGTACAAACACAGCCAGCTACATTGTCTCGGACAGAACGTTCACACCTTCACACAGAATAATTCGCATCGCGTCACATACGTGCCCGTCCTCACCTGAGAGCCCAAGATCTTTGCATCCAAAGTCGAGTTCCTACGCCGTTTGCGACCTACACGATGCCTTCGGCCGGTGATCGTGTCTTTGACATTGCCGAACTCCGCTGCCTCATCCTGTCCCACCTCTCCTGCACAACAGAAGACCTCCGAAGCCTCTTGCGCCTCGGCGCTGTCAGCCACACTCTGCGCAACCACGTATTGTCGGACTCTCGCTGCCGCCGCCTGCTCTATCTCGATGCTGTCGCCTGCGATTCCGCTGCGCTCATCATGTTCAAAGAGCAATTCAAAATCTCTGCGTGGTCCTTCTGCAGCCATTGCGACGACAGCGACAGGCAGCAATGTTGGATCTACAGGCGCCGCCAACGGTCCTCGGCCGTCCCTCCGCAAGTTTTTACGACGAGCGTAGCCGTGAACCCGCTCCTCCACGACCACTTCCCCAAACTCTTTATTTCTTGGTGGGAGCACCGCATGACCGTCGCTCTTCCAAGATCTACAAGTCTGTCCACCCTGTTCACCGAGGCACAGTTGCGCAAAGGGTCATCATGTCGGGAGATGCTGATTATGCAGCCGCCGCTCACGCGTCTCTACATTGAGGGTTGGAACCGTGTAGCCTGGTCAATCGCGAACAAGGAAGGCGTTAGGGTGGGCCAGTTCCTAGATACGTTGGTAATGATGGAAGAGAAGAACATGAAAGCGAAGGCTGCGGCGAAGGCAGTTGAGAGCGCTATCGGTGGTTGTGGCGATGATTGAAGTGATTGCTGGGGCAGAAGCTGTTTCTGGGTACCATCACTGAACCTCCATTCCACATTCACGACGTTGCTGTTCCCAATACGCCCGCACGATCCTTGGAGCGATTATTCAATCCCTTGTGCCAAAGGTCTGCTAGTTCTGACGTAGCAAACGTCTACAGTCCACATAAGGGGGTGACTATGGTCAGCGGAGATGAGCTACAAAGCAAGCATTGTCAACAGATGCAGTTCTGACGTCCGAGTGATCCCGGTCCTGTGCACATACCAATGCTACGTGACACCCAGCTCCGGACTATGAATGTCCGTGCGGCTCGACTGTTACGGAGCAATGGAAGGTCTGCTCGTCTGGGCCATGTGTCTCGATAGACATCACCTGTCTGCTTGAACAAGCACACGTAAACAGCTACACAATAGCTCGGGCGATAGATAACTCGATGGTTCAGCCAAAGAACTCGCCACTACTGAGCGTCTCCCAAGGACGCCCAGTATCCCAAACCTTCTGCATCAGGATGCGCGCACGGTTTACCTGCCGTGGTTAGATTGATCAGCTTCCACTCATCACACAGCAGTCCGAGATCAGCAATACAGAGCAAAGAACATGAGACTCACTTGCCCCATGCCCACACCCTCCAGCGCGGCCAACCTCTCCGCAATCATCTCCCTCAACTCTTCCATCTTTTTCACTTTTCCCAGCGGAATATCCTCCCACTGCTCCCACCTCATCTCCACGCCAGCAGTGAACATTGGAAACACCAGACACGCCTCTGCGTTCCCTCCTCTTCGGACCTTGTACAGTTGTCCTACAATCTCCCTGACAGCTTCCTGGACAGTGGGATCCGAAGAGGGCAGATTCAAGACGCGTCTGTTTAGGTGCACGAGGCCGGCCCAATGGAAGGCCATGTTAGTGGCGTGAAGTTCGAGGGCATCCCACGTGTCCTCCGCTTCGTTATCAGGAAGCACGGTTGCTCCAGGTCCTGTTTCAGCGGCGCTAATGCTACTATTTGGTGCATGATGGTGGAATGAACACCCTCGATAAACGCCGTTCATGCTGCGCTCCAGCTCCTCTTTCAAGGCCGCCGCTTCCCCGTCGACGTCAGCATCCGGCCGCCACTGTTCCCGTATCTCGTTGCTCTCGGCATCAATGCGAAGCGGTTCAACGCGTTTGGCCAACTCCGCAATACGTGCGAGAATGCCGTTGAAGCGGCCAGTAAAGCCAAGGAAGCAGTCGATCTGGAGATCCTCCTCTTCGTCTTCCGCGCTGTCATGGGACCAGTATGCGCTGCTCAGCGGCCAGTCGTTCTTGCGACCGCTGAGAGAGCCGAGGACGTCCAGGTAGGCGAACCATCTGCTGAGGAAGTACGCGACTTTGTCTTTTCTGCTGACCTTGGCTAGCCCGCCTCTGCCGATGATCATTTGACGCGCAACTTCAAGATGGTTCTGCCAGCTGATCGGCACTTCGAACGTGTTCGGTGCAATGATCTCCAATGAGGCGAGCATAATGGCGGTAGTAAGGTTAGCGGTGGTGATGTTTTCGGGTTCTGATGCCAGGGCTTGACGAAGATTGGGGAACACGTCTTGGACCCACTCAGCAATGCGGGTGCGGGGCTCGGGGTGCGATAGGAGGCGGGAGCGGTGAGAGGCGCTAAAGGCGAGGAGAAGGGACAGGAGATTGGGATCTTTGACAGCCACTGACACAGCATGAGCTGAGTGCCGATAGGAGATGCGGGCATACGACAGTATTGAAAACTTACTTTGCGGTAACACTGTCCGAAGCGCGTTCTGATCGCAATCGTGCGGGACGAGGATACGCGCTGTGTGGTTAAGGAAGTGATGGAAATAGAGAAGATTGACCGGGTTTTCGAGCAGCATCGATGGGAGGGGTTCTAGCTCCTTAGATATCCTGATAGGCACCGGTTGAGCGTAGTAGCCGCCTCTTTCGAACGCAACCGGGCGGCTCCTGGCCGGGGAAATGCTGCCATCCGTATTACTAAGTGGGTTGCCGTCAAAGTCGAAGTACGTGCGAGACAATGGTGGACTGAACAGTGTGATGGCATTAACATCGTCGTTTCTGGGTACATCAATGTCGGGTTGGCCGGTATCGTAACCATACGTTGTGGTGTTGTCACGGGTATTTGCTTGAGGATACCGCTGTTTATGGGTGGCGGCCTCTGGGGAGGCGGCATAACCTTCGCCGGGTGGGCCAGAAAGCAGTGATGCAACCGACATTCGCCGAGGTTCTGGTTGAACCGTAGAGGACTGTGAGATCCTGGCCGCGTTTGACTGTCCGTAGATCTCCTCGGTAGTTGCAGAAGATCCTGGCGTAAACACTGAGCTGCTGACAGGACTGAAAGACGTGGGCGGATCAGTGGAAAGTGACAAGAGCCCTCTTTTTATGCCACTACTGTTAGATAAGTCCAAGTTGTCATCAGTCGCTGCAGAGGTGGACCTAGCTGATATTACTGGCCTGTCCTCGCCTGGGCTGAGTCTTACTCGCTTGCTTCGATGGCCAGGGGACAGCCAATGATCCGAGTTTTGTGCCGGGAAGTTTGCGGAATATTGCCCACGCAGAGGTGGCAGCATTGCGCCAGGAGATGACCCCGGTGTTACGGAAGCACTGCTGTTGTCGAAGCCTGTATGTCCAGGATTTGATACCCAGGCTGACGCAGGACCTGGATCACCTCCAAAGCGCGTGCCTTGCAGCCGCGGATCGATTGGCGCAGATGTCACGTTCCATTGATCTTGGGCTAACAATGTAGGAGGTGTCCGGTGGTCGCTTGAAGCCGCGGAGTGATGCAGCATTCGATCCGCGCCGTTCCGCAAATGCAGCTGAGCCTGAGAGGAGTCTGCTCCTGCTGGATCAATGATGCTGAGCTGGCGATTCTCCGAGTGCTCCCATGCTCTTGTGCGCCATCGCTGGTCGGACTCTTGGTGCTGAACGACCTGTTGGTCGGCGAGAAAGCGAGAAGGAAAAGGCACGCTCGACGAAACCTCGGAGGTGCTAAAGCTCGATCTATACGAAACCGGCGTTGCACCTTCTAACGGATCGATACTGTCTCCATCGTCCTTCTTCTTCGTACGTCCTCCCCAGTTCAGCCTGATACTGTAATCACAAGTTTCGCCTTGTCGTTCGCAATTGAGGCATCGAGGCTTCTCTTCACCGCTGACTGATTGTTACTGGGCATTCGGTATATGAAATGTGTATAGAATGAGTACCATTTGACCTTCCGGCCCTTACATGGCCTGTTCAGTTTAGTGGTCCGGTAAGATAATGAGGCTCGATAAGAATGGCAACTTTTACTCACCAACACCCATTGCGGCTTCTTTTCCTAGGCTCAGGAGCGCCTTCTTTTTTTGGGCGCGGCATTGCTGAACATATATCCAGAGATGACTCATTGGATTCGTTTATCCAGCCTTATCGCGGGGTCTTACTGAGAAACTAAGAAACGACAATCATGAAAGCAGGCGGGCAGAAGTCCAGAATGACGAGCTTATGCCATGCTTGATTCGAAGAGTGAAGAGGAAGGCGGCGCGTGTACATGGCTTTGATCCACGGAGGCGCTGACTGCAAGAAGAGCTCGGTGGTGGTGAAGATCTCGCCTGATGAAGAGACGCGTATCTCCGCTGATGCCTGAGGCTGAAGTAGTTATTCCAACAGCCGCAAAGCCCGCAACTTGGGTAGACAGAAAGATTAGCGTGAGAACCGGTCTCAAGGTGCCTAGATCCGACCGCGGTAACAGTGTCTGGAAAGCACTTGCAAGCTTCCGTGTAAGCTGGACACAAAATGGGGAAGTGGCAGGCCACGGAATTCCGCACCCAGGAGCGGAGGGTGACACTTCCGCCGTGATGTCACTCATCTCAAGGCCACCTGCACCTCGCATATGTAACTCTCAACCCACCACAAGCGCATTCGGGAGCGGTTCCCTTCAGTCTTTCTACGTTGACATCCCGTGTTGAATTTCCTTCCTTACCTTAGATCTCTTATAGCTTTTGACCATAGACATGGACTCTTTAGATAGAGCAGCGCATAAGCTGGTCCGCAAGCACCCACTGCAGCGTCTTCAGTCCCCTTCGCGTGGTCTCTCTGCCTTTGTCCATGTAGGAGACTCTTCGTTGGCTCAGTAGATATTGCTCAAGCTAACAGGTGACGGGTAGGCGGTCGGTCTGGCTAGTTTTGCATACTCGTTCAGATAGTAAGCCTGCGTTTGTTACATGGTCTCCTAAGTTCGTGATGTTGTTTGTATACCGTCGAGCATGTCTGCCACAGGCCACTGTCTATGTCTTTGCACATTGTAACACCAGCTCTTTATACCGGATCCGCCTTGCACCGACCGGCATTTCTGTTCACAATGCCTGATTACTCCTACTCAGATTGCTAACAACCACGAAAGCTTAGTGGTGAACCCCAATCCCATGTACGACGACCCACCTCCTATGACTCTGGGATTGTCTGATGAGACTGCAGAAATGATTCGTATGGCTGGCACTTCTCATACTTAACGATCATCGGTATAACGTCCTCCTTTTGAACTTCAGTCCATCCTAACAACAGTTTAGGTCTCTCCCTAGCAACCGCGACCTTCGCCTTCGGCCTCCTCGCCGATATCTTCGCCTCGCCTCGCCTCTTCCTCGCTAAGAACGCCCTCTCCGTTGCCAGCGCGCCACTCGAGGTTCTAATCAGTCTTCTTTACTGGAGCCTCCGCACCATCGACCCGGCGCTCGTGATGCCCGAATGGGCGCCTCCACTAGACATGCGTGCGGACCTCAGCTTCCACGCTGTGCCTGCCATTGTCCTCGCCATCGATTTGCTATTCCTGTCGCCGCCGTGGACGATTGAGGCGTTGCCCGCGTTTGGTGAGTGAGCTCATGACTCCCCGCCCCCTCGCTTCCTTTTTCCCCTTGGATCTAGCCCCTCCCCCTCCCGTCCGCCATCCCAGTACCAAAAGCAGCAACAAGTTTACCCCACTCCTCTTTCCTCCGCCAGTCCTCCGCTCTCAGCCCATCCCTCCGCCCTCCCGCCCCGCTAACACCTCACAGCCCTCAGCGCGACAACCGCCCTCGCCTACTACGCCTGGGTGGAGCTCTGCCACTCCCGCAACGGCTTCTACCCCTATCCACTCTTCGAGCAGCTCTCGCCGGCGGGCCGCGTTGCTCTTTTCGTCGGTTGCGCGGTGGCTATGGCGCTCAGCACCGCGGGGCTGAAGAGGGTGTATGGGTGGGTTAACGGCGCTACGGTAGGGGAGGACGAGGAGAGGCCCGGGAGTGTGAAGGGAAAGGAGGAGTATAAAGGGGTTTGGGGGAGCGGTATGAGCGCTGGAGGGGGGAGGTAAGGAGCTGAGGTATTAGGGGGTTGGTGAGTTGATGCTTAGAGAGACAGTTGTGCCAGTGCGAATAAAGGCAATCGTGGAACGTGTTCCGGAATAGCTGGTTTGGAAAGACTAGCATTTACAGTAACATTCAAAACCTTAGCTATGAATACGTCTTGTCAACGAAGTCCGCTAGGATATATGCTCGTAAGCTCGGGATAGCCGCCGAAGTATACCCATTCCCCTAGCTTCACAGAAAGCCCAAGCCAATGCTGCCGATACTGACACAAAAAGCGCTGACAAGAAAGCTAGAAAAGTACCGCTAGGGCGTGATGAGGTAGATGATTGATTGAGAGGGGTAGGAAAATCCGGAAAAGCACCGTCAGCCGAATCGCGTAACTCTCAAACTTCGGAGGGCGGTGCGGTGAGCGTGCGGCCGTCGTCGATGTCTTCCTCGTCGACTTGCGCCTGCCCCTCGTCAAGATGGCTTGTGTAAGGAAACACTGAGTTCGGGAAAAGGCCATGCATGTCATGCCCGGCCATGCTCTCGAAAGCCTGGTTCGAGAACAACCGCGACGGAGCCGCATGAATGGGCAGCGTGTGCGTCGGTACATTGTAGTAAGCCGGAAGCTGGTACGCCGCACCATCCAGGTCCGCATCTCCCCTGAAGTTTTGGAATGGGTCATCGAAGGGCTTAAAGTCGAATGAGGGGGATTGATGGAACTGCGGCGGTGGGCGGAACTCGGAATTCAGCAGGTTCAGGCTGGCGGGGTGCTCGAAGGAGATCTCATGGCCGTGGTCGTAGCCGTGATCCTGGTCCTGGCCTTGGTCGTCGTCCTGGTCCTTGAAGATGTCGAAGGCGCATTTTCGCTTGGTGCCGAAATTGCCCCCGTACGTGAGGCGGTGTTCAACCAAGTCGTCTTCGAAGGCGGTGGTGTGGCGGAATTCTTGGAACGAGGGCTTCGCTTTGAAGAAGTTAAGACGCCGAGGGTTGTTAGCGTCGAGCTCGGCGAGGGCGGTCCGGCTCAGGTAGGGCCGTGCAGGCGAGGGATCGAGCTTAAGTGGGCTGCTGTCCTCGTCGGGCAGGCCGGATATCTTTCGCTGCTTCTTCAAGGACCCAAGTGGTGTAAAGACCATCTCCGTCGGCTCGACTTCTTGCGAGTTCACCTCAAGCTGCTCGATGACAGAGACGTCTTTCTTCTGGTTGCGCTTCCGCCTCATCTCTGGGGTTGCAGAGTCGAAGATGTCCATTCCGGGCCAGAAGATGCCCTTGAGCTTCGTGCTCTCGCTGACTTGGAAGTCGTCGCTGTTGTCGTCTCCGTCCAGTCTAGTAGGAGCAGGAGCTGGCTCCGCCTTGACAGCTTTCCTTTGCCGCGTAGGAGGGAAGTACTCGCTGTACCCCGAGTCCCGCCTTGGATAACAGCTACTGTATACGGCGTGCTGTGGTGGCGGCCAGTATGCCATCGGGGGTGGGGGAACAGATGAGGCATGGAGCGAGGCGGGATCGACGGATGATAGCGGTGGTGTAGGACGCGGCTCGGTCTTGATCGTATCTACGGAGAGGCGAGGGTCTATAGGATCAAGTGCTCGTGGCCTAGTCCGAGAGGTTGTTGCAGTCGACGCTCGCCCTGAGGCTGCCGCAATAGTCAGCAACAGAGACCACTACGTGCCACTACAGCAGTGTACCTGAGGCTCTGGGCCGGGTCCGCCGCTTCTCCTTGAGATTCATCCTCTCGGACATCAGGTCTTCGACATTCCATTCGGCGTACCACCGGTCGTAGTCCTCGATCAGCTTTCGTGAGCTGTCTTCATTACCGGAGCGGACTTTGATCTTGTAGTAGTGCGAGAGGTGGCCCTTGCTGGCGATATGGGTGAGTAAATGAGATACATCGCTGAAGCTCGGTTTCTTTGGGCAAATATTGCAACGCAAAGGTATGCTGGACATAGCCATCGGACAAGAGCAAGCTGTGAAGGAACGAAGCAAGTGAAGCAAGATGTCGCCAAAGGACAGAGCACTTGTACAGGTGTGGGACGCAGTTGAGCAAGGAGAGTGGAGGTTTGGAGAAGGAGGATTGGGAGAGTTGGGAGGTTGCAGCGTACAGTGTATGGCGAGGCAGGTCCTGTTTGGTTCGAGAGGTAGCTTCCTCAGGAACAGAGGCAGATGAGCATCCGACGGCAGTTCCTCGTCGGATGCCACGTTTTCTTGGCATTTATGGTTGAGATGATTCGTGCAGAAGTTGGAGGAGGAAGAGGGACTCGGACGCTTTCAGGTTCTGAGATGCATTGAGTTGACGGATATCAACGGATATCTCCGAGCAGTGATTTTATGAAGCTACGACAAGATGTTCGCAAGCACGGAATTATACACCCACGAAAAGGGAGCACGCTATCTATCCGATTGCAAAAGTCTCGATCTCCTCTCGCCTTGTATCCCGCAACTCATTGGTAGGAGATATGGGTTATTAGATCGCGAGAGAACATGGGTTATACGGCTCAGTGCACATGGAGATAGACACGGTCTGGCTAGCCTGATGAAGGCACTGCTTTTGGTCACGTTTGTCTACGAAGAATGCGGTCAGTGACCGCCTTGGGCATACAACTGGTTGAAGAGAGTCAGCATTGCCAAAAAAAGACAAAATAAAAAAAAGACAGCAGCACGTGACTCACTATATGGGGTCGACCTCGACGAGTCCCGGGTACTTTGTCAGGCTGAGTCCTGCGATACCAAAGACCGTGTGGAAGACATCCACCATATCCCCTGGCCTGTCAGAGATACCGCCATGGTCTGGATCCTGGCACTTGAGGATAAACTCCTGAAGCTTGCTGCCAGATATCCAATGCAGCCGGTCTATCATCGCCAGACTGCTCACCACCCACCAACTATAGCACACATCTTCCAACTTCTCCGGTCTACCGTTGAGGCCGCCGTTTGACAGCTGTCGCTCGCTCAGCCATCCGCCAAGCTTGTCTCTGTCTACCAGATCAAGCCGGCCTGCGATGGCCAGCGCCCCAACACACGTGAAAACTTGTCCTGCATGCGACTCCGCGCCCGGGCTGGTGCCGTAACCTCCGTCAGAGTTTGCGCAAGCTTGAACGTGCTCCACTGCTTTGTCGACGTCCACAAGGTTGGTCATTCCGAGAAGGGACAGAGCGTTTAGAGCACCGTACAGGAAGCGGGTGTCTGTCTCGCCCCATATATCGCCTGCGAAGGTACCAGTCTTCGGATGCTGCAGGTTGGCGATAACTGATGCTGGCGTTAGTCATGGAGCAAAACTGCCCCAGACGTGAACACCCACATCGGGCTACTTTCTCTCTGCCCCCACTCACGCGCTCGTCAAACTCATCCAGCGCATCGAGCATGGCCAGAATTTGCACGCCGCTGACGGTGTAGAGCATGTGGGAATCGTGTTGCGGGGCGGCAGCGAAGCCACCGTCATCCTGCAGACAAGAAATTACAAAGTCCAGAACCTCGCTCCTGGGCAGCGCGTCGGGTTGTCCGAGGAGATGAAGGGCTGTGAGGCCCCAATAGAGCCCGCTCAGGCGCAGGTGCTCCGTGAGCCAGTACTCGAGCTCATCCTTGCGCTGCGGCGGTGTCAGCGACGGGACCCTACCGCGGCGGACAGGCTCCACGAACTTTGTCAAGGCTCTGGATGTAGGTAACGTGCTTGTCGACGTAGAGACGGAGCTCGCTGGGCAGCTGTCCTTCGGTGATACCGCCGCGGCCCGGACCAGAGACGAGAGACATGGCGATAGGTATCCGCTGCCAACGAGAAGAGAATAGGCGCAGCTTGTACAGGATACAATTCCGCTTCTCGCTGTGAGGGACTGAGGACGCGTGCGAAGTGTCCCGGTGGAAGGATCAAAGGTTGGACGCGTCCAAAGTCGATGACTGTTGTGATGCGCGGAGGAGCTGACGCTAACCTGGATCGGCTGGCGTGCCAAGCCACTTAGAAGAGCCGCTGCCCCTGCCCTAATGCGGAACATTATCGTCCTTGGCGTGATCTGGGTTCCTGGGGCTCCGTTCAAGCCCTCCCTGGAGGTACCCCGACAGCTGCGTCTTACGCGCATTCCGCCGTCAAAACCACCACCCGACGCGATCTCCGGTTCGCCGGCAGGATTTTCTACTGATCGAACCGGGCTTCGAGCGTTCTGACATCTCTTGAAATCTGACCTGCAGTGAGAACACGTGTAAGTTGATGTTCCCGTACTGAGGACAGCAACGAGACGCGAGACGCGAGCCCCCCCCTCCAGTTCGGCGGGCTGCTGCGCGCATTGCCACCTACGGACGCTCACATACGGGCCCGTTTTCCAGCTAGGCGTAACTTGTGATTCCAACAAAACGGGAGAAGATTCCAGGTTATCTAAGCTGCCAGAGCCGCGTGAAGCTCCACGGCTCGTCCCCACCGCAAAGTGTTGCCGCGGCGTCCCAGCACAAACCCGGCGCTGCCCCTGGATCTTGCAACATCCAACCCGCGCCCACTAACGTACTCTGCTCAACATCCCGCTGCACGTCAGCAGCAGAAAGCCTCCCGCATGCTCCACCAAAGCCGGACCCGGTTGTGAGTCCTCTTTGTCTTCACCTCGAGAGACCCTAGTCTGCTTTTCTCTTTGTTGGCACCGCCCTCTCCCTTGACTCCACCACAGCGCAATCTCGCTAGCTGGCGTGGGCTCTCGTACCTGACTGCCCTGCCCGCATTGGGCTCTCCCTGTTCCACTGCCATCCCGAGTTGTTGGACGCTTTCTCTACGTAGCGGTCGCTGATCGAGTAGCACATAAACAATTCGTCGACTGCGCGCCTACGTCAACCTCCTTCTCATCTACCGCCGTACCGTCCCGCCGCACCGCTCGAACACATCCTGCCTCGCATCAATTGCGCATAGACCGAGTTTTCGACCATAGACGGCTTCTTTGCGGACTTCGAAGAAGACAAAGGCAGGGCTGTCGGAGTCGCCGATCACTTTCCACCGCAGTTCATCTGAGAAAGCGCCTCACCCTCCAACGTCTGACACACTCTGCGCATGGCCAGGCGCCTATAGCTTGGGGATTGTCAGACCATATCGAAGGCGGGTACTAAGCTCCGTCGACCCACAATAATACTTCAGCATAGATCGCCCGCACCCGCGCACCAGTATGCGGAAAACATCCAAATCATCCACACTGTCGATCAACCTCACCCCAAGTGTCTCCAGCCAAATAGACGATTTCCGAGGGCCTCGCAGTCCACGAAGCCCTCGTTCCCCTGCTTCTGCAAGCCTGCTCCACAATATATACAGTAATGGGGATACCTCCAGTGATACCTACGACTCCCATGCCGCAATAACTTCGGCGCAAATCACACAGTCACCTACTTCACCAGGATTCAGAAAAGACTCAAAGTCTCCCTTCTCCAATCTCAAGGCGCTAAGATCGTCGGACAAGCTGTTACTAAGCGAGGCCTCGATACGGCAAGTCTCCGACGACTCTGTTGCGACACCTTCTTCGTCCCAGATTTATCAGTATCGTAAGAGTCCAGGATCCACTCCAGAGCTAAGTCTGTGTCTGGAAAACGCTAGCATAACAAGTGGTGAGTTACACTATCATAATGTACCTGTTCCGGATCACGATTGACTGAGACCCTCGCTGTAGACACGTCATCTCAGAACAAGGACCACGACCACAGACCGACCGGAGGGACTGTCAAGTCGAACAGCGTTCCTCATCTGAATTCCGACACCCTTGCTGCCAAGCGAGGCCCGCCCAAGCATCGATTTCCACAGATTCTTTCTCGAACGAGATCTATACGGATGGAAGAACCTGTTCCACGCAACAAGCCAAAGCCATCGACATCACGGGACTATCGCATATCGGAGTACGACGCCTACGAGAGTAAGCAAGGCAAGCAGCGGAAACCGAGCAAGCACATTGATGTACCAGGTCTAAAAACGGCACCGCTGGAAAAGGACCGGTCATTCAGAGACATGATGATGAGCTCGGCTATAAGAAACCGATCTGCTGACCGCCAGGGTGCGGCCGACTCGGACGACGACCGTCTCTCAGCGCCAAGGGAGGGGAGAGAAGGTCCATTACTCTCAAATTCGTTCAACGAGAAGACCGGGTCTAGCTTCCTATCCAACATCAAGCACTCAGGGACTAGAGCTGCCGATGGTATTGGAAAGGCTGGCAAAGGCATCTTTTCGAAGCTCGCCCGCAGCGGTAGCAGCAACGAGAAGGAGCATCCGGTAGTGGAGAGAGATTATGTACTGAGGACCATCCGGCTTCCTTTAGTCGAGCAGACTCGTAAGACACGTATCTCAAAGAAGCTGGAAACTTCGAGGGACAAGACCGAATTCTGGATGCCAGCGCTCCCTTGGAGGTGTATTGAGTGAGTGAAGCAGTTCTCGCCGCAGCTGATGCTGGACTAACTGTATTGCAGTTACCTGAACTTGAAAGGCTCCGAAGAAGAGGGCTTGTATCGGGTACCGGGCAGCGAAAAGGATGTCGCCTACTGGCAAATGCGGTTCGATCAGGGTATGGTTGAGAGATGTCAGTTCGACAATGCGATGCGTTGCTAATCACGATTCTTGCAGAAATTGACATCAATCTTTTCGAAGAGAAGGACTTGTACGATATAAACATTATCGCTACACTCTTCAAGCGCTGGCTCAGCTCTATACCCGACGAGATCTTCCCGAAAGCTACTCAGGCCCGCATTGCGGCCGAATGCAAGAACGCGATTAAAACCCCGCAGCTGCTCAAGGATGAGCTCTCCAAGCTCCCGCCCTACAACTACTATCTCCTGTTCGCCATCACGTGCCATATCAGCCTCCTTCACTCATGCTCCGAAAGTAACAAGATGAATTATCATAATCTTTGCATCTGCTTCCAGCCATGCATGAAGATGGACGCGTTTGTCTTCCAATTCCTTGTTCTGGACTGGCGGAACTGCTGGCAGGGCTGCTGGACGGAGAAGGAATACCTACAGGAAGAACAGCAGTACGCTGAGTCGGCACAGCATTCAACATCATCCTTGCACTCGGAGCCGAGGAAGGGTTCGCAGACCAGCACAAACCAGACCAGCGAGCGCGCTATATCGTCTTCGGAAAGCAGTAAGCCGTCCATTACCCGAAGCTCTACGCCCGAAAGACGTCTGCCGCCAACGAACACTTCAAAGCCGGAGCCAGCTGCCGATGGTGAGGCGAAGCCGGCGCAAGCGAATCGGCTGAAGCCGGAGCCAAATCACTCACCCAGCCTAGCACCTCTCAAGCCGCTTTCGCCGATCGGTTCTCTCTAACCTTACCGACGGAGGCCCTTCCGCAGCGAGATGGGCCTCTGCAGCTCCACTTTGAAGTCCTGCGCATATCCCTTTTGTTGTTTCATTGCGTTCCATCAGTTTTCGGGGGTCTTGTCTCAGTATCTGTCGCCACGCGGTTTATGAAATATCCTCCAAAATACCCCAAGTCCCCTTTTCTGGGCTTTCCAACCCACACCGGCGTTTTTCTGGGCGCTAAGAGTGGGGTTTCATGCGGTCAGTTCCTGCGTTTATCTTACGTCGGCTTTCTTCTGGAAGGATGATCGGGCATGCTCATATGCGAGGAGATGCTCTTTTATGAATATCTTGTAATGCTGGGGCGAAGGGGTCAAGGTGGGAGGGGCTTGGGTTGGAGAACGGGAGCAGGCAGGATGTACGGTATCTGAGGCAGAGGTGAGAGAAGGGGCTGTCCTTGCCGGCGGGGGCGGCAAGAATTAATAATGACCTTGAACTCCCAAGATTTCTCTGTTTCTGAGCCGTGAACTCTTATCATGTCTATCTTTCTTCTTCGTCGCTTATCAATATCGGACGGTGACCGAGAGTCGTCTCTCACTGATGCCTAAGACAGAAGATGGTCGATCATGACTCGGCAGCGTGCTTCGCTACCCATTCTCCTTGTTCCCTTTGATGATGTGTGCTCATCACTAAGACATCATCTATTCGCCATGCTTATCTGCTCCTACGTCTGCTATGGTCCCGCGATGGAATCCACTTAATACCTCGTGCCCAGTCACGCACACAACCGTAGAGACGGCCCGACTAAGCACGGCCCTCACCAGTCTCGTTCCGCGCCGCCCCTTAACGAAAAATCTCCAACCCGCAAGAGCGCGTCGCCACGGTGCACGCTCCTCACGACGGCATCATGAGCTCAATTTGGACCCACGAGAAATTTTACCAGCGGAAAGTTCGAGTTTTCCCAACATTTCCAACAACTTTATGCGGCGGAAGGTTCTTGAGGCTGTTTGCAGCCTGCCAAGCGGCTGGTGTCATGGGTAAGTGTTTGAGCGTTGGCATGCCGACGTTTGTTGGCGCCACTGATGCTTGTCAGTGTCAAGCCGGACTCTCTGGGGAAGAATATAAGGATGGAAACTAGTAGTCTGCTTGGAGTGCAGTTCAATTCCCTGGCGTGAACGAAGGCTCTGTTATGGTATGATGGGAGTAGCGGAACTTGATGTGCCTTTCTTCACTTCACGTCTTGTAATGTGCATGCTAGTTTCTTCTCACTTGACAAGATACAGCCAGAGTCACCAGTCGTCTCCTTCAACTCTCTGTGAAGCAGCACCTCCCATCGCCTGATCACAGAAGAGAAGCGTCACGTCATATAATTTCAAACTTGGCGGTGTCAGTCTTTCTACCGTCTGCCCGCTTTCACTACCGATCAAGGCTACTTCACAGAAATGAAGTAATCTGCTGGCCATAATCAACCACGTGCGCCTGACTTCCTCCTAGATAAAGCATCCACTCCTCAACTCCCTCGCTCCATCACTCTTCAGCCAATAACCTCTTCCTTCTCACACCTACCTCCCTCACTTTCCAACAAAAAAGTTCTCCATTGTCACGATTACTTCAACCTCAAGGTATGTTCAGTGTTGGGCCCGTCTATCATCTTCTACAGCTCCCTTCTACACTACTGCGCTTGTGTTGTCCACACAAACCGCTGCTCCCGTCGCTTCAGCGTCTCGAGCTCTTTTGCAACCCCACTCACTGTTTTTTACTCCTTAGCATCGTCCTCCTCGCTGCCACATGAGCTTCACTTCATACGTAACATTGTCTCACTGACACTAACACACAGAAGCTTCGTCGCTGAAAGCGTGAACTCTGGCAAGGCCTTTCTAGGGGTTTGGAGCCCTATCGGTGCAAGACCTGACACCAACCTCACCTCTGACAGCTATCACAATGTTTCACCTTGCCACCTTCCTGTCGGTCCTGGCCACCTACTTGGTGTGCTTGGTTGCCGCCACTCCCGTCGAGCTCTCCCTTGCCGTCAAGCGCGCGGCAGTTACTCTCGATGAGAATGATTCATCCGGCTTCACCGTGTCCGAGACCGCAGGTGCCTGTCTCCCTGGCTACATTGAACTCTTCCTGTACGAGCACATCGAATACAAGGGCAAGTTGGTCATCGTCTGCACGGCGCCTGGAACCTGCAACAACGTCGGCACGAGCTTCGTCAACAAGATCTCCAGCTTCCGTCTCAATGGAGGCGGTTGTGTGTGGTTTGAGTAAGTGTATCACATATTTGCCAGGATCAAAATTTGGAAAAGACCATCTGCTGACGACTGTGCTACCCCTAAAGCCGTGGCAGCTGCGTCGGCAAGGAATGGGGCTTCATCCAGGATGCCGGCAATCTCAAGGTAGGAAAGGGACCAAACGACAGGATCAACTCTTTCCGGTGCTGGCTTTGGACCACTGCAGAAGAGCCTGTCAAGCGCGAGGTAGCCGCTCTGTCAACCGTCACCTTCTCCGACTCTGTCTCCAATTCTGCAGGAGACCTCAACGTACCTTCGAACGCTCTCGATGCCCGCGATGTAGCGGTGAAGGACGAGACCACAGATTCTGTAGACCTTGGGCAAGATTACTGCAACCAGCATGAGCTCGATGTAAAAGGCATCCAGGGTGTTTCGGTGGTCTTGCACGAGCACCAAAACTACGGTGGCCTCAAAACCAGTCACTGCATCACGACACTAGGCTGTGTCCGGGTACCCTCGTCGATGGAGAAGAAGATATCCAGCATTAGGGTGTGGGGTGGCGAATGTCTATTCAGCACGTAAGTGACGAGGCCGCTTGTCTCGTTTGACTTTGATGGCTCACCACCTCGACAGGGGCCCCAGCTGCAACGGCAAGCACCTCGCCGTCGACAGCAAAGGCAACTTCGACAAGCCGGTGAAGAACTTGAAAGACTTCGGGATGAACGACCAGATCTCGAGCTATTCGTGCCATGCAAACGGAGGCTATCTCGGTAAGCGGACGGTGTCCTCAAATCTCGAACCTGCCGCCGCACGCGATCGATGCCAGGAATACGAGTCGAATATGAACCTCCGCGGAGGCGTCGCCATACGCTTGTATCAGCACGAAGACTTCCAGGGAGATTGGTATTGTCTCTGGTCGATCCCAGCTACTAGCTGCATCAAGGTGCCTTCCGTGCTCAACGACAAGATCTCCAGCCTCATGCTGTGGGAAGGCGCATGCCAGTTCTATCCGTGAGTTTCCTACAATCATTGCTGGTTGCTGTAGAAGCCGCGAAACGGGTAACCGGAGACTGGAATTGCTGACGATGGGTTCACTAGAACTGACAACTGCGAGGGCACGAGCGCCCTCATAATCGCACCGGCCATCGGCACCGCATGGGTCCCGAATCTAAAAAATTTGAACATGAACGACAGGATCTCCAGTTACCGCTGTGCTGAGGGCGATGACGCCGTCGCGCAACTAGAGGCGAGGGATGGTTCCGCGGCCTCCGCACCGGTCTCCACACTCGCTACACGCGACGAACACTGCAACCAACGCGATCTCATCGAGAAGGGCGTGCGAGGCGTCTCCGTGTTCCTCTACGAGCATAGGGACTTTGTCGGCCTCCGGAGCAGCGCGTGCGCCAGGGACAGCCAATGCACTCTGGTCGCTCCGGAGATGAACAAGAAGGCCTCGAGTATCACAATCTCAGGAGGGGGTTGCGACTTCTTCTCGTAAGCATTGCATCGCTCTTCCCATGTTCGATGACTAGCTTTTGAATGAAGAAAACACTGACACTCTCCACCTTCCAGGGATACAGCTTGTCAGCACGTGCCAATCCACATGGATGGCAAGCCCCCTTACGGCGACGAGACTACCGACCTGAATGCACTAGGACAAACGCAAGGCTTGGGGAAGAAGAATGATAACATCTCCAGTTTCATGTGCAAAGTTGGCTTCGGTCCTTGGTATTGAGTGTGTGCTTGAACGTGGAGGCGCAGCCGGTGGATTGGCGAGCCCGAAGATGCTCTGCTATTGCTTGCGAGTCTCAAGATGGCTGCTGCATTTCTGCTTGCTTTGGACTTGAATGACGGGGTTTGGACTTCTGCTTTCTGGGATTGGATCACTGCTGACAGGATGCCGGCGAGTACCTGACTGCCATATCTGAGTGAGCTGAACACTGCTCGGGGGAACAGGCAGATTAACAGCTTCTACATACTCACAACATTTGGTTCACCACCATGTTGTCAACATGAACCTCGATATGAAATAGCTTGTTGATTGACATCCAACGAAGGTGCCAAAGGCGAACCACGTGCGCCCATTGGTTATCGAATAGAAGACTACCAAGACTGGACACCCGCGCGTGTCCTACAGCTTCTGATGACTAGTATAGCCATACGTGTTGTCTCAAGATTCAGCGATAACTCTGAGAGCTGTTTCAAAGATGAGCAAAATCCTCACGTGTGAGAAACCTGAAAGTTCTACCCTGTTATGCAATTTTTGACGAGCACGGGAGGAGATATGCGCAAACAAGCACTGCCTTGGTATCATCAAACGGCTGTTGACAACAGGATTTCATGGCTGAATGTCTAATTTTGATTCGTAAGAATGACATATGTACAATCGCCTATCTGAGCCGCCTGCAGGCGGGAAGAAAAAAGGTATCATGAACAAACACCCGCTACTCTAGCGCCGAGCATAAAAGCCCACAAAGGCCCCGCCCAGGCCTCGCCGTACTCGCCCCGAAGGCAAGGACCTAATAGTCCTTCTTGATATACTCGACCGGGCCGGCATACTGGTGCCTACCCTTGAAGAAGAAGTAAATACATGCGAACGAGACGACACAGCCGTATACCAGTATGTTCCAGTTCATGGTTACGACCGTCGGGTACGGCGTGATGGGGAAGAAGCTCATGACGAACACGAGGCATAGGAACAGCACGCTGAAGATGTTGAGCGGCATTCCCCAGCGGCCGAGCGTGAAGCGCGACGGCGGGAAGGGCTCGTTGCGCCAGCGCTTGATGACCATGCACGAGATGGAGATGATGTAGGAGCTGATGAGCGCGCCGGTGCCGAGTGAGGTGACGACGTTGAGGGCGGCGGTGCTGCCAATGTTGATGAGGGCCAGCAGGCAGGCGATCAGGAATGAAAGCAGGACGGAGTTGAGGGGGATGTCCCAGCCAGGTCGGACCTAGAAGGGTACATTTTGATTAGATTAAGTGTTGCAAAATGGGGCGTTCCGAAGGGTATACTCACATGTGCGAGGAACGGGCTGAACGGCAGACCCCGGTCACGAGCGAAAGCCCAGACTTGACGGGACGAGGTGGCGACGTTTGTAACAGTACCAAAGGTAGCCATAACAATGAGGATGGCAGTCATGACGCTAGTGCCGGCGTACGACTGGGTAACGTTGTAAAAGACCTGGATGAACGGTTGGCCGGTTGGCGAAGCCAAAATTTCCTCCGGGCTGCCGAGGACCATGCAGAAAGAGACAACCATCACGAAACCCAACGCGCCGTTGACAAGAGCCGTCGCAACCATAGCACGCGGGAGGGTCTTGGACGCATCTCGAAGTTCCTCGGACATGTGTGTCGCGCTGTCCGGACCGATGAACGAGAACACGGGTGTCAGTATGCCGACAAGGCAAGATAGACCTGTGTTGCCCCACCCACCGCCATCGGTGAAAGTGGTAAAGACCTCCTTGGCTGGCGCACGCTCGCCGAGGACCAACAGGGGCACCAAGATCGCGAAGAAACCGAAGATGTGGAGAATAAGCACAATGCCCTCAACGAGCGGTAACTTGCGTGCAAGGAAGGTGTTGAAAGCCTGGGCAAAGAGGTTGATGGCGATGACCAGCATCGTGCCATGCCAGCGTTGCGGGACGTAGCTCTCGCTAGTCAGGATGAGAAGGCCCTGGATTTGACCTGATACGAGGAAGGCAAGCGATGCGTTGCCGACTTGCCAGCCGAGCACGCAGAGCCAGCCGACAATGTAGGAAAGGAACTTCTGCGCGGATCTTGGCGCAAACTCGGACACCCAGTGATATTGGCCACCGGTTGTTGGTGCCCTGCGATTTGGTTAATACCGTGACTGGGCAGACGAGATATCGAGTGCCTAATCCAAGGCACAATGGATCCTTACATTGAGGCCATCTCGGCCATGGAGATGACGGCGCACAGGAAGCCGAAAAAGGTGCCTATGTACACCCAAATTAGGCCGGCTGTGCCACCGTTGATCAGACCGAAGATATTGGCCCTATAGTAATAACGCAAGTCAGCGAAACGTTCGTGTACGACTAAGACATCAAATTCCCAGCACCTTCCCGCGTTACAGCCAGTGATGTGCCACGACACAGAACAATGCGGGTAACCACATGACGACCAGAGGGAGGAAACTCACGTCAAGGATGACTCCCAAGTAGCCATTAACACCATGGTAAAACCGAAAATGCTGACGAATCGGAAGTTTCTTCGCAGCTCTTGTGTTTTGCCCATCCGGTACATGTCGCGCTGATCGAACTGCGTTCCCTTCTTTTCTTCGATGACAGCCTCATCTTCGCCCGTCACCTCCGGATACTCGTCAGGTAGAGTAGCCACCTGAGCAGCGATCTTCTGCTCGTCGAAGGCCGACATGTTGACGGGTGCTGCGCCCGCGTGGCAGCTGCTTTCGGATAATTCAATTGAGCGTCAAGGAGCAAGATGTGGTGGTAAGAAATGACTGGGACGGGTGTTGAGTTAATGAGAGTCGGGTCGTGAGGAGAAGCTGTAATTAAGCGACTGAGGTGCTGCCCGCCGATAGCCTTCTGTTCGATGGGAAATCACCGCATGAGGGACGGGCAAGGTGCAATGATAAATGGACTCGCTATCTCACGTTGATCGCGCTAACGAACAGGTTAAGTTGGCCATGAAGGGTTCAAAGAGCCGGCCGCGAACGAGCGATGGGTGGACGGCGTGTCTTTGGGGAGACGTCGACCCACAAAACTTGGGCTGCAGAAATCTCCTTGCAAGCGAATCTGCGGCCAAGGCGGGCCAAGAAAGGGGCGGAAGCCTCAGCTCGGGCCAGAATCCAGGGCTGGCCCAGGGATTTCGGGAGTCCCGCAAAGGCTGGGGCGATGAGCGCCGCCGATGGCAGAAGCAGCTCTAGACGTTGCACAGCAGGACGCTCATCGGAGGTACAACACTGACGACCCGTGGGTTGACACCACTGACATGAAACTTCCACTCCTTTAGCGCAACCACCTTATTACTTTACTGACAGTATCACGGCGGTCGTCAGGGGAATGATTGATGCTTTCCTACTCCGCTCTCTATCCCCGAAGAGCACCAGCATCCACATGCGTCTGAGCCTTCGCAAATGGGCTGTGCAGCACTTACTCGTACGGATTGGCGGTGGTGCTGGTCGAGTACTCTATCAAGTAATGGAGACTGTCTTGCCGTCTGGAAGGGTTCGGCATAGCGTTGTCATCCGTGCTCCGCGGATCTCTAGCGCACACACGGCGCGAGACGCGAGCCGATCCCGCATTGTGCCCTGGTCGCGGGCGAACCATGGAACAGACGACAGTGACCACCTTCCGTGCTCGCAGCTCTGCAGAGTCGTGTTGTATCCGCACACGGAGCCGAGTCGCTGCGTGTACGAATCCATACGGAAAGAGTGTCCGTACTTCGCGGATGTCAAACCTGCCGCCGCAGACGCCTCCCGGCAATGGCACCTCGCTTGGCGCTAATAACAGCCGCGATAAGCCTCCTCTTTTTATGCATAGCGCAGCCACCTTCCACATGGCGTGCCGACAGTCCGAAAGCCCAGGTCGGTGGCTGCATAATCCTGAATCGCGCCAGTCTGCTGGTGCGGAGAGACTTATGCAGCCTCGACCAATTAAAGCAACCGGCCGAATCCCAGAGGACGGTTGGGATGCAACCATCTCACGCCAGGCATGCTGGCGATGCAGCTTCCACGCTCTGGAAGTCGAACACCACACGCTGCAGGTTAGATCCTGTCGAACGACAAAGGAAAACGCTCTTCATTCGTAAGAAGAGCGATCATCGCGACCGAGGCAGGATTGTAAGAGACATCAACCACTGCTTCGAGCACTCGGTCGACATTAATCTTAAATTCTATGAGCTAATCGTCCAAACGGCTTGCGGCTAGTCTAGCACACCAGGCGTGCAGACTGCAGCAGCGTCTCTCTGGGAAGCTTGACGGTTCCGTCCCGTGGGACGCACGAGTGGAGAGATGCACGCTGCTGCGGACACACCCAGCACTGGAAACGCGCCGGCCTTGCTGTTCGAGGTCTTTCTTGCTGGAAGTCGTAAGTAGACGGGGCCAGCAATGTGCCGCTTCGAGACAGAATTGCGGCACTTTCGGATCCGAGTATTAAGCTGGCGTTCGAAGTCCTCAAGCTTCAAGCCAGCCGACTGCCACACTGCGCCAAATCCCTTCCGGTGGGTTCAGGGGATTCAGCCCTGCGACTGCAACGTCGTCGAGATTTCAGATTTCGCGCAGAGCATGGGTCTTCCTGGTGAACTCACGACCTGCAGCCATGCTGCATGTTCCGTCTTTGCGGATAGCGTGATGATACTGTGTTTTTCTCCTGCATCTACTGGTATCATGCAATGCGTTGACAGGTGGTTTGCAGATGTTGTCTTCTGGCGATCGTGCCGGGGTGTACCCAATACTTGCTAGCCAATCAGATCGCTAGGATGTAATGGCCTAGAAGCAGCCGTTAAGCTCTCCCCTGCGATTTCATACGATCAGTGCCGCGATATCATTCTGTGGTAAGATCCCATACCATAGCAGCGTATTGCATGCAGTGTGGAGCGGTGAGAGAGGAAAAACCCGACACGCATGTTTTCATTTCGTTCGCTCGTTCTCACGATCGCTCCCTTCATTCCTAACCCTCCACACCTCATCCTCGTCTTTCTCAAGCTCATCTGCATCCCGAAACAATATTCGACCCCCAGCAGCGCCCTTGAGCGGATTGCCCTCTCCCTCCGTTGCCCATCCCACTGGGGTATCAAACCCGCACGTCAGATAAAACTTCTCTCCTATGCGCGAAGCAACAACGCTGCAACAGACACCATCTCTCTTTGCCCTCCGCATACCGTAGGCCACCAGCTCCTTTCCTAGTCCGCGACCCTGGTAGGCGGGATGAATCGCTAGCAGGTCGAGGTACCAGCTGTCTGCTCTCGCGCCAGACCAGTGATGGTGGAAGAAGGGGTGCGCTTCCACAAAGGCGTTTTCAAGGCGCAGTTCCTTGGCGGCGCGGTTGGGCCAGATGCGGCCGGAGAGGGTGTTGAGATGGTGTTGTGCGGGCTTGAGGAGTTGTCCTGAAGGTAATATCAGACAAAAGATCATATGGGCACGGAATTGTTTTGAATATGCACTTACGCGGATCCCACCACCCGATCCCCCACCCCTCGTTCGCCCTGCCCATGCGCTCCCACTCCCCCATTCCAGCAATCTTCTCTTTGCCGTTTTCTATGACGGTCGCTACCCATATCTCGTGCGCGTAATCCCACCAGTTCTCGCGGTTCCGCCGCGCGAAGAAGTGCACGAAGTCTTCTGGATATTGGTCGCGCAGCGGGTGTATCATGTCACCGAATAGTTCGTCATCGTGGAAAGCAGCGGCGCAGACGGCATTTATGGCGGGGAAGTCGGCAGGTGTCGCGCGACGGATTGGCATCTTGATTAGCCAATGTAGGGGTTTGAAGGGAGGATCGGTATGCTTGACTCTGAGTGAAAGCCAGCACCTTGAAAACGGTGGACTAGGAATTTCACAGGGTGACTTGCGTGTATACAGCGTCTACCGATTGGCAATTGAGAGGCTCGTGCGCCGTTCCAGTGACGACGGAGATCTGAACAGAAACATTCGTTGTTCGTCTTACCGAGATATCACAGATAAGGCATCCGTTCCAGCCTAGCACTGATGCTTTTTCTTCCTCAAAACCACTCCATCCGTAGGTCGGAGATAGGAGTAGAACCGTCACATCCACCCATTACAAAGATGCAAAGTTCGTTACCTAATCAGGCATTTTCAAGGAGTTCACTCCTCGGCTTCGGCGTATGCCACGTCGCTAATGCATCTCGCACGGCTTCTGGCGTTGTCTGAAAGGGTTGCCATGGCCGGTCGTATTGCCCTGAATAATGCTGTAGCGGCTCGCCTGGGGACCATGGGAGGGCGGCGTCAGCCATGGGACGCCTTTATGCGACGATCGACAGGGTTGGCTTGGCTTGGGTGGAGAAATGTATTGCTTGTCTGAAACGAGCAAGGGGATGTGTCAAGTTTGAGGTCCAACTGTGCACGAGATATTGTCACATCCGATTATCCGGGACGCTCCAAGCTAGACCCTCAGGCATCACTCTTAGTAAGGCGTCAAGGCACTAAGGCATGTGGGTGCAGGCCGGACGCTCTAATCTGGTACTCGTGCCCGTTGCTATCAGATGTTCTGGATGGCGAAAGAGGTTGCCTAGTGAACTGGCAGAGCTAGACGAAGTCTTCATCACGCCCACCGAGCGCCTGCTTCTAATGAGAACAGATCGAAGTCCATTGGCCATGACACCTCTCCACATACGGCATCTGACTGCCAGCAGCTTTGAGGCTCCCTGGACCAGACCTTGAATCGAAAGTATCCTGCGACAATTCAATGACCGGCCACACACTTTCTGGTTCGGCCATCCTTCAGCGCAATTGTAATGACAGCCTTGCTGGAAGTAAAATCTCTATTACCACATTCTGCTTATAGGCCACATATGTATCTGACTGATGTTCCCGGTATGAAGCAAGTTCTTCTGAAGGCTACTCTTCTGAACAGTGACTCGAAATTGAGCAGCACGATGGAAATGTCCGCAACGGATAATCCACGTTCCCAGTTTGGGGGATGAGCTGTTCAAGTAAACTGACTGGGCGGCGTCGAAGAGTTCGGGCTGCTGTCTGTTGCGCAGCCAAAGCCCGTCTCAAGCTGTTGCTGTCGATTTTCGCGTTTGGCCCAGCTGAGAAATAAATCCCGCTGGACAGTCCAGAGTTTCTCTAGTCTGATTGCTCATATACTTGGCAATCGAGCATTGCAGTCGAAGCCGAGCTCGGTCGTTGGAAGGAAGCTCTTCCCCAGCAACAACAAGCTTCAGCCATTCTCGTCCACGCCGTTGGTCGCGGCGCTCAATGCGGGATCTGACTTCGGCGTAGAATCATTCCGCTCAGCCTTGTCAATCTCTTTCAGCAAGAAAGCAATTGTTGCATCCCGAGCCTTGTCCAGACGCTTCAGCGCTTCCAATGGCATCTTACTATAACCAGGAGTTTTGACGGGAGTAGCAGGCGCAGCGGCGGAAGAGTCTTGACTCGCTTTCACAGACTGGGCCTTATCCGCCAGCAGCTTCCTCAACATCACAATGTTGCTATCCCGCTCAGCAAGCTCCATAGACAACCTCGCCTTCTCCCTCTCGTCTTCTGCGAGTTTAATCTTCTTGTTCCGTTCCTCATCCCCCACCCTGGTCCGCTCGCGCCATCGCCTAATCGCATCCCTCGCACACTCTTCAATATGCACAAAGCGGACAGGACCAAGCAGCACGCCACCATACCACCGCGCCACCATAACCGCGCCTTCTACATTCGCGGCTTCTAGGACCCGTTCCAGCTTCTTACCGGCGTAGCGTTCGCCGTCTTCGTCGGATCCTGTGGTGAAGAGGCGCGGCAAGTTTGGGGAGAGCGCGCGCTGGCTTGATAGCTTGCGCCATGCGGCGATGCGGTGAGTCGCTGTTCTGAAGTCAGGGTGCGCTTGCAGCGATTTGGCGGGTAGGGAGGGGGAGAAGTGCGCGATGAAGGTCGAGGAGCGGTCTTCGATTGGCGCGGAGACGTAGATATCAGGTAACTCGTCCTTGTGGGAAGTTGCTGTTGACGGTGACAGCGCGCGTTTGCGGGACATTATGGACTTGGGCCTTGATGAGACAACGGCAGAAGCTGCTGCGCTTGCTGAGAATACGGGAACCGATCACATAACGGCGGCGAAGTACAGCTTCCCGAAACCTGTGTTTGTCTCTGGGAAGCTGGAGACGGGAATGAGCTGCGACTCTGATGACTTATCGATAACTACATGATGCCTGAGGGATCTAGCAGAGAAGCCCTATCACGTGCCTACATCCATCTCAATCCCTGACTCGATTGAGTACCTGATTGAGTAGTAGACTATGCCATCAATGAGCACAACATGCTTAAAAGGCTGTCGGGGCCGTCTCCAGTATATGCGTCATCTCGCTCTTGGAACAATATGGAGTTCTTCGGTCCTGCATAGTCCCAACCCATCTTCCTGAATAAAGCTTGTATTTCTATTCAAAGCTTGCAACGCCGGGTATCTTACCATGACACGAAGGATGCCTTTCCTTTTCGTAATCCCACCCAGAAAACGTGACCCATCATCCACTAACCGCATGCGCAAACACCTTCGCCGCCAAATTGCTCAACAACTTTGCCTTATCCCCTTGCGGCAGCTCCTGGAACACCTGGTACACGCTCTTCCCCCTAGCATCCCTGACCGCACCCAGCCTATTCCCAGCCACCGCACCCGCAATCGCTCCCGGGAAGTTCGCAACAATGAAGCCCATCGCCCCGCCGCTAAGCCCGCCAACAAGCGCCCAGAACTTCCCCGTCGGTTGCGCATTATCCCCCTCCGCCATCCCCTCCTCCCTCAGCATCTCCTCAAATACATTCCCAAACTGCTCATTGCTGAACTGCTCCCTCTCCGCCTCCTGTTCCTGGTTCGCGCCCGAGCCGCCGAAGCCGAAGGCGGACCAAGGGAAGCCGCTTGGGAACGCGCCCGCAAAGCCGGTGCCTTGCTGGTTCTGCTGTTGGCCGGATTGCTCGTTTGAGGACGAGGGGAAGGAGGAGGAGAAGCCGTGAAATGTCCGCGCGGAGTCGTAATCGCGTCGGCGGGTGGGATCGCTGAGCGTGTAGTAGGCGTCGTTTATTACCTGGAAGCGCTTGGTGCGGGCGGTGCGCTCGGAGCTGTCGGAGGGGACGCGGTCGGGGTGGTGTTTTAGTGCTGCTCTGAGGGGGATTAGTGGGGGTGGAGCGAGGGATGTGCGGCAGAATACTTTTTGTAGGCTTCGCGGATTTGCTGTTGGGTTGCTTTGGGATCGATTTCTAGAACGGCATCTTGAAGCTGTTAGAGGGCGCTTGACTGCAAGCTTCGAAAGGTGGTTTCCGTACAGTAATCTGTCATTGGCGCTGTAGCTTGATGTCAGCCGTATTCTCTGAAAACTTTTCCTGGCGCAGATTACCTGACATCGTGAATCTTGGGCTGGCGGGGAGGAGCAATAACGGCTTAGGGGATCAAGAAGCTGTGAGGCAGTCTGTCAGACAGACTCGACTGTGGTGTTGACAGGTGTGTTAAAGCATGGGAGGCTGACGCGCCGCCAAACCGATGACGTCGCCGCTCACAAGCCACATCTCCAGAAAGCTAGACCCCTAGCGTCTCACGTGCTTTTCGCCGTTCTATGCCTCTCCACCAACTCATGATCAGTCAAAGCAAGGTAGGGGCTCTCAGTAAAGCGATTCATTTTTTCTGGCTGGAATTGTGAAGGCAGAGACAGCCATGCACTCAAAACCCAAAGTGATTATTCAATGTCATGCATGCAGGTGAAGGTAAAATTTGAAGGAAGCAATTGAATTTCTCTATCCAGGTTTGCGGATTTTTAGAAGAAACCGCATGTCCGCGTGGCCATACCAGCAGCCCAAGAAGTGTAAGTGTACAAGATGAGAAAGCAAGTGGGACGCCCCAGCATCAACCAGCCTGCGCCCAAAGTTTCGAACTTCAATAAGACGTTTTCACGTCAGCCTTCCCGCTCCAGAGCTTCATCCTCAGTGTGAAGCACTCCCAGAGGTGTACTCAAAGGCACTGAGAGTACCACTCGTTTTGGACTTGGCAGGTCACGCCGTTAACGCAGGTGATGGATCCGACATGATTGCGGCCGCCGCTGTTAAGGACGTTAGCAATATCACCTCATCTTGTAGTGACAGAAATGACTTACCATTGACCATACTTCTCCACCTTCCCGCCAGTGCCAGTGCCAGTGCCAGCTGCCGAGGAAGGCGCGGGCTTCGCCACTGTGACCAAGGTCGAAGGGGCAGCTGGAGGCGTGGTAGCCGCAATTGGAGCTGCCGAAGTGACGGGATCAAGGGCGGTGTCGCCTGACATTCCGGTACCCCAGGAGCCCTCCCACACAGGCGGTCCGGGGATTTGATAGTGATTGAAGGGCTTGTAGGGGTCGAAGTAGATTCCTTCTTGTTCGGGGTTGTATGTACCGGGAAGTGCCGCGCCGGCGGGAAGCAACTGACAAATACTTAGCGTTGGTAACGAAAGATGGGGTGGGCTTTTGTACCCTCCAGCCGTTCGACTTGACCCGAATTTGAACGCATTCCATGTAGAACTGCGCACCCTTCTTTTTGTGGCCTTCGTGCAAAGCGATTATTTCCGGACGCAGAAGATACTCGCCAGGCACAAGATCTGGCACCTTGATAGAGTGCTTTCCTCGGTTTTCAATGAGCTTGTCAGTGGCCCACTTGACGCCGTCGAAACCCTCTTCCGCCAGCTTGACCCAGACATTGCCGTAGGCGTAGGTTGGTGCGATGTAGGTGATGACCGGGCCGCGATGAGACTGTGTGGATTGGTTAGCATGCTCTCAACTGTAGAAAAAGGGCAGCCGACCGGATCGAGGATATCATCCCAGTCCGCACGAGCGTTGCGGTGCCATTCAAACGTGATGACCTGACCGGCCCAGACATCGATGGTTCTGGCGGCTGGCGAATTGTTGACATTGCAGGTCATGGCAGGCGAGTACACGTCCGTGATCGGGTCGTTGTTGGGCGGACTGGGAAGAGCAAGTCAGCAAAGAGAGCTAACTCGGGGGTTCTCTGTGTCACCTACCTCCTGATGTAGCCCCCGGGAATGTTCCCGAGCCCTTGGTCTACACCGTCGACAAAGATGGCGAAGACGGAGGTGTGTGCTTGGACGAATCCAGCTAGCACTGCTAGGAGCAAGGCGAAGAAGATCTTCATGATGAACGGGACTGTTGAGGTGGAAGATAAAACGAGTGGATCTTGAAGAAGAGTATGAAGTTGATGAAGTCGTTTGTTTTGAAAGGAAGGTGTAGAATGGAAGAGTTGTGACGGAAAGGTCTGACTATAAGTTGAAGAAATGAATGATATGAGTGGGAAATGAGCGGCAATATAAGCACGAGGTGCCAGTAGGTGCAGCAACTCACGATGCTCGCGCGGAGGCCTTCAGAATGCCCACGTGAAGGACTTCACTGATACTTATGCACCTTAAATGAACTTCACTGCCCCGGATCACGCACGACTGATTTGAAAAGCCATCAGGTGGTAGCTTGCTCTGAAGCGCCTCACCGTGCTAGCGCCCACGTTAAGCACAGCCTTCAATGGTGAAGTAGTGATCACGGTCCACCTTCCCCCAGATTTGATACACGCCAAGGGCCGCACGCAGTATCTTCCGTGCATGCATTAGGAATGACCCGCTGAAGATCCGATGAGAGTCTATCTCAGCCTCGGTAAGGAGAACGATGGCGCCAGAATCTGAAACGAAATGCTTGGAAACGCGTTTCCAAAATGTCAAAAGAGATTGCCCGCAGCGCCACTCAAGAAGCATTGATATTAAGACATTGGAGAAAGAGTTTGTGGTGTGTAGATCCCGCAACCATTGTCGCAGAAAAGCTAGTTAGATCTTCCTTGAGGTGAGAGTCTCCATGCTCGGCGTGGCATTTGTGCCCCGAGACACGGAAACCATCGGTAGCAAGATACCAGAGCGCCTCGGCGAGTTCGGAAACGTCCCAGAGAGCTCAAGTAGATGTAGTTAATGGCTTTCTCAAGTGTGAAAATGGGTATTGACGGATCGAGACAGTGGAAAAAACATCTTGATTTCCTGCGCTGGTCTCCGAGTCTACGTCGTCTTCAAACTTAGAACCTTCTCACATAGCAGTGAAGCAGTGTTCTTTTGCTATCTAGACGCGTAAGTTGCGGTCATATATCAAGCCGGAGTGCCAGGGTATCAGGTTACGACTTCGGTGGTTCTTTGCATTTCCCGACGGATTGCCTGCAGATCATGTGACATCGAGGTCATTATCTTGAGTTCATGGCCTGGGATTGGAAGTACCAGCTGATCCTGTACATTCACCCGGAGGCCTATGGCTTACCAACATCTCAATGACCGCACGACAGAGACACAGTTTGCTGATTGTAGTGTTTGATGGCCTTTTATCAATGCTTCAAGCATGGAACTAGGCACACCGCGACGACTCAGAATAGTCCCAACTTCATCGCGTCCTCTGACACTCCGAAAATGTCCAACACCATATCCCAAAAAACCTCCAACCTCCATCAATCCGGGTATCCAAGACGGCTTAAAAGAAGGAAAAAAAAATCATAACTCAATCCCCAGTCCCCCGTTTGCAAAACGGCAGTGCTCAACAATACAAACCACCACCCAGAGCCCTCACAGTGTTGTAATACACATCCGCAGTATTCCTGCACTTCTGGGCCTCGACGTACTTGGCGCACTCGTTATAGAGGTCCCGCTTGAAGTTATCATCAACCCTCTTGCGATCCGCAGCCGAGCACCGCTGTTGAATTGGATAGTTCCGGTAGCCGAAGTCGTGGCGTTGGCAACTGGGCAGGAAGTTGAAGCCTTGAGGCTGGTCCGGGGAAAACGTGCAGCCGTTGTCGTCCCAGGCGAGGTTGGAAGGGTTCCGGGCCCGCTTTGCGGCGAGGAAGTCGGGCATGCTCGTCGAGTAGAGCAGCCGGTCGGTGTCTTGCTGCGGTGTGGCGCGCTCGACCAGGTGGGTGAGCTTGTCTTTGATGTCTCCAATGGCTAGAGCAGAAACGGATACCGAGGCGCCCAGCACACAGGTGAGGGCTGTGAGGAGACGCATGATGGATGGCGAGTAAAGAGCAAAGATAATAATTTGGAGGGTAACTTGGGGGATTGTCGACGGGCAGCGGATGGTATGCTGATATCTTCTGACCCATCGTTGTTAGTCAAAGAAGCTTCAGTGGATGGCGAGAGGCACCTACAATCGTGTACTTTGCTCGTCTTGGTGAAGCGCCCTGAGACTGATATTTCGGATGCCCATACTGGCCCTCTTTATACAACACCCACAATGTGGTTTACACCCTCTTCCCCTCCATTGCCCTCTCCCCCGCTCAAGCCATCAGTGATGGCGAGCCCCAACCCCAAAGGCGCCAGTACCTCTTGCAGCTCTTTGCTCCTCTCATTTACCAGACTTGATCCCGGAGCTCACGCTTTCCACAGCTAATCCTGTGAACACTCCGTCTCGAAACGGAAGGCCAGAGCTTCTAGAACCTTAAATATGCAACCTCGCCAATTCAAAACACTGCGTCCTAGTCTCATATCATGAGATACATCGGACGTCAAGCCCGACGCGGAAAAGCGCCGCTTTTGATGCATGACGGCGGGCGTCACACCTGCCGAAGACACGCAAGCGCCGTTTTTCGATAAAACCGACTTGTGGGAGCTCGGATCCTCACCCAACGGCTAGAGAGAGTGTTTCACATCGTGGGATTTCGGCACGGCGCGAATCTGGGGTCCGAGGAGTGTGGAGTCGATTTGGAGGTTAAGCTGCAGGTGGCATCGCCGTTTCGGAGAACGGGCATTCGCGAAGCGGGGCTGCGTGTGGCTGTTGAGCATGCTGATTAGCCGTATCCCCATGCTAGGCCAGGAACTGGATCACTTGAACATCTACACACCCGGCGGGCCCTGAATCTTTTGCGGGGAAAATATGTATGCTTGATGTGGGCCCTCTTGTGATCGATATTGGTGGTGGTGTCTAGTCCTGTTAATATGTGTAACCTGGGCTGATGGCGCGTGGGAGGAGAGGCCGTTTACCTCCCGTCTCTGCACAAACTCGCTTCCAGGCTACACATCACACAACAAATCACGCAGTAGTTGATACCGGTAGCACGAGAACGTGGGTAGATGTTGCTGCAGCTTCGCGTAGAAAAGGTCCAGACAAGTGATCCAAGCCCCACTCCGCCTCTACCTTTGGAACAAACGGAATTGTCTCCGCTCGGTAACAGACATGTAGGAATAGATTCAAGAGGAAGGTTGGGAACGGTGCCACATGGTTGTGAAATTACAATGGTAACAAGTGGTGAACATCATCCACAGACAAACTACGTATAGCAGAAGCAGAGCGTGCATGCACTTGATCAACGCTTTATTGATGCTCGGAACGCTATATAATAGCAATACAACTTTTGTGTTCCAGGATCTCCGCGCCGAAGCGGCAGCATCACGGCCGCTCGCGAACTTTGGGCTTCCTTTTCCTCGCCTCGCCATTCTGGTTTACAGCAGTCGCGCTCTTGAGTGCGGCACCCTCGCTACCCTCGTCCTGTTCCTCTGTTTCTGGAAGTACGATGTCAGGAGTTTTGCCCATGGCTCTGCCGACCGTCTTCTTGTAGATCCACATGGGCAGCCGGAAGACAGCTGTGTCGTAGACGCTGGGCCTGGGTATTTCGTCGGGCTATGAGACTGTCAGCGCACACATGCCCATACCAAGTCCGAGATGGCAGCACTCACATCGAGCAAGTATTCGTGCGTCTCGCCCTCCTCGGTCTCTTCCTCGACGTACACGTTCCCAACTGAATCCACAACCAAGATCTTCCCGTTCTCAGCCTGAACTCTCTTCTTCGTGCCAACAGGACCGGACGTCAACTCGGCATCAACAGGCGTGCTGATGCCGCTAACTCTCGCCGTCTTTGCTGCCTTTGCATTCTTGATAGGCTTGCCTTTCCTAGCCTCCTTATCCTGCATGCGCTTCTGCCTCCTATTCAGCCCCATCTCGCCCGGCTCTGGTGAGTCTCTTGCTGCAAACGCAGCAGTATCCGCAGCGGCGCCCGCACCGACAGCAGGCACACCTGGAATAGCCAGATCGCCGCCCCAAGCCATCTTCCGCGCATGCTTGATGTACCTGTCCACAAAGTCTCGCTGTCGCTTCCAGCCGATATACAGCGCTCCATAGTGTGCCAGCCCGCCCCCTACGACGAACATGCCCAGCAGCACCGTGCCGACGCCTGGCCTGAAACGTTCGTAGTAGTATCCCGTGCCCCTCCACTTCGGGAAGCCGTTCTTGAGGAAGTGGTCATACCGCTCACGCTCGGGACCCCTGAGGATCTTGGCGACAAGGCCCAGCCGGGCAAACCGCTCGTTGGCAAGCTTGTCGAAGGCCTTGATCTCACGCTCGGAGGGCGGTTTAGTGACGTGCACGCCGGGCTTGCGCTTCTGGCCAGGCTTGGGCGTCGGGGTTGCGCGAGCGCGGTTGGCAATGAAGGACTGACGAGCTTTGTCGGGATGGAGTAAGCGTGATTGCTTGCGGTAGGCTTTGTTCAGCTCATCTTGCGACGCGGAGGGGGCCACGCCGATGAAGTCGTAGAAGGTTACGTCGGCGCCTTCGGTGGCTGCCACCTCATCGCGGACGCGGAAGATCTCGTGGTCTATGAAGAATAGGCAGCTTAGTATAGGCGGTTGTAAAGGGGGTGTTTGCCGGCAATCGAGCTCACGGGTGTGCCAGAACCATTGCGGCTGCTGCTGACATGGACGCGTACCCACCTTCTTTTGTCCAGGCAGCCACTATACTTCCTAAGCTGCAGAGCAGCAGCGTCAGGAGCAATTGAGGCCTCATGGCGGCCCAATTGTGGGGAGTAGACTGTCTGTGTGGATGTGGATGTGGATGTGGATGTGGATGTTGGAAGACGCAGCGTCACGTCGAAGCACAAAAATCGTGTCCTCTCGAAATGCTTAACGTGGCCCAATCAGGCCGGCCCGGAGCTCCGTTGCTTGGGCACAGGAATCACACTGCAGCAAGCGGTCGGCTCCTCAAAAGCAGGAGCTTCTGCCTCTTGATGCAGTGATATCCTCGGCGCCCCCTCTTTCTCTTCTGCTTCTACCGCACCGTACACTTTCCTGCCTCAGGCGTTCCTGAAAGCACGGCAGAGATGCAGCTCGCTGTGTGGGCGGCACGAGCCGGGTGAGGCTGAAGCGGTTGAGCGATTGGGGCGCTTGGCGTCGACCCTCTCTTTGACCCCTGGAACGCCTCAGGCTCAGCCTCCATTTCTTCGCACGCGAATACGCTCAACACCAGGCAGCTCTTTTCGAAGCCCGTCCTTTCCCTCCCCCTTCCTCCTCCACTTCGCTCTTGCCGCGTAAGCCCCGCAGTATCACGTAAGCCACCGAGAACTCCCTTCAACTACATCAAGCCGCCCAACATCTCGCCTTGGTAAACCTTTACTGATCACGGAACAGAGCTGACACGACTCCCCTGACCAAAGCACGCACACGACACATCGCACTCCTCCTTGTTACCCATCCGACCCCACAGTCAGCTACCAGCCATGTCACGCATCAACATACCCATCGATGCCCTGACCTCCCGCCTCAACCTCTCTGGCCGCTTCGACAATGTGCGCTCGCAGTCCATCACCTCGCGCTTCGCCAACCTGCGGCCCGTCTCCGAGTTTCTCGACTTCAAGCGGGTATCGAAGCCGCAGAACTTCGGCGAGGTTCAGAGCCGCGTAAACTACAACCTCAGCTACTTTAGCTCAAACTATGCCGTCGTCTTTGCCATGCTCAGCGTCTACAGCCTGCTGACCAACTGGACGCTGCTCTTCGTCATCTTCCTCGTCGTTGGCGGTATGTACGGCATCGGGAAACTACAGGGCGCCGATCTCGATCTCGGCTTCGTGCGCGCCACTTCCAGCCAGCTGTATACCGTGCTGGTGTGCGTCGCTGTGCCCACGTTCTTCTTCGCCTCGCCCTTCGCCACCGTCCTCTGGCTCATCGGCGCCAGCGGCGTAACAATCCTGGGCCATGCAGCATTCATGGACAAGCCGATCGAGTCAGCTTTTTCCGAGGAGGCGGTCTAGGTGGTCGGCCGCGAACTCCACACGCTATGCCCCCCTGGGGAAGACCACCGGGGCGGAGGAGGGACATGTATAATGCTGGGACGGCCGCACGGTTCCAGGATTTGGACAGCGATGAGGACGGCCGGGGCGTTTTTGCTTATGAAGAACATTCTTCAGGAACGACACCACCTTTCATTTCGGATAGACTCTACTCCAACGACTCGGACACTGCATATCGGGAGGAAGACTTGGCGTACGGAGAGGATTATGGGTATTCGGAGGACGATTACGAGTATGAGAGGCAGGCGGCGCCTCTTGTCCGCCGCAAGTTCTCGGAGGAACAAGAGGAGATTGTAACGCAGCGGGCGCTGGAAAAGATCCGACGGTCAAGAGCGGCAGGCAGGACGGATGTTAGTCTAACGTACGAAGAGCTCGACGCTCTCGAGCGCCGACGTGTTCAACAACCACCACCACCTCAACGTGCAACACCCCAAGGCAAGATCAGCAGCAGGACGAGCAGTCCGAACAGCGTCCGCTCAAGGAAGGGTAGCTGGGTGCGTCCTGCCGGGCTACTCAATGCTGCTGCTCCGTCGCCCGTCAAGTCTAGGAAAGAACACAGGTCAAGTCGCAGGACGTCCGACGATGCTGCAGCTCTCAGGGGGCCTGGTTTCGCCATCGCCGGGCCGTCCGGAACATCCAACCTCGTGCCGCTTGGAGGCTATCAACACGCTCAGACGCCCCCGCATTCTCGCTCCCGCCAGTCCTCTCAGTCACGCTCGCGCCAAATCATCTCCCCAATCCCGCAATATGAATCTCCGCAGTACGCCTACGCAAACCGTCCACCATCCTCCTCTTCCCGCTCATCAAGCATCCACCAAGACGAGCCCGACTGGGCTCTCCGCTCGCGCAACTCCTTCATCGCGCAGCAGAACTACCAAAACGACCCGTTGCTCTACCAGTCCAGCTCTTCTCTCGCGCAACCGCAACTCTACCCGCAGGGCCGTCGCGTTACATCGGGTCCGTCGGATGTCGCTTATGCGAACCTCAGGCGCATGCCGGCGACTGTTGGTCGACTGCCTACCAGCAATTCGGATCCGGTGCTTGGATATCGTGGGCTGGGTTCTTCGGGCGCGGGCGACGAGGACGAGTACGTGGATGTTGCGGCGGAGGACTCGGGCAGGAATGGGAGGAGTGAGCGGCGCAGGAGGGGGAGGAGGTAGTGGGCTGGTGATGGACGAGAGCGTGGTTCCGGGATACTCTTCTCACCCTGTGTTGTCATCTTTTACTCACGTTTTTAATGACTGGTTTCTTCTGGCATTGCGGTTTTAGAGTTTGGCTCGGTGCAAGGGGCATGCATGGGCATTGACTGGGCAGCATCGTTGCCCGGATTGAATTTGTAGAGTTGGTGCATCTCGGTTTCATGGGTAGTCCAAACCAAAGCGTTGTCCTCGCGAACATTGCTACCTTCTTCGTCTCGTACAAACTTCGCTCCTCCGCTACGCCGCTTTACTCGTACCTGATGTTTTCATAAGTCCTGACGCCAAGCACGATCATCGAAAGTTCAGCCGAGCCCCCTGCGCAAGCGGACCCGAAGGCCTGCACAATTCAGGCGCTAAGGCTGCACAATCCCTGTGCGAACCCTGCACGCAATCTGGCGGTCAAGCTCACCCGAAAGCTCTTCTTAACCCTCTGCAGCGTTTTCCTCCCCACCCGTTCATCAACGTCTTCTCTCACTCCCACTTGCGCAATCGCACCGTCGCCTTCATCAAGAACAAGAACCTCTGCTTGCAGGACAGCCGCCGCACACAAGTCTCGGCTATCACAAGAAATTTCCACCAGCTTCACAAACGCCCTCTAGCTCGGCGCAACAACCTCACACGAGCGAACACCACACCCGCCCTCAAGCTACAGTCCATCAAGTACCCCTCGCACACGTACAACCACCACCACCACCACCACCACCAATGGGCTGGTTCACCCCCTCCCACTCCCCCACCCGCCGCCCCGGCTACAACCACCGCACCTCCAGCCACCACTCCTCCCACGGCCACGCCCCAACTCACAGCCACGGACCTACCTCAACCCACCGCCCGGCCCCCTCAAGCTTCTCGCGCACCTCCTCCTCCTACCACCGCCGCCACCCCAAGCCCCGCGCGGGCTACATAGCGCGTCTGCTGCACAAGCTCCGCGCCCTGCTGCGCGAGCTGTGGTATCTGGCCCGGCGCCACCCGGCGCGCGTGTTTTGGCTCGTGGCCATGCCGCTGATCAGTGGGGGCGTGCTGCAGCAGATGGCGCGGAGGGTCGGCGTGAGGTTGCCGGGGTGGTTGGGCGCGGTTGTGGGGCAGGGGATGAGCGGCGGGAGGGGCAGGGGGCTTGAGGGGGGGTATTATGGCAGTGCGGGATATGGTGGCGGGGGGAGTGGGTTTGGGGGGTATGGAGGAGGGGGTCTGGGCGGCGGCGTTGGGGGGTTGATGCAGGCGGTAAGGTTGTTCATGTGAGAGCTGGGTATTAGGGGCTCGGTCTGGAGAAACCACGAGGAAGAAGAGGGGAAGGGTGGGGGGGGGCTGTCCAGGCTGGATCCTGTCTCGCCGCTGCAAATGCACCACCAACCATCGCAGCAGCAACAGCAGCGGCAAATTGCAGCAAACCCAGCCGTCCGATTCCCCGATCTGAAACACCCCTCATGAGCATCCCCCGCATTCTGGATTCCGCGACGACGCTCCTCGATACCAGCAGCAGTAGCGCCTTCCGATCTCTCCGTCTTAGCTTTCCTCGTTCCCCGCCATCGCGCCCCTCACGCTTGCATTGCCATGCGAAGCAGCAGCCATCAGACTCACCGTCCGCTTATCGAGCCGAGCCAGAGACGCCGAAAACGGATTCCATTGCGTCCAGCCGCTACGAATCCGGAAGCCATTGTCCCCGGCCAACTCCCCGCAGGAACAAGTGCTGGTGTCCGCTGTGAACAACCCAGCCTTTCGGAGCCCAGGGGCCATTGCTCGGCTCCTCTCTTTGAGCAGAAAAGTTATGCATTGGTCGGATGCGAACGGAAAGAGGCAGGGGAGTTTGGCTCGCGTATGGCTGCCGGCCAAGCGACTTGTTCGAATGCGTGCGAATACTTGGGTCCTCCGAACGGGAACCCCCAGCTGCAAGTTCCGGTGGGTTGTTGAATGTCCGACGTGTTTCTCCGCTTGGGCCTTCTGAGAAAGCGGTTCGGCGTGCGGCGTTGGATGGGATGAGGGAGTTGCGAGAGGGGGCTGATCTACCTTGGTGATTCCGATATCACGAGCAAGGAGTATCCAAGGCACAAGCAGTACAACTGCCGCAGCGTGGTAGAGAGAGAGAGTCGATTCAACTTCAAACTCTGCTAAAGTACTTCATCCTGCAAATGTGTGAGGTGTATTTTAGCGCCCCATCCACACCTTTACCCATCAACTTCTTACAGGTATCTACATATGTATCGTCCAAACGCCGTCCCACGCCCACGGACTGTCCCAGATGACTCCAAGCGCCCATTGCTATGATGATTCACAAATCCACTTCCGGTGCGCGCTTCTCACGCAACATGGCCCGCCAAGCCTATAAACAGCGCCTGCGCAGCCAGCTGGATGGTCCAGATGCCGACCTTCTTAAAGCGGCGCTTGCGGGCCTGGTGGTCGTTCAGGACGTCGCGGGCGAATGCTTCGTACATCTGTTCGCATTCCAAGTCAGCCTTGTATTCTCTTTCATGGCACAATCGGCCAGCGACGTGGAAGAAGTTGCAAAAGGGTTCCGCAGAGAAAAGGCAAGGTAATGGGAAAAAGTGTTACAACGCACCTCCCTCGACACATCCTCCATCAGCCCGCTATCATAGACCGTCCAGCTGCCATCAAACTCGCTCGCCCTCTTCACCACCCTACAGTTAACGGGTATGAACGTCTTCTTCGAGTTGATATACGCAACAATCGGCCTCACAAGCGCATTGTTGATGTAGCTGATATCCCTCGTGAACAGCGGCACCGCAGCCCTAACGTCATTAAGATGGACCCTCAGATCCATGACCAGGAACCTCTCGTCGTCATCGTTGTGCTTCTGGTGATGCTCCGCGGAGGGCTTGGCGACCTGCTCATCGCCGCCGCGGTTGTGCTCGCCGACTCCGTTCTGGAGGTCCGTGACGGTGGCTTCCACCCTGTCGTAGAAGTCCGACATCACCTTTGCGATGCTGCCCGCGTTGTCGGCCGGGAACATGATGTCAGCCACAATGTCGACATTCCCCTCGTGGATCCAGGAGAAGGGCCCGTTGATGCCGCGGTTCAGGTGGTCGATTGCGAGGCCGTCGATGCGGATGCGGGAGTGCTTCTTCCAGTGGGTCGCTTCGCCGGCGATGGAGTCTTCGCGACCCTCGTTCAGCTGCGCACCCGTGTAGTTGTGCGTTTGGCGCGGGTGGATCGTGAAGAGCGAGTCGTCGAAGGAGCCGGACATTGTGTTTGCGGAGAGGAAGTCGTAGAAGAGGTATTGCTTGCGCAGCTGGGGGAGGTCGCAGGCGAAGATGCTGACGCTGAAGGGGCGGAAGTTGCCAGGCTGGTAGACGGTTACGAGGAGGTCTTCCATTTTGAAGGAGTCGATTTCGAAGTCTCCCGGGTTGTGCTCGTGTTTGTAGGTCCGCGGATCGACGTAGACTTCTGGCGCATGCACGGAGGTTCTGTCCACTACACCGCGGATCCCTTTTACTTCCACGTCACGGAGGAGCCCTTTGCCGTTGAACCATTTGGCGAAGGATAGCGTGACGTTGACTGTGTCGATTGAGAGGTCGAACTGTGTGTAGTTCGTGTCCTCCTCTTCTGGCTTTCCGCCATCGCCGGCCCGCTCGGCGAGCGCTGCTGCTGCGGCGGCTGCGGCGGCCGACGTCTGGGAGCCCTTGGTGACCTTCGACTGGCCTTGTCCAGGTCGTCGCGAGACGAAGACGTTCTTGAAAGATATGACACCGTCTCGCCAGTTCGGCACGATGGCGGATTCGAAGATGACCTTGACACCGGAAGACTTGGTGAGGTAATTACCGATCCAGCCCGCGAGCGTTTCTTCGCTACTTGTTAGCCCCGACTTCACCGCTATACTGGGCGATATGCATACCTTGCGCAAAGACGGTATTGACCATTAGAATGGCCAGCGAGAAGAACGTCGTTGTCCCCACTATTATCCAAACAACATGTCCTACCAGGATCCACGAGAAGAAGGCGCTGATTTCGTCCATGTTGAACGGACGGGCGCTTTTGATGGAGAACCATTTGAAGCGCACGCGCAGCCGCGACCAGAAGCCGGTGGCGGCTGCAAGCAGCTCCTCCTTGGTCGGCCGGTGAATATTCTGGGGCAGATGCGGTAGCCGGTCAAGAAGGGGCTTGCTAGCAGCAGCTGAAGGTTCCGAGCTCGCCTTGGGGCTCTCGGTCTTCTGTGGGGTCGGTGATAGCTCCGCCTGGGGGACTGGCTTCGCTGGTGGCTCCTCTCGCGGGTTTGAAGTCCCATTGCTGAGGGAGCTTTTCCGTCTTGTGCTGGCAGCTGCGCCTTTCCGCCTTGCCCTGCTGTGTATGTGGTGCCGCCATGCTGTAGCAGCGAGCTTGGTCACGCTGGCTCTTTCCGCTTCTGGAGTGACAGGCGGGAGATGACCACCGATGCATCCGAGTCCGAGACGAGCGGCAGTTGGGAGGTGCGATCTGGAGGAAGGACTGTCCGACAAGGCTCTTGAGCTTGCTGACCGCAGTAGAGTGGGTAGAGGATAGCGAGCGAGACTGCTACTCGCATGCAATGCGAGCGGAGAGGGAGGATGCGGATGCGGATGCGCTGGTGCGGAGAAGCCGACGAGGGAGCGCCATGTTTGTCCGCCGACTCTTCGTCCTACATTGCGGCTCATTCTCCTCGAGATATCCGCATGGCGTCTGGATGCGGATGGTGGGGGAGGAGTTGGACACAAGGCGGATGAAGACGAGCTCTCAGCAAGCTTACGGCGCTTCCTATGTCTCCATGACGCTCGAGCAGACAAAATCCATTGACAGCCTCGGCTGAATGTCGGATGGTTTCGCCGCACGCCAAGCCCAACTTCTCGAACTTTTTGTTAAGCCAATGGCCAATTCTGCACTCCACACAAACTCTGTATATAAGTAAGTTGCGTGCTGCACGAACGACTCTAGCTTGACCGGCGACCGCGATCTCGAGAGGGTAAAGACCAAATCCACATCTAGTACCGCCTGCGACACCGCCACGAGAGCAACCACAATGCCCGCACCGACTGCGCTCTTGCGCGCACCAGAGAAGCTCGCCCAGGAAGAAGCCATGCCCGAAGCCCCCCAAGGCCAGCAACCCGCACTCCCTCCCAGAAGCATGCACTGACCGCCCCAAAGAAGATTTCGTCCTCGATCCCAACACCACCTCGACCGAGCCTGGGCCCGCCGCATCAGCCTCCGATCCCGACACCGCCATGGAGGTAGACACAGAAGGCCGACCGCTCTTCGCCCCCGCCGCAGATGTGCCTTTAGCGTTCCGGGTAGAGAGCCGCAAGGTTCCTGTGCCACCGCACCGCATGACGCCGCTCAAGGCTGCGTGGCCGAAGATATATCCTCCGCTTGTGGAACACCTGAAGGTAGATCTCCCGTTGTAAAAGAGGCCGGGGTTAAGGTCTCGGCGGCTAACTCTGAGGACAGCTGCAGTGCCGGATGAACGTCAAGAGCAAGGCGGTTGAGTTACGAACATCGCACTTTACGACGGATTCTGAGGCTCTGCAGAAGGGGTGAGTGCTCGTGGTTCTGGGAGAGTGTTAGTAGGGAACTAACAGAATTGCCAGAGAGGACTTCGTCAAGGCGTTTACCCTCGGTTTCGACGTCGACGTCAGTACCCATGCCACCTACCTACTAAGCTGCATACTCACAGTGATTAGGATGCTATCGCGTTGTTAAGAGTGGACGATCTATACATACAGACGTTTGAGATCGTGTGTTTCCCTCTGCAATAATATAATTGCCGGGCTAACCATGGCATAGAAAGACGTGAAGACACTCCAAGGCGAGCACCTTGGTAGAGCCATCGGGCGCATAGCTGGTACGTGGACCCTGCAAGTCGCCACCTCGTATCCTACTAACAGCGTGTTCAGGCAAGGACGGCAAGACAAAGTTCGCGATCGAGAACGCAAGCACGACGAGGGTGGTAGTGGCAGGCCAGAAGATCCACATATTAGGCGGCTTCAAGAACATCCGTATAGCACAAGAGTCTATTGTGTCCCGTAAGCCTGTTCCACGATCTCTCCGTCGTCGTTTCGAAGTCGCTAACTCTCGTGTAGTTATCTTGGGTGCTCCCCAAGGCAAAGTGTATGGCAATCTTCGGACAGTCGCATCGCGGATGAAGCAGCGGTTTTAAGTATGATACCCAAACAAAACTGCATTTCCTGGCGTTTGGAATCTGTGGCATTTGAAACGGATCTCGGAGCGGGCACCTGGCTGGGTGTGCAGGGTTTGACGTCGTTATGAAAGTCAGAGATTGGTAGACGGCGTAGGGTGGCTGATCCATTGAAGCCTACGGTGTCTGCCGGCTGGCTTTGCACTGTTAAACAAGCTTGTAACCGCCTATCATCGTTATCCAGGTAATCGACAAACGTACAATCCCCTAATCATCCGGATCGCTATACTCAACGTTTCCCGAATTTTTTCCCAAAGGGACAGTTCTTCCCAAGACGCTTTCAGCTCCGTTGGATATCATTACCATACCCTGGAGAGCACGGAAGCGGCGATCTCACTACCATCCACGTCCCATAAACGCCGACAAGGGATGATCTGCGCACTCGTCGTCTTCAACCACCTGAGATTCAGACTCTCTGAAGTATAGACAGTCGTCTGTCTACCTCGTTGTCCGGAAGGCGAATTGTCGGGATGGTCAAGCAGGTGATCCACCAACCAGATGCGGTCCGGCGTTGCGATCTCTGACCATACCATGCACGAATCCGTGCCGGCGACTTGCGTCTTGTAAGAGGGCAGGCCTGGCGACAGGCTTACCTCTTCGAAATCGATGCGGGAACAGTCAGCGAGGCCTACGCTCGTCCATTCAATGGCTGCGCCGCGCGGTAGTTCGTCTACTTGGACGACGATGCAGGGTGGTGTCGGGGACTGCTCTTGCGAGGAGATTTGCACAATGCTAGAGTCTGGAAGAGGCGGGCGGCCATCGCCGTCGGCGCTTTCGTTCGCGTTAGGTTGGTGGGTCACACCGTTCTTGAGATCCCACACATCCAGCTCTTCCTCATCCTCACTGTTTCCCCGTCCAGCCTCACCCAGTACCCGATGAAGATCCCTCCAAGCCCTCCCCGCTACTCTCGCCCTCGCCGTCGCCTCCCCCTCTGTACACTTCGCCAGGAACGCCACGCCCCCCGTCCACCACTGCACGTTTACCGCCCTCCCAACCCGCCACAGATGCTGCAGCGCCAGCACAGTCTGCGCCCGGAACTCCCCCATCTTATCTCCTCCTACCTCCAGCCCCGCCCGCTTCAAGTCGTTCGGCCCAATGATCTCCATACTCGCCGGCACAAGCGGGATCTGGCCCGCGACGAACACTTCTCTGGGCCCTTCCCCTTGCCCGTCTTGATACTCACCCGCCGTGAGAGGCGCCATCCTCAGGCTTTTGGCCTGCGAATACGGCCCAATATTCGCCGGCGCCCAGTAACTCCTACTTTGCACGTGCAACCCACCGCCACCCTCGCCCCCCTCGCCCCGGAGATCAACAACGACGCTGAGCACGACCTCCACGCCGTATGGCAGCGCGTCGCCGCAGGCGACTGTGACACGGGAGGGGGGGTTGGAGGCCGTAAAAAGGTGGCCGTAGATGGGGTTGATGGATGTGAAAGAGGACATGCTGCGTAGGAGGAGTGTGCTAGAGATAATGGAGGAGGGTGGGAGATTGTGGCTTGCTAGAACGAAGGCGAGGTGGGCCATGATGCTGTACATTTGGGTTGCGGCGGTGAGGTCGGCGGTCGGGGAGGTCATGTTGGAGATGTGGAGGGCGGTGGGGGTTTGGGTAGTTATCCAGGTTTCGGAGAGAGATATTGGGGGACCGGGTTGGGTAGGCGTAGACTGTTGTATCCGTGCGGCGGTGGTGTTTTCTGTGTCCAGCTCCCGTAAACGTTGCCAAAGCATCTTGAACTCGTCGTCCAAAAGCGCCGGTATCCTCAAGCTGCTCAATCCACCATCTTCCTCCCCATCCTCATTCTCCACCACCCTCGCACCTTTGATCCTCAACACTACACTTCCTCCCTCTCCAACCATTGCCTCCGTTCCCCCCAGCTCGATCTTCCCCCTCCACAGCACCCCCGGCCCTCTCACAGCCAACGTCTCAAATTCTCCTCCCTCCCCCAGTACCGCGCCTCCCCCTCCCCCACCAAACCTCCGCATCCTTCCCACCAGCCTCGCCACCGTCCGTGGATCGGCGACATTGAGCCCCAAAAACCCCTCATCCAGCCCGCCGGACGCAACCTTGATGATCCTCGCGTCCATGCCCAAAGCCGCCATGTCGCTCAGCAGCGACGTCTGGGCATAGGGCGGGAGGTACGGGTACTGCCATAGAAACGCCAACGGCACGAGCCCGAGACGCAGCGCCACGGACTCGATGCGTGTGCGCTGGTAGGTCGAGAGGATGGCGCCCGTGGAGAGGGCTGTTGCGTCTGGATGCGCGAGGAGAACTTGCTGGAGGAGCGGGACCAGGGACTCTGTTTCGTCTTCGTCTGCCGTTGCTGGGGCCGCAGATCCCCTTCCTTCGGCCGCAGTGGAGGGTACCGAAGGGGAGGGAGCGTAGTCCCTAGCGGTACAAAGGGCGGAGCCAAGGATGGGCTGGCGGTAGAGCGGGAGGTTGAGGGCTTCTTCGTACAGCGGTATTAGGGAGTGGCCGACGGTCTGGTACATGTAGCTGTCGATATCGGGGCCCTCGCCGTCATCTGAAGTCGTGGCGCTGGGGCTGGGCGCGGGATAGAGATTCGCTAGAGCGACTATTTCATGGCCATTGGCGAGGCAGTGGAGGAGTGAGAAGAGTGAGTCTTTGCCGCCGGAAATAAGGGCGATGACTTTGTGCTTGGTTGGAGACATATGGGATGGAGAGTGAGTGACATCAACCAGATAGACGCGATGAGCTATAAGATCAGGCTGAAGAGGAGAAAGGAGTGGCTGTCTCAGTCATCGGAAGAAAGACTAATGGTGGTTGGAAATACTTGTAGACCGGACGTTGCAAGTGGGAAGAAACGCTGAGAAATGCTGTGAGGGAACCCGGGCGGAGAGCGTGGTTTGACAACTGGGTGAGCGGAAAGTCGTTAGTAAAGGCTTTGAGACTGTCAATATTTTCATTGGCACATCCCGTGTTCTTCCTGCGCTGAAAGCAGCGAACCCAACATCTCTGTTTGTTCTTCCAGTTGTTTGAGGATGGTCGAGATGTTTGTCGGTGCGGAACCGCACAATTCCAGGTCAGCATGAACCAGCGTCATCCTCAGCAATGCCGAAATAGTCAACATAGAGGCATCGCAGTTCAGTGGAACGAAACTTAGTGCAAACTGTTTCTATGTTCAGATGATACTCTAGTGTCCAGCACAAGATTACACCGGGGAAAGGACCGCCACTGCATCAACTAGAATTACATCGGAAAAGAAACGAACGCAGAGTACAGCAATGCTTCAAGCCCCTCCTGCCTCAGTATTACAACGAAAGTTAAAGCTCAAGTATCAGCGAAATGCTGGAAGGCGCGGGACTGTCCGCTCGTTCAGGCCAGTGTTCCTCCAATCCGTTCTGCCACCCGATCCGAATGCCAGTTTCCGCTTGAAGTGCGCAACGCAAAAACTCAAGGAAGCAACCTGCAACGCGTGTATGAGTTACAGGTAAGAAAGATGTACAAAGAAGATGTGAGAGAAGGACTTTTGTAAGTTCCACCAGTCTACCATAGACACCAGTCACAATCTAGCCAACCACCATGTGCCGCCCAGCGTAACGACATCAGATGGACAGACATTGTCCAACATCAGAAGCGCCCGCAGTAGCGAGCACCCTATTTCGTATATGTTCGTGATGAGCAGTGGTATCGACGCCAAAGCTCAATTGTGGTTTGCACCAGGTCGCGCCGATTCTATTCGTCCCGTTTCCTCTTCTTCTGCTGCTTGCGCTCGGGCACCGGCGGGCTGATCATCTCACGATCCGAGTACCCCGACGACGATGAGCTTTCTGACATGCTGGCTACAGCGGCGGCGGCAGCACTGAACAGTACACTGCCCAGTGCACTTGCTTGGCTATCATACGATTCCTCCTTTTGTTGCCTCAGCTCTGAATCGTCGAGGACACCCATCACAACTGAGCCGGTTCCATGCGTGCGCTGGTGTTGTGAGAGATTATCGCTTCGTGAGAACTTCTTACCGCAATCACTGCACTCAAACGGCTTGTCGTGAGTGTGGAGGGAGCGGTAGTGGCGCTTGAGATGTTCTTGACGGCGGAAGCGACGGGAGCAGAGAGTGCAGACGAACGTCTTAGAGGGGTCTTCGGTCAAAGACTGCTTACGGCCACGGCGGCTAACAGGTGCCGAAGCTGGTGCACCATCGCCATCCTCAGAGCTAGATGCAATGGCGGCATCCGGAGTTGCTGACTGGTCCTGCGCAGCTGGCGATTGTTGCTGACTGTGCTGGCTGGAAGCTGTCGAGTGAGACTTTGCCTCCTTGCCGCGGGTCACGTGGGCCTTGCTGACAGCGAAATCCGACTCCGACTCGCTATCGAAAGACTTCGTTGCCTTGGTAGCTTGACGCTTCTTTGGTCGCACTTTTGTTGTGTCGTTGGAAGACATAAAGAATTGCCCCTCACACGGAGTGTGGAAAGTGCTCACTGCGAGATCTTCGTCAAACTCGCTGAAACTGCTGTCGCCGAAGAAAGATTCGTCTTCCACAGAGTTTGACAAGGAGTCGGTTCGCAGGCGCTTGTAGTTGGAAGCGTGAGTGTTGTCTGTGGCAGGGAACTGTACGAAGCCAGAGAAGTCGTCTTCAGAGTCAAGCTCAAATAGTGGCTCAAAGGTGGGAAGGCCGTTCAGTGACAGGAACTCAGGAGGCACGGGCGCTTGTGGTTGGTCGATCTTCACGGTGAATGCGTCGCCCCTTAGTATGAGCTTGTGCTCCTCGTCGTCACCAGAGCAGAGCGTAGGAAGGCACGGAAGACCAGTAACTGACGCAGAAGCAGCGACAGTGAGATTCCTAGGATCGCAGAAGCTGGTTTCGGATTCGGAAATGGCGGACCGTGGAAGTGGTGAGGGCGAAGGTGACAAGGAGGGGCACGAAGGCGCGGAAAGGAGGTAGGGGCCCTGGCTAAGCGAAAGGGGCTGGATGAACACTGCGCCCGCGTTAGACAAGGGTCCGCCATTCACCAACATCCACCACCACCACAACACCTTCACCACGTGCACGAGAGTGTAACTCACCAGGTGTCATCGGGGGAGATGCAGATCTTGACCAATCACCAGCACCCAAAATCTCAGACAGCACCTCTTCCTCACAACCTTGCTTCACACCCTCTATGGCCTGGCATGCGAAGAAAGGACCGTTGATCGGTGTCTGTAAGATGTCGCAGCTCATCGGCGGGCTGCTAGCGGTGCTGTCCGTCGAGGAGAGAGGTGGGGTAGAGGGAGCGAACCGCAGGTCGGAGCAATTCGTATCGATCGGAAAGAGGTATGGCGAATCTTGCTGAACAAGTATCGTAGGCTTCTGGTACATTGGCTGTGGCGACGCGACGGGTGTGAGCATCGTCTGCGGAGCATATCCTACAGGAGCCGGGTAGACCGCCTGGCACTCGGGGGGCGGCTGCTGATAGCTCATGTTCGTTGAGTACACCTCCTGCTGACCAGTGTATGGAAGGCCGTGAGGGTGCGGCGAGAAGTGGCCGTGTTGCCGGTTCTCGGAGTTGGGATCCGGGTTGTAGTAGAAGAAAGGTGCCTGTCCCACCATTTGGGCGGGGTGTGTTGCGTATATACCGTCCATGATGTGTTCTGTGGCCATGGCATGTTAGCGATGCATTCCTCGCCTCTCAGTCCATTCCAAAGGCAGCTTACCACGGTGGTTTTTTTTCGAAGCTAGATGGTTATGAGTGCAACGTGGTGTGCACTTCTGTTGATGATTACACAAAGATTGCAAGATGATATTAGATGCGATGCCGCCGTAGGTGGACTCGGAAAATGCGAAATGGAATGATGAAGCGCTGAGCTTATGAGGGAGTGATTGAGCGACAGGAGCGGCTATTCTGCTGATGTCTACTAGGTGTCTACTGGCTAGGGTCCAAGTGTCTCGAAGCAATGACGACTGGTTATGAAGATTCCAAAGGAAGGGCTGGACACAATCGATGGGATTGCTGCACAAAAAGGGCAGTCGAATAGTATCCAAGAAGAAGCTGAAATACAGAAACGGGGGAGAACAGGAACAAGAGCGACAGACGCGATGACGAAGGTTGATAAACCGTGACAAGGAAAGGTAACGAGTGGAGGGACAAGCCGTGGATAAAGTAAGTTGAGATCAGCGTGCGAAGAGACGGCGATTAAGTTCGAAGAAGAAACGATGGCCAGGCACAGGTGCGAGTGCTGCGCGGAAGAGTCGACTAGCCTGGGAGGGGAACTCGGGAAGGACGAACGAAGGCGCAGCACCGGGCCCAACGAGACATGGAGACATGCATCCTGCACGATCCCTGGATGGAACTAATGCAGTGGTTATTCTGCAATTCGCGAGATGACTCGCAAGGTTTGTGCTGTCCTTAGGGCAGCAAGACGCGCGGCACTATTCTGTGCGTGGGCAAAGCACAAACACTGGCCAAATAACCGGCCAGCTGGGCGTGGAGGCGATGGATGCTGGCCTTGACACACCGACCAGCGCTAACATTGGCGCACCAGCAGTCCACACAACTTGCACAAGACGTGGTGAAACCCTAGCTCGATGCACAGCAAGCGACGACTCAAGACGGGTACCAAGCGGCTGCACAAGTGGCCATCTCCACAGCGGATCGCTGATGACGGACGGCCGGGCCTCTGCGATTGAACGAGACGCCGACTGCAGTGCTGTCGTGTTGGCAGCAAGAGCATCAGAAACGAAGCGGAGAGGCCAGAGATTCATCGGGGGTCCGGGAACGGCAAAACTTGTCAAACCAATGACATTCTAGAGCGGATGTCGCCGTGTGATTAATTAACTGTTCCACCTGTGCGGCAGCGGACCTGACACTCCAAGTTCAGCTGTCAGTCGGCGTTCGTGCCACGGAACGGCCACCACTCAGCTCCGCCTTGCCGCCTATCAGCCAACTTATCACGCCCGAGGGCAAATCGATACGCAGCCGTCTGAAGCAGACCCAGACGTTGCCACTGCCTGAAAGCGTCTGGCTGACTTCAGGCGCCGTGGCCTTCGAGGATGGATCTTCCATGCGGTATCGCGAAGCGCATCACACTTGCAAAGCTTGTTGTAAGCCTATCAGCCTTAAGGTGGCTTCTGCTAATGGCATTTTGCTTGGAGAGATGTGGACATGTGCTGCACTCAGACTGGACGCATCTCAATCCACCGAGGTAAATTGACTGCAGACGGCGTTACGCTCGCTTGACGCTGGTGACTCGGAAAAACTCGTGGGCTGCAGGAACCGGAATCGCAAGTCGAAACTCCAACGGACATCTCAGAATGCAGGTCCAACACGCTTCATCCGTGGGATCAAGCACGCGTCGTGCAGTAGCCGTCGAGGCACTGCTGCAGGTACAATCGTGGACCCTCGGTAAGCCGATAAGAACTTACCTGATCTGGCAGCAATTGTGATACTCCACCCTCGAACGATGTGGGGTGTTACTGCTACGCTGAGGTAAGTCGTTTGAGGATGGTGCGACAAGACGGAACGTACCGTTGTTGAAAGAATCCCGAAACTGTCAGAGGGATCTACAACTGATTGGCGGGACCTAAGATACAAGTACAAGTACTCGATTACAGTGGTGGATTGACAGTGGGGTGCAGAACCCGAGCCACAGAACCAGAGGAAGATTGCCAGCGCGGACGTTTCAAGTCTAGAGCTATCGATATGTTCCCGGCACTGTCGTCAGCGACCGTATGACCTGCGGAGTTCGAACAGAAACCTTTATGTAAGTTCTTCAGGTTCTAGTTGCGGGTTCATCGTGTCTTTTGCATTATGCTTGATGCGCCCTTGCCGTGCTTGTGCAACGTCCAGCATATCCGTTGTTGCACTTCTATTTTCAGCATAAGAATATTGACATCTGCGGCGTCGGCTCGGCACAGCGTGGCAATTCAGGCCAAGTGGGGACTGAGGGATGCCGCTTTTGAACCGCTTTTCATGGATAGTCAGGCACAAATATTGGTGGCTTAGCAATGCAATAGCGCCTTGCTTGTTCGAGCTGGCCTTGGAAGCGGTCCGAAGACCCAAAAGCCACGACGACCCGGCTGAGAAACAACCAGCACGGCACAAAAACACAGCCAATCCCATCGCGACCCGGTGTGCACAAGTCTGCAGCAGCTCAGTCTAATGCAGGAACAATGCAGGTCCCGAAAACTGTCGGATAAACGAAGGTTTCAAGAACTAAGCCTTGCCATGGAACAAAAACACTGTAAACCCGCCAACTGATGCCCAATTCCTTGTCACAACAGTCCAGAACTGAGAGCTGACTTCAGCTGCAGAGGTCTGACTACTCACTCCGATGTTAAGCCTACGTGGCCGTAACATGGACCAGCACGAGGCGTACGTGAACCATAGTGCTGCCGGCCTTCCACCCCACGCGAAGCTTGCTTCGTGTCAGTGCTTATGAAGAGTGAAATGATCACCAGCACGATGATGCACGCTGACACCAGACCCTGAGAGCAACCTCGTGGAGGGAGTAGCATTTCAGTACGCGAGCTTCCCTTTCCATCATAGCAGCCACGGCGCGGCGGTGCGTCCCAGCGAGCCGGAGCTCAAGGACCACGCTATGGCGCTTTTAGCTTCAGCCAGCGGGAGATTTTGCTTTTCATCACCACAGATCGACGTTCCCGATTCCGTCAGGACTTCATGACTAGAAGCCTGCTTTGGGTGTCTGGAACGATGCGTGACCTCGCTGCCGGGCTGTGTCATGTTCAAGACCCTTGGTAGATAAGAGAGCAGGATAGGCGCCACCCGCACGCCTTCCAAGAGCATCGATCACGGCTTGCTGTTCGAGAAGCATACGTCCAGCCTCGGGTCTGGCTCGAATACGAACCGGAACTAGGTCCAGTGCTCTGTTTGTAACAGCGTGGTTTGGTGCTTTCATACCTAGACCCCATCTGCTCACTGGAAACAAGTTTCGCTGCACCTCATGAATGACAGGGACCCATGGAGGCCGGGGTCGAAAGGCAATGATCCACAACCAAATTCCAGATGCCGTTACGCTTGCTTGGACTGCTGATCCAACCAGGCTGAAGCACTGACACTGGGGTCTCTGAACGGGAACGGTTGAGTGGCGTCCGCCATTGTGCCTAACCCAAGCCATCGGCAGACTTCCAGATTCTCCACAGGCAGCTCGCTTCGATCTGTTGGCTCAGCGTCTTCGAGACCTTAATTCATCCGAACTTCCGTCCCGTGGGACCGAGGAACTGGGAGCCAGAGGGCCTGTAGTCTGGTCCCTTTCTTCACAAAAGGAATTTCTGAGTCTTCCCGTCTTTGATACATCTTTGTCAGGGTCGCTAGAGATATCAAGCTACATGACAGCGCACAGGATCATGCCTCGCTTCAAGGCTTTCCCGATGCCGCAACCGACCAGTCCCCACAGCGATATGGATCGGCAACTCCGCTCCAGGCATACGGCATAGTGGACGGAGTTGGACCGACGAGACAGTAACCTGCAACGGATGTGCCTGGTGGATCTGTCTCGGGAACAAGCGTTCACACTGTCGACCTGCTCAAAATGGGCGGGCCTATGTAGATGCTGGTTTCTCGATCCACTGATGTTCTGAACGGCAATATGTTCACCTCACAACATCTAAATTCTCGATACCAGGATGACTCTGATCTCGCTAACCGGTTCTGAGACCAGATACCTTGACCGCGGAAGCCAGAGATGATGTACCAACAACTGAGGGCTTGACAAAATATCCAGATTAGATCCAACATGAAACAACATGAACATACATGGGACAAATGATGTACTCGAAGGTATCTTTGTGCTACTCTGTGCCGGTTGACCGTGGTTTAGTTACAAAATACCCGAAAGTGATAAGTTGAACAGAGCACTTCGCTGCGAGATTTACCTTGATTTCTGATAGACGGTCATAACAATTCATCCATGTTTTTTGCCCGCAACATTCTGAACAGCATCCTGAGCTTGACGGGACCAGAATCAGGTAGGGCACTTGACATCTTTATATATATGACCCTGCAGCTAGTACTTGCTGGGTAGTACGAGTAATGTGCCAAACGACGGCTAAATGTCAGCAGTGTGATTCTGAGAAATATGATACAAGAGTTGGGCGCGCGGCCAATTCAAAACTGCTTCCTTCAGGCGGAGTATACTGCTGGAAAGCTGATAGCGGGCAACCGCGTGAGAGCCTTGGACTACTGCCGCTGCAAAGGAGCATCAAGAAATGCAGTGAGAGAGCCGTACGTTCGGATCAAGAAACGGTTTGAAGTCGAGGGCCGTGGTATGGAAGGCAATAAAGCGGCGTCGCAAGAGGCGGCACAAATGTCTGTAAGATCAAAAAGCCAGACTACCCAGCATGTCATACCAAGCAGGACTGTGAATTGCCTTGAAGAGCTAATCTACAAGAACCAGGAAAAGCAACCGAATCGTCACAGCACTACGCGGTCAAGTACAGGCCTCAGAGAGTTGTCGATTGAGATCAGCCCCAGCAGTCGCCAGGTCATTCTCTTCCTATTATGTATTGACGCTTTCGCATCCTTCATCACCGGCCATGAAGAAAGAAAAGAAGGACTCTAGGCATTCTTCCTCGACATTTCGCCCACCGGAGTTTTCCGCGCTAAGACCTGAATTGGTAAGGCGAGACTGCCGCTAAGCGAGAACTGAATGACAGAAATCGCCGAACTCGTAAACTACCGGACTTAATACTCACTTCTAAATCAACGAAATCTGTTAATTCACTACGTCTTCAAAGATCTTTACTCTAGACATTCTACCTCCAGGTATGGTTTGTATATGTTTATGTGGTAGTATACCGTAAAGGATTACGCCTATTCATGACCTCCCCAAGCTGACTGAAGACCTATCTGTTTTTCGGAGTCCGGCAATTTCTGTCACCTAGGTGGCGAGCAGCAACGCCTTCAGCGAAATCTGCTCCCCCAAGAAAATTTTCTTCTTCGTGCGGCGGCGCGACGGATATCCTCCGTGTTGCTTTTACATCTGCTCCATGATGTTGTCGAAAGCGTCAGTTGCGCCACAGAGCGAACATATTGCATAATTGACTGCTGCCCATCGCGGCCGTGCCTGTAAGTGGCATGGACGTTGGCAGCGGCGGTCGAACAGATAGACGTGTTTTGATATACGAAGGACGGGGGGTATTTACCGAGGAAGCGGTCGCTTGATGGCGCGCGACCACAAGGCTTCTTAACACAGTATTGAGGCGTTTGCAGAGGTGGGCTAGCACATTAGATATATCGTCAGTGAGTAGAAGGTGCAGATTTGAATTACACAAACTGGCTGTTGATGTTTCTTGATAGCATTGGAGGGTGGTCAAGCGGCTGCCGCTTCCTCAGTTAATACCCCCTCCTTCGTATTTGTCGGAATTGACCTGTAGTATAGCCATAGCTTCCGCAGAGCAAGAGTTGGAATGTGATCTCTCAAGTACCCAGCAGTCACCCGTTCTCCCGCCAGGTCCTCCCACATACTCCGCCTAATGCTTCTCCCAAATCCCATAACCAACGCCTTTTACCAGCCGCTCTTCAGGTCTAGGACACATCGCCAACCTAATCATCGCTGCCAACCTTCTCTAGCTTGCCCATCTCCCGCTTCTCGCCGGTCTCGCCAATGAGCCGTATCCTGTCCAAGCGAACTTTCTCCCCACTGCCTTCGCCGTCAACCACGAACAGCACCAGCGAGGTGACGTTCTGAAACTTGACGAAGCGCAACTCGAGCTTCGCAGTGCCCTGCTGAGACCAGTCATCCGGCTTTATCGTAATCGCTTGCGTCGCCGGGATGTCATCAGCCTCCTCAAACCCAAGGTTGTGCGCGCGGTTGAGGTATAGCTGGACAGTTTTCGGTCGCATTGGTATCTCACCGTCGTCGCCATCTTCCGAAACGGCGGGCGGTAGGGAGGTAAGGTGGATCGAGTGGATCTTGAGTGTTGACTGAAAGGGGATGAACAGCATGAGCTGCTCATCCGTGTCGCTTTCTACCCAATCGGCACCCGCGCTTGCACCCTCTGCCTTCCCCTTCCCCTTCGACGAGTCTAGCGACGACGGTCTACTGCTCTCGAACAACGTCCTTGCCCCACCGAAGTCGCTGTCCGCGTTCAGCAGGTCCAGCCCCCTGACGTCGACCTGGTCGGTCACGTCCTGGTATCCGCGTGGGAGTTCTGCACCGCGCCATGAGCCGCCTGAGCTCGAGCTTGCTTCGCCGAATCCGCCAGACGATACGCCGTCTGACTCGGCTTCGGCGGCGAGCTTCTTGACGGCTTCGGAGAGTTGTTGTGCGTTTGCGCCGCGTATCCTTGAGACTTCGCGGCTGTTCTTGAAGATGACGAAGGTGGGCATCCTGATTGCCCCAGAGGGTCACTCGTCAGCTGCTTGTCCTTGGTACGGTCCACCCAAAAGACCAATACCACCATACTCCGCAGACTCACGCTGTGATGCTGTACGACTGTGCGATCTGCTTCTGCGTGTCCGTGTTGACCTTGGTGAATGTGATCTTGTCTGGCCGCGAGAGCTGAGAGGAGAGCTGTTCGTATAGCGGGGCTATCGCTTTGCATGGTCCACACCAATCCGCATAGACTGTGTTAGGGTCAGCCGCAGTAGATTCGAAAAGTCGAAAGGGTGACTCGGCTTACAATCTGCGACGACTATGCGTGAAGAGGACAGCAGTGAGCTGAACTGCGAGGGAGAGCCTATCTGCACCGTTTTCGACATCCTGAGGGTAGCTGGATGGAGGGTGGCAGAGGTGTTTGTGTTGAAGATACGAGTTTAAAACACTGAAGTGGCAGGCTTTCTCGACAGCGCCGCGACTCGATTTGGTCCCGCCTGCTCTGACACGGTTTGGCTCACGGCTTGGCGTCGAGCTCGTGGGGCTTTACGTCAGCCTTACCTTGACCAAACTGCGACTGCCCGCAGCTGCAGGTTAAACAGAAGCTGTGCAGTGCCGGCGTGCTGAATCTACATGTCCCCTAGGATGGGTTCTAACAAGCTCTATTCCGAAGAGCTGGAGCAACAGGAGCATCCTAGGACGACGCCAGCGGGGCTTCATCTCACCACTTCGAGCATATAAAGCATGTGGTCAAGAAAGCCTCATATGTGCAACATATTCCGCTCCAACGTTCCAACGTCACTGGACTGCCGTGGTTCAGCTTGTATCAGGCTCTTACAGCCGGTGACCTTCTCATAGCGTGTCAAGAGCGCAAACCTAGACTGCTTGCTGGCCGCGCCTCGTTCATTGTGCAGTTGAGCGTTTAGATGTTGCTCAGCTAGAAACACATACAACAAAGTGCTGTACAACGCTGCCTTTTCCAGCCGTAAATGGTATTCAAGTACACGGATGTACCATGTGCACGAGGCTCTCCAGCTCCTACAATCCTACCTGAACAGTTTTGGCGTGGCCGTCCTACTGCCTGCCAGCTCTTCGCCACGCCCTGGTGGTGATGCACAAACAACATTCGAGCACCTTCTGACCTTCTGAATGGCACATCTATCCGCGACCAAAACCGAGCGGATATTCTTCCGTGTTGTCTTTAACTCGTGGATCTGCTATTCTTCACTCCAAACCTACTACCGGCTACGCAAGAGCGGACACTCCAAGGACTGTAATCGGCTGAAGTCGATGCTCTGGATCAATAGCCTGGCTGGGATCTGGGGCGCTCTTGACTTCTGCATAGCGCTATGGCATCTCACGTCGTTGTAGTAGACTCCACGGCTCGGAGGACTACCATCAAGACCACGCCGGGCAAATATCTCAGCGATGTCTTGAACGAGGCGTGCGCGAAGCTCGGCGTCAAAGCTGATCAGCACACTTTGAAGTGAGTGCTTCTCTATCCACTTGCGGTCCACTTGGATCTTCCGATAGCCCTGCTGTGTTGTTCCAGCTTACGGCTGGACTCTTCTGATCCAGCGGCTGGGTATTGTGTCAAACCAAAGCAGAGGCTGACCTAGTTCACAGGCACAACAACAAGCAAGTAGACCTCTCCCGCACCTACCGGCTCTCCGGTCTCCCCTCAGGCGCGAAGCTCGACCTCGTCCAATCCTCTCGCTCTCCCTCCGTCGTCTCCGTGGCTTTACAACCTCCCGACGGCGGCAGCCGACTCACCCAGAAATTCCCTAGCAACACCTCGCTCTGGCAGATACTCCGAGTCTTCGAAAGCAGCCCTGGCAGCGATGGCGCGCCGCAGAACCTCAACTTCACACAACGAGGCACGCCGCAAATGAGTGGCGCTGGCTCATCAGGCGGCGGCAGGCTTAACTATGAGATGCCGGTGTTGAACGTGATGGGCAGGGATCTTGGGACCTTTGTGGATCTGCAGAAGACGCTGGCACAGCTTGGTATCAACAATGGGAGTGCGCTGCTTCGGCTGAGCTTCAAGAACAGCGGTCAGCCGCTCGAGGAGGCCATGGAGGAGATAAGCAAATACTTTAGCCATGCCCAGGAGCCTCTGCCAGCAACGACCGAGGCGCACGGCGCCCATGCTGGAAGCGCAGGAGAAGCGCAATCCATGCCCGAACCAGAAAAGGCCACAATCACCGAAGACATCGCAGGTCTGCTCAATCCAGACGAGCCGAAACCTATGGAAGACGTGATCCCTACCGCCGACGCCACATCTAGCACCACCCCCGAGAAGCGCAAGCACGACGAAGTCCTCACACCAGCGGCCGAGCCTACAGAAGCCGAAGCCCTCCCCGACAACGCAATAGTGGGCCCAGACCAGCGCCTCATCACCATCTTCGCGCCCCCTTCCGACACCACGCCTCGCGCCGCCCGCGAAGCCTTCAACGCCGCCGATTACGAGCCAACCGTCGACCACGCAAAGGTGCACCAAGCCCGTCTCCTCAGCGAAAGTCGCAACCGGCGGCTCCCCTCCGACGCGGAGCTCGCGGCGCAGGAGAAAGAGCGGAGCGAGAAGCTCGCCAAGATCAGCGAGGTAGTGCTGCGCATCCGACTGCCCGACCAGAGCATCGTGCAGATGACGGTCGGACGGCTGGACACGGCTGAGGTGCTTTATGGACGCGTAAGAGAGCTGCTCGCGCATGGGGGTCAGCCGTTTATGCTGAGATACTCCGGGTCGAAGGGCGGACAAGTGCCGTTGAAGGAGGGGAAGGAGCGGCTGGTGTCGGATCTGGGGTTTCAGGGCCGCGTCATGATGTACCTTGTGTGGAGCGAGGGCGCAAGCTTGGAAGCGCAGAGGGAATCGTCGTTGAAGAAGGAATGGAGAGAGCAGGCGCAGGAGATGAATATGCAGCAGCCGGTTGAAGCTCCCGGTGAGGAGCCGCCAAAGCCGGCTGCAGGTCCGGTTGACAAGGGGAAGAAGAAGGCGGATGATCCAGATAAGGAGTCGAAGCTTAAGAAGCTGTTCATGGGCAAGCTCTCGAAGAAGTGATGGACTCGGTGAAAGTTCTTGAGGATATTGAGGTTCGGCGTAGATTCGTCATAAGGTACGAAGTGACGAGGGCATGTCCGCTTGGATGAAAGTTCGGGGTAGAAGGATCATGTTGCTGGTACTTGATAGCTAAGAAGTCGGCTTCAGCAGTTTCTGGTCTAAACTGCTCAGACAATCACAGTAGCTTGCGCCAGAAGGCTTTCCATACGCAGTGGTCATAATCGTAAGAAACCCGCGCTTGGTCATGCGGGATGATTCTCGCCAGGAGGCAATTCTTATATCGTACTAGGTCCCGAACAAGCAGGAAACCTTTTGCTCATAGGAACATGACCCCGGAAATCACAGCAAGCAGAAAGAACATGCACCATCGCCCCGTTTAGTGACCTGCCCTCCTCGACTCAGCGATGACGGCGCTCTGCGCTGGGTCAGCAAATCTCCATTTTGACTTGGACAGGCTACTTGCCATTCTGTCAGCGGCGCGCTTAGCCCTCCCCCACGTCCCGAGCCGCTTCTTCGCCAGCTTGCGGGCCCTCTTATCCTTCGAGTTTCGGAGAAGTTCGATGATGCGGCGTTCTTCGACCTTGTCAGTTTCCTCCTTCTGATGTTCGTGGGTTGGTGGACTCTACCATAGGGAGCCAAGCCTGCTACCTCGCGGACGATGTCCTTGACGAACTTGCCGCGTGCCGATTGTCTGCCCTGTTGTCCAACCGTCAAAATTCCGCTACAGACGCTCTTGGGCCGGTTCGTATACCTTTGACCGGGAGATTTTGGGCTTCGGCTGGTGCGGCGTGACCTTGTGTCCGGCGTTGAGGCCGACAATAATGCCGGACTTCTGCTTCACCTCCTGTAGTGCCAGTTCTTAGCCTTGATCTTTAATTGTGCAATCCGTTCGCTTCTTCTTTGTTGCGACATTTTAGAAACTATGGAGCATTGTAACGGCTTCGAAATCGATGTTCGCGACCGCCCTTCGTCTTTGCTCTGTGTGCGCGATGCTGGGGCTTCCGGTTGGCGCTAGGGTGCTCGTACCTTAGGCATGGTGACTTATTTTCGACTTAGGCAGAGGTGATCTAAAATTCCATGTCAGATGCGACAAATTCGGCTGCTATCCTGTGTTGCTCAGACACTCACTCTAAAGGTCCCTTTGCTGTGGTCGTCGCTTGTCGTTACTTCAACCCGTCGCAGTCGTGAAGAAACTCGGCGATGTGCGGAGGGCTCGGTGATTAGTTGTTCCAGCTCGGCTGGGTTCTTGCCAGTCACGTGAGAAACTCAGAGCCTGAGGCAAAAGTCACGACCGCAACTATCATGGAACACCTTGCCAAATCTCTCTCGCCATTCCACCGTGGGCTGCAGCATCAAAAGCGATCCGTTCTCGAATTAAGGTCTCAGGGATCAACATGAGTTGCAGCGCTCAAGAATCCGAGGAACACATCCCGCGTCCGCGGACTCCAACACTAAAGATCACCGAAAATGCAAGGGGGATGCCATCAGATTCGGGACGAACCAGGCAGCACGTTACACATCCTGTTAATCTCTTTTTCGTCTCTCAAGATGTAGATAGCTCAAGACCGCTGAGAGACATCATGCCCATCATCCGAGGAAGACCATATTTTCAGACTTGTCGATCACTTCAAGCCCTGACCTCTTGCAACCCTTCAGAAATTTGTTTACTCGTAATCTTATGAAAGCCGCTGTTGCAAATTCGTTGCACGGGAGAGGCGGGACATTTCCAAGCCACAAGCGGTTGAAGGCTTGGTTGAGGTCGGTCCGTCGTGTGATGGGAATCTGCCGCGCCGGCTATCTTACGGATGCTGACGTCAAGGCGCGATAATACGCAATTTCGATCAACCAACAACAAACTGCCACTCTCCCGCTCGTGGTTGTTCATCCATCACATTTTCAAACATCCTCTCTTGTATCTCTTTACTCCTACTTCTCTTTCCCTTGACCATAGTCGAAGCTTGCGCCATTGACCACCCAGAGAATTATTTTTTTCGCACCGTATAGAACAACACCCACTCCCCGAATCGCGCAGGCCGTCTGCTCCTTTACTTGTCTCGCAGCGATTCGAGCGCAGCTGCAATCATGTGGAGAATTTCATACTGGGTGGTACCGTTATTTTCGGCGATAGTATGGCTTGCGATGCTGCTTGCCTTGTTCCTGAACTGGATCGCGAAAGGCAAGCCGATCTATCGCTCGATGGGCCCCAACCAGTCCATAGCGTCAGTAACCACACGGATTTCTATGAGAATAAGCGTTTAACTTCTCGCAGCTACATATCCGATGAAGGAGCTCAGGAACTGAAGCCTCTTTTTATCGCCATGGGCGCTGTTTCAGTTATTTCATTCGACCTCGGCTTCATCCTCGAGCGGTGGTTGCGCCACAAAGGCCGCCTTGTGGAGAACACGTCAAACTGGCAGAAGCTCTTTAATATTTGCTCCGGTCTTTTCGGTATCATTGGCGCTGCTGGCCTGATCCTCTTGGCGATATTTGACACATTGCGCCACGAGAGACTGCACCAATACTTCCTCATTATGTTTATGCAAGTAACCCCGCGGAACTCCTGCTAAAACTCAAGCTAACCACTCACGCAGCGGCGGGTACATTGTGTCTGCTATTTTCATTTGTGCCGAGTATCAGCGACTAGGAATCCACTACCGCCAGTACCGGATTCTGCGCGCGTCCTTCTGGGTCAAGTTGACATTTATCTTTCTCGAGCTCGCACTTTGTATTGGTATGTACTTGTGGCTCCAGGGCGGTTGCAGCCTCTAACGTATACTAGCCTTCGGGGTCACCCAGAACAAGGAGAACTTAAACACATCCGCTATACTAGAATGGGTAATCGCCCTAGTCTATACGTTCTATGTCCTCAGCTTCTTCATCGACTTCATTCCTGCGGTCCGGACGAACCATCACCAAAGTCGGGAAACATCGGTCGAGATGGGGCTGAACAACGCGAACAATGACCAGTCCTTCTATAGGGACGGTGCAAGCAACAGTCACGCGAATGGTTATACGAATGGCACCAATAGTTACGCCAATGGTTACCCAGACCGCGCCACCAACGGATACGCCAACGGGTATACTCGTGGCAACCCAAATACTACCGGCATCAACGGCGATACCTATTACCCTGATGGATACCCGAACGCCCTCCCGAAGCCCGTCGAGACAGTGCCACCGTCGCGGAACTTTTAGATTGCTCTGTACCCTAACCACTAATTGTACAAAAATCTTGCTTGGGTCCATTAGTCTGCATACGGCTTGGTTTACGGCGTTCGATCTCCCGACTTTCATGGTGAGAGGGCGTTGGAGGTTGCATCTTGTGACTCGTATGTGTTGAATAGACGCATTCGACTTTAGCCGAGTTGCACGTTCTGCTATCCTGATAGGACTGGTAGTAATCTCTTGCAACAACCCGGCCTGAGAGTTATTTCGATCTACTGTATCTAAACAGTGTCCATAGAGCCGGAAATCCGAGTGACGGCCGCCTTCGCTGCTTTGATGCCTTCATCGTCGTAATGTCATAACTGTTGGTGAGACCTGCCAGAAGGCTAGATTACCGCCCATCCTGACCACAGTCAGAGACACAAGAGCAGTCTTGGGTAATAGCCGTAAATGCTCCACAGCAACAAATTCCACAGAAGCAGCAACAAAGCGGAGGGACGAGAGCCGTCTCCGATGGTGACGATTGTTCCGCTCCGGTGCGATGACGAGCCAGTGACACCGATGCCCCACCATGAAATGTTCGAGGCTAGGTTTTGTTCGGCTTCCTTGCTCCAAACCCTGCAGAAAGCCTACACGGTGCGGCACATCTGAGATCTTCTACCTCGAGTTCACTAAGGTTGGATTACGACAATTGGTTATACAGCAACCTGAGAATTTAGAGACGGAGCCAGCAGCGCCTGCAAAGAAACGTTCCCCATCGACTTGCTACCCCACCTTCGCCCATCATGGATAGCATGATCCCGTTCTGGGGCACCTCCAAGAAGGTCCTGCTTCTCGGCTCTGGCTTCGTCGCGAGGCCGACGGTAGATATCTTGAGGTTTGCCTCGCCTTCTTGTTCTCCGCGGATCGTCCAACTGACGAATCCAGCAAGGAAGGCATATCCGTCACAGTCGCGTGCAGAACCTTGGAGTCCGCCGAGAAGCTGGCAGCGGGCTTGAGCCGCACGAGCGCCATCTCCCTCGACGTCAACGACGAAGCTGTTCTGGAGCATGAGGTCGGAAAGCATGGGCTCGTCATCAGCTTAATCCCGTACATCCACCACGTCAAGGTCATCAAAGCCGCGATCAAGCAGAAGAAGCACGTCGTGACCACCAGCTATGTCTCCCCCGCGATGATGGAACTTGATGAGGAGGCGAAGGAGGCGGGAATCACGGTCATGAATGAGATTGGCCTCGACCCCGGCCTCGACCACCTATACGCAGTTAAAATGATTGATGAGGTTCACAAGAAGTTTGGACGGATCACGAGCTTCCTTTCCTACTGCGGTGGGCTGCCAGCGCCAGAGTGCTCAGACAACCCGCTGGGATACAAGTTCTCGTGGAGCTCCCGGGGTGTCCTCCTTGCGCTCCGCAACTCGGCCAAGTACTACAAGGACGGCAAGATCGTGGAAGTCGAATCCGAGGACTTGATGGCAGAGGCGAAACCATACCACCTGATGCCTGCATTCAACTTGGTCGGCTATCCCAATCGCGATTGTACGTCGTATCGCTACCGATACAATATGCCGGACGCTACGGACCTGGTAAGGGGCACCCTGCGATACGGCGGCTTCCCTCAGTTCGTTAAGGTGCTTGTCGACATGGGGTTTCTCTCCGAAGAGGAACAAGACTTTCTCCAGCCATCCGACCACCCGACGCTCTGGAAAGAGGCAACCGCCAAAATCCTTGGTGAAGGATCCAACGCTGAACACGATCTCATCTCGGCTATCAAGTCCAAGACCAGCTTCGCGGACGAGGAGGAGGAGCAGCGCATCATCGCGGGTCTGCGCTGGATCGGCCTTTTTAGCGACGAGTTCGTGGACAAGAAGGGCACGCCGCTCGACTGCCTCTGCGCGGTGCTTGAGAAGAAGTGCCAATACGAGGAGGGTGAGAGGGACGCGGTCTATCTACAGCACAAGTTCGGCATCGAGTGGTCGGATGGGAAGAAGGAGGTTCGGACATCGACACTCATCGAGTACGGAGATCCGAAGGGGTACTCAGCGGTCAGTAGTCCTGCTCCACCCGAACTGATTCATAGCTCATGAACGTCTCGCAGATGGCCAAACTTGTCGGCGTCCCTTGCGCTGTTGCGGTACTCAAAGTTCTAGATGGCACCATCTCTGAGCACGGCATTCTGGGTGAGCAACCTTTCGCCGCTTGTCCGCTTGTCTAGAGCTGACTCTATTCGAACAGCACCCATGAAGCCGGAGATCAACGACCCGCTCATAAAAGAGCTGAAAGAGAAGGTAAGATCTGTCCTTCTCCCTCACAGTTTCTGTGCAGCTAATGGCCCCTAGTACGGCATCTTCCTCAAGGACAAGACTGTCGCATAGATCACGCGTGAAGCGAAGAGCTGGTGAGCATCCAGAAGCGGCAGAGACTGCAGAGTACATAGCAAAACACGAGACATGATACAGAGGGAGGGCCTCGGAGCCTCCAACCTTTCCAAAACACGTTCCAAGACCTTCACGAACAGATCAGCTCAACTCTGTATTCTTGTACACCCAAAAGGCCAAGAATGGGTAGACGAGACAAGACTTATGATGACCAATCTGTACTACCTCCAGAGCAAGGTCAGATGGGGTCATGATGTTGTTGCTCTTCCGTGCTTACTGAAGATGTCGGATGAATTGACTGAGGCCTAAGAACGGCAGTACAATGCCGCTAGGAAAGTCGATAGCGGCACGGCAAGGGCAATGCTTAGGACGAGGTTCCCCTTGTGGCATATTGCCAAGAAACCGCCCTGGCACCGAAGATCTCTGATACTATCCTTGTGCTGAGTGACCAGCGAGAGTTGGAAAACTCGATGATGGATCCCCTTCTTCTAAACCAGCCATGGGACGGGCATAGCGGAGGTGCAACATGTCTCATTCCAGCCAAAGCGGCAGACAAACAAGCCGCAAGCTCACCATCGAGTTCGATTGTGGTTAGACGCACAGGCCACGTCCACCCCAAACTCCGCAGACCTCCAGCCCGTTTTCGCAAGGATATCGAACAACCGCCCACCCACCCTCGTTGCAACCGTTCGCCACTCTCCTTCACTCACTTGGCTCTTCTAGCTACCGCTCGCTTCATATACTGTTCTACCCGCCGCCAGCAAACCAAACACCTTTTACCATCCCGTTCTCTATCCATCGCGTCACAATACCCCGATCGCATTTGAACGCCGCGCAACGGGCCATGAACGTTTGAACAACCGGCATGCCATCGGGCTTCGACATAGCTACCGGCCGTGGGATCCCTCAGTACACACCATTGCGACATCTGCACCTGGCGCTCGCTTCAAATAGCCTCAACTCGCACATCCCGATGGCAAAGATGTTTGCCGCGCCGAACACCGCCATGGCATCTGCCAACCGATTTCTTCTCCCCGCTTTGGCCGTCCTTGCCCTGCTCTCTCCGTTGTGCTACGCCCAGACCGTCCTCAACTACGCCGAACTCCCGGCTTGCGCCCAGCAATGCACATATCTTACCCAGGCACAGGCCGCCTGCATCAGCGCTGCTGGAGGGGAGCAGGCCTGTTTCTGCCAGTCCGCATACCTCACCACGCTCAAACAAAGTCCAAATGGTCTATGCGACGCTTTCTGTACACAACCCGATCTCGATCGAATCTACAGCTGGTACACCCAACTGTGTGCTCAACCGGCCCAGCCCGGCACCAGCAGCATTCCGGGCACCACCCTCATAGTCGTGACCTCTACCGCGGATCCGGCCGCCACGATCAGCCCGACATCGACGGTGCGAAGTTCCAGCAACACAATCTCCAACTCCCGCGATGACGACCCGGAAGGCGGCTGGTAAGATTCCGCCCTCGATCAACCTATCTCCGCATACAGTCCGACTAACTCAACACCTCTAGGTTCGCCAATCACTGGCGCTGGGTCGTAATGCTCATCATCATCTTTGTCGGCCTCGTCCTCGTCTCCATTATCGGCGTCTACCTCAAGCGCCGGCACGATAAGAAGAAAGACGTTGTAAGCGGCAACATGGCCGCGCACGACGCGCCCTACACCGGCCCGCCGCCTCCAGAGACCTTGCACTCCAAACACCCCGACGCCCCGTCCTCCGGGCCACGTCCCCAGATGGCCGCTGTAGCCGGCTCCCTCGGCTTTGCAAGAAATAGCTTAACGAGCCTCGGACGGGACAGACGAAGTCGCGGGGACACAATACAGGGCGATGCGGGCCCGGTGGTATGGGGGCCGCATCAGCACCAGGCTGTGGCGGACATGGGGACATATGGCGAGATTCCGGTGCCCGAGAGCAGTCCGAGCAGCACGCCGGTCAGTGCGAATGGGAAGGGCAAGATGAGGGAGTCGGTGGTGGATCTGGGAGATGATGCTGTGGCGTCGCCGCTGAACCCTAGCCGTGGGGCGACGCCTAGTCAGGAGGAGGCGCCGAGGAGGAAGTTGAGTAAGAGGGTGAGGTGACGCGGTTCGTCACTCGTAATCTACCGGGCGGTCTCACTCGTCTATTTGAGCGGAATATGGAGTTTGAGGACGATGTAGGACGATAACGCTCCCTTTGAGCTTGCAATAGTGTCCGGTACCAAAGGGGATGTCTACAACAATCCACGCCAGTGCGTCCGCCGGTTATGCGGGCATTCTAGTAGTAATGATCTGTATCACAGTTGACATACTCGAGTGTTTGCTCTCTTTGCCAGGGGACTCGATGTTGTTCGAATCCACTAAGCCAAAGGGGTTAAGGATCTGATGCGGTGAGGAGGGTAGAAGTGTACTAGTAGGTATTCTCCACAGAAGATTCAACCGCTGGCACCGCTGCTTCGTGTCATCACCGCGAGGCATCCACATTCTTACAGGAGACTATGCCCGATCAACACTATTGAACAAGACGATGTTTGCTCTATGAATAGAAGATTTGTATGCGCAGATTGTCGATAGAAACACTGAGGTCTTCGGGAGTGAGCTTGAGGTGGCATTATTACTTTGCTGCGGATGACCCTCGTGTTGTATAGGCTTAACTCCTAACCACTCCTGATAGGGCAACGATGCCGCGAGATAGACTGAGGTGTTGTTGAACATTTCTGTGGCAGGGAAGGCAGGCTTGTGTAGTATAGTACACGCATGATTGACGCTGTGGTCACCTGTAGGGATTCAAATAATAATTGCTCATGTGATCCGAAGCGAACAGGACATGCTTATAACCTTGTAAGCGTACGGTAAGTCACAAACGAAGATAGAATTGGAATGATAAGGATCTTCATAGACGTGGTGGATTTCCTCAATTTCAGTGATCTGCGAGCATATCAATTCTAGCTGCCCTAGTGTAAGAAACGATAGAGCCAAAAGGGTGACGGTAAAGGCCTTCCTGAACGTGGTGAACTTGGTAGTTTTGCTTGATTTTGGAGCCTAACAATTTATGTCCTCCAAGTGTCTAGGTATCAAAGGGGGGTAGAGGTAAGGTTTAACCGTCGAGAGCAGCGGTAGATACGTATTACATTTATTTTAAAGTCCAGAATTTGGAGCTAACGAATGCGGTGCAACTGAATCGCTTAGTGTAACTCATTCTCCCGGTCACGTAGTGTAATGGTATGGAAATTACCCTCAAAATGTAGCTCTCAAACCACAGATCCTAACATCCTATAGGTTAGCACTCGGGATTCTGATCAGATCATCGACTTCCCGCAATCCCGGTTCGATCCCGGGCGAGACCTTTCTTTTGCGTTTTCCATAGTCCCTTTTGCTTTGTGTAAGCCAAAGGGACACGTATAAACTTTCAGATTGATCTGTAACTCAGTGGGTACCACATCACGTTGTTACACTATAGTCAATCTTTTACACAGTGTACATCAAAGTTGAGACCTAGTAGGTTAACCGAACACTAGTTTCGTGTCTAAGATGGCCTCAGGCGATCGGTGTTCGAAAGCGTCGCACTGCTGTGTCCTTATAGTTCTATCTCGGTCGCGAGTGCACGTTCGTATTGAACAAGCGGTCCGCTCCAAGCGCGGTCCTTGATCTGCGCACTGAAGCTTGACTTAGCTACCGAGAGCTGTCGGTTCCTACCTTCCTCAGACACTCAAGCCACATATCTGCCTTGCCATGACCAGACAGGACAGGGTTGCCTTAGCAAGATCCTCAGCAGACTCCGAATCGGAGTACATTGCTCGTTTTGAGCGACCGCGAGCTACCAGCGCCAAGGCAAGTGCAGATACAGCCCATGCACTCCCTCATCAAAGCCGCCCACCAATCCTCATCCCCTATCAAACGTCCCAAACTGCACACACTCCACACCCAACGTCTCCGCATCCACCAGCACCAGCACACCCGTCTCTCTGAACTTTGGCACAGCGATGATCCTTACGAGCTGGCCGGCTGGACCGTCGATGACTCTGGTTTCGAACCGCGGCTGATTGCCCACAAAGTAGACGTGCGGGCAGTCCTTGATGAGGAGGGGATCTTGCATCTGGAAGGGGTAGCACCCTAGCAATACCATCAGTACCGTACTTCGTGTTTTCCCACACCGCACTGTCTTCGTGGGGATGCAATGCCTTTGGATGCACCGTAAGGAAAACTCACACAGCGTATCCGGCGCCGTCGGCGCGTTACACCTCCACCTTAGCAAATGCTCCATCATATCCAGCCTATCCTCACCCGCAACATACTTAAACACGTCATCAATCGGCTGCCCGCCCGTACCCAAGAACCTCCACCCATCAACATCCCCCTCCCACGGATTCGTCACGCTGTCGAACCAGCTCGGCCCCGCCCCCTCCTCCGTCGGCCTATTCGCGTACTCGCGGCTGTGGGGGAAGAGCGCGTGATGCAGTGGCTGCTGCGGCAATGCGACGTTCGCGGGATCCGACGTCCCAGGGAGAAGCGTGATGGGGATGGAGGGGAGGAGGGCGGCAAGGAAGTCGTCGAGGTGTTCGGTCGGGGTCGGGTTGTAAGTCGAGGCGTCGTAGCCGTATTTCTTGCCGCCTTTCTTCGTCGCCAGCTCGTCGCGGGTGGGGATCGGGGAGGCGTGAGCGAGAGAATTGCCCGCGATTACGAGGCGGGAGATTTGGGCTGCGTCGCTGCGGCCTGGGCTGCTCGAGACTTCGCCGAGGAGGTACTCGGTCAGTAGGTCTAGGTTGAGGTTGTCGGCTGCGTCGCCACTGATCTCGAGGCCGCTGACTATGGCTACTTTGCCGGACTCGGGGCGTTGCTTTTTGACGGATTTTCCTGTTAAGGCGAGGGCTTCGTCGTCCCGTTCCCATCGCTCGGGCTGCCGCGGCAGGTCCACTATCCGGGAGTCTATGACTTCGAAAGCTCCGTCTGCGTTCTCAGTCCCCATTGCTGCGATGATACACCCCGTTACCAGCATCTGGCTCTGCAGATGTTGCCCCGTGAGCCTCAGTCGACCCGACTCGTCTTCCAGCATCGTCTCGTCTTTGCCGCCGGGGCTGATGTATTTCTCGCGGTCTGGGGGTGCCGATATCCAGTGCTTTGCTTGACGTTAGCCATTGACCTAACACCTCAGCTTGACAATGCGAGATATGTATACCTCCTTTGACAAGTCGTCCAAGATGTTGGGCTTCAGCGGCATCTCCATATACACCGTCCCCACCACCCAGCACAGCTCGCCCTGCCGCACATCTAGCGCCCGATCCACACGCCGCGCTGTCTCTCCTGCTATCTTGAGGCATCACAATGGTCAGCCATGCCATACTATGCCGTGCCCTGTAATCCTTATGTTTCAGATGCACGGATTGCACACCTCAAAGCCCTCCCATGCCTCCTCCGCTATCTGCTCTACAGCCGGCTTGACTCTCGCTAGCCGCGCAAAGTACATGTCCGCAAACTGCTGGGTGTAGTGGCGGTCCTCGCCTTTGGGCAGGATGAAGGTAGAAAGCGGGTTGTAGGACGAGGGGACGCGGTCGAGGATGGGGAAGGCATTGTCGCTGGTTGGATTAGCTGGGTGTGTTGGACCCGATCGAGGGAACTCTTACGAAGGCCTTTGCAGCAAGCTGTCTGCGGTCTCGGCGACGGCCATTTCTGCGGAGATGGAGTAATTGTGGTGATGCAGCGTGGGAGTTGAGGCGCGTCGACGCGAAGCCACTTTACGCGACTTCAGCCTTCTGCATTCCCCGAAGCATTCCTCGAACTAGAGCACGTGGCAGAGTCACAAAGAGCAGCACGCAGATGGCGCAAGCGGCAGTGAGGGTTGAAGAATGTACGGTGATATCACAGATGGTTGCTGTTCGCAGAACATGCTCAATCCGAGTCGATCTTTAATACACTCTGCATGGCTCAGGTTGGGATTGACCAGTATCTACACTCCTGCCCACTCCTGCCCCCTAGCTTTCGTCATCGACGACAGCATGGCACCCTTGCTCAGACTACACATCTTGCTATGCAGTCTACTGTTACTTCTGCTCTGCTTCTCAATAGTTCCGGCTAGGGTCATCCTGCCCTCCGAAGATCTGATCAAGATGGAAGACGAGTCGCCTACATGGAACTACCGAGGTACGACGAACCGTAGCCACGTCACTGGTCATGTCTGAGAGTTCGAGATAAGCATGCTAAATGCCACAGGGTTACCGAGAGAAGACGCACAGGAGGAAGCGTTGGTGATAAGGGAAGATCAATCCAAGCCCACGCCCAGACAAGACGAACGGTCGCAACATGAGTCGGCGGAACCAATGGTGGAGCATGTTTCTGTTCTATTTGAGCTCGGCCTCCTCTGACGAAACATGCCCACATGCATGATGTACTCTAGCCACAGAAGTTTTACCGAATCTAAATGCGAGTATTTATCTTATAGAAGGAATGCTACTTGCCGTAGAACGTGATCCGTGGTTACCCAGTAGACGCCGTATGTTCTCATCACTCTAGTCCGCCAGGAAGCTCCTCTTTCGCAGGCAGGTCTGAAAGTGAGAGATAGACACGCCCACAAGCCGCATGGCCCCATCCGCTGCGAGCAGCAGAGGTTCCTTGCGAACCGCGGACGGCGTCCGTTTATCTTGCGCTTGTACGTGTCGATCACGCACGTGACTTGTGATCTGCCAGCAGTGGGAGAATGCTGGAGACGTTTTGTTCTGTTCTTGCCGCGCGTGGGTTGTAGGTAGTGGAAGAAGTGGACAGGTGAGATACACAAGAGGATCGGAAGAAAATTGCGCCGTGTATTGATACCGCTATGCTACAAAACAGAACTTCAGAGGACAAGACTACACATGATGCTTGAGCGGAATATACACATACAGTACAGGGTATACAAGCTGCCGCTCTTACCTAGACCTTCCTCAAGCCGGAGACTCGACACTCTCGACGTTTTCCTGAATCTCTTGCACCTTCTCGGCCATGCCCAAATCCTGGATTCTCCATCCATCCTGCGCCTTGACCCAATCCTTCTTCTCGCCAAGAATAGCAAGGTTGCTACCCTTGAACCCTTGCACCAGGTAGCGATCGGCGACACTCCTCACCTCGTCCGCCGTAACATCAAGCAGCTGCTCCCTCCTCCTCTGCTGCATTTCCTCGTCCACACCCGACAAGAACTTCGTCATGCCCTCCTGGCTCACGCTCTCCGGCGCATCAAGGCTCTGGAACACACTCAGCTTCGCCTCCTCAAGGTCGCGCTCCGTCCACACGCGATCTCGCGCCCAGGCGCCAGCCTCGCTGACAATCTTCATCGTGTTCTGCGGGTTCGGATCACGGTAGCTGTAGAAACCGAAAAGACCGCCGAGACCTTGTGCGTATGCGCCACCGCCGTATGCGCCGCCCTTTTCACGAATCTCGTGGTGGAGGTGATTGTGCGTTAGGAGCTGCGCTAGGATCTGTAACGGGGCGCCGGAGGCATCGACGTAAGGTACGGTTGGGATGGCTAGGGCGGAGTAGTACACCTGGTAGGGGAGAGGGAAGAAGGATTTGGCGTTACGTGGATATGCCGTCTGCGATCCGCTGGCGGATGGAGAGATGGTATTGGAAGGGAGACGGGAGAGGAACTGCTGCAAGGCGATTTCGTTGTCATCCGAGCTCTCGCGTCCACAGGTCAGTGCGACGCGCATGGATTTGCTGTTTGAGATGGCGAATGATTGAATGGCTTTCAGCTTGCTGATGACGTCGCTGAAGGATTCATCAGCGGGTCGTGATGCAAGGCCTGCAGTAAGCTTGACTTGTGTGAGCCCGGCGGTCTGCTCCCGAAGCCTACCAGCTGGACTCAGTCCGGCCTCGGCGAAGCGGCGAGCATAGGCATGACCAGATCCCGCAATTACGTTAACGGCGTCACTGGCGGCGCCTTGTAATAACTGCCTGATCTGCTTCTCGGCCTTGGGGCTGTCGAAGTCGGTTTCCATGATGAGCGTATGCAGCAGCTCGTACATTGCGGGAAGGTTGCGATCCAAGGCGTAGCCGGAGAAAGCAAACCCTTCCTCATACTTGTCCAGAGTGAGTGGTGAGCTCGTCGAGTGGTAGCCTATAGAGATACCGCCAGTCTTAAGCTTGATGAGCTCCTCTAGCCGTTCCATCGTCTTGTCCTTGGTGCCAAGACGCATGATTGAATCGCTGAACAGAGGAACCAGCTCACGCAGTTCATCAGGCAGTCCGTCCAAAGTATTGACAGCACGGAAGTAGGTCAAGCCGTTGGTAGGAGCTTCCCGCCATTGCACCTTAATATCACCTAGCGTTGACTGTCTTGTCTCTTTCCGCTCCTTCTGGCGTACGATGTCTTTGACGTGTACCGTTGGGAGACAACTAAGATCCTGGTTTCGCGCCTTTTCCTGGACCTCAAGTAGTTCCAGCTCCCGCTTCTCCAAGTACTCGTGCGCCTCTTCTTCGCTGGGAAAATTCTTCGTCGTCTCCAGAATCTTCGATGCTAGCCTGTCCTTCTCTTCGGCCGCCAGCTCCTGTGAAAACGTCTGTGACGGCTCCATGGTAAAGGTTAAAGTGTTGTCGTTGAGCAGGTATTTGTCCAGCAGACTCTCGAGATAGTCTCCCTTTGCATATCTTGCTTTGAATGCGGATACCGTCTCCTGCCATGCCAGAGCGTCGAATGGATCAACGCCGTTGAACCAGCCTGGTTTCAAGCGCTGCATCAAGCCCATTCCAAAACTTGCTGTCTTGTGTTTTAGAGCGAGCTCAAGCTGATGAAGGATGCCATTAACCTTGATCTCATCGAACCCTTTCTCGCGCACTTCGGTCAGAGTATTGAAGATGGCCTCCTTCACCCTAGAAACATCTTCCTGCTTGACCCCATTCAGGCCAACCGAGAAAACTCCCGTCTTCCCTGATGCATCGAATCCAGTATTTGGGCTCCAGTCAGGTCCAAGGCCAACTTCGATCAAAGCGCGATATAGGGGAGATCCGTAACCGTCCAGAAGAAGCGACGAGAGAATGCCCAAGGAGAAGCTCTCGAGAACGTTCGAGGTATCGCCCATCAGCCAGGTAGTTGAGGTTTTGTGTTGCATATCCGGTGGCACCAAGGGGTCCGTGGGCCCTTTTAGCGTTACCTCTTGAGGCCCATTTGAGAGATCTATCGGTGACTTGATGTCTGAATCTACTGAGATCTTCTGGAAAGTCTCAAGCTGTGCGCCAATCTCTTTCAAATGGTCGCCTAGAGGCATGTTACCGTAGGTAAAGATCTTCGCATTGCTCGGATGATAATGCTCTGAATGGAACTTCTGCAGCTGCTCATGGGTGAGGTCGGTGATCTTCTGCGGATCCCCGCCAGAATTGTGGATAGCTGGAAATAGGTGGTCTTGAAATCTAATGTAGTATAGATAGCTAGCATCCGACATCTGGCCCTTCATCTCGTTGTAGACAACCCCCTTGAAGACCAACCGGCTGCCTGCCGCGTCTTGCGATTGTTCAGACTTTGACGCCAGAGGGTTCTCCGGACCTATGCGCCATCCCTCCTGGGTGAAGTCCTCTGCCTTCAGCAGGGGCCGTAAAGTGGCATCGAGGTATACGGACATTAAGTTCTTGAAGTCTTGGGGATTTGTAGTAGCGAAAGGGTAGGTGGTGTGGTCAGAGGATGTAAAGGCGTTCATAAAGTTTGAGAGCGAGCGAGGAAGCATCTTGAAGAAGGGATCGCGAACCGGGTATCTGTACTACTGTTAGTGTCTACACCTGACTCTAGGCGAATGCACCCACTTCTCACTGCCACATAGAGTGGTGTGTTCCAAGATATGAGGTACTCCAGTGTCATCTGGCGGGTTAGTCTTGAAACCGATGGAGAAGACATTGTTAGAGTCATCCCGCGCGACGTGGAGATAGTCAGCACCGGTCTTGTCATGCTGGAGGTGTAGCGCAGTAAGCTCAAGCTCTGGCACTTGCTTGACACGCTTCAACGTGAAGCCATGTACCTGCTCCCCAGGCTTCGGGTACGAGCTTGGATCCGTTATCGATGCATAACCTCGGCGCTGATTGCGAGGCGCGCGGTGTGGTAAACATGGAGCAAGAGTCCGCGACTTCCATAACGATGCTCGAGAAGGGCGAAGCATGGCAGATTAGTCCCGAGTGGTGGGGAGGCAAGGAAGCAGCAAGAGGCGCTGAGAAAGGATGATGCACATGTAATCGGGGCTGCCGGGGCTGTCGAGACGCAGGCTTGCTAACTTTGGCCCAGAAGGGAAACGCGGTACCAACCAAATCCCTGTCGGACATCCTGGCTGACTGGCTGTTGTCCCTCTTGACTTGGGAGTACCTAGGTATCCGTCTGATGTCAAGCAGTCGGACTATCTACCTTGCATTCTAGGTAATCGGCCTGCCGAAGATCTGAATTAACTACAAGTGGCAGCAGTGGGCGTGCAGTCAAGGTGCTCGAGGATTGCAGCCCAGGCCGAAGTCCGGGACGGCGTCTTGTAACCGAAGCCAATTCTTCACCTAAGCAGCAAAGACCTAAGACCTTCAAGAGTCCGCTCCCCTCCCCAAACCGCAGTCACCGTGCTCACGAGACGCCATTATCCATTATCACCGCCATCACCACCCGCGCCTATTGATCGAGTGCTTCAAATCGTATCGACTGCATCGACACACTGGGTTTCGCCAATTTAGCTGGACAGAGCCAGCGTCAAACTGTCAAACTCCGCCTGTCGACCGAACTACACACGAGGAACACCACACTCGAGCGCCACTACGCACCGATCTCCGCTTTGGTGCAGCTCAGTCAACTGAGTTTGTGCACAAAGCGATATCTTGGGAAGCTTCGACTCACTGCGGCAGTCACGTCCTGACCTGTAGCACTGGCACCTGCATCTTCGCTATATGGCGGCTGTCGCACACCAGCACCCAGCAACATCCGCCAACTCTCGACCAAGTCCTGTTCATGTAACGCCAAACAACCGCAGCTCTCCTGTCTCCGTTAGTTCCTCCACCATGTCTGCTCCGCCACCGCCGACGCCGGCGGGGCCACCACCGAAGAAGGGAAAGGGGAAGAAGAGCACAGACCCAACCGATGCCTCGAAGCAGATTGCCGCAAAGATAGCACAGTTGGAGCTGGATGCAGCGGGGGAGAAAGACCAGGAAGCGGAAGTTGGTGCGTAGATCTTGTGTCATCTCGGTTGCCAGAAGAGTCGCTCGCGAATAGAGGGAGAGCATAGCTCATCAAGAGCTGGACACACATGGGCGCATGGGGTTCACGGCAGGAACGATCTGTTGTTTTAATTAACTGCAATTGTTGGCTAACTTGATGCATCCGCGCAGACCGCGAAGTCAAGAAAGCGAATCGCGAGCTTTCCCATATGCTCTCCACCATGGACCCGTCTCTCTCACGCCTCGAGGCTGTGCAGAAGAAGTATACCGAACTTCTTGCCGAGATGAAGCGCACCGAGCGCGAGCACAACAAGGCGAAGAAACGCGCCGATCAGCTGCAGAAAGAGAAGGACAAGGGCATTACAGATCTAAACAAAGCCACCCAAGCAAAAGATAAGCTAGAGAAGATTGCGCGGGACTTCACCAAAGAGAACAAGAAACTCAAGGTTAGCAGCAAAGCGAGAACGGCATTTGGCGCATTGCATTGGCTAACGTCAGTATACCTCCAGGAGGAGAATGGCACACTGAAGGATATCGATACGAGAAAGAGGCGGGAGCTCGAAGAGCGGCTTGAGAGAATGGTCTTGGATGTGGAAGACGTGATCAGGTCTAGGGAGGACCCCAAGCCCCAGACGGTGAACGTGGAACAAGACGAATTGTGAGCTCGCATCTAGAGCATCACGCAAGACCACAATTCAATCTAACATTTCCAGGTTCCGACAAAAGTTCAAGTCATTCGTCGATCAATACGAACTGCGGGAACTGCAGTTTCACTCCCTCCTGCGTACGAAGGACCTCGAAATCCAGTATCAGATGGCGAGATTCGAGGAACAGCGGAAAGCGCAAGAACTGGAATCATCGAGATCGAACCAGCTAACACGTCAAGTCTCAACCTTCTCGCAGACAGAGACGGAGCTGCGGAGCCAACTCAACATCTATGTCGAGAAATTCAAACAGGTATGTTTGCCACTAATGGAGCAACTGCAACACCCTGTATGCAACTTTGTGTCGCGCTGGTCAAGGCTGAGACTGATGTGCAGCAGGTGGAAGACACTCTCAACAACTCCAACGATCTGTTCCTGACCTTTCGGAAGGAGATGGAAGAGATGTCGAAGAAGACGAAGCGGCTGGAGAAGGAGAACCAAACCCTGACCAGGAAGCAAGACGCAACGAATCGCAACATCCTGGAAATGGCCGAAGAGCGCACCAGGACGCAAAAAGAGATGGCTGATCTGCGCAAGAAGAACGAGAACCTGGAAAAGCTCTGCCGAGGGATGCAGGCTCAAGGCCGTGGTCAAGTGCCCACCACCGATCTTGATGCCGACGATGAGGGCACGGAGAGCGAGTACGAGTACGACGATGAGGATGAGGATGGTAGCGGCGAAGGAGAGTACGATGAGGATACAGAAGAAGAGGCTATCGAGGTTCGCCCTCGTCCTTTCGGTCCTGTCCCTCCGCCGCCTCCACCACCGTCAGCTATGCCCAATGGCAAGGTCAACGGCCCAGCAAACAGGCAGGCAAACGGACAGGTGAATGGGATCAAGCACTAGAGACAGTATATGCCACTCTTTGGAAGCGAATCGCTTGGACTGTATCTGGTACTGCCACCAACTCTGTCCCGCTTCGCCTAGAGCACAGAAACGAGCCCTTCTCTATGCTGTTTGGAGCTGACTGTACTTCAATCACTACATGAGCCAGTCGTTGAAAACATCTCAAGATCCAAGCAGTTCCGCAGTGCCCTAAGAACTTTGAGACATGCCTCGGCTTCAAGCTCCAGTTGCCGAAGCTGAACCGCCCCGCTACTGGACCCTGTGAGATCGCCGGCAGTTCAAGCTGCCGGCGATCAACCCATATCAATCGTCCCTTTCCAGCTCCAGATGTGTCTCCAATCTCACCGTTCTCTGCTTTGCACCTGTCCTTTAGGCCATTGCTCGTCACCCTCGAAACCTATGCTAGCGCATCCACCTTGAACATCGTCGACCCTCTCCGTCCTTCAATCTAGGTACCCAGTAAACGAGTCAGCCCACACGGTCCTGCCACCATGGCGACTCCCACGCTGTACACTCCCCTCTGCTCCCTTCTTAACATCACCTATCCGATCATCCTCGCCGGCATGGCCCGCACTTCTGGCGGGCCCCTCGCAGCCGCTGTCTCAAACGCAGGTACACACGCGCTTACTCGACTTATTCATACGAAGTATACTGACACCCCCAAGGCGGGCTAGGCGTAATCGGCGGGCTAGGCTACACGCCCGCACAACTCCAATCCATCATCGACGAGCTGAAATCGAATCTCAGTGACCCCTCGCTGCCATTTGGCGTCGATCTCGCACTTCCCCAGGTCGGCGGCTCCGCGCGCAAGACGAACCACGACTACACGCACGGCCAGCTGGACGACCTGGTCTCCGTCATCATCAAAGAAAAGGCCAAGCTGTTCGTCTCCGCCGTCGGCGTCCCCCCACAACGCGTCATCGAGCGGCTGCACACTGCAGGCATCGTGGTCATGAACATGGTCGGCGCGCCCAAACACGCCATCAAGGCACTAGACGCCGGCGTCGACATCGTGTGCGCCCAGGGTGGTGAGGGCGGCGGCCACACGGGCGAGATCGCCAACTCGATTCTCATTCCCGCGGTCGTGGATGTGGCGAGGCGGTACAAGAGTCCCTTGACGGGGGAGCCGGCGATGGTGGTTGCAGCGGGGGGGATCTATAACGGGCGAGGCCTCGCAAGCAGTCTGATGCAGGGTGCGCAGGGAGTTTGGGTCGGCACGAGGTTCGTGGCAAGTACGGAGGCGGGGTGCTCGAAGCTGCACAAGGAGGCGGTTGTGAGTGCGGACTTTTCGGATACGTTAAGGACGCTTGTGGTTAGCGGACGGCCGTTGAGGGTTAGGATGAATGAGTATATCAAGGGTTGGGAGGATAGGCCGGAGGAGATTAAGAGGCTAACGGAGCAGGGCGTAGTGCCGCTGGCGCAAGATATGGATGAGGGGAAGGATGTGGATATTCCATTCTTGATGGGTCAGGTTGCAGGTGTCATCGATGAGGTTAAGCCTGCGAAAGAGATAGTGGAAGAGATGGTGAGAGAAGCGGTAGATATGCTGAGGCTCGGGCAGTCGTATCTTAAGCAAGGAAGCAAGCTGTAAAGCAGACTGATAGATACGTGTAAAATTCGAACATTCTGCAATTGGCTCTCAAGTCTAGTGCCTAGTCTTACCAATTCCAAGCACCTTACTATGCCGCAAGATATGCCAGTCTCTTTTCCCAAGGCAGATAATATCACTTTCCAATCTGCGGCGGCGCGTCCCAGCTCCGACGCCAACGCGGCACCTCAGACAACACGGCGCGGCTGCGCGACAAGGTTCCTCACGCCAACCAATTAATCGTGCAGCGAAATGAGAAATAGCAGAATATCACCCGTCCCGAAGGATCAGCCTGCGACGACCATCCTAATCAATGAATATCATAGCTCCTCCAGTTACACCACCAGTCCCTGTATCACCTCTTCGCCGCAGTTGTAGCTGCTCCGCACCGATCAACACCCAGCCCGCCACTCCACCTGGGTATCTCTAGGCTTCTCATATGCGGCGGGATTCGAACTCTAGGACGCAGCAGCTGTGCGATTCATGCTTCCGACAGCCAGAAGTCAGGTTGGAGTTCAGGCTCAGCGGGCAAAGGTGCGTAATTCGAGAGTCTCGCAGATTGTATGCGCGCTGACCGGATCGTCCAACAGCTTACGAGTTCGTACAATGAGCTCCTACAGTAAGCAATCGGTGTCCTCCCTACTGCGCGCCCGGCTTACAAGCTCTTACAGGGAGTTCTCCTCGACGGATCTTCGAACCGTGGGCAGCTATACACTCGGGCGCCTCATAGGAAAAGGATCCTTCGGCAAAGTCTACCTCGCGACTCATAAGCTTACCAATGGCTCTAAAGTGCGCAGTCACAGCTCAAGAATGCGGATAGCAAAGCGCTAACGCTGCGCGCAGGTGGTGCTCAAATCGGCGAAGAAGGATGACTCGAATCTAGCGCGAGAGATACACCACCACCGTCAATTTACCCACCCGCATATTGCCAGACTATACGAGGTCATTGTTACGGAATCACTCGTCTGGCTGGTCTTAGAGTATTGTCCAGGCAAGCCGACCCACTGCGACTGCTACGCGCATACCGTCTGACTCGACGCAAACCACAGGTGACGAGCTTTACCACTACCTCTCAACTCACGGTCCCCTCGAACCCGCGAAGGTCCAACGAATCTTTACACAGCTGGTCGGCGCAGTTGCCTACGTCCATAGCAGATCATGCGTGCATCGAGACCTAAAGCTGGAAAATATCCTGCTAGACAAGCACGAGAACGTCAAGTTGGTGGACTTTGGCTTCACGCGGGAATATGAGGGTAAAGCGAGCTATCTACAGACATGGTGCGGCACGGTATGTTATAGTGCGCCGGAGATGCTTAAAGGCGACAAGTACGCAGGTGAAAAGGTGGATGTTTGGAGCTTGGGTATAATACTTTACGCTCTGCTGTGCGGAGAACTACCCTTTGACGAGGATGACGAAAACGACACGAAGACTAAGATATTAAAAGACGAGCCGAACTATCCGGAGCATCTACCACCAGCTGCGAAAGAGCTCATTTTAGCGTTACTTTCGAAGCGACCTCTCTTGCGACCCTCGCTTGCCGACATCCTTATGAATCCATGGCTTGCCGAGCATGCGCCTCAACAACAAGCTATCCTCAAGCTGCAGCAACCGGCTCCCTTCACAACTGAGTTGGAGAAGGAAACTTTACAGCGCATGCGCAGCGCCGGTGTGAATATCGATCAAGTGATTGAAAATGTCCTGGCACAGCGTTGCGATGCATTGGCGGGTTGGTGGACATTGCTTATGGAGAAAGAGGAACGCAAAGCGATTAAGAGAGAACGGAAGCGCAAAGAGCGGGAGGCTGAATCCAAGGCCGTGCGGCGGCTCAGCGCAGCCAGTATGAGGCTTGAGAGGATGGCACCGACTATCAGAGAGACGGACGAGGAGGGTCAGCCAGTGGTTCAGCTCGGCAATCCTCCGAAAGCCCGGGGCAGAAACATGCAGCGAACAGCTACCGGTATGGAATTAATGGTTCAGAGTAAGAATCTACCTCTGCTGACTATCAAAGCAGCACCGTCGGATCTTCCGAGTTTGGTGGAGATTAGGAATACGCCAGAACCTGGAGAGAAGCCGGTTACTCCTCCAGATAAGATTTCGAATCGCTCAGCGAGTTCATCCCGCCACCGACCTCCAGTGCCTCCCAAAGAGAACGGCAAATCGCGGAGCAGCATGCTTCAAGTCCCAGATCCGTTATCACTCACTGGCCACGGGCCAAAGCGACGTTCAAAATACCAGCAACCGTTCTTTCATCAGTTCGCCCAGCTCAAGCACTGGTTCAAAGAATCAGCGAAACGCGCCAAATCTCCCAACTCAAGAGCTAGCAGCGATACCTCACCCAAACTACTCCAGCGTACCAAATCACCAGAAAACACTGAACCAATATCACCCCCTAAAACTGCTAGCAACAATCGATCAAATTCGCACACGCGACCCGACGCAGTCAGGCGGACGTCGTACACCCAAAGGCCTGAGCTCTCAACACTGCATAACATCAGCACCAATCACAGACGTCCTTCTCACTCACCTTCGCCACTCACGCCACGTTCTTCCTACCGCCGCAGCTCCGCCGGTCTTGGCGGCCGAAAGTCCACATCCTCGTCCGTCTCTTCTGTCCGCTCGCTACACCACCATCACCACTCACATTCGAAGGCCTCATCAACCTCTTCAGCCTCCCTGGCGGCCTCGCCCGCCGTGTCCACCACCGGCAAGGTAGGAAGAAGTCCGCACACCTCCGTCAAAATTCTTCCCGGAACTCCAACAACATCCACCTTCCCCTCCAACATCCGCGTCGTGCGAGGACCTATGAACGAGTCGAGCGCTGCATTCGGAGCGCCACTGCCGCCACCTTCCCCCGGCCTTGTATTCGCCAAGCGGAAACGGAGTCCCTTCAAAGGCCCCATGCTGGGCATGACCTCCCACGGCCTGGGCACTCACGGCGGTGTGGGCGGCGGCCACCGTGTGAAAAGCGAGGGAGGCAGCAGGAGCACGAGTGTGCAGGGACGGAGAAGCGGGGAGATCATTGAAGAGGAGGATGAGGATGAGGTTGAAGAGGTGGATGCCTTCTCGCCGGTCGGCGCTGGCGGAGAGGTTGTGTATATGGAAGAATTGGAAGAGGGACCAACGCCTGGCTCGCGGTGAGCTTTGGGGCGCGGAGCAGTCCTGGATGGAGTAGGGCATTTGGATGGCATTGGCGTCTTGGTGGACTTTACTTCTTTGAGCGTCTTCTTCATTGTGCTCTGCTTGGAAACGATCTCAGGTCTCTTTACGAGGCTGCTTGTGTCGATGTTCTTCTTTCTGAGTCACGGTCGTCGGATGCCGCTGCTATCGACGTGTTTCTTCTTGATTCGGTTCATTCGGCCGCGCTTGGACCCAGTTGTAGATCAGGTTTTGATTGCTGGAACGCACTCAGATGGCCACGGAGGATAGTCATTCGAACGCTTGGGTTTTTCCTATCAGTAGCTTACTCTTCTGAATTTGTTTCAATTGATACATCGAATCTCTATACTGTATAAAGCAAACCATGACAAGCTAGTAGAGCCTCGCTTAGTATTCTATTCATATAGAGAGGTATTTCTACTGGAATGCTCTAAAGTACCTGAATCCCAGTCATGTAGCATACGCTAGCACTCTAATATGAAAAGGTTGCATAGAAACGGGATTCCCCCCGGCGGCTAAAACCCCGCATGCAACCTCGGCAAACAAAAGCGGGATCTTGAAGCTATCCCCAGGTCCCCACAATATAAGGCTGTTTCCATGCTCACTAAGTTGGAAGCTTCCTTAAAGTTAGCAGTCCACTCGAGCTTTCATCTCTCTACGCTGCTCTATAAAACTCTCCGGCACAGTTTGTCCAGTTTCGGTGTGATCTGCGCTGGTCTCACTTCGCAATGTCGACTGCACCAGATATACAGAAGGCTGGAGTCATTCACGATCACGATATCGTAGGCGACACGCGTCGTTACAGTCGTGAAGAAGTCATGCATATGGGCGAACTTACCGAGGCGGAATTGGCGTTAGAGAAGAAATTAAGGCGCAAAATCGATGCTCGTATCATGCCTACTGTGGTACTTGTTTATCTGATGAATTACATCGATCGGTATTGCAGCGCGCCCGCAGCCTTTTTCGTTATTGATCCTGTTGACTGACATTCTTCGGGGACAGAAACAACTACCCCGCTGCTCGACTACAAGGATTAGAAGAGGATTTGAACTTACGAGGCTCACAATATCAAGTTGGTCTTTCCATCCTCTTCGTCTCATACATTCTCGCACAACTTCCTTCCAATCTCTTGCTCAATTATATGGGCCGACCATCATGGTACCTTGGTTTCTTCACCATTGCTTGGGGACTTGTAAGCGCCATGACATGCCTCGTCAAAAATTACGCTGGTATTGTTACTTGTCGATTCGTGCTTGGGCTTGTTGGTATGCTTCCAATTCCGTAATGCTTGTTGTCGCAGAACACTGAAACTGCCGCAGAAGCGCCATTCTTCCCCGGTGTCCTTTTCTATCTGAGCAAATGGTACACAAAGAAGGAGCTAAACCTGCGAATGGCACTCTTCTACTCCGGTTCGTTGATCTCTGGCGCCTTCGGTAATCTCATCGCCGGCGGCATCCTCAGCGGTCTGGCTGGCAAACGTGGATTGACAGCATGGCAATGGCTCTACATCATCGAAGGCGCAATTACCGTAGCTATCGGTATCGGCGTCATTTTCATTCTCCCCGACTTCCCGGACACCTGGGATGGGCTATCCCCCGAAATGAAACGCCTCGCCAACCGACGTCTAGCCATTGAAGCCGCCGAAGCCGATGTTGACGAAAAGGGTGGGAAATCTCAATGGGTCGGCTGCAAAATGGCCTTCGCAGATCCCAAAACCTACCTGCTCGCCATAGCATACATGTCCGTAGTAGGGGCTTCGGGCTTTCAGAACTTCTTCCCCACTTTGACCGGAACGCTTGGCTTCAACCGCACGATCTCGCTCCTCCTAGTCGCCCCGCCCTACCTCTTCATGGTGTTCTACTCCTACTTCCACAGTTGGCTCTCTGACCGCGTCGGTAACCGCTTCTGGTTCTTTGTGTACCCGATCCCGATCACCATTGTCGGCTTCGTCGTCTTCATGACCACCGACGGCTTCGGCCCCCGCTACTTCTCCCTCTTCCTCATGAACTTCATCTTCGCCCAGGTCAGCACCTGCTATGCCTGGATCGGCAACGCGCTTCCTCGTCCGCCCGCCAAACGCGCCGCCGCATATGCCATCATCAACAGCGTCGGAAACTCCGCGTCGATCTGGACACCCTTTACGTACAGCAGAAGCTCGGCACCTCAGTACCGGCCTGCGCTCGGCGTGGCCACCGGTCTGCAGATCTTGGGTTTCGTTTCCGCGCTCATTGTGCGTTTCATCCTCCAAAGGCAGAATGCGGAATTGGAAAGACTGGAGCGCGAAGAGTCGGAGGTAGGCGGCAAGAATCTTGAGAAATTGAAGAAGACGGCTGAGGCGGAGGGGTTGGACATAACGCAAGCAAGAATGTTGCAGAAGGGGTATCGGTACATGATCTGATGGGCGGGCTTCAACATGGGTCAGGGCCAGCTTGCCAACACAGAGTAGAGATAACTTGCGTGACCGTTTCCTGTTCTGTTATCCTGTCCTTGTCTTAATTTTCTTCTTACCTGTAACGCATGTCAAGGTATCTTCGAAGGCATTAAGTGCCACGATGCAGGGGCGCTGAGGTTCTGGAACTTGATTCATTGGCTAGTATACAAGACACTGCACGAGGATAGGAAGGTCTGCAAGCCCGACGAGAAGAAAACCCTTAGTGTAGGAGCATGTGACCTCAGAACAACAGAAGATCCGAAAGCCGGGGAACACTAAGACCAAACCGTGCCAAAGCTCAAGCACGCTAAGTATACCAAGCACGCTATTCACCCAAGCATGCCGGGTACGCGGGGTAATGAACGTACTTAGAGCGTGCTTAGAGCTATACGCGTATAGTTTAGCACGCTTAGAGCTAGATCTAATGCATCAGGTCTAGCCGCATATAGCTTAGATCCAGTCGATCTGCGCAACTGAATGCCAATAGCAAACCTTATCGTGTGCGGGGGAGATGTGGGGCACGCCCCGGACCGTAGCACAACCCTGTCGCCCACATGTTGCGGGTATGCCCCTCGATGCAACTTGCATAATCAAATGGTATCCAGGGACGGGCTCAAAATGGACTTATTTAGGAGTCCTCGCAGCCATTGCCAGTCTTCCTCGGTCTGCAACTGCGGGTATTCGCAGCACATTTCTCAAATCTTGGCAATTTCATCAATCGTCATTCTGGACATTCAGGATGCTCTCAACTCTGACCACTAGCTTGGGAAGCCTTGCGCTGTTGGCGGCGCTCTTGCCTGCCGCTAATGGCCAAACTCTCACAGCTGAGACGATTCGGGCCTCAGGGAATAACAGCCTATTCACCCGATGGAGGCCGACTAGCCATTTCATTGCTCCCGCTGGCTGGCTGAACGTATGCTGCTTCAGTGCCAGCTCCGGCATTCTTGGCTCTGAGCCCCACACTTACTCTGCTGTCAGGACCCATGCGGTGCCATGTACGATCCGACGCGAGATACGTACCATTTACTCTATCAGTGGCATCCTAATCACGTCAACTGGGGTAAGATTCGCGCTTACACCACAACCATTAGCCGCGCGCCGTACTGATCCGGTGTTAAGGCAACATCTCCTGGGGTCATGCTACGTCGAAGGACCTAATTACGTGGTACGATGTCGGCAATGAACCAGCGTGGCAGAATGACAATGCTCAAGCGATTGGCACTGGGCCTGTGGGCACCTATGATGGCCTTGGCATCTTCAGCGGCACTGCGCAACCTGTTAACATCCAAGGCATGGAAGACGGGACCCTTCTTGCCTTCTATACTTCGGTCTCATATCTGCCAACCAACTGGCGGATCCCGTACTACCCTGGCACCGAAACTCAGAGCTTGGCCTATTCAACAGACGGAGGGTTGAACTGGCAGAAGTACGATGGCAACCCGATTATACGGACGCCGCCACCAGGCTGGAACCTCACGGGCTGGCGTGACCCGTTCTTCTTGCCCTGGCCAGAGATGGATGCCCTGCTCGGTCAGACGTCGCCTCATTACTATGCGGTGTTCGGATCTGGGATCAAGGGTGTCGGTCCAAGGATTCCATTCTACAGCGCTCCGGCGTCAGATCTCACTCAGTGGACGTTCCTGGGCGCATTGTGGGAGCCAGCAGCAAACACAAGCCTTGGCTCTGTCCTCGAGACTGGACTGTATGGCTTCAACTTTGAAGTGTAAGTGGTTTGTCTTCGTTTTGTACAGCTCCACAACGGAGTCGGCTGACGTTCGAAGGTCTGGGTTCTTCTCTTTGTACGATGCCATGGGCGAGATTCATTACTTCGTCGAGATGGGCGCCGAGGGTGGCAACAGCAGTGTCCGCGCAATCGATCGCTGGGCCCTCTGGAATGAAGGGACTGTGAGCCGCCGCGAGAATGGCTCTGTGGCCTTCAACCCTGTGTCAGGAGGCGCCGCCGACTGGGGCAACTTGTATGCGCTTACCAGCTTCAACGACACCAAGAATAACCGCCGCGTGGAATGGGGTTGGGCGCCTGAGGATATGGGCGACTTCGCACTCACCCAGCAAGGCTTCCAAGGATGCATGGCCCTTCCTCGTGAACGTTTCGTCCATGTTACCAAGGGCGTCCAAGATGTGAATGGCGAATTGACTCAGCCAGGCAACTTCCGTGTGACCAGGCAGGCAGACGGCACTTACACCTCATACACCCTAGGCGTAATGCCTCTTAATGAAGTGGTTAGGGCCATAACGGAGAGAGCCCGAAAAGTCAAGGTTAACCATCGGAGAGGTCGTTGTGACAGACCCAGGAAATTGAGGTCGAGTAGCAGCAACCATTTCAAGCTGTACGCCGAACTCACCGACGTTACCGGTCCCGCTGGCTTCCAAGTCGGCGTTTCTCCAGATGGCTCAGAGTATACCAACATTTACTTCAATCCGTCAAACCACACCATCAACGTCGACCGCATGCATTCGTCGTTGATCAATCAGTTCGCCAACTTCACCAACGTGGGATACTTCCACCCATATACCATTGCTGGCAAGACGGAGCCGCTGAAGATGACTGTCTTCCTTGATGGATCGCTGCTCGAGATCTATGTCAACGTAAGGACACCCTGTTCCCACGTCCTATTATCATCCCCTTTCATGTTCCCTTGGAAAGTGCTAACGTACCATAGGATCGCTTTTCCCTGACAACCCGCATCTACCCGTCCCGGGCCGATAGCACCGGTTTCGGCCTCTACGTCGCGCGGGGTGCGAGCACGGAAGTGAAGCACCTGGAAGCGTATGACGGGCTATTGAATGTTTGGCCGGACAGGCCCTTGAATTCAAGCTCACCGCTTGTGTTTGACACGCCGGAGGAGACGAACAACTACACTTGGTGGCCTGGCTACTGAGCCCGGGATGATTGCAGCGTTGTAGTGTTGTTGTAACGGATCACGGGATGCTTGCGGTGGAGCTCTTCAATGCGCTTTGACCGGAAACCCTTCCTTATATGCAAGAATCACAAATGGAAGAGATGATATGTCGGAAAAGGTGAATGATTATATTTTGAAAACTCCGGCAGCAAATGATGTCCAAAAACCCTCCAGCCATAAACCGCCAAACCCGATGCCAGGGTCCGAATTCCCTCAAGCCGATGTTCGTAGAACTCAAGGCTGAGTCGCCAGATAGAGTCGCCAGTCGTCAGATGGACTCGCTAGATTTGAGTAGAGATAAACCCCAGAATGAACCCATGAGAGACCCCAAGATGAATTTTGAAACCCGCTAACCCAGGAAAGACATAAGAAAAGACCCGAGAATGAACCCAAGATGAATTCCGAAGACCGCCAAACTCAACGCCAACCTCAATCCCAAGAGCAGCTCGACTCGAGATCCTGTCTTTAATCACTGGGTGAACAGGGAGCTAGAGGCTGAGCTCCTCAAATGCCAGAATCAAGCTCCTAGCAAAGGCGCACACGCGGAACGAGACGCGACGCGGGTATATCAGATCATCCCATGTCTCCCATCCTAGTACAACGTTTGGTACCTTTCTAGGCTTCCGGTAAAGGAGGCTAAGCATCCTATTAATGCGCTCTAGCTAAAGCTCCGATGGCCCTAGGATGTAGAGAGCGAGGTTATTCGTAGGTGAGAGTAGGTCGGAAGGAAGGCGCCCGTAATAGACCCAGCTAGGAATGACTCTAAGAAAGCTCCCTGGCTTGAGGGTAGTAAGGGCAATCACGGCCCGCCTTGTCCCTATTAAGTACGTCCGGGTGCGTGAAAAGTGTCGTCCCATCCAATGTTCAGCCTCCGCTTCTTGAGGTTCCTAGGAACCCGCGGAAATCACCGCTGCGAACAGGATCTGTGAGGTGATAACAGCGGCACCCGTCCAGAAATCACCGCCACGGACAGGCTGCGTCAGGTGATGGCAGCGGCACCCATCCAGGAATCACCGCCGCGAATAAGCTTCGTAAGGTAAAGGGATTAGTATCCGTCCACGCGACACCACCGTGAACGGTCTGCGTAAGGTGATGGCAGCGGCACCCATCCGGAAATCACCGCCGCGAATAGGCTGCATAAGGTGATAGTAGCGGCTCCCGTCTAGGAGTCACCGCTATAAACAAGCTTCGTGAGGTTCGAAGGTCTACTAGGCTATTGATAGCTTATACTAGTACCTAGCCTAGAGGACACCTCTATTTAGATAGAGGTTAGACTAGACTAGGTCTAGCGTGGCGTGTACCTAATAATACTAGTATTCTAGAAAAGTGAAGAGGTTCAAGAGGGAGCGGATCACGTGCCACGACCCGAAGTACTGAAGTTGGAGATATGCGTCATCTCTCACATCTCCTCCTTTACACGCGCTTGTAAGCTTTAAACCCGTATATCTCGTAGTTTTCTTTTTCGCTACACGAAAAGAGATTGCTTAAAAGACTACAAGTATATTTTATCTCATCTCATGCTTTATCTATATACAGTATTATCGAATCGTTGAGCGAGAAGAGATTGCCTTAGAATATAGCCAACCTGTATAGAGCAGAATGAGTCACCGGAGTTCTAAATCCTAGGACTTGCAAGATTTGCTTCTATAGTTTCTCTAAGCTTAATATATCCCTCTACATCGTATCCAAACCTTAGAATGAATAGACTATATACCTACTCACCACACTTCACGAATGCGACTTTCTTAGTATGGTCCCCAGCCGCATCCATTTCGGACGGCACACTAATAATACTAATAATAATAAGCTCGCTCAGTCTATTCTAGGCCCGGGATAGCTATAGTTGGAGCGGATTAATAGTAGACTCGTCCGGTTACAGTAGGAATCCCGATTAACGGATTTCCTCCTTAGATAGAAAGTATAGGTAGATCCGCGGTACCCACGCTGGGCGTCGCTTTATATTATAGCCTTTACTTCGAAGCGGGTGTTAGCACTCAAACTACTTTATCTATAAGAGTTCTTTTCGCTTAGTGAAAAAGGAAATCCTCGATGAGGCGATTAATAGGGTGGGGGGAAGAAGGGAGAGGGGTGGTAGTTAGCTCGATGGTAGCCGCCCGCTAGATTTGTTTCTAGCTATAAGAAGACTTTGCTTTTGGGGTTTGTAAGTATGGAGGTTTCCTAGGCTGGACTTTAATTTGGAATGAGAGGGCTTTTAGATGAGCGTGTTTCCGGGCGGAGAGTGCTTCTGGAATGGATATGCTTCTAGGAGGAGTTTATTTTTCGAAGGTGGATGCTCCTAGGATAATGCTTTTCGGATAGGATTACTCTACTATGCCGTTGAGATTTCTAGAGCAGAGGTACCGGGAAGTACGCTTAATAAGTGAAGCAGGTTATCAGATAGTTCAGATGCGTCAAGATCGGTTGTTTAACAGCTTTTATTAAGTCCGCGAACTGGCGCTCATCTATATATGCAGAACTAGAGGTTAGGGTAGAGTATCTAGCTCTACGGTAGGGCTCGCTACTAAGCCCAGACGGCACACCCACCCGTAGAGCCTAAAAGCTTGGTTAAACTTCACGCTTAAGTGGTATGAGAATGTTGTTAACGACAATACGACTGGTAAGCTACAAAGATATCCTAGAAGCTAGATCTGCACACTAATATATAATAATAGTAAGCACCTCTAGAAAGCTATACTCAAGCGGCATCAGCTAGACTAAAGGGGACACTAGCGTCTAAGCTATCTACAAGCTATCTATAAGCAACATTAACATAATAGCTATAAACGCATGAGCTCTACTAGCTTCACCTACTCTATCTTATCGATATTCTTATCCAACCCGTGCTTTCCGCGGATCTAGTACTACTCTAATTCGAACTAGTATCCTACTTAAAGCTCGCGTGGTAGTATAATAATAATAGGGCGCACTTTATTAGTAGCTATCTCGTCCTGGACTCTCTGAATATATAGTACTCGGCTGCTCACGTACTATTAGCAGGTAGTGTTCTCATGCTCGGCCTCGCTTTACAAGTACCCGGCTCTAGAGTATTTTGCTAATATGCTAAGATAGGTGACAGATGAATTTCATATAGAGGCGACTTTACCGAGCTTATTCTTACCTATAAAGAGCTTACTAACTACCTATTATACTACTACGGGGAGCTTATTGCTTACTACCTATTAATATTTACTAATTGTCCCTTTAAGGGCGAAGTAAGGTGGCTCAAGTAATGGCGCTAGTGGACTCGCCTATAGGGGGTGTTCTAGTGCCCGATCTTATTAGCGTAGAGACACATTTATTAAAGGAGCCGGCTCCGGCTCTAGTGCAGCACCTAGCGAGTCGAATAATAGCGTGGAAACGTCTATCTAATAAGGTGAAGGTGGGTCTAGGGAGACGCTAGAAGCGGACCGCTAGCGTTATAGTAGTGCTGGAGAGCTCGATGCTGTAAGGTCGAGAATGCCGCGGACCCGCTTTAGCGGTCTCTCACTAGCCTCTCGATTGGTGCTTGCCGTGCGTTTTTCCACCCGCTTATTAAGGCGGCGCTGCGCCTTTGCCTCAGCCTCTTCAAGCCGCTTCTCCAACTTGCAGATGTCTTTTTGCGCCTCTTTGCAATCTACTATTATATTTATGAGCCGCTATCGAGTCCTGCAATACTCGTCCTTTATATCGTCTAACTCTTTATTCAACTTAGTGAGACGGGTAATCTCTTCTCTTACCTTTTTGTTCTCCTCTTTTACATTATTCTATGACTCCTCCAACGCGGTGAGACGCTTAATTTCTTCTCGTGTCTTTCTATTCTCCTCTATAAGATTGTCGACCGGACCTGTTAGGGCTATCAACCCCTTAATATGCAACGATCTAAGGGGTTTATATTTCCTGCTAAGTTCTACTTAACTATTCACTATATTAGTGTAGCGCTTATAAGGTAGCGGGTTACAATTCTGCTCTATAGACGCCTCGATAGTTACGGCTATATAGTTAAGAAGATTCTTTAGCTAGTTATTAATAGGATCCGGCTCGTTTTTAAGAGGAGCTAGGGGTTTCCTACACTTAGTTAGCAGTAAGCTAGTCTAAGGTGGTCTTAAGCGCACAGAGTAGTAGGCTCGAAGCCCCCTTAACTAGAGGTAGATCTACTACTATGAGGTTAGGTTTCTGACAGCTAAGGTGGGTTAGCTATATTACTCGCCTTAGGTTTCTACTTCTTTATTAGTATAGCTCGCAGGGATGGTTAAGTCTTAGGGCGAAGTCGTGCAGGTAGGGTAGATATAGGAGGCGATATAGGAGGTATAGATAATAATAGCACCTAGCTAAATAGATGTTGTACGAATAATAAATAAGATAAAGAGAATAGTCGGGAGTCTCTACCAACTAGATTGAGATAGAGGTGAGGTTAGTAAGTTAAAGGGAGAATTCTGATTCTTAGGGTTAGAATGGGATTTTATTATATTAGAGTCACGCGCCGTTACGGTCGCTTCACCGCAATCATCCACTATTATAGCTGCGCATTTATATTTTATCTACACTCACAATCTCTATATAGCGGCCACCTTATAACCTCACTCTTTATTATTTCTAACGCCGACGTCTATCGCAGCCTTTTATAACAAGGTGCTATTACAAGATAATAAAGGTTACTATGATGGTTAGGGTTCTAATTAAGGAGATAGGGAATAGTACTAAGATATAGTTAATAAGGTGAGGATTAATATCACGTAGTGAGATTAGATTAAGTTATAAAGAATACTAGATTCTTATTTAAATTGAGCACACTATTCTAATAAACGAGAATAGTGCTACCTATATACTATAATACCCCGAACCGTGATCCCCCTAATTAGTATGATCCGTCCCTAATTATACTAATTACACTAATTACACTAATCATACTAATTAGGCCTATCTTAGTATCTTAAGTAGTTAGTCCTTCACGTGACGCTTAGTACTAATTATCTTTATTCCGCGTTATCTATCGCGGTTCA